TTGACAACGGTGTAGTGGTATTCAGGTGTCACAAATCAATGAAAGACATATGGCAGACCATATCAAACGCATTCCCCAGATAACAATAAATCAGAACGTGTAAACATGCTCATACAGGCTGCTTTGGATTCAACGTATTATGTCTCTAAATTTAGTTGCCTAACGTTCTGTAATGCCTTATTACAACTGCTGCCACTTCTGATATTTACTAAGGGCATACGCCTCGCACTATTCGTGTTTCACGTCATTTGCATTGCTGAATCCCTACCTATGATATTGCCCAATTTTCACGCCTCTTCATCGATCATGACACTCTGTTGGTGTATGATCCACGTCCTGCTGCCTGACGCTACTGGTGTCATCCACGACAGCGTCCATCCGGTTTGGGCGCGAGGGTCCTTGAGAGAGTCGTGATTGTCGCCTACTCCACCAGGTTTTATTGATTAGTTATTCCTATTTCCACGATGGGACGGTGCGTCTTCAACTTTATACTTTCCATGTCCTCATTCGGCGTTACCTGTCACCTCTATAATTTGAAGTCACCATCTTACCAGATTGACGAATTCTGTCCCTCGTGAGCAAGGTCAACGTCAACATACGCCTGTCTTGGAAGCTAACATCCCTGATAGTCTTATCTATTCCGGATGGCTTCCTTCTGGGTACGTACTGGAGCGTCATGGGCAATCCACCACACGGCACTTGCTACATCACATCCTCTACCTTATGAGCCAGTTGTTAGTCTGTCTTGGCGTAGTGCAGGAAGTCCTCTGGGGACCGGCGCAGGAAGCTCGGGCTGATCATGCAACACCCTGTTGTGCAATAGAATATCCGCAGAGCTAATCGGCGCACCCAGAAATTACTGCCAGACAGTCTCTAAGTTAAATGGCGTTGCCATGCAGAAACATAGAAGCAATAGCACCAGTGTCACCGGCGTCAAACCCTACCCCCCACAGGAGACGTATGCTGTACGTTTATGGATGCGTAGGTAGTCTATTGCGGCTGCCAAACAATACAAGTTATATATGGCGCAATGCCTGTCAAATGAGTTATTTATGTCTCGTAAAACACGGTACTAGGTACGCATCACTGTCCTGGTGTAGAAGGTTGCATGCTATGTTTTACTAGGAACCGTTTGGTATACAAATCTCAACTGTTGCAAATACAACCAATTATGTGCCATAACTCCTTTATATAACGTGTTGATGGTGGCACGTAGGCGCCCTACACCTAATGGTTGCTGACCAGCGACAGCTGAACATCGTTGGCCCCGGGCAGCAGCGACACGCGGCCCTTTATGAACAGCGGGATATCGCTTGTAGGGTAAAACGGCACTTTCTGATGCGGTTTCCCCATCATTTTTTGTGGGCAAAGACCGCGCAAGTGCCCCGGCAAAAGGAGCATCTCGCTTGCCTCACGTGTATAGCGTTCCAGCATCTCCAACACGCCGTGCGGCTACTCGATCAATATCTCCGAGGATCGATATGCCAGCAGAAACTTTATTGATTCACCCTGGTAACAATTTGAAATGAGGCGAAACTGCGGAAATAATTCCGACACGCTCGCAAACGGTCTGCGTCGAGGCTTGAGGAAACCATCAACGAAGTTCCAGAGATCAGGAGTCGTTGTTGAGCACCGTTGCTGTGATTTGTCCTTATACTGATAGAGACTTTGCACCATTCGGTGATTTAATGGACATGATAATTTTTTCCCAGCAGTGACCGGAATCGTAGTGGGTATTGTAGTTGCCATATAGGCTGCTTCAATCCGCGGCATTTCTTCGCGGGGTTTGTACCGATTCTTCTGGCATATTGGCGGAAGCCAATGCACGTATTTCGTTGATGCGACGCTCGATATCCAGCGACGGGGTTTAACCAACGGTACGTGGACTATCTAGGTCGATGGAAGGTACGTAATTCCCTTATTTACGTCTTCTATCTCCTTGGAAATGTGTCATTCCTTGCCCCCAGGTGGCATAGGCTCCCGACATCGCCATTGTAGTGATGCTGCGGAACCACCAGGGGCGTGATACCCTCCACCATACAGATAAAGAAATACTACTTCAAGCAATCATTGACCAAGATACGATAACTATTTTGGTAATGACATAGTCTAATCTTCATGGTTAATGTTCCCCTGGTGAAGTCTCGGGTGGCAGCGCCCCTTTTGCGTCATGTGTAATTATGACGCTTACCAATCCAACACCATGTTTTGTGTTGTTTTATATGCTTATAACTAGTCTACGATGTAACAATAACGTTTCTGATCGTGTTGTTTTATTGCGTTCCACCACCCCCTCCGCGGTGCGACTTTGACCGCTGGAAAGAGGAAGGTGCGTTGTCGTCATTTGCTTGGTGACTCTAAAGTTAAGACATCTGAAATGTTTCCAACACGTTACAATAAATATTACGAAAGACTTTAGTGGACATCACTAGCTCCAGTGATGTTGGTTAGAAACTACTGTGTCGCTGCCTGGGCACGTTAGCCCACCCGTGGAAATGGAAGCAAGGGTGGTTCCATGTGCTCCTTATATGTTTGCAGATCACATAATGTGATGATATGCAAGGCTACATTGAGCCATATTGGGAATTGCGAAGTGCTAGCTTAGAGGTGTCGTCGGACTCAGCCACATACCACAGCGCTTGATGGGATGAGTGAGTACGAGCAGGCGAATGCGCCATAGTGGGATGTCACGCTGCAGAAACGAGACCAAGGTACAGGGAAGAAAGTAAATTACTGATAAGGATGAACCAGGTTAAACAAGTGGCAAGTCAACGAGGAGCCCGACGTCGTTGGCGCAGCGATAAGAGATCTTGCATCAGATTAAGCACAGCTGTGTTAAAATAATGAGATGAGAAACTGTACGGACACAGGTCATCATATTTAGTGTTTTTGAAATTACGGTCGTCAAATCAGGAAAAGTGTTGTTTGGTGGATGGCACTGCGCTCCTACCAGGTGGGAGGTGGGTAACAGGGATAAGGCAGGAATCATTCAGTCTTATTCTTCGACACACACCACACGGGCAATTATGAATACAGCACGATATTGTATCTGGAGCTTTACGATATTCACGACGTTTGCTCGGCGATGTGTGGGTAAAGGTTCGCAGTCTATATATGACACTCTCAGCGTGGTATATCTGTGGTACAAAGAGAGCAGCTGCGATATCCATGGTGATGCGCTTCTTGGTGGATGTTGGGACTTTTCCGCTAGGCATGGCGGCGTAGGCTTGAAGGTGTAACTGTTCAAGGCTTAAGGTACGCATTTCACGCCATTTCATGGTTGTAACTGGCGCCGTGAGTGTTAGATGCGTGAACTAACTGTTTCATAGCTGTGCAGGTTGGTTGTAAAGTGAGTTGAGGGGAGGATGGGACATGATGAACCTTGTAAAAACCCGGCAAAGTGCCTATTGGCCTATGCAGGCGTTAGTATATGCTTCGCAATCGTTGACTTGTAATTTTATTTAAATGTCACATATCAAGCTATTAGTTCAGTCTTCTTCAAGATACTTGACGGATTCAGTTGTTACAAGCCCACCGTACAAAAGCCTCAGCTCCAATAACCTATCATAGCCTCACATAGCCCACACATTTGCCTATAATCTTGCCACATGTAAACGTGTTGTTGCACCCTCATGAGCGCGTAAGTAAAAGCTTGTTCTATTCCCCTAGCAGTAAGTCAAGCTGACCGTATCGATCATGAACTGCTGTATGACTTATCATCTTTGGGGAAAGCCAAGCAAATACCATCCTTATTTTACGCTTTTGTGTTGTGCGAATATTTTATAACATCTGAAATTTATTGCTAGCGATACATGAATAAAAACTATAAATATGTATTTCCCGCTCTACGTGGGTAAATGAGAGAACTGCAAAACATGATATACTGGGTCATTAAAAATGCGTCCCCACCACTTGTACGACGTCGCAGTTTTTTAAATACTGAGTGAGTGGCGACTATTCCGCCGGAGAGGTTGCGATAAGATACGAGCGTGTAGTTGAGTTTCATGAGTGCCTCGCCCAGTTCTTCCTGTGTAAGAGAGCTGCGGATAGAGTCGATCAAACACTCGTACGCATTCACATAATATGCGATATACGTCCCCAGGTTGGGTATGATGATGTCTTACAGGATCTTGGTGGCGTATATGTTGGTACGTTCAACGTCCTGGGTGTCGGTCCTAATTTGCAAAATATATTTCGGCAATATGAACGTTGCGTTACGTTTCAGGCAGTAGGTGTTGCGGAAACAAAGTTTCTGTGCAACAGAGCATACGTCCCCCGACTTCCAAGCCCTCCTTCTGGGTTCTTTGCTAACTGCTGTGCAGGGTTGTTTGATGCAATGAGGCGGAAACGAGAATTGAGACATAATGTAATAACAGTTGTAATTGCCATTTAATGATTGCATGGTTAAAATGTTTAAATGCTGGCGTTTTAGCCTTTATTTTGCTATTCATACTTTCATGTTTCCTAACACGGCTTCACCAGTCACCAATTTCCATCATTGCTTCTTTCACAGCCCGAATCCCCCCACTTCATTGTCCGCTTACTACTGCAATAGCATTTCGTAGCCGTATGTGGCCCAATTAGCATCCATGTAGGAGACAACGCCAATATTAACATAATATGCCCTTCAAAGAAAGGGAAATTAGCCTAAGCCATACGTTGCCAATTGTCAATGTAAATTATGAATCAGTTTGCCCATTTACGCATCTAATCATTGATGCGCAACTCCCGTCATATATACGCACCACAAGCAGAGGAAGCCACCGATATCTAACGTATAAGTGAAGCGCCAATAACAAGTTGAAGTTTTGTTCGAACGTAAAATGGTTAATTTTTCGAACCTATGCCGTTCGAAGTTTGTGTTACAGTGCAGATTAACGCTACTGTCACAGGCAATTTGTTGGCCATTTAGTACTCAGTCGAACTTGAGAAATACGAAGCGATAAACACAATTTGTGCAATGTCGTATAGGCATACAGATTACGTTACGGTGTGTGAATTCACATAAAAGGGTGTGAACTCCGTATCGCTCTGTCCACCTTCTCATAAAGATCGGCATAGTTGAGCCTTTCATACCTGTCAGGCACAAGTTTTTTTACGCGCTGCAAAAGGTCTTTCGGCGGTTTGGTGACGAGCACAACGCATGTCGGTCGTTTTGACTGACACACTTGCGATATAATTCGTTTGGACGAGACATAGGCATAGGCCATACATGCATCTTCGCACATGATCGGCAAGTGAGCCACCACATCAATAGGATGTACGTCACAGGCAACCAGTACAACTCCTTGGATTCCTTTTCTTATGGCCTTTGTGACGTCCTGGACACCTCGCTTCACGAGTCGTGTGAGAACCGTATCGGCCTCCCCTTCCTCTTCCAAACGTTTCACTTTTGCAAGCTTCTCGACTTCGAGTGCCCTCTTCAGCAGTTTCAAAGACCGTTTCAACGTCTTTCCACGCAGGAGTGGATTTGCTATTGGCGATATGTGCACAGGTTCTTCTCCGCAGGAGTGCATGACGGCGTCTTCGGTGTCGCTCATCTTAACGTGCCTATTGAAGATGCGTTTGCTGTTTGCGCGCAGACACGTACACCTACCTTACAGACCGATTATGTTTGTCTATCAACTACTGTTATGCTTGCGTGTCCGTTATTCAGCCATTACAGTTTTGCGCGGACTTCCGGCTTCAGAAGAACACAAAAACGCAATTGGTATTCCTAAACAGACACCGAAAGTAAATGATGATCGTCTTTTGGGGAATTATACCATTCGCAGGATTAGCCCGTGCCACCGTTGTCAAGGATATTAGATGACGATTCCGCAGACAAGCAACACTCTTTGGAGGTATGAAGCTCGACGGCAAATCACGCAGAGAGCTTAGCAAGTGAATCCCCCAATGCGAAGTACGAAGAAATTTTATTCAATAAAGAGCCGAACTGGAATCTGCGTTCGCTAGGTGCGGGGGAACAGTTGGCAACGTCGCGCGCCAGGTCTAACCAGGTAGGACAGTAAAAATGCCGACGGAGATTCTCCACTGCGGCACCATCATACAAGAAACGTCGGTATATAACGATCCTTGCGCGGTTAAACTAAGGAAGATCCAGCGATGACTCCATATTCAAACGCTGCCGCCGCGCGGAGATTGCTCCGCAGGTTCAACAAGGGGTTCGGCCCGGAAAGCATGAATGGCCCACCTGGCGTAATGCATCGAAGATGTATATGTCTATCGAGCGGCTATATGCCCCGGCCACAACCGCAGTTGCAGCTCAGCCGGCAGTCGCCGCTGGTGGCGTTAAACCTTGTCAATCAAAAGGTTGCCGGTTTCGGAAGCCAAAGCTCTGCTGAGCCATCCTCCTCACTGGAACAGGTACCTGTCGCCGTCTGCTCTGCATGCCATTTGTAGGAGGTCGAGACGAAATTGAGGGATCTGATCCGTGGGGAGCGAGTGCTCTTGTTGCTAAAGGGGACACCCGAGGACCCTCGTTGTGGATTCAGTGCCGCAGTAAGCAATTCTAGCCGGTGATGTCATAAGTCGTCATAGGTTGTCAGCATTCTTGACAAGTACAGCGCGGTGGACTACGCGTACGTCGATGTGCTTTCGCACGAGTTGCTGCGCCCCTGCGCAAAAAAAATAGCGGATTGGCCAACATTTCCACAGCTATTCGTCGATGGGCGTTTGGTAGGTGGGTGCGACGTAATCCAAGCTTTGCACGAGTCCGGCTCGCTAGCGGAGATTCTGATTCGCGACGAGCGCGAGGCGTAGATGTGTAACCGCCGTACGTGACACAGAATACGACACACTAATTCATACTGCACCAAAAGGGCATTTTCACGGTGTATGATGTGCTAATTATGCAGATTGCTCCTCTAGCCGCATGCACCTCGCCCGTGGTATGTGTTATCTGATCGGCGGCGGACCCCCTGCAGCGGCAGTGAACAAAATCCATCCCGCGATGCACCTAATAACGTAGTATTCATCGATGCAAATAACTTTGTTATTTAAGGCGTCCCGTGTTGCACGTACTACGCTGGCCTCTGTCAAGACGCCCCCGCCACAGCAGTGAGGTATGTGGCGGCTCCCCGGGTACAGCGCGCTAAGGTGTGTAAGTCATCATTACGCAACAACTCAGATTTCAATTGGTGTATTCACCGACGCATTGTGATACGTACAGCGTGGAAAATTCGTTACACCGCTCCGTAAATTATCTCGGATGGATCTGGGGATGCAAGCTGTGTTTTCGCTAACCGATTTGGTTAAAGGGCTTCTAATTCCTGTTATATAACGCGATATCGATTGTATTGACAGGTGTGTCGAGTGGTTATTAATGTATCGAAGAGTGTCGAGGTCTGGATGTGTAGATTGAAGGGGAGGATTCGGATTCCGGGGTGAATCGCGCGAAAAGCGCACCGATCGGGTTAACAAAACAGTATTACGTCAAATGTAGTGGATATCAATGGCAGCTCCGGGGTCTTTTTTGCTATCTCGTGCAGAGGTTTTGGGTGTGTATGGTGACACCTTCTACAACCGCGTCACCCTGGTCAACAACGTCACACCGCTGTCAAAGAGCCGTTGTTGGGTGCATCAAACCGCAAGTGACATACGCGATTTCGATGATGCGGATCGAGCGGAGTGCCTCTGCGGCTTCCATAGGCAGGGATATGCCTCATGTGCACAGCGACATTATGTGGAAGGCCGCCTTCGACACATGTGGGACCGACGTTCCAATGATGAAGCTACTGGACTTGTTTGCTTCGGCAATACGCGATGCGTAGCTTTAATATCGAACGATGGGGTGTATCTGTTCAGTAGTATGCAGATGTGCGATGCTGGAAGCGCACTTTCCAACGCTAACGCGTCGAAGGTCTCACTTGCACACACACACGGGTCGAAGGATGGCAACATAATATGCGCAGATTGCCGTAATGCTGCCATAGCGAGCGTGCCGACATTTAAAGATGTTATAGGAGCTATTAAAGGATTGCTTCAAAGAGGTGAATCGCTAAACGCGGGACTAACACTCATGCAAAAGTTTTCCGTAGGCCGAGAGGGTTACAATGCTGAATCCGACATATATCACGCATTGGAAAGGGCACAGGATGCGGCGAAGGCAGTTGGGGTTTTGGAAGGTTTAATACCTGCGGATGAAAGGCCAGGCTCGTTCGAATTAGGTGTCGATTCAAGCCTAATCGCAAGCTGTAATGATTTGGCAGAATCCCTTATATCCAAGTGCCGTAAGGACCTAGTTGCAGTCTGCTCGTCGTTAGTGGGCCTCGTGAACGCTTATTGCCAACCGCCGCTTATTGTTAGGTTCCGCTGGTTGCGTCACTACATGGCGCTGGAGTATCGTGTTGAGTACAGTGCAGATTTATCCAACTGTTTTTTTGATGCGATTTCTGGGCGCTATGTTCCGGATGTGGCACAGGAAAATGTTGTGCTACACGAGATTGTTCAATGCAGTCAGGTATCGCTCATTAGTGTCGAAGCGTGCTTCCGCTTGGCACTCGGACGGATGAGCGACTTTTTGATGTTGAGAAAAATATTTAATTCGAAAAATGATTCTACTTTGTCCACACAAATCGCCAATGACGCACCGTCCTACACCGCCGCCGACGTCACCCCATTTTGGTGGAACTACTACAGCTTCTCCAACACACTAGGCGAAGGGGAGAGCGTTACTGAGAATTATTCCGTTAAAAGGCTGACGCGATCGCAGATTTTGAAGGCCCACGAAGATGGTGCGTCCACACCCGTCGCGCGCAAGTCGCGTAACAGCCTAGAGGAACATTTCGTAAGCACACACTGCGTGTCCTCGGATAATTTAGCACATTCGTGCGGAACTACATTTGAGGCTCCTACTAGTAACCGCAAGGAACCACGTGACCCACACAGCGGCGAGGTTTCAAATTACTCGCTGCACTGCAAGGCCACGCCGACGCTCTCGAATCGTTCGCTGAAGAATCCCTTGAACGAGAACAGCGTAGGCGCCGTATCAACAAACGAAGCCAATATATGTTTTTGTTTCAAATGTTTAGACGCGGTGTCTAATTTCGGCAGACATTTTGGAACTCGTGACTTCAGACAAGAGAATCGCCTTTGTACTGTTGTTTTGGGAGACGCCGTCCAGTCTAACGGTTTGGGTCATATTTATAATGGCTGGCAATTGGAACACTGGGACGATTACAAGACGACAAGTATACTTAGGCGGTCTATTCGAGCAGCGGTTGAGGCGAGTTGCACATTGGGGCGTGCTATAGTGAGTGACCAGCGGCACGTGAAGGCTGCTATTGGTCATTCAATTAAGATACTCAATACGGCCTTACTTTCTACCTTGCGTTTGGGGGACTTCATATATTCGTCAAGGAACGCAATGGAAGTCCACATCGGCCAACAGGAGGACCCCGTAAAAGAGTACTACGACTCTGGGGAGGCCATGGAAGACGAAGGTTCCGATGACTCATGTTCTTCGGAATCCACGCTGCGTGATATCATTAGCAATTCGTTTGTGGTTGGCAATAACGTTTTCAACGGGCTCTACAGCACGTTTGAGAACGATCAGTATATTCAGCATGATCTGGACGAGACAGAGGAAGCTCAGTTACATAGTCCTCCGGCTGTGATTCATCGTAGTCCGCGCCGCAAGGACACCAGCCCATCGCAGAGACGGTCTATAAGCAACGCCCAGCATTCAAGCATTGAGTCATCAGTGGAAGTCAACGTTCGCCAGAGCCGCAAGAACGCCCGCGAGATTGCGAACAGTGAGGTATACATCTATGACCTGAGCGAGCGTAATGACGCCCTTTCGGAGTCTGCGGTGGAAGACTGGTACGAGAGTGATGGCAGCGTCCGTAGTTCTCGCAGGCAACGAAATAAACAGAGCACGAGTTCTCTGACGGAGATTTATGGCAACGACGAGGCGCTTATTCCCATGGGTCCGCTACCTATAGGCGTATATTTCGACGCTAGCCGTAAGCTTTGGCGCTGCCAGTGGCGTGAGAATGGTAAATTCCGCACCAAAGGGTTTAGTTTGGGTCACTACTCTTCACTGTGCGAGGCACGCCGGGCGTGCATCCTCTTCCGTTGCCAAGTGGGCAACATGCCTGTGCAGCCGGAGTGGCTTAACCCGAACTACGTCCAAGTCTCTCAATTGCTTTCGAAACGCACTACTACAACCAGCAACAGCACATCTACCCCGAAAAAGTCCAAGCGGAAGCGCAAGGCTCACGTTGGGACGCTAGAGGTCGACCCGGTCAAATGACTTGGTTTAAATATATATAACAGATATATCGTGAGATCGTTTTTCATATCGTTTTACGGGAGTGTTCGTTTGCATTGTGTTGCGTATGTGCGGTTGGTCCAACTGCTTCTGCGGGTGCCATTTTTCCTGATCTTCATCGTCCTAGGCGTGTTGTCACCCTTTGAGTCTGTCTTCAGCAGCTGGCGCCAATGGCACATTTGCATCAAACTTTGGTGCAGTGATACTCACATAATGCATGGTTGTGTGCTAGCATTGTGTTATCGAGTTAAGTGTTTTGCACGCGGGGTTATGGGGGTATTTATTCGCGTGAGACCTCTATTTTCAGGCTTCCGTCGTACTTTACTCTTAGCACATCGTTCTCCCTACACGCGTCCTCCAGTAAGTCCTTTGCGATTTTAGATTCCAGCTCCCTCTGAATGGTGCGCCTTATCGGCCGCGCGCCGTACGCTGGGTCGTAACCCAACTCTGCGATGTGGAGGATGGCCTCGTTGTCGACGGCCAACTTTATGTTTTTCTCAGCAAGGCGATCTGCTAGCTTTCCAAGTTCAATGTCTACAATAGATTTCAGCTCTTCCTTTGAGAGCGCATTGAAAACAACAAATTCGTCCATACGGTTGAGGAACTCGGGGGAGAAGGTCTGTCTAACCGCCTGCATCACCTTGTTCTTGATTTCGGCTTTCTTGTCAGGGGTCTTGGCCAGCTCCAGAATATTTTGGCTGCCAAGGTTCGACGTGAAAATGATGAGGCAGTTAGTGAAATTCACCTTCCGTCCCGTTGAGTCGGTCAGCCTTCCATCGTCGAGCATCTGGAGCATGATGTTGAATACGTCAGGGTGCGCCTTCTCTATTTCGTCGAAAAGGACGACGGAGTATGGCCTTCTGCGGACAGCATCTGTCAGCAACCCGCCTCTCTCGTATCCTACGTATCCCGGGGGTGCACCTAGCAGTTTGGAGACAGTATGCTTTTCCATATACTCTGACATGTCAAATCGGATAATTGATTCGTCCGTGTCGAACAATTGCTCTGCAACCGCCTTGCACAGTTCAGTCTTCCCCACACCCGTCGGACCTAGGAACATAAAACTGGCAATGGGTCGCTTGGGGTCGCTCATGCCCACACGGGATCGCTGAATCGCCCTAGTCACTATGTCAATGGCTTCATCTTGACCTTTAACTCTCTTGCGGAGTTCGGTCGCCAGATGAAGCATCTTCTCACGCTGCGACCTCACAAGGCGTTCAACGGGAATGCCAGTCCAGCGAGAGACAACGCTTGCGACGTCTTCGCGAGACACCTCATCACGAAGCATCAATTGACCACCTGTTGATAGAACATTCTTAGCGTGAGCTTCATATGCCTCCACGGCTTGTACGAGCTGCTTGTCCAGATCGGGTAGCGTCTCGAATCTGAGTTCCGCGGCGCGGTTGAGATCGAATTCGCGCTCAGCCTTTTCAATTTCAACCTTGACAACATCTTGCCGCTCCTTGATGTTACGAATTGCATCTACGAGCCCCTTTTCTTGCAGCCACGCATTCGTTAGTGTATCTTTCTCTGCCTGCAACTTCTCCACCGCCTTTTGGATGCGCTCAATCCTCCTATTTTCCGGTATGGATTTTTGTCTTGCACTTTCCGGTAGAATCCCTACTGCGTTGCTTTGGGCCTGGTCGCGCCCTCCGTCATTGGATATTGAGATTCGCTCCATCTCAAGCTGCAAGAGCTTGCGCTCGATAACATCAAGTTGGATCGGTTTGCTGGACAATTGAATTTTCAGTCTTGCTGCCGCCTCGTCCACGAGGTCGACGGCCTTGTCCGGTAAAAATCGATCACTGTACAGTTGTCATGGCCTTTCACAATCATAAAACTAACGTTATGTATCGGTCGCTGAGCTGGGCGGCCTCTACAAGTGCGGAGTCGAGAATTCTCACTCCATGGTGCACCTCGTAGCGCTCCCGGAGGCCGCGTAAGATACTGATAGTCTCCTCGACGCTTGGCTGATCGACGTACACAGGTTGGAACCGACGCTCCAAAGCCTTATCCTTTTCGATTCTCTTATACTCCTGCAGAGTTGTTGCGCCAATACAACGCAATTCTCCACGCGCGAGCATAGGTTTCAGAATGTTTCCTGCGTCAAGCGCGCCTTGACCGTCTCCAGCTCCCACCAGAGAGTGGATTTCGTCAATGAACATAATGATCTCGCCCTGTGACTCTTGGACTTCCTTCAGAATAGCCTTAAGTCGCTCTTCGAACTCTCCTCGGTATTGAGTTCCAGCCACTATGGACGCCAGGTCGATCGATATGACACGTGTGTTCTTTAGGGAGTCGGGCACGTCACCGGAGACTATTCGATTAGCCAAGCCCTCGGCAATCGCTGTTTTGCCAACACCTGGGTCTCCTAGCAAAATGGGATTATTCTTTGTTCGCCTGCTAAGAATTTCGACAGTTCTGCGGATCTCGTTGTCTCGTCCTATGACTGGATCAAGTTTTCCGTTTTTAGCCATCAGGGTGAGGTCCTTGCTATACTTTTCCAGCGCGCCCAATGCCTGTGACACGATTAGACGCTATGTATAATGAAAATGGCTGTGATTTGACCTCATATGAAAGCTGTTTTCGGTGCTTCAAGGCCGATGTTTTGGGCTGAGCAGATTTCAGCCTTCCAACGGTGAACACCCGTGAGCAGACATAGGTCCTATGGTGCTAGTACTACGGATTGGCATCGGAGGGGAGGGGTCAGATTCGCCTTTTTATATCATTATCCCGCATGGGCAGTAAAATACCCGCGAGATTGCATAAAATACAAACGTCATCATGCCCCATATGTGCACATACCATTTCGGGATTTTTAGAAGTAACTTTGCGTTTTCCTCGTACTGCCTCCACCGCCTTCTTTAGCTTCTCATACGTGACCTTTTGTCGCGCTAACCAAGGCTTGGTAAACTTGGTGTCCTCGCAAGCGAGTGCGAGGAGCAGGTGCTCGACGCTGATGAAGTGATCCTGGTCAACATCAACAGTTTATTACAACAAACTAACGTTATACTCCGACTTGAACCTCCGAGTCACTGTTAATACATTCTGTAGCGTCCTCCCTAGGACCTTCTGGTCACCGAAGCCCCCTGACATGCGTGGCTGCTTTGAGAGGTGGGCCTCGAGGTCTTCACGCATTTTAGAAACGTCAACACCTACATGTTGCAGTATTTTATAACAAGTAGATTCCTCCCCAAGGTTGAGTAAATTCAACAAGAGCATGTCAGCTTCGACGAATGAGGATTTGTAGCGGTTGGCCACATCACCCAATGAGCTTACGGCCTCCCAGGCCTTGTCTGTGAAATCCTCGGAATCAAGAGTGTGCCCATTGCCATGACCGATCATCTGCAAAGCCATATCATGCTTATTTTCTGCACCAGAGTTGTATAGACTGCCGTAAGCAGGTGACGCGGTTGCAAGCATGCCCAGAGCCGTAGGTGGCCTCTTGTGAGGGAAGCCCAGAAGGTTTGCGATCCCTTGTACCAGCGCCGAGGTTATACGACTGCTGACGTCCATATTGTTCTCCACATTGCAGCCTGCCTCTCTCCCCGGAAGCATATCCAATCTGAAATCATGGTCGAAAGCATGTGAGACGAATCCCGAATCCTCGTAAGATGACTTCCTATCGCCCTGAGAACCGAAAGGTCCTAGGAAGGAGTTGCGATCACCATTGTTCCCGTACCGGAATGCTTTTACCGGTCGTATCACGAGCGATGCGCAAGCTGCGAGAACGAAAAGTACGCACATTCCACTGGTAGACGCGCGCACGGCTACGCATCGCGATGATCGCGCAAGCTCCATTCTGTTATACGTATACGGTAGCAAACATCTCCCTTATTTAGGAAGGTCGCGTGATATTTCATGGGAAGCCCTCCTTATCGTTCCGGAGGGGTGACAATTGGGTAGCGATGCCTGCTGCGTCTAGTGTTGATATTCGTTGTCACACGGCAGGCAGAGGTAGTTAAATATACATTTACTATACTATGTGACTGTGAAAATGTGTGTATTTCATCCCTAGATGGAATGTTGATTCTCGAATCCTTAGCATGATATGTGTCTATTTTACCCGTGGCAAAGTGTGACAAGTAGCGTCGCGTAAATGGTACACATCACCGCGCACAAATCAATACATATGTTTTTTATTACGCTACGCCACCGGCGATGTGATCTCATTCGACCTTCCACCGCGTCAGGGATACGATCGTTAACCTGCCTTCTTGCGCTTGCGATTTGCAGCACAAATAATATGTGTTTTCCATAAATGACTTTTTACTGTCGTCAGTCACTTTTATAACATCCGTGTGGCGTCTAACCGCCTAGAGTCCGTTGATGTGATTGCCAAGGCCGCCCATCGTATGTGTAGCGCTCCGTCCCATTGACTTATGACGACTTCTAGTTCATGTGGTTCATTGAGCAGCCTATGCGGATTGCGAAAACGTAGGAACAACAGCGAACGCATGGTTTTCGGTAACCGCGTCGATGTGCTTGAGGCCATTGAAGCAGGAGTTTTGGGCTATAACAATGCAGCGCCTTCAACACACATGACCGCATCAACTAAGGGGGGATCTACCGTGGACGGAACTTCTGCTAAAGGGGGGATCTACCGTGGACGGAACTTCTGCTAAAGGGGGGAAATGAAGACGCTTAGGGAGCTCAGCCACTTCCAGTTTATGATCCTATCTGGTGTAAACTAGTTGCAAGCTGAGCACTTTCTGCGGGTAGTATGGCCCAAATCTTCGTGGTTTTGCGTTTTTGTAATGCGGAATAGGCGTTGAAGACCCGTTGCAAATGCGTGAAACCCGTTAATTATAAGAGGATGAGTGAACAACTTATCTCCAGCACGGCATTCTTTGGCCTAAGGTTCGTCCGCGATTGATGTAAATCTGTTTGATGACAATGGGGCAATCTGATGCAGAATTATTAACATCAGATCCGGCTTCGCCCTCAAGTGCGGCAAATGCAATGGAAAGCGAGCATACACGTACAAACAGTGATGACGACGGTGATCGCAACCACGATTCGTCCGGAGTTGGAGATACCAATGAAACGCTTAGCGCTCGATCTGATTCCCTTAAAACGGACCTCAGACGCTCGAATCAACATGTTACCGCAGGCAAAGATACAATTTTGTATGATGATGTTCTGCAAGAGATGACAAAGCTTTCCCTGCGTGGTGACATCTGCGTTCAGGAAAACCTGTTAGACATAACCGAATATCATGGAAGTAAAAGTGATAGACTCTTAAGAAAGCTTAGGTCCATCGATGATTTGCAAAATGGCAAAATTGTGGAGCCGTTACCCGTGGCTGGAGAACCTGGTTTTGACCTGTGGGATTTGAAATATCGAGCCGAGTTACAGGAACAACAAAGGGCCTACGTTGGAAGCCTGTTCAAGAACAATTTGCCGGAACGTTGGCTCAATTTGGAGAAGCTCGGCAATGCGGCCGACGCATTGTCTCTGCTGCGTCGTGGAAGCGCATCACGTGTACTGGCCGACAAGTTTGGCATCGAGATGACTCGAAAGCACTTACGCTGTCTAGATGGACCTCACTGGTTAAACGATGAGGTCATCAATTTCTACCTCGGCCTCGTACAGGATAGGAATGACCGATTAACAGGCGATGGCGTTGCCGGTATTCCACGATGTTTCTGCTTCAACACATTCTTCTTCAACCTTTTATGCGGGGGAGACGATCCTACTACTAATTACAACTACAGCGCAGTGTCACGTTGGACTTCAAGGCGCAAATTGGATGTATTCGCCATTGATCTTTTGCTGATACCCGTCCACGTGCACAAGTCGCACTGGTGCCTTGGTGTGGTGGACATGCGCCCACAATCTCGGAGGATCATGATATTCGATTCATTGGGTGGCTACCACAGCCTATTTTTCAGAAACATGCGGAGATGGTTGCAAGACGAGCACCTTAACAAGAAGAAGGTCCCGATTGAGGACATCAATGAATGGGAGCACAGCCCCGCATATGCAGCAGAAGTTGGGGCGCCACGCCAGAACAATGGGCATGATTGTGGCGTGTTCTTATGTCTCTACGCTGAGTGTATATCTGTGGGGAAGCCATTCGATTTCTCCCAACAAGACATTCGAGACCGTCGCATCATGATGATACAACAAATTTTGAGGGGTTCGATATATGAATGACCCACTGCGTATTTGATATATTTGGAGGAATTTGTATTAATTCTAACTATCATATAGCTGACAGCATGTTCGATTACCGCCCTGTTGCCACTTCGAGCGATTGTATTATACTAGTGGGCGCAATGCATTGGTTGACGGCGCAGTTTTAAATTCGGGGACAGGCTATGGTCCAAATAGATGCGGGTGTACACCCTTAGCATGAGCAGCTGTCGAAACCACCTGCAACCATGAGTGGCAGACTCCGAAATAGGGTCGGGCCGATGGGAATTTGCAGGTCGTTGGATGCTAAAGCAATATTGGAGATCGTCGCCTAACGGTAACCGCTGAAACAAGACGCACCCACACGAAGGTTGCATGAACTAACCTATCGATATGCAGTGATGCTTATTCATAAGGGCTGCTTGGGCCAGGAAAGATACCTAATGTGTGAAGGCTTGGAGATGCTGCGAATCTTTACTACAACATTCCCAATGTCAAGCACCAATTTCTGGACGTCAGATGGCTACAAGCGGAGGAAGAGCATTATGAGCGTGATCATGGGGGTGATGGTCAGGACAATGCACCGAATAAGACGCCGTTAAGAGTATATATATTACAGGTGAACAAAATTTTACAACCCATACAACCGAAGGTGCAGCATTGCCCTACATCTGGATTACAAGCACGGTCATTACACTCCTTTGGGCTACGCTCCGCCATCGTTACATTGATGGACAGCCCTGGGCAACCTACGCAGGTAGCGGTAGCTGTTGCCTGATGCGCCCGCCTAGATACCGTAGCAGCGACGCAGAACATTGTGTTTCTCTTCGTGTCTGCTATCTAGCATCACCCACAATGTATCATGCTTCTAAGGAGTCTCTGTTGAGACATGATGGACTGTGTAAGCACGTCTTCACCATAGACTGCAAAGCGTACATAAGAAACATTACAGTCACAATGTGATTGACTTCTTTAAGTCACTAGTAACTGTTAACAACTGTAACTCGCACGGGCCGAAGTCTCATTGTGCGGAGGGCGGCGCAAGCTTTAGATGACATAACATGCTTAGTTGAGACAACAGACGTAACTGCCGTCTCAGAGGTTGCAAATATGCGTCTTGAATCCGCGGAGTGATTCACGTGCCCCGCGATTGTCCGAGAGTGCAGTGTCTGTTGCCATTTTCAGAAGGCGTAACAACGTGGCGCATAGAAAGTTGACGTTCTCAAGCGGTGGAGTGATTCGTTCTCCAAGCAGTGCAACCCTACGATCTTAGGCTGCATTATCCAACATCAAATCCATTTATCGCAGCGTGTGACGTCTAATAAAATTCTCTGGAGGTTTCTCACGTGGAGTATTCGGAGCTACGTCTTACAGGTTGTCCGCTACAATCACCACTACTGCAAAGGTAATTGTAGCCGACTATGTTACAAATCATTCGTCAGGTTGGTAGTATATCGTCTATAAAGTGTTTTCAACTCTTGCTTTCAAGACGGCCGTAACGAAGTCGCTTATTCGAGCTCACTGCTTTCCCCTGTGACGACCATTCCGTGGAGCCGCCGACCGAAGACGATGCGCCGTTGCGAGGCATTAAGAAAGTCACGCCACACATGTCGTAAACCGCCTGATTGGTCGTTTTAGATGTCAGTGTAGGCTTCGCAGCATCGATGGCAGCTACAAGCACTGAAATGTCACCCGAGGTTGTAGTATGGGCGCTTTCAAGGCATCTTCCCATTTGAAAATGGCAAAATGTGGATTGTGTGCCGTGCACCGCTGCACAATGGCCGGTGCTATGCAGGTCATAGGCGGTGGTGAGCAGGCCGGCAGACACGTACTACGCGGAGTGGAGTCAGCGGGTTGGCCGTCCGATTCTGGATTTTGGGAGTGGCAAAATAGTGCAGGCGTTTAACCATCAGTTATCTGAGTCTACGGGATGTAAGTGGCTTTTTGCGCATTTAGAGTGTGTATATTTGCGCGTCTGTGCGCGTTGAGCCGGAAGATGGCTGGGTACCGATGTGACTACGGGGCGGCGTATTTGAGGGGAATTTTCGACGACATAATAGTAAATGCTAAAGCCGTAATCTCGAGCTGTACCGCATCTGTCGGCTTGGAAGCGTGAAAAAACGTGCTGCAGTGTGAGAAAATTGCTGCGGTGTGGTGACTAGAAGGCGGGGTTTGACCTGGGTGGAATCTAGTCACTTATTTTTTTCTTACACCTGAGGCTACAAAAATTACACAGCCACAAACACCACCAGGTACGTCTGTTAGCCGCTTATACTAACGGTGTGTCAGCAGCTAGCATTGGAAACACAGCCACCAGTGTACACCTCGAATGTACTCTGGATCCGTATTTCCAATTCAAGAGCCACCATCCAACTAAAATTCATTTGATAATTACTTCACGTGATGGCTTCTCAGGGCAACCAGACCAAGATGAACTCGTCTGCGGGGGAGAAAGCGCCAACCCATCTGGCAAAGTCTGTTTCTAGGGGCGGGCTTAGGCCGTCGGCTATGTCTTTAACAGGGAACTGCGTGGCCCTTGGTATCCTTTTAATCTCTTTCGCGATATTAATGGTCACGGATAAGAAGACTCTGAGACGCATTTTGCCGTTCTGCAACGCTTTTATTGATTACATAAGCCGTGTAATCACTGGTGCTGTAGTCGATGCTGTCATCTATATTATCATCAGTTGTACAATCTTTTGTTTTACCAACCTCATGTATGCTAGGCGATGTAAAGAAGCGAACAGTAAAGGAGATAGCTTTTGTCATGGTCGCACCGTCGATGCAATCATCCATGGTATAAGCGCTGCCATCACCACTGGCATAATGTATTTTATGTTTCCCAGACTACGTGATTATCCTATCTTTGGCAGCAGAGGTTTCATCGACGGTACCATCCATTGTATCATGGCTGCCATCACCACGGGGATCACGGAATATATGGTTCCTAGTTGACGTAAAGAAGCGGATGGTACAGCCGATTGCGATGTTAGAGGAGCATATCATAATCAAGACGCTCGCCACGCTACCTCTCCGTTGTCGCCTCAAGACGCGAATGACTCCAAAAACGAATGACCTTCCCAAAGAGCTTTAGTGCCGCGGGATCGTTAGATCGAAGTTGTAGCACTGGCACTCCCTGTGTCACAGCCCGGCCGAAAGTGTTGCCGCTGGACCACATTAATGAAATGTATCTTAAAGCCTGTGTGCCCTCAACCCACGCTCCACGCTTCTTTCCAGTAACCACTCACGTAAGGCACCCACTGATGTCAACTACAAAACAATGACATAAACATGTTCGTTGCATAGTTCATTTGGGCGCAGTGTGGGAGATCACCTAAGCTTGTAGCGCGGTAGCGCCATGCTAGCTTAGGCAGTGACCCATCCGCTGGGCGCGTGTACGGGATGCGAACTGCTTTTTGGACGCCAACAGTATATGAAGTTGCATGTCTATGGGCAACTTTACGTCAACCGTCGGCATCTTATTCCATCATCGTGACCCACGCAGGCACTTGTTAGCCCATCAGCGTGGAAGACGGATGCGGTGGGAAGGTGGTGACATAAGCTGGCGGAATCACGCTCCTCTGAAATTAAAGTTTGCTTGTATTGGAATAAAGTAACGCTGTACGGGAATGCGGGCATTTGTAGTTCAGGAATCCCGGTGTTTACGCCGACGGCAAAATCCGGGATTCTGTTAGGCCGTATGATAGGCGGTCTGGTAGCTAGAAAGCTTGGGACAAGACATCGGTAAATTGAACACGTAAAAAGGATGCACAATCCATTAAATTAGTCCAAAATGGCTGCATATGGTAGCGACGCACATACACACAACATCATCCGCATACACACAGTGGCCACAAACACGGTAGTCCGCCAGATTCCTCGGCAAGCACCCATCACAGCTTAAAACCTGACTGCTTCACGATTAAAGTGAATCAACGTGTTGTGATGTGCAGCGGTTATGAGCCGATGCACGCCCGAAACGCAACGTCGCCGCAATCACCCAAAGCAGAAAACAATTATGCTAATAGAGGAAGCTAGTAGAAATATTGTCTGAATTCCTCACCGTATTACTGGTGTGTTTATAGCAAGCAGGCCCCGCAATAGGCCCTGGGCGCTGCAAAATAGCCCCGCAAAGGATCGTAACACAGCGAATCCGACGTTCCCTCAAAATTATACTACCACATATAGGTTTCGGACGTGCTATTCCCGTCTGAAATGCTGATAGACAGTGACTCACGTTTCGCATACCGTGCGGCACGTTGATTGCGTCGAGCTAGCAGCGATAGGGCTGCTAGTTCATCATCATATATTGACCTTCCACATATTTGGTGTATCGAGCGAGTGATATATTACAATTAAATACGTACGCATTAGGGGTCTGTGGCGCTTGTGCTTCTACGCGATTACGACAATGATGTTTGCGAACTGGCCTTCAAATAGACCCCGAATTTCACACCTTTATCTGTCGCCTAATGTAACGAATCTTAATAGAAGGGTCTACCATTCGTTGACTGAGCCTCCCCGAAATGTCAAGGAGTGCATTGACTGGTTGATAGCCCTGAAGGGGAAGGATGGTGAGAAGAACTTGAAGGCTTTGGGTGCCGCACTTCACAAAATTCTCGCAGATAAGCCTGTTGGCAAGATGAAGGTGCCAGCTCTCGAGAAAATTAAAGTTATTACCAAGAAGTTCCTGGAGAAACCAGAGAATACGCGTCTGCTGTCTTCAAACGAGCTGAAGTGGAGATTCCAGGAGCCTCTGGATAAGGGGTTCGGAGCCGCTCAAGCCTTTGGTCTTGTCCCGAAAAGCAACTACAAGAACGTCATACAGACCAAAGGTGTCACTGCTAAAACCGTGTCAAAGAACTTAATTAAAGTTGTGGATGGTTGTGAACAATTCCTGGAAAATATAAAAGTCCCTGACCATTATAAATCCGCTTACAGTCCAGAAGCGACGTGGGATGCATCATGCGCGAAGGACGTGGAAGCATATGCGATCATTTTCATGGGGGTTGCGCCGATGTTATACGCAGGCCTACATTGTTTTCGGTTGATGTCTCTATATGCGTGGTGGGGAGGACCTGATTCTGAGGCTGCTAAGAATATGCCAGAGGTTTTGAAAGCTGTGGGTTACGTAGAGCCGGAATACCGAGCTGGCATGAGTGCTGCCAATGTCCGCAGGGCGTTGAGACCCGTGGATTACGAGATATTGGGTATAATCTACGACCTCTGTGGCTTTTGGGCTTTCTATTGAGTGGCGTGGCAGATGAACTGAGCAAGCAGTTCGAAAGAAACGGGATCTGTGTACGCAACACCATTGAGTTGACTTCATACGAATTTTCACTAGACATTTCTAATCTTGGAATACATTTATCAGGATTTACATTTATACAATCTTCGTGCACAATACTGGTGGCATGATGTAATGACAGTGACATTTCTGAACCACCATTTATTGTCGTTGGTGACGCAATTAGTTGCATACATGTTCCCACGCCGCACTTATTCATCTTCGTATAGCAGGCGGGCATGGTACTGACTCCCACGGTTTACACTTTTTCCGACCTTATCATCTGTATGACGGATCCGTGCCGTATTTTCATGGCTTGGTAGCATAGATTTTGCGGGAATGCATATCTCCTATTGGATGCATGGCGTATTAAACCGTGTTCATCATATCACTCCACAGTGCAATCGTTAATCGTACTGTCCCTGCTGAGCTGAAATACTGTTATTTCGTCCCACAAAAGAAAACATGGGGATGATCCGCATTGATGTGGATTGTGCGCTTGTAGGCTTTATGAGTAGTTCGCTTTTTGTGCCCCGCAAAGCGGAGGTAGACGGAAGTACACCGGTCCATTGGAATGATATCACAGACGTTAGGCAACAGAATGGCTCATATATCACAGCCTACACCAGCAGTATGAGGCGCTAGCCTTGTGAACGCGGAAATCGGCCCAAGCCACACCTAGCCAGATAGCACAGTAAACAAAGCCAAAACAAAGATAAGGGTGTGTCGATTGCCTAGCCAGAGCTGGTGATTTTAATGGCGTGAAAAGTTGTTAGACCATGGCATTATACAGTTGAAAGCTTTTGACTGTTGTAGAGGCATATGAAAGAGCTTCGTCACCTACGTATTTACTAGTTCCTTATATAGATGCCCTGGCTAGCGAATACCCAAATGAAGTCGTTAAAACTCGATTTTAATGTTGATGTAACGCTCGTCTTGACCTTTGATAGGTGGTTGGGTTGTAGGTCATTCTACCATGCTGTTTTATGCCTGGAGACAGCAATCATACACGTCCCGTTGGCAACGTGAGCTTCGGGTTACTCGTAATAGTAGCCGAGTTAAGTCCATATTGCATACGCTCAGCCATATCAGCGCAGCCTTTCTTATAGTGAAAGGGTGCCGTATGTATATAAACCAATGCTGTGAACCTCTTACACTCGTTGAAAGCGCACTGGCATTTTGTAATGCTGAGGCGTCAAAGAGAAACTAGCACTCATAATCGAAATGGCAGATAAGATTGTTGTACTCGCAGTTATATTTTATCTACTTTATTTTGGCTGAAGTTTGTTAGAGGAGTGCAACAGCTTGTTGCACTCTCGGTCCAATTGCAAGAAGTTGTGGCCACCGACAAATCGCACTTTACCTTCCATCTTCAAATCGAACATGCAACGCTTTATGCTGACGAGTTTGTCATCTAACATGCTAGTGGCGGTCTCATCCTTTGAGAATTTGACGCCCATATTGCCCAGCAGTTGTGTGAGATGGGCAACAAATGACGTCGCTGATACCGGCGGGATCACCGCAGTAACCACAGATTCCTTCTCCTGTGGTATCACGACATGGATCAACGCGGTGGTGGATTGCTTTATTTCTTCCTTGAGGTACTGGTTGAAGTGCTGGAACTCGTTTTGGATGTTCACTCTATACACGTTCAACGACGACCTGCAAAAAAATCTCCATTATGGGAAGAAAGACGGCAACAAAAATAGCAGTGGGACATCAATAATGCGATATGTATTCGGTCAGCGCGTGTAGCACCCCTCTAATTACCGCAGTTACATAGTAATACAGAACACCGAAGTAGATGGTGTAGTAAGTAGCTCAGTTAGCAACTCAGTAAGGGTTCGGTTACATCTGTATAATAAGCATACATACCCTTCAACTGCTGCGATCTCTGCGAGCAGCGCGAAAAGCAGGTTCAATCTGTTTGACTCCTCATCGTTGCTCACCGGTCGGTAATAGACTACAATAGTGGGCTTGTTGACGTGTACCAATTTGGCAAGCTCCTTCGCCCCTATCAGTTTTATCGGCGATGGAATATCCAGGATATCTTGTGTTTTCTGAACTCTGATGACCTGTTCGCTCCTGCAACACCTGTAAATCACAGTTAACCAAGGCCCACCTCCTTCGCCCATTAAGCGCGAATAGCGTTACAATCCCAACGGGTACAGCCAGAGCGGTAACGAATGCGATAACGGGTAATCCTAGATATTAATGAAAGCCCTAGAGAGGCGACATACCTATAGAAATGCCCTGATATATACGTTCCCCTCGTGTTAGTCTCCTTCCATCAACCAAAAGCGCATCCGGATCGCTTGGTAACGCATACCTCGACAATCTATTCTTTTCTTCGGGAAGTGCTACTTGGAAATTCGCGTTGCGGTCCTTAGTCAGCCGCGTCAGCTCCCATCTTGTCTGCGAAGCCGCAAACCTCGCGCAGACGCCAACGCGGCAATTAAACATGACCTTTTGGGCGTACAACTATCTGCCGTCAATGTTACAGTTGAGACAAGATTCTAAAATATACCTTTGCGTGAAAAAGCAGCAACGGCATATGCGTGCCACACACGTCGTCATTGTATATTTTCGGAATATTAGCATAGTGGAACGTTACACACCGCGTACCATCCGCTCACTTCTACCGCCTATATGTGTGGGCGCGACCAGCTTATAGCTGCCGCTTTTGAGTGGAATCCCCCGCTAGAATGGCAAGCGAGAACAACAGCGTCGTCTACATCGCCGTCATCGGAGAACAGGTGAGACCTTCCTAAATGACTTTAATCATATTCTTAGCGGGAACTGATTGTTTCTCGCGCGTTCGGTAACGCTGACGAGGCGCAGCTGCAGCTGTCTGCATATGCTGCCATGGACGTTATTCAGGAAAAAAGTAGGCTTACATGACGGCATTGCAAGTTGTTTCAGTGGTCATCCAACACTATTCGGCCACGCCGGGAGAGCAGTCCGACCCTTATTTGGGGTTCATTACTCCCACGCTGCTTGGTGAGGAATTTTACAAGGTGCATGCCTACATGGCCGCCACTGGCTTCACCATTATCGCAATTTTCGACGAGCATGACGCTCCCCTGGAGTCAATCAGACAGGTACTTCAGTGACTCCACACGCGAATTGCTATGCAGCTTTTCGAGAAGATACATATCCTCTTTGCGAACACAATGTGCAACCCATTTATGTCCATGAAATTTCACTCGCCGAGGTTTTACGCCGGTTTAGGTAGGCAAACAGCCATAACATTCGACACATTGCAGAGAAAATCGCATCGGAGTTCACCACATCGCACTAACAAAAGAATACAGCTTGAAGGGCGCCACCTCGTAAGGCACGGATTACCTCGCAATACAAAAGACCGCGTTTGCATGTCACAGACGGCGCAAAAACGCTACTACTGTTGTAAGGCCTTATTAGACAAACGTATACACTAATGCCTATCTTTATTCTCCAACCGGACACGCCGCGCCGCCGAAATCGTCGGTGTGCATAGTGCGTGTTTAGCATTATTACGTGTTATAGTTTATGGCATCGAGTTGCCGGAGCTTCGAGGATGCACACATCTGGTATTTACAGGAATAAAAGTGTGTAACTAATAAAAAGGAATATGGTTTGTTTTTGAAGTTATTAGTGAAAGAGCCCTCTGCAGCACAGCACTTAAGCGTATGCCATAAAAGTCCGTGTTTATCGCCAAGAATGCCTCGATCTGATGAATTCACCGTTGCACCATAGATTATAAATATATTGGATACACGAGGACTTGCCAACACGCTCCTCTTATAGTTAAACATCGCATGATGGTACGGTGCGTTGTGTGTGGCACGTGCACCTCATCGGTTGTCTGGTGCCATAACATATTGGAACACTGTCGGTTTATTCTTTCGTTGGCATTCAACTCCGGCTCCGAGTAAAAATTTTACTGCAACATTATCTGCTAACTCCCAAACTTTATTCGAGATGTCGTGCATTATGAGGTGTAACAACCCTGAGCAGGAGGTCGTCATCGACGAGCAGACGGGACTCCCGGTGAAGAACCACGACTACGTAAGTCTTTAGGTGTCCTTCATGCGTGTGTTCGATCGCATTCCGCCAATCTATCTCGTATATTTCTTTTTTGCTCTATATGGCGCAGAGAACGGCGCACCTTAAAGGCGGCTCCATTCGTGGTGTTAGATAGCTTGATTTATCTCACACACATGTATTCTCAGACCGAGAAGCCCTCTGTGATCTACAAGCCGTCAACCATTGTTCCTCAAAACACCATCCTGGAGATCCCAGCTCCCAAGGAATTGGAAACCCCTATTACCTTCAACCCTACCGTTGACACCTTCTTTGACGCTGACACTAACAAGATTGTTGTTTTGATGGAATTGCCCGGTTTCAGCCACAACGATATCACCGTAGAATGTGGATTGGGAGAACTCATCATTAGCGGCCCCCGCCCCAAGGACGAGCTTTACGAGAAATTCGGCAACAACCTCGACATCCACATCCGTGAGCGCAAGGTCGGTTACTTCTACAGGCGCTTCAAGCTCCCCCACAACGCTTTGGACAAGTCGGTCACCGTCTCCTACTCTAACGGTATCTTGGACATCAGGGTTGAGTGCTCGCAATTCTCCGAAATGCGCCGCATCCAGATCGACCCCAAGGCTTAAATGTTTAATGTTCATTAGCCTCCTCTGCTACTTCTATGGATTAAAACTTGCGCAATTGATCGAGACCCGAGTATCAATTACATTAGCATCTTGCGACGTGTCTCCGCTTTTAGTGCACATGACTGCTTTTATCGACTATGTCGCTAATATAGAGAGACATAACTTCCAATAGTCTTGGTGCTTGTTGAGCTTGGTGTGGCATTGAACTGCATTACGTGTCTGCGTTTTTTGTTTGTTGCTGTCACGTCCAACGTCAGCCTGCTCTATTCGCCATCATGAATACCGCATTCGTGACGGATTCGTCCTTGTTCAATAACGTCATCCGTTAAGGAGACAAAACTCTCATTATATCATACAACCAAACGTCTTGTTACCGAAAACATCAACTGTTAAAACATAAGGCATGCGGGCGCGGAGGTCTTCTGGTGCCTCAGTCTATACAAACGGCGGGTCCAACCTCAATGTGCGATGTCCTTGTCTTACAGATACGGTCTATTAGACCGTACTCTAGCGCTTCCGCGGGCCTCATGTAGTTGTCACGATCACAATCTATCTCGATTTGCTCGATGGGTTTCCCCGTGAAATGCGAAAGGTGGGCATTGAGGATCTGCCTAATTTGCAGGATCTCGTTGGCCTGAATCTTTATGTCGCTCACTTGCCCATGGGCACCACCTAAGGGCTGGTGTATCATGATGCGCGAGTTCGGCATTGCACAACGCATTCCTTTGGTGCCACTGGCAAGCAGAAATGCGCCCATTGATGCCGCCTGCCCCAGGCAGATGGTTTCAACCGGTAGGTCTAGGCTCTGCAGCATGTCGTATATGGCCATTCCTGTGCAAATGTCGTCTTATGGAGGTGAATACCCACCTGCTGATACCGCCCCCCCCGGAGAGTTTATGTAAAAGGTAACCTTCTTGGCGGGATCCTGCTCATTCATACGAAGCAATGCACTTATGATGCGATACGCTGTGCGATCAGTCAACTCCCCGTTGAGGAAGAGCGTTCGGGTGCGAACATAAAAATCGTCTAGCTTGGAGTCATAGTCCCCCTGCGTCTAGTGAGCACGTAACCTTTCAGACACACACACCCGTGTTGACGTGTACACATCAGTTTTTTGGTCAAGTAAATGTGACCTTCGTAGAGCGAAACTGTTGCCGGAAGGGCAACGCAGTGAGGAATCTCGTCTCCAGCTGACTGGCGACCGCCAGCCAGCAGTAGTCGGCAGAAGGTCAGCCACTGACAGAATAACAACCAGCCATATCCCCCAAACCATGCTACCGATATTTGAGACAGCAGTGACGGTGTCGTCGGTCTGACCGCCCACGGCGCGAAGGCGCGTGTAGATTCTTCTGCCAGTCACAACAGATGAAACACTATGGCAGATTCTCGCGTGGCATCAAGTAGGTAACAGCAAACATCTTTTATAAAATTTTCTAGCTCCGGAGCTGCGACAGGCGGCGGCCGCGTGCCGCATTCGCCTCGGATCCGAGGCCGATGTGGACCTAACAAAAGTGGAGCATTATACAGCCATGATCCGAGGCAAAGACGCCTGCAACGACACTCAAACTCTGGAAAATGCGCTGGACACCATTGAGGTACGCTATTAAGCACCAAGCTCTATGTTTTGATGTCGCGATGTCTTGCCGAAGAGCGTTGTCACGGATTGGTGACAACGGAAATGCACCAGTGTGTATTCCCGCTCATCAGCCACACGTAAATACAGCATAAAATGCAATGCAGCGCATCAGGACTTTGAAGAATAAGCTCAGTTTTGGAGATTAGCGCAGCAGAGCGCTACACCCGTCGAAGGCTCCGCGCTAGCGGCGGCCATGATTTTGTTGGCTGGTATTGACAGCCGGAGCGCAGCCCCGTACCCGCCTGACACTGGCATGAACCATAACGTAGTTTTCATTTACCTGTGTACAGTTCGAACTTGTTGCATAGGTGGTAGCCTTGCGGGCACGACTTCATGGCTTCTTCCTTTCTGCACATTTGTGTCATATGTCGACGCTAGGTCTACCCGCAGTTGATGCAGCCGATGGCGATGTACGACGGCTCGACGCCGCCAAGAACGGCGGAAGCTTCGGCCTGTACCTCGTCACGTCCCAGAGCCTGTTGAAGGTTGCATCAGAAGGTGTTGTCGTCTACCAACCTTGGTATAGAATGACAGCTCGTCTATGAGCACGGGCATGTCACACTTGCCCAGGTACGGCGATGCTCCAACGTAAAGCGGTAGCGGGTTGTATCGCACGTATGCTGCGACGTCGTTGGCTGATAAGCCTCCTAGCGTACCTTTCGTTGAATGGACACAGTCCACGATGCCTGAATTCCTGTCATGTGTTGTCATCAGCTACGTACCGTTTATATACAATGTCAACGATGATTTGTCTTTCACCACGGCGATATGGTACCACTGGTGTGGTTGAAGCCTGCAGTTAGACTCGATCTCCAGGGTTTGGTTGGACTCGACTGACAGCAGGATACGCACGCGGCCGTCCTTCGGGTTAACGGCTATTTCCGGCGCGCATTCACTCACTGCGGCCGTGCGAATGCCCTTGTGGACGAGCGGGCAGAAGTCGTTAAGTTTATCGGCGCTTGCAGCTGACTCCTCGTCCTTTAGTAAGAACGCAAATAGCACCACGCTGAACTCATTTGACCGCAACAGCTTGGTATCTGGAAGGTACACAAAATTCTTCCGGAAGTAGGCTGAGCTACCGAAACCGCTGAACCCCGAATGCCCTGCCACGGGGCCTATGCCGTGGTTGCCGAAACCACTGGAATCCACAGCAACCTCCTCGTCGAAACGGTAGTGCAGCACTCGGCCGTCCCTTCTTGCGCTGGGCAACAGGACTGTCGCTCCGTCCTTGATGCAGATCGAGGAGTCCACGACAACGTCACACCCCTCGAATCCGCTGCCGATGCACAGGGAAGCGCAGAGCACCGCGCACAGCCACAGTGTGCTAGCCATGACGGCCGACGTGCCCTGGCATCCGAAAAATTAACGGCATAAAATCCTACTGCGCAGAATCCACGGAGTCATGGAACAAATGTGCACAGCACACATCCTTTAAAGCAGCCGCTTTGCACCCGTGCTTACGTCATGGCACAAGAATGAGTGTGTCCATCTACCAGTGCGCTACCGCCAATAGGCGCTGTGTAAGACACGCGATGCGTGATTGGAAGGTAGGGGTCCCCAATCAGCTTTCGACGTTCCTTTTGAACGGAGATATATCACATGGCTCTTTTATTTGTGAATGTGACTCCAAGCAGCTGGATTGTTGAGATGCGCCTCACGGTACAGTCAACAACGGTCGGTCACCGGAAGCGTGCACAGTCTGGCCGCATAATGTGTAATTTTGCAGCCACGAAAAATAGTATATACCACCTTTCAACGTCGACGTGGAAGGTTGAGGTTAAATGATGCGATCAGTACACGTCGGCAATTCGACTCCTGTGGGGAGGGTTTCTTAGGAATCTCGGCAGAATCCGACCTTTTGCGGACCTCAGAGGGCTCAGAATGGACCAGGAGCTGTATGATGAGTTTGGGAACTACATCGGTCCCGTCCTTGACGAGGATCTCGGCGGTGGGATCGACTCCGACGGGACCGCCGATGACGCCGAGGCTGCAGAAACGGTAACGCGCCTCGGCCCCGCTGACGTCGTGGAATACGATGCCGGGACCGTGGAGGAGTCTCCATTCAAGGATGTGGAGGTCTTCATCCAGCACGAAGACACCCAGACCATCGAGGAGCCCATTGTGAAATCGCAGGAGACACGCGTCGAGCGTGTAAGCTACATCAAGCGCCTGGACGAGGATATCAGCGCGAAGAGCTTCGACATCCTCGAGGAAAGGCTGCCGAGGAACCGGTTCAGCTTCGGCTTCATGACCACGTTGATGCGCCAGCCGCAGTTCATACGCAACATATGCATCTGCGGCGATCTACACCATGGGAAGACTACGCTGGTGGACCGGCTCATCAACTACAGCCGGTTCCCCGATCCAGACGCTACAGAGGGGTTCGACCCCAGCTTCGTACGGTACACTGACACGCGCCTCGACGAGCAGGCACGCGAGATGTCGATCAAGGCCACGCCGATCTCGCTGGTGTTCCAAAGCGAGACTGGAACGGCGAGGAACAGGGCTGTGAAACACAAATCGTATCTCTTCAACATATTTGACACGCCAGGCCATGTGAACTTCATAGACGAGTTCACGCACGCGCAGAGCGTATGCGACGGCTGCGTGTTTGTCGTGGACGTGCTAGTGGGCCGCACTAGCACCCTCGAGCTGATGCTCAAGAGCGCCATCAAGAACGGCACCAGTTTCTGTGTTGTGCTCAATTGCATCGACCGGTTGGTGCTGGAGATGAAGATACCGCCGTCGGACGCGTACCTCAAGATACGGCACACCATCGCAGACCTCAACGAATTCGTCAAGCAAACGTGTTCGCTGACTCAGAAAGATCCAGTTGTGCTGAGTCCACTACGCGGCAATGTGCTCTTTGCATCGTCTAAATACGGCATCTTTTTTACACTGGAATCGTTCTCGGCCATTTACGCTCCCGACGCAGACCATGTTCGCCTGGCGAAGGCGCTCTGGGGCGACACCTTCTACAACCCCGCCACGCAGGAGTTCACGCCGGATGAGGTTGTCACGGCAGAACCTGATGGAGAAAACGAAGGTGAGGTCCAACTGAAGCACTCATTTGTGGCATTTGTGCTGGAGCCGCTATACAAGATCTTCTCCCACGTGGCATCAGACGAACGAGAGGAACTGACGCCGATCCTGGATCAGCTGGGTGTTTCTCTGCGCGCCAGCGATTATCGTATGGACACTACGAAGATTTTGCAGAAGGTTTTTGCTGCGCTCTTCAACGATCCCAGCGGCTTCGTTAATTTCGTCGTTGAGAACATACCGCCGCCGACGGAAACGGGTGCACAAAAGCTCCAAACGCTCTACACTGGCGACCGTGGCACCGAAATCTGTTCAGGTATCGAACAATGTGATGCGGATGCGCAATTGATGATATTCGTTGCCAAGAACTACTACCGCCTCGACACCAATGCCTTTGACGTGTTCGGCAGAGTATTGTCGGGGACCATAACCAAGGGCCAGCGTATAAAGATCTTGGGAGAGGGATATACCCTAGACGATGACGAAGATATGCAGGTGCGCAATGTTGGATCCCTGTGGATTGCGGAAGGCCGTTATCGCGTTGAGGTGAACTCCGTGTCTGCGGGCAACTGGGTCCTCATATCGGGTATAGACCTCTGCTCCCACAAAACGATGACTATCACGTCGACTGAGGACCCTTATGGCGCCGAAATATGCCGCATACGGTCGAGCATACTCGCTTCTGAGCCCGTCTTTAAGGTTGCCATCGAGCCCCTCAACCCTTCGGAATTGCCGCGCATGGTGGAGGGGCTGCGTAGGATTGACCGCAGCTACCCCGCCATAAAGACGCGTGTCGAGGAAAGTGGCGAACACGTAGTGCTGGGCACGGGAGAGTTGTACCTTGATTGCGCGCTGCATGATCTGAGGAGGCTCTACGGTGACCTAGAGGTGAAAGTGTCGGATCCCGTGGTCCGATTCACTGAAACCATCATGGAACAATCGGCAACCAAGTGCTTCGCGGAAACGCAGAACCAGATGAACAAGCTGTGTTTCATTGCGGAGCCGCTGGAGCAGGGCATCGCTTCGGCCATTGATGAGGGCCTCATCAGCCCCGAGTTGCCTGACAGCGAGATGGCCGCTCTATTTATGGAGCACTATAATTGGGATATACTTGCAGCGCGTTCCATTTGGTGCTTTGGCCCCGACAATGTCGGACCCAACATTCTACTGGATGACGTCTTGCCAAGCGACCCCGCGAAGGCCGCTGTGGGCACTGTGCGCTCTGCCCTTATGCAGGGCTTTAACTGGGCCTGTAAAGAAGGGCCGTTGGTGGAAGAGCCCTTTCGCAATACCAAGTTTAAGCTGATAGGTGCCGAAATCGCAACAGACGCACCTATGCGCAGCGCCGGGCAGATAATCCCGGCAACCAGACGTGCTGTGTACGGAGCGTTCCTGCTATCCACACCGCGTCTCATGGAGCCCATCGTTTTTTCTGAGATCATCTGCCCTGCGGACTGCGTTGCTTCGGCCTACTCGATTCTGTCGCGACGTCGTGGCCACGTGCTGAAGGACGTGCCGAAGCCTGGGACGCCATTCTACGAAGTTCACGCATATCTCCCTGCGATAGAATCGTTCGGATTCGAGACTGATCTGCGCGTCCATACGCACGGTCAGGCGTTTGGCATAACATTCTTCGACCACTGGAACATTGTGCCGGGCGACCCGCTAGACAAGGTATGTTTCCTATTCGTGTTTTTATTAATGCCACATGCCGTTCATGAGCAAAGTGCGTGTTATTAGTGCCACATTCCGTTGCCTGGTGCCTTATGCGTGAGTGCCTCATGCCACCGCCAAGGCGTTACTGTGGCAACTAAAAGATCTTTTCGTTACGTATGCACGACAGTCCGACAAAACACATCGTTGTGCAGTCTATCATGCTGAAGACACTAGAACCAGCTCCAATTCCGCACCTGGCACGCGAGTTTATGCTCAAGACGCGCCGGCGCAAGGGGCTGGCGGAAGACATATCCATCAACAAGTACTTCGACGCCACTATGCTCCAGGCACTAGGGGACGAACTAGAACAGTTCTACTGATAGCGCTGAGGCGATAAATTTGACTGTAAAATACAGCTGCAACACAATATTAGCGTCAGACCTAACGGCATCCCCAGTGTGGCTGCCTTCGCGTCCACTCACGACTGGAATACGCCGGAAAAACGGCGCGCATCGCAATAACAGATGCTGCTGCGGCGCCAGTTGCTATACAATCTAGATGGTGTGCTAACAATGGATTTTCAGGTGTTAGACGTCTGCGGACAGCAGACAGAATCATGAACATCAATGTGTGCTAGCTGCGCCGCTAGCGGCAGAACAGACAGTGACCACCACAGCACGCAAAATAAACGTGGTGTGAACGGCATCACTACATGGGTTGTGCAGGAAACGTGGGTTTGCCGCCGAGGAAGGCAGGTACAGCAACACCACATTTTGGGGCCTGTGACCAAGCGTCCAGCCTGCTGTCATATCAGCTCCACGGACACCGGCTGCAATTTTCTCACACCCCTCAAACATGTGAAAAGAGAGGTCTGGAGGGTGTGGTTGAGATAAAGAGACGCTACCGACGCACCGAGCCCTTCGATACGTTCCCGCGGCGCGCGCGCCTCCCCAAAGATGCGGGTACGAAACTTCAACATATACCTGCGGGAGCAGAGGCTGCTGCGGCAGGGCGACCTCAGCGTGCTGCGTGGGATGCGTGTTGGGATTGACGCAGTCTACTTCTTTCGCTCACTCAAGGGGATATGCGACCCGCTCAGCGAAGTAGGCGGCAGCCTTCCTCCTACATTCATCAGCGTTGTTGAGGAGAATGTCGAGCAGCTGGAACGCCTCGGCATACAGCCGCTCTTTGTATTTGAAGGAATGCAGTCCAAATCGCACGTCCTGCTGTCTGCCCAGCTCATGACCCTCAGCGTGGCTGAGGGTTGGCTATCATACGCACGCGGCGATATGCAGAACGCGATAGGGAAGTTTTTGCAGAACAGCCTGATCTTTAGTGAAGACCTGATCCAGTTGTTGATTCACCTTCTGCGGTCGAAGGGCAAGGACACAATCCGCTGCCCCTACTTCGCCGCCGCTCAGCTCAGCTACTTCTGCTCGGAGAATGTGGTCGATGCCATACTGGGGCCGCCTTCGCTGATGCTCTTTGGCATTCCCAGGTGCATCATTTCCGTGGACTTCCAGAAGGATTCATTCGAGTGGGTGGAGCTCAGGGACGTCCTGGCGCGTTTGGATATCACTGCGCCACAGTTAGTGGACGTATGCTTGCTCGCAGGAACTGAGCATTGTCTGAGCTTCCCATCCCAGAACGCCTTTTCATTCGCGCACTGCGTCGACATGATCAAGCAGGGACCAATAGCGAAGCATCTATGCCAGCTCCCTCAACGCGACGGGATTAACGAGTATGTAGATGGTTACTGTGTTACTAAGGCGCTCATCACTTACCCTCTTATTTTGGATAAGAAGGGATCCGTGCGCCCGCTGCAAAAGGGAGCTAAGGTCCCCATGGACTACCACAAGATAGTAGGAACCAGGATCCCTCAGGCCATATACCACTTGCTGGGCCAGGGGTTGATCGGTCCCAAAATACCGTTTGCGCTAGCAACCGGCGAGTGGGTAGATGATTTTAGCCTCAACGATTCAATAGAGCTGAGGGAGCTCATACAGGACAGTAGGGAGTATAAGTGCAGGGCACTTGGGCTCGCAGTGTTCAAGCTTGACGCCGCATACCAGGCACGACAGATTCGGTTCCAGGGCCATGTTGCGTTCATTAAGGGTCATCCGCCCATCAAGCAGAATTCTATTGCTGTCATACCGAACACCTGCAGCACTCGCATGCTATCGCAGCACGCCATGGGCGACTTCTGCACCGAGATAGCTCGGCAGAACAGGGGCAGGGTTGATGTGGAATTCATGCTCACGTGGCACCTCAGACTCTCCTCGAAGCTGCTGAAGGAGGTAACTCCGAGCATGGCGTCAGATGCTATTGCCAACATGGCCATCGTGCCCGGTGGAGCGCAGAGGCCTTCGGATTTGGATATCTTTAACGCCAACATGTGGTGTATTATGCTAGATAATTTGGGTTACTTCTCGCGCATGGGTAGCGCTACAGCTTTTGGAAAAGTGCTGGCCAACTCAGGTCTGGGAATGACTGGGCTATTATTTATGGAGACCATGAAGTTTGGACTCTTCACTGGTGAGGAATTCGAGGTGCCTGCAGACGTGGTTGTCCCGCATGAAGTATTGAGCAAATACAGAGGTAACCTGCCGCAGGACGTATTCGAGGTAGTGAACTTGGTTTCTCGTGTGGCCTGCCTCCATCCGGCCGTCGTGGACAGCACTCACTGGCGGGGAGAGATCGACTACATGATATCGAGCTACATCTGCAACCTCAAGGTGCTGCGTCGCAGCATCAATTACCTAATCGAGGGCACAATTATTTTGATGGGCGGTATAGTAAATGGCGGTGAGGCACCGTATTTGTACGAGACGAATTGTTTCATGGCGAACTTTGTAAAATGGCTGCTTATATACGACCATGAGCATCGCGACGGCCACGGGGGCCAGAATATGGCTGCGGTCGCTAAGAGCAAATTCCCCAACTTCGTTGACATCCAGAAGAACCTCCAGGCTTTCGCTGAATTCTGGACCAAGATATCGGCGATCGTACACGAATTGCAGAAGTACGTACACATTGAGGCGCTGGGCACGTTCGACCGTGGTACTAAGATGCTGCAGGCCGCGTTCGTGCACTTTGGCGTCTCTTTACCACTCCACACACCTTAATGGAAGTGCATGTTTGCACTTCAGGCACTTGACTCACACACTTCGTTGCGGTACACAACATTAATACTATAGTAAACGCGTGTTAATTTGCCAAATAATCTTTGGGTGTATTACATGCCAGCATACACGGTATCTGTCTCTTTACCTCTTGTGTTTTGCGCCTGTTCCCAGGTGACCGAACATGGGTTTTACTAAGGGTGATGGAAGTTACTACCTTTACAATGACGTACACCCGGCGTAGCATCTGAGGAAGGTTTTCAAACCCAACTACATTCCAGGCGTCAAATTCATGGCTGTCAATAGACACATTGTGTGACAAGCATCGATTTGAAAAACAGTGAAAAGGCATACAAGGCAATATAATCAAGCAGATGTAACACACGATTTGACTACTGCTTATTAAATGTTGTTGCATATCTTCATCAGTCATCGTTCAACTGGCACTATCTCGCAGATGCAGTTCGGTTAAATATTGAACCGGTGGCTGACGCGCTTCATGTCGTTCTCACCACGCTTGTACGATGGCATGCGAGGTAGTTGCAGCTCCTCGTAACAGTGGCCATGTAGCACTCCAAGATGAGTCTCCAACTTGAGCCCGTCGGAAATATATGCAAACGCACCCAAACGCCGAGCGGTTCCCAATAAGGTACGTTAAATTTGTTGAATGGCGTATGCAGTTAGGCTCTAGCGTTGAGAAAAGTGACGTTCATTCTGCTCCTTGCACCTGCTTAAGCTGAAAAGCAGCACTGATGGAAGCTGAAGCCACCAACGAGACGGATTGATGCTCCTATGCTTGCGCGTGCTTAGATAGGCGTATAGCCCATGTAGTCAAGTCGAGTACGGCAACTGTACACACCGCCGATTTCGTGCGTGTATTCCGTCATGCCACCTTCTCTTGGGTTTTAAAGCGGTAATGACGACGGGTCCTGTACGTAGGATACGACGTTCTTGATTACGGGGAGGTCCAAGACGAAGCTGAAGGGTGTGACCCTAATGTACGATATAATATTGGGGAGGAAAGCACCGAACAGGAGGTACAGTCCATACGTCTCCAGAATGATACCGATTTTCGTCCATCCGATCAACGCCACAAATATCCCTATGAAGTAGATTGCGCTTCCCTTGGCTCTGTATGAGCTGGTAAAGAAAGCGATGAATTTGCTGGTTCCTAGTATGAAGTACAACCCCGAGACCATGAAAATATTTGACACGTTGAGGAATAATGGGTCAAATAGCAGCAGAATGCTGATGCATCCTGTGATGAAGCCCAGACAGAGCAGCGCGAAGCCGAGGCGCAGATTGCGCTCCATCGATTTCGGCGCCGCGCACGAACCTCTAATTAAAAAATCGACCCACACCTCAGCACCGAAAATGGGCCTGGTGTGTCACCCAGTCATCCCAGGCTCATATCTGTGGTGAGTGGCCGGTAGCGGCCCCCGCATAGCCCCGCGTGCCACGTCAGAAAGACCACGTTCCAAAAAACAAACTGTTGACACACCGTATCTATATACTTTAATTGTGTTATTTGCTTGGCGCGCACGGCACGCCTTATTTGTAGTCGTCAGTCGTATCGTACCAACTGCTTGGATCGCCTTACGAATTAAGGTGTGAGACTCCAATAGCCTTCCGATATGTGTGCTTCAGTGTCACGCATCCTGCTTGATGTTCTCCCGCCTGACTTTCTCCATTGCGATAAAGAAGGTGGCTTCGCCTCCGAGGCGCGCTTCCCATGTGCCTGTACGTTTAGCCGACAGATTTTTTTTCGCGGTCTAAACCGAATGTCGCGATATTTGGGGACATCACTGTCTTTTAGCGTCACTTTTGTCACAGTGTGTCGTTTTCACTGTATCTGTCTTCCAGGTTCAGCGTAGGACTGTCCGGGTCTGACTGCGCATCGAACGTTATGATGAGCCCTTTGCGTTTGTTCGGATCTAGTCGCGGGTCCCCTCCTGCTATTGGCATGAGCCTATCGAGTTTGTCATCAATCACGTTAATGCGTTTCCAGAGGTACTGCAATTCGAGCTTGGCGCCCTTCGGGTAGACATCTGACGTGTACTCGGGTATGGGCGCTGAGACAAGTGCATATTTTTGCTGTACTTCACTAACGGTTGAAGAAGTTGTTGGTCACACTCGTCGACGTGTCGCCTCTGTAGTTGGTGGCGCCTAAAATGCGATGAGCTCTTGGTGTGCGTCTTGGCGGCACGCAAAAAGACCATAACTTACCGTGCGTTGTTTGGTTCTGGTAGGACTGCGATTGATCCACCTTACTGTTATTGTCCGATTGCGTCGAGTTGTTTGTGTTTGTATTGGTGTTTGTGCTGTTCGTATTGTTGGTGGAGGTGCTGTTCGCTCCGCCGCTGCTACTGTCAGCCCTCTGCGTTGATATGAGCCGCTGGCAATCGGCAATAAACACCCTTCTACTGTCATTGACGTACCTTTAAGTCGGCTACTGGTACGTTGTCCATGGAGCGCTCTGACCCTCCCTTTACGTCGTCCTTATTTCCGCTGCGCTGTCATGATTCCTTCGTGTGTACGTCGTACCTAGACTCGGATGTCGCAGGCGCTGTAGCATCTGGTGCATTGATTCCCCCTTGGTTTGCGTCGTGTTCGTATACTTTGCCCATGTGCGAGAACTGCAGGTCGCCGCTGTGCGGTGATGTGTAGACGTCTTTGTAAGCGTGTAGCGCCGCGGCTTTATGAGCCGACAGCAGCGCAGCGAGTGTACCCATGAGGGTGACCCGCTTCATTTTTTATGTGCGTTAAAGAGTCGTTTGTCGGCGCCAACGGCGGGCTGGTGGCGTTATCGCTGTCGTGCGGTGTGTATGATATCCCCGTTGGACAAAATGCCTTGTAGTTACAGCAAAGATTATTAGACAGTGTTGTTTTGATTTTCTGTTTTAAAATTGGGAGTGTTTTGACCGCGTGGCGTGAGAGGAGTAATTTGCGTCTCCGTGGCATCCCCTCATTGTCCCCCGCCTCTTGGGTGCCTCGCCACCACAGTGTGTTTTTAGAGGAACCCTAGAGCATGCCTCTGTAGAGTTCCAGATTCCACTACTGGATACGTGGAACTATATTAACCGTGAGTTCACGTTATCATAAAGCGTTCTGCCGTGTTGTCGCATCGGTCCTTTTACCGGCGCCATTAGCGTACTGACCGTCTCGCGCGCATACCCAAGCATAATGGCTCGCTACATCGAAGCCAACGGCCACAGATGCGAGGATGACGAGGATCCTCCCAGGAGCGCCGACTCCCCTGCAGAGTCGCGAGACTCTGGTGATACCTCAGCTTCCCGTACTCACACATCTGCGGTTTGCACGAAGCTGGATTTTTTGAAGACCAAAACACAAATGGCCTTTGCATCGCTGAAGGAACGCTTCCAGAAGAAGAAGACAAACTGAGCCTGTGGCACGCCTCGCGCATCAGGCGCATCAAACATCTTCTTTAGGCCTCCTTAATGTATTTTTTAGTACATACTTGTTTGCGTTTGTGAGGTGCCATATTCCCGTCTATTTGTGTTTGCTACTACCTCGTGGACCTAGTCTTGCTGGCAAACTCCGACGAGTACGAAGATGGCCCCGGTGCCTTCTGGTTTTGTTCTAATCGCCATCTCACCGCTGGAAGACAGCCTCGATGTTCAAATGCTGCACGAGACCCTTGTTCCGTTTGGCGGTGCCGTTGTGGCTGAGCCGGAGGTAGATCTCCAGCCGTATGTTGTTGCCTTTCTGTTATAACACACTACTCAGGCATGAAGTACTTGCTAGGATTCCAGCAGGTAGCAATCCCGCTGTGTTGCCCGAGTACTCGATTCGGAGCATTGATGTGTAAGCTTAACGTGTGTTAGATGTGTAACGTAATTGCGCAGCCCATGCCGGAACATCAATGATACCTCTACATGTAGTTCACGAGAAGAGCCTGGTACAAGTGCTCTAGTTGAAGTTGATGCGCAGGGTAACACGTTAGTGGTGGAATCACCGGATTCTGTAACTCCGACGCATTACAATGACATCAATGCGATATTTCCTGAGAAAGACCAGGTCGAAAGCCGTATATCATCTATCGAAATGAAGCATTCGTCACCAAAACCCGTCGATGTGGATGCGAAGATGTCTCACGTCGAACCCGTAAACCACGAGCCCGTAGCTGAAGTCGCAACGAGTCCAACGGCTACAATAGTCCCGTCACAGGTTGAGACAGCAAATGTGGTTCCCAAATGGATTCCTGCAGTGAGTGGGTGCTTTCAGATATCTGATTTGTGCAGTTGGAGCTTGAGCTGCAACGCGTCAACCGTCTAACGCCATTCCCGGGGGATGCGTTCGTTACGGACCGCAAGCCTCACGATTTGTTTTGCTTCGTTCTGTACGCAGCTTTAATGGCGGCTTTGTACCCCTTGTTTGTCTAGTACGGCAATGATACTGGACCGCATCTGCAACTAGGGGTCGGGTACTGTGGTGTATGTGTACCTCCCCCTAGGCTGTCAGATTGCCATTTCTTCCGGCTATTCGGCCGTGTCGCACGTTCTAGGCGCGAAACAGAGCGCTAATGTAGTCGTGCATTTGTCTTTGTGCCATGGCTTATGTGCATATTGCGCGGTGATTCTTACTGTTGTCTTCGTGCTGGATTGCCTCATGGAAAAGGTGTCTGCATTATGCACATCTCGGCGCGTCCAATACCCTCGTATTTTGCATCATATGTAGTTCGGTTTGGCGGTGTTATTTGCCCATAGCTGGCTCGGGTGGGCTGTTTCTCGGCATAGCCTGCGTCGCTGGCACACCCATGCCACTTAGCTGTCAAGGTGAGGCCCGTGCAACGTCAAACCGCCCATTGCGGCATCCGTATTGTACCATGAGTCTAAAATGATAGTTGTTTGTGGAATGTGTGATTCGGGCCCCGGTATTAGCACGCCCGTGCGCAGCGCTCGCTGGGAGTCTAAGCTCGGTCTTTTGGTGTCCGGGACTGTGGAAGACCCGATTTCTGTGCGTTCTACAGCGTCTATGTGCGGGTGTAAGCGTATGCTTTCTGCAGGAGAATGTGAGTCGTCGGTTGGCTCATTTGATAAAGCTGGCGTCCCCGCCTATGGAATATTACGTTCGGCGGGCGCCAGCGCTTCACGGAAGACACCGACGTGTGTCATGGATCGGAAGCCGTTTGAATTCCTTGGATGTGTAGACCTGTGTACGATTTCTACAGATGAGGAGGATGTCGTACCGAGCTACACAAAGCTGGGGGCTCCAGTACTGGGATCTGTTGATCGCGGTAGGCCCCCCGCCGCCTCAATTGAGTGGTTCAAGCACGAGGATGTTCCCGTCGAACATTCACAGACGCCGCTTCCTTGTACTCCCGCCAAGAAACCCAAGGTAGCAATCGGCATGCAATGCAGCAAAAGGCGCAATTCTACAAGCGCCTCTATCACACTGCCCGATGGCAATTCGGGGGATATGGACGCCGAAAATGGCGTACAAAATAACACGCAGTCGCTTGGTGCGAATTGTGTTATCCCCCTATCGAAGCTGTGTACGACTGCTTCAATCACAAAGGACACCTCTAGTATGCAACGGCAGAAGACGTATCGTCACAAGGTGCTTTTGAGGCTGCGCAAAAAGCAGATGCGCAACAACTATGATTTGGCGCTGTTCTTGCTGCTAAAGTTCGGTGGCACGGAGACCAACGCCGGTCGTTCGGTTTTACGAGACCAGGCGCTTCTGGAGTGTTCTGCGCTGAGTCGCTTTCGTAATGAAGACGAGCTGGCTGCGTTTTACAGGAACGAGCGTGCGGCTCTGATGGCTGCATTGAGCCGGCGTGTGACCGTGAGTACGTTATCGCAGTCCCAGCTTAATCGCAAGTTGGCGAAGCTGCTGCAGCCAACCCGGTGGTTCAACCGCCCCAAGCTGCTGCAGAAGATTGTTAGTCAAGAGCACTGGAATCCGTTTTCGATATTCGGCAGCTCGCTGCCATATGTAAGCGTGTCAGAGGTATTCGGAAATCAGCGGCGCGTCGACGCCGATAGGAAGCCGGGATGTGATAATGCTGCCGCATGCGCAGGGGGCCTTGCCTTGTGCACAGGTGTGTCGGGCAATGCTGCAGCTACGTCCACAACAGTAAATCCGGTGGGAGACTGCCGATGCGTAGGTCACAGCGCGTACACAACGCCAGGCATCAACTGGTCATGTGATCCCCTGCTGCTGGATGAGGTGCTGTGGTACTTGGAGGCTACCAACAAGTACATCGATAAGAGCCGTCAAGTATGTGCCCTGCAGCGCTGCTTCTGCGTTACTCCCAACCCCCAAATCGCATTCAACTGGAACGATGCGCGTAACCTCACGTGGCGGGAATACCGCGGCCCTCGTGCATCCATGGGACAAATGCTGAGCCCATCGGCATTTGGATACAGCATGGAGGACTACGAGAGGCTACGTAAGGAGTTTCAATCGCAGCCGTCGGATCGGGATCCAGTACAAGGGCAAGACGGCAAGGTAACAGACGAATCCGCCGCAATACACGACGGGAATATGATCGCAGAGTTGCCGTTAACAGCATCAGACATTGGTGGCTGTTCGGCGACCGTTGAATCTGGCCACATCACGGCATTACCGGCGCTTGCGAATACGCCGCGAACTCGGCGGGCGAAGATGCAACAGTTGGTATTTTATCGCAACTACTTTAAGGCGAACCAGCTTGAAGCGGATGAGCGATGATGTGTTGACTTCGGTGTCGCGAATTCACGAGTTGGCATTCCGCGGGTACTGTGCGCATCTCGCTAGCTGTGCCTACAGGTTTCTGGTCGCACACTGCCGTTGAAACAGATAAGCGCACAACATTGTATAATGATAGCAAAATGTGTTCGTTCTGGGCGTTGCTTGGTGGTGTTACTCTTGCCTCTGCCGTGTCGTGCGCTGCACATCCATGATTGAGTTGGGTAGTAACGGGGGAATTCGGACACGCGCGGCCGTCGCAATTTGTAAATAACGTTCTGATGAACTTGTTTGCTGTTGCGATTGCTCTGGGTGGACGTAGGAGGAGCTCACACTCATTACGCTTGTGGCGTGGTTTCGGCATCATCTGCGGAGGACGTTGAGGTCCCTTATTGGATATTCGTTCTAATTGATACGACGATACGTCGCAGTTGTACGTATTGGATCCTGAAGACAGGTATCGAAATTATGTTGCAGCAGCCGCTGCGTTGTAGGATCTAGGGTATGCTCCGACTCGCGACAATATAGCAGTCGACTCGTTCTTCTGCGTCAACGGATGACCATGCTGGAGGGTTCAGTTTTCATCCATGTCGAAGTCAGCAGTGTTCGGAAGGCAGCGTGGCTCCCGTGCCATTCCGTATGATGCGTTGCGGGAGCGCTTATTGGTAGTACGACGTGGAACGCGTTGTGTGTTCGCTGGTCATGCCGTATTTAGCAGCTGAAGCGCCCCGCTGTAGGTGGAAGTCGCGCGTTATGTTTGCGGCCGCTTCCGCGCGAGGACTTCGTTTCCGTTACGTTCGTCACCATGGGGTGGTTCATTGATCGCCACCTTTACTACCTACACTCGGAGGAATACGTCTCGTTTTTGACGCTGGTACACCTGTGCTGCATGGTCTTGACAGGCTATGGTGTTGTGCATCACTCCGCCGACCTGCTTGAAATCCAGGGCAACGTTTGGGCAATATGTCTGTCGGCGTTTGGTTTTCTGTGCAACCTGTGCGCAATCAGGGGCGGGCCGAACTTCTTTCACTGGTACCTCCCACTAACAGTGTTGTTGAGTTTGGCGCTTTTGTTCGTCCTGTCGGCGTACCACGGCTTGTTGATGGTTTATATGGTTCACTTGCCGCTGGTGTCGTTCACGTTGACTGGGGTTCCTTGCATTCTGCTGGTGGCGGTTAGTATGGGGGCTTTGGTTCTGGGCATCGCATTTCACACGGTTCTGGTTTCTTCACTGTACTCGGAGTATCACGGCCATTCTACGGGGGTGTTCACGCGGGATGTCACTGCGTGGCTTCGGCCGCCGACGGCGCGTGGGTTCACGATAGTGTTGCTAGACGCGTATATTGTGGCGATTCAGATCATCGTAGGAGTGTTTTGCTATCAACGCTATGTGAAGTTGGGCCAGCTGATTGCTGCATACCGTTTGAACCCTGCACGATACCTGGGTTCATTCGGCTCCATCGAGGCACTCGAGGACGATTTTTTACCGCCCAACAACCCTTCGGTGGGTGAAGCTGCGACTCCTGTGAAGAAGTCGAGCATCCCTCTGCACCATTGCCCCCCAGGAGATGCCGAAAGTGTGCCGAACACTGACGCTGACTGGTCTAGATTTGAACAAGACAATTTGACGCATGGGAAGCGCCGGGTTTCGGTGGAACACATTGAGCCCTTGCACTTCCAGAATATGGTTCGCCATGGACACCCTCAGGTCGCTTCGGAGTCCGACGGGGCGAACCACAGTAGTCCGGTCAACATGGATTTGGAGGAGATTAGAAAGCACTACAAACCCAAGCCAGGGGGTTACATCGAGTCGCTACTGCAGTCTCATTACACGGATGAAGGATCCAACAAGAGTGGAGTGTCAAACGGCACAGAGACGGCAGCGGATGGGAGCCCTGCCGAATCAACGCCGACTGCATCTCAGAAGGCTCGCAATGTAACGTGGAAGCAGCGGCATTCAGCCCATTCCAACGAAGCTCCGGAATCCGTGCAAACTGAGACTGGTGCCGTAGTACCGGAGCCGTCGGAGCGGGAGTACTGCACCGTGCGTTCTGCGGAGTCGGCTCCTAAACATCGCTCATCTATTCAAAGCTCGAAGACTATCGTTGTTTCAGGCCCAGTTGATATAGAACACGAAAGCCGGTCCTATGTCATAACGGCATTGAAAACTTTGCGGCAGTTTTCTCTCTCTTCGCATGGCGCCGTAACACCCGAGAACAGCGCCGTGTGTGCGCGCAAGGGTGACAGCAAATCGTGGCGTAGCTCGTATGACGAGTTGCGTAGTATGACCAGGACTCTTCAATTGGATGCAGCTTTGGCGTTTCATAATGAAAAGTCGTTGGTAAACTGCCAGATAGATGGCATGCGCATAGGTTCGTTTGAAGGTGCCGGATATACACAGTCCAATCGTCGGGCGCCGCACGACGCTGTGCGTTTTAACGATGGTCAGACTCGGGTGCTTTCTCCTTTAAATTTGCGTGCATCTGGGTGTATGAGTCAATTGAGTTGGTCGCACTCCGATGCAAGCTTTGCGCACCCGACGACGTCAAGTGCAACGCTGAATGCTCTGATTCGCGTGATGCCCAATTGCGGCTACCGTGTTATTGTGGCCGCGATCCGGATGGTGCATCGCATGAGCAACGTACGCGAGTTGATCGCCCACTATACCTGGACTCAGACACCGCGCATGCCAGGCACAAACGGCGTTGGATTCTTTGCGCATACGCGTATCGAGGGATGGTATGTTGAATGGATGCACGAATTCAACATGACCTTCTACAAGTGTACAATAAATGAGACGATGCTAATATTCGTGTTGGCGCTGTTATCGGATATCTTGGTGGTAGTGCGTTTGTACAGCACTTTGGAACCAGGATACGCGTCGGATCATTTCTTTTCCACTTTGCGCATAGTGATTCTTACGCTACGCTATGTTGCCTACCCTGCTGGCATGATGTTCTCGTTATGCCACCTGAAGGCAAAGGGAATTACGAAAAATGCGGTGATTTACTATCGGTCGCTCGTGATGCTCTGCATGGCCAATATGTGTCTGACCTTTATCGACTTATGGGCGTCCCTGGGTGTTTTCAAGGCCGGATTTTCGCTGCATAATTCGCTCTACGCATGCAGTGCGATGACAACGACAAGTTTGATGTTGTTTACCCGCCCTCCGATTCTGCTTTGTCTGTTCGGCATTAGTATTTTTAGCTACGCGTGTTTGTTATGGACAGCTGGATATACCGTCGGTTGGTGCATTTTGGAGCTGGTTACTCAGTTGGTGGTTGCAGCCGGTTGTTTGATGTTCTTCGTGCGCCCAGTCGACACAAACAGAAGGAAGCTTTTTTGTCTTTACACGCTCCCGTACCTCTTCTACCTCGAAGCTATGCGTTCTTGAGGCATGGATTGGGTGCCGGGGTGCGTGGCGGCCACCCTTGGCCTCTTACCGCCTGCAGTGTGTAGGCTCCGGGCCCTGTCCCCTGAAACGTGGGAATCAGGGTTACGATATTATGGCTGTGCTTCTCTGGTCACGACAGAAAGGCATATAACCAATGTACGCCCTCCTACACGCTTCGGCGCGCGGTGTCTATCCGCAGCGTCGGCTGTTGAGGCACACATGGTGTAGCGAATCAAGCTTCGCCACTATATAATCTGCGCGAGTTGTCCGTGCAGGCCCCTTAGCAACATTGTAACATTAAATTTTGGATGAGTCGCACATCGTGTCCATATGCCTTGCCAAATATAGCTGCTGGATCTCTTGCCCTTTGCAAGCCTTCCGGTCACTTTGACACGCCAGTCACCGGAACTTGGCGGCCCGATGTGGCCAACTACTGTCTACTGTAGCTTGTGATGATATGGTTCTACTTCGCTGTCCTTCCTGCGCTATGCAATGCTTTCAGAGTCGGCACGGCGCCGCGGGTGACACGCTGCTCGCCGTTTGCTCTAGCCATATCCAGACATGACATCTACCGGCTGCGGCGCCAGAAAGAGATTCTGGACGCAATGAACTTCATTTTGTCACGCCGTAAGTTACTTTCCACAGCAGTTGCTGCAATCTGCTGTGTCGTCTGCAACACAAATGATACTTGTTAGAGGACAAGTTGCCAATTGGACGACATCTGGAGCCCGAAATAATCGACGGTATGAATGTGATCGAGGTAGCGCTGAACCCAGACTGCTCACATGCGCGGCTGAAGTTGTCCATCACAGGCGATTCCTTCCAACAGCGGCAGGTACGTGTTCCATCGCAGTGCCAACAGTTGCCGTTAGGGCTTTTCGTGGCTGTCAAAGAACATGAAGTTCCTAAGATATCGGCTCGCACAGCTGTTAAGTCACCGGAAGAACGTCCCTACGATCTCTTTTGAGCATCACAACCTGGTGCAACAAGCCGGTAGGCACCACCGTTCCGATGTCAGAATGTTGCAGAGGTATTGATGAAGATGAACGAGCACGTTATGCGCCGCAGTCTGCGCTCTGACGCAGGTGTGGATGAAGAAAATAAGAATACGAATAGCAATGACCCTCCGGCCTCCGATGGGCGCAAGGGTTTCCTGCTTGTGTAGGAACGGCACTCAGCAGAATGCAGTGTACCATAATAAACATCAGTGTAAGCGAATATCGCATATTATATATGTTGGAGATGTAATGCGTCGATTGTTATGGATGCCTACCGGTTCTTGGTTTGGGTTTAGTGCGCATTACGCAAGTCGGACGGCAACAGCATCATGCGCTCAATCACATTAATGAGCCAATTCTCCGTGACAACAGTTACATCTTTCGGAATTTTCTCAGCAATTATTTGTGACGGGTTTGTTCCCTCTGGGATTAGGCAATGGGTTGCCTCTGCTGCACTTTTCACCATTTGACCTCCGCACAGGGTAATGAGGCCCGTGATGTCCTCTAGGCCTAATTTCTTGCCATTCTTTGGGGCAAAAATCCTTAGGTCGTGCATTAAATCCAATGGGCGCATCCGCGTCGCACGCAGAGGCCACTTGGGATGCTCGAATCCTATTTCCGAGGGCCATTTCTGCACGATCATGTAACATGGATATCGCCACAGCATACCAAGGCACATTTAACACACAACATAAACGTTGGTGTTAAATATGAGAACTATTGGCACCTACCTCGTTCTTTTCAGCCTCCTCCAAGTATTCCGGCGTTAAGATGAACGCTCCTTGGCAGATCGCGTAGAGCACCTTGAGGGTGGGGCGTTGAATTTCCAACGGAGCGATCAAATGTGTCAGACTTTCTTCCTTAGGGCTATCCAAGTAATCGAAGACGAACGGCCCATTCTCGTAATAAATGACTGCCTTTCTCAGCCTCTGCTCGATATCGTCCTGCCTTTTGCCCGTGTAGCTAATTAGCAGCGTCTCCTTCGCTTTCTTCGTTTTGACGGATTTTTTGGCCGTGCTTGAATCTTTATCTGTTAACTTGGCATTCTCTTTGCCGATTTTGGCACGTTTTTGTGTCGGTGATGTGCGTGTTTCCATCATTTCGGTCGCCGCTGGTAGATTTTGTGCCGGTGCCGCCTTTCGCTTGACGTCTTTACTGCTGATACCTCTAGCGATTGTTTTGGCGGCGCTTTTAGCAGTTCTCGGGGAGACATTAGTGGAGCTCTTTCTGTCCGTGACAGGCAAATCGCCAATGTTAGAGAGTCCTTCGTCCTTCTTCGTTGTTGTGCCGTATCCGACATTCGAGGGAGACATACCGGTTATTTGGATATTGTCTCCCATATTGTCTGTAGTTTTGCCATTTTCCGCTGCAGAGTGTTGTATCTGGTGTGCCGATTGCTTATAGGAAGCATCCTCCCCTTCATGGAATTGAATTAGACGTTTCTTTGTTTCCGGGTCTGCATTGGTGAAGTTTTCCGTCTTTAGAACTTTAGGTACAACTGCCTCATCACGTGAACTTGTAAATTTTTCTGCGTTCGATTTTGGTGCATTGACCGGACTGTCGTGTTTAGCCGTCGCGGGTTTCTTTGCTGCCTCTGTTTTCAGGGTTCTCGGCTTCGATCTTTCAGCCGCAGACCCTTGTGTACTCTCTTCAGAGATGGGTGTACGTTGGCTTTGTGAGGGGGTTATATCTGCGGTTGTTTGCGTAGCGCTAACACTTGATTCATCTACAGGTAATGGTCTGGTCTTAAGCCTTCCTCTAACAGGTGTTGTGTTCTCTTTTAATGCGTGACCAGTGTCTATAACTTTGTTGTTCACTGCTAACCCTAAATTCGAAATCTCAACGCCTTTAGTGGCTTCGTCTTTGTATGCGGCCGCGGTTGCAGCCTTACCCTGTTGCACCTTATCTCGTGGTGACAGAGCGGCGGCAACGCTGCCAAAGGCTACAGGTGCAGCGTTACCATAAGCGTTGCTTATTGGGTCGGCAACCGATTGCAAACCCAATTTGGATTCACCTTGAATATTAGTTTTGCTGCCGCTCTCCGTGTCAGCCTTTCTCACTGCACCTTTAGTTCTCAATCCACTCCTCCTCGTCGGACCCAGACCATCACTGGCCGAAGACACCGAAGATGTCGATACCGTTCGTTTCATCATCTTTATGCCTCTTAAAGTTCGAGATGTTGTAGATTCTAATTCCGTGGCACCCGAGCCCTCATCAACATCTGCCGTCTCATTACCAAGAGCCGTTTCGCCAGCATCATTCGCGCATATGTCGGGTAATGACGCATCCGTATCAAGATCACGAAGTGTGAGAGCACCAGAATAACTTTCCTGCGATGTCGGTCCCTGTTCTGAAGCATTATTCTCGCTGCCTGATTCCGTTAAAGCACGATTGACACCGGGCACGTTTCCTTGGCTTCGTATGTGTGTCAACCTGTTGGCGGCTTGGGTGATTAGTGAAGCATTTAGAGTCTGTTGGGATGTGGCCAACCCATCGTCCATGACCTGCGACTCGCCCATTGATGGCACGTTGGAAAAAGTAGCGCTGAGAAGCAGTTGATCGGTACCGGATATACCTAGGGTTCCCATGGTGTTCTCCGTGGATTGGCTAGGGGTGTTGTAGCTGCTGCGTAGCGATCCGGTGCCGAGGGGGGAAATGCGGTTACACTCTCCTGGCCTCATGGTAAGCCCGGCTCTAATGCGATTTGTCCCCAAAAGGATCGACAACCCTGTGACCTGACGTGTGTCCACCATACTTCTAAATCTGATGAGCTTGGATATTGCATCTTCTAGCAGTGTGCTGTCTGCTTCCCCGAGTAATGCAGCATCTCCCTCCCTGAAGAGCGATGAGTGCTTGTGCAGCGCACACGTACCTAGCCGCATCAAGGAGTAGACTGGCTCGTTTCTGTGTGGTCATAGGTTTCAGAAAAGTTCCCATTTACCTCCAGTTGGTCGGAAGCTTCGAGGAACTTTGCGAGGCAAAGGTCGTAGTAGGAAGGGGTCGACGATATACTTCCTTGACTATTCTCTACATCCTTATTGGCTCATTCATCACATACAACAAACCCTTCATGATGGCCAAACTGTCTAGAGCTTCGTGTCTATGTAAGGATGCTGATGTAAAGAAGCAGTAGGTAGAGTCTTCTGCAGCCTGGAATGAACCATCGTTCACGAATCACACGGAGAATGAATATCGCTGGGCTATTCATGTAATTAAGCCGAGTGTTAAAGTGCAATATGGGTGGTTGCTAACCCGTCGGTTCGACGGTCAAGCGGCTATACACACTTCTTGGAACTATTAATACGGTCTTAGCTGCAACTCTACCAGCCCTCATATATACCAGGGGCATATTCGCGCTTTGTAGGCAACGAAGGAACCTCTGTGTGCTCCTCGGACGTTTCCGCTGGATATGTGCGCCGGCGATTGGGGACCTCAGACGGGGGTGTCTGAAGCGTTATCCTGCCGTAATAGCCACGTCGGAAGTCAGCTAGTATGCGGCTAGCAGCGGCATTAACATCACCACCGTGGTGTTTATGGCTGGCTGTTTGCAAGCACTCGTGGCTGAAATCCGCTGGGTGCATCTCTAGAATGCCTGGCGTGTAATCGATTCCTATGCGCTTCAGTATCCTAGGCAGTTCTACATACGAACGCTTTTGCTTGTAAACTTCCAGCGCCTGCTCCAGCAGATTCTCCGCAGCCTGGTCGTTATCGTACGCCCCCTCCACAATTTGGTTCGCGGCAGCTATGAGCCACACATTGCGTTCAAGGGGTACCTGTTTTGCATCGATCCCCGTTTTACTGTGTCCGCCATGGACAAACGTTTGCGGCAAGTTAAAGTACATGCTGCCAAGAAGGCGGTTGCGCTTTCGGTCGCTCTTCCCCTTTGCTGGTCCGAAGGCCACATTGTAAAGATTCGCAGGGAGTACCCCTGGCGTATCTATCACGTCTATGATTTTGTGCGCCGCTTCTCTGTATTCCTGTGGATGAAGTCTAACCAGCCTGATGTCCCTCGTAACTCCAGCAGCGTTGAAGCTCCTGGCTTTGTGCCGGCCCAGCAGTCTGTTGATGAGGGCGCTTTTTCCTACATTTGGCATTCCCAGGGCGATCGCCCTTAGCGGTCTGGCAGCTAGTCCTCTCCTGGCGCGTCGCTGGTTGACCCTCTGGCACAGCTTGTAAATCAGCTTCTTGAGTCTGACGATGCACGATATACCGTTTTTGGCGTCGACGAATATTACCGGCGTGACTGGCTTGCGATTTTGTTCTGGTATGTTCTTGTTAAACTGCTGCGCGTCCCAGAAGTTCTTGATGCGGTAATAGGTGCCCCATTCCTCAGTCCCCTTTATTGCTGCGAGATCGGCGTGCGTGAACACGAGCACCTTAGGCTTGTGTGTGAACATATTGTTGTACACGTTGAGCAGAAAGTCCGAATCTGCCACATACGGTATTCTTGCGTCTCTGACGTCTAGAATGACGTCGCACATCTTGATGTGTTCGGAGAGTTCACCCAGGCTCTTGCCGAAATACCGCGGGAACCAGTGTATGCGTGCCCTACCGACGATCCACTGGTCCCGTATGCTTTCATAGTCCATTCTGCTCGGGCACTGAAATGTGACTGCATCCTTTGAGGCCTGCTTCGTGCCGATTTGTTGCGCCATCGAGGTCGTCTTCATGCACTCCCAAACATTACTCTCGGGTTCGAGAGTGGACATCGCCAGCGAATAGCTGTCAGTAGCTTCGTGCGGAGTGGATCGCTGTGTGTTTGCAACTTCATAACCCTTTTCAAGCGCTTGGAAGAAACCCAACTGGTCCAGTTTTTCTTTTGCCTTCTCGGGACGCTCGTCAGCGTTGAGTTCTCTGAGGTCTTCGTGGTTCACCGGATAATTCACAGTGTAAGGTATCATTATACGCTTTGAGCTGTCGTCTGCGGTAACGACGGTTTCGTCGCCATTCCCGTTGTCAGAGTTTCGAGCTCCACGGTCCGAGGGACCATCAGCCGCCGTCTGGCTACCTATGCCGCTTGAATCCACACCGGCACTCCCTCCATCCCCAACATGTGCCCCCACTGTGTCTTTTGCTCCATCTGCGCAAATGCGCGTGCTGCGCAAAGCACGTGTGACGGTGTTCGGGTGGTTTAATATTTTCGTTATTTCCTCCCCGAAGCCGATCGTTTGGCAATCATCACTCTTATTTAAAACGTTGTGTATGCTTGTCCTGGCTATGAGCGGTGTCGGATTCACGAACGCCGACTCTAATCGCTGACCTCGGCGGACGCAATCAGTGAACCTCAGCAGTAGAATAAGGAATAACAATGCACAGCGTCGACTACTCATCCGGTGTGTGTGGATGTTGCGCAGGTGGTGTTTCGTTAGGGTCCCTCGGGGGCTGCATACATCATTAGGCTGTTACTGCGGCGGGTTCACGCATGAAGGACACCGTACAAACCGCACATGAGAAGCAGCAGGCGTATACGACAGCCTTTGTATTCACATACACCAAACTATTACACCACAAACTGGCTACAACTTTCATGCACTACTGATGGCAACAACGGTGTCTACCATGACACTACGACAATGCCCATTCGTGCCCATTTCACTCATCGGAATGCAGAAAAGGTTGTTAAGCATGTATTTCCAAAATTCAACGCACACAGACGTGTATAGGCGCCTAAAACGTACATTCGGTAGATTCTTCCGCATCACGCACTTCCTAAAGAAGAGACTACCGCACATGGCCCCCGAGAATCCCGCCAAACATATAAAGATCCAGGGCTTGAACGGAAGCGCGAAACGGAGCGGAGCCGCCCGGCTGTCGAATACAACGCCCGCGTTTTTCGGCTGCTCTAGTGTGAGATCGGTGCTGTGGACGCTTACCGGCACGATCTTGTGTTGCTCGTGGCCCGCGAACCTCGCGGGAGATAGCATCTCTACCGATTTGGAATTTCTGACATATACTTGTGCGATGTACGTGATCCAAAAGGCCTCGCTGGCGTTGTGCTAGTGCCTACCCGTTGCTCTGCTGGTCGCGATGTGTGGCGATCACCCGGCTAATTGGACGGAACAGGCGCTATGTATTGCGATTAAGTTTGAGCTATTTGTTACGCGGAAGATTATGTGGTGTCTTAGGCCTATGCTGTGACGGCTTGGGCCCTGGTGGATGTCTTCTTCCGTTCCCGCCCTGAGGAGGTGTGAGACGAGGACCTACGGGCTTACCCAGTGGGAGAACGTGTTTCATAGAGAATGCATCCTCCTTGTCTTGGAAATATTCTCTTATGACCTCGTCTACGCTGCACGTTGTTAAGGTTTGCGTAAGGGTCACGCAGACGCCCTCCTGGCGCCCATTTTACAAAACATTTACGCAATACGAGTCATGCGTGAAGCGTCATAAGCGACATATGATCCTTTACTAACTATGTAATGCATACGCTTTGTTGTCAGAGCCATTGAAAATTGACCCCGTTACAACGCGTCATGCAAGGGGCATAATAACCACGGCAAGGCAGGCGTATTATAGAACTCGCATCACACCATCCACATGAACAACACATCACCAAGTCATAAATAGCACGGGTAATCGACCAACGATACGTGAACTCAGTCGCTATTGCGGATGCTCACCTGTATCCCAGCTTGTGCTTGTACATGGTGTATGCAGCCCAATTACTAACGCGCACAAATAGATAGACTGCCTCGCATAAATAGACCGCATCCATGGCTGTGTCTGGAAGCAGTTGTAACTTTGTGCATTTCAACTCACGCCCTTGCTTTATAACATTGTGCGCTATTCCCATCGACCGGTAAGACCTCAGCACGCTAACCGAGGTGAGATGCCCCGCCCTTTCGATGTCGTCCTCCCTGCAACTGATATACACTACGTCAGCGCTCCCTACAGTTTTGCCATGGCATAGCCGCAGACGTTGCCATTGGGTCCTACTGCAACGTGGGTTAGTTGCGGCCAAGAGAGGAGGTGGTAGAAGTAGTAATCCATCGTATAGTTCTCCATGAGGTTGACCAGGTTGCAATCCAACGTGCCGACTAGGTCGTACATTGTGGCGCGTCGGAGAGTCAGCATCTTGGTTGGCGGTGTTCAGCAACTATACAGATATGCAAGGTGGCAGCTATCAGTCGCGAAGGTTACTACGGATTTCATTTGTCTACAAAGCATCTCAAGTCACCATGCTCGAATAAGAAAAGAAGGCGACATCGGAAGTACGCTGCACATCACTAATTGCTATTAAGCAACCCCCTAAAAGCCACAGCGAGCAAGACACTCGAATATTAGAGTATTTGATAATAAACAATACATAAGCTTAGTCGGAAAAGACAGTGGCTGACGTGCGGGCACGCGGCCAGGAATCCACTGCCGACAGCCGCGCGAGAAGAGGAAAAACAAACATGTAGCTACGAACTACTTCAGTCTATTGGCACGATTAAGAACGGCAATGTCGCTTTTAGATCGTCACTTCTACATCGACCCCCGGGTCCAGAGGGAACGACGTAATCTGGCAAACAACCTCGCTGGACGAGTGGAGGCTGATGACGCGTTTGTACACGCGAGCCTGGAACCTGTCCCAGGTGTTGGTACCTAAAAATATATTTGAAACATCACGTTGATATGTTACCTTCTCCGACGGGGGATTTGCGGGTGGTAATCCTAAGGGTCCTTACCGGCATCCTGACGGGGCCCATAACCCTGAGGTCCTTTTCCTTAGCACCATTGATGAGTTCCTTGCAGGCTGCACATAATATTAGTAACAGTATAAAAAATGTGCTGCTTGGAAATATAACCGTACACATACCCTTTTCAATGGCCTTGAGGTTCATCGAGGTAAGGGTGACGCGGATTTTGTGGATGCGATTGCCATCGTCGTGGTCTCCGTGAGCCTTAAAATCCTTTGCTGCGACGTCCTCCATCTTGTTAAGTGTGGAAATACTAGTAGCACGCAGAGATCGTCAATAGACCGTTCGCCACAGCGTGATGGGGCTGAACGCCGCCCCTAAGACTCAGCTACTAAGGAACGCCAAAAACGCGCGCTGTGCGAACTTATAGTATTCATTTGCGTATTGCCCCTTTAATATATACATAGAAGCCGCTAAGAGAGTCGCAATTCGCCCAATCCCTAAACAGTGCTTGTCACACATTGTGTTTGAAATAAGATATACTTATCAGCATATTAAATTTGCTTATACAGCAACGAACTTAGGCTCTATATCAAAAAAGGCTATGTGGTGCTGAAATGTACGGCGCATCAACGATTAATCGTAACTGGACGTCGTTGTGATGCCTAAATTTGACCTAAATTACACTAAATCAAAGTGTCGTTACTGTTAATCATGACGATATAATAAGGAAGGATTACGTTTTTTGCCGTTTTCTTAGCCAGTAGGTATCCCCCTCAAGCAACAAAAACGCGTATGAGCGGCCGCATTATTTGCACGCCAAGTTATTAACGAACGAAAATCGTTGTCGCTTTTAGTATTTATCTCTGGAGGCACTTTGCTGCTTTTTCATATGTGCACGTCGGGTGTGCAGTGGATGTGCAGATGAGGATGTCGCAAGTGCTATGAGCCGCTAATGTGTGGCGGCACATAAAATTCCTTTTCCTCCGTACATTATATTTATTACAATATTTTTCTGTCAAAATGCAGTGCTGTTCTAGGGACACTCGTCTAATGGACGAGGAGATCGACACCCAAGACGTACAAGTGAGGACAATCGGCACCGTGGCCGACCGTTCCAGGGCACAAGAAATTGGCCAAAACGTCGAGAGGCAATGGGTAGGTTTACATGCATCTTTTAATTTACTAAATATTGTTATACTTCGCACCTGGTGTCCTATATTGCCGTTTTCCAATGGTCAGACGTGGATAGTGCTCTGAATTACGCCTGTATTCTTCGGTGCTCACTGCATCGAGCGCAATTTGTTAAATACATTTTGTTGTGCGTTTTTGCTTCATTACCTATTGCGACTTTGTTGCATGTTGGTCTGTTAATGCGTTTACAGGTCGCCGTTACCACCTACCAGCCCGTTGATACCATTACGAAGACGGTGGAAATTCCAGTTGTCAAGACCGTTGAACGCGTTGTCCCCAAGCCTGTCATCCAGGAACGTGTAATTCAGGTGCCCCGCGAAGTTACCCAGGTTGTTGAAAAGGTTGTTGAGATCCCTGATGTAAAGTTCGTCGAGAAGATCATTGAGGTTCCACAGGTCCAATACCGCAACAAACTCGTACCGAAGGTTGAGGTTGTTGAGAAGATCGTGGAAAAGCCGCAAATCATCGAGCAGTGGACTGAGCGCAAGGTCGAGGTTCCCCAAATTAAGGAGGTTGTGCGCTACAAGGAAATTGATGAGACAGAGGAGATCATCCGCTACTACCCTAAGGGACATGGCAACATTGACTGGGATAAGGAGTGCGAAAAGGCTCACATTATGATTCCCAGCGAGGTTACGGAATCCAAGGCCGCTAACAAGCCCGAGGCAACTGCTTAAAGCAGTGAAATCAATGCCGGGGGTGTTATAAATGCACATGGCTTTATTACACTGTAACAGCACAACTCAACAGATCAAAACGGCACGGGTCAATCTTATGTCGTAATGTACTTATCCATTGTATATTCTGTACCACTGTAATATCTAGTTGGCGGTATTTTTAGTTGTGCGTTGGGGCTTCTGTACTCATAAGTTTATGTTATATTACATATACTGGAATTAAATCATAAGGTGGCACTGTCGCCTGCTTTTTTTGTCCCAGTTCATTTCAAATGTATTCACAGGCGGAGCACCCATTGTTGCACATCCGCAATTCATTGAGGGTGAATGAATGTGAGATAACCGGATTCTACGAATTTTCTACTCGCAATAAATGCAACGACATAGAGGAACACCCAGTGGAATAAACTCAGTACTTGGGAGGCAAATGAGACTAGCCAAGGAGAAGATATACGCTCACAAGATCGAGAGTGAAGTGCATGGTAAACATGGATGGATAGCGTACGACCAAACGGTCAAGACTCAGAAGATCAAGCAATACAGCCGCCCGGACATAATCGTGGCGGATAGACGAAGGAACATGATCACCCTCGTGGAAATAGGAATAACTAATCAAGACAACCTGGTGGAAACGGAGACACAACAGAGGCGTAAGTTGGAGGAACCCACAGGAGTGATAACGCAGGATACGGTGTTTAAGTCAGTAGGCCATGTAATGTACACGGTACCTAGAGGACGATTGATCCTCGCGCCCAGACATGGTGGACGGCATCATGGATGGCGCCTGTAGCGTTCGGCAACAGGGCGACATGAAACCCGTAAACTACGCCAACAGCATGAGGTGCTTGCCTGGTAAACACGAAAATCGGCCCTAAGCCACGTAGCCACATAGCGCACTAAATAAAACCAAAACAAAGATAAAGCTCAGTCTGTATAGCCGACAGTGTGTATACCCGCACTGTATACAACATGCTTGACACCCCTTAATGCCTTCTCAGGTCTATGGGTTATACGTGTCGCCTTGGCATTGCTTGGTAACGTGGCAGTTGCTGAAATGCGGAGCGCCTGTTGACTGCAAGGTGTATTAACGTGTAGACTGCATCACCGAATAACGCGATCTCTTATCGTGGTCATTCTTTCGGGGAGACGTGATACAATTGCTTCCAACGCGCGCAAAGATGAACGTTATCTGTATTGCAGTGGGTTGAACGCTTATGCACGTGAAACGTGTACTTGGTATGCCATAGAGCGACAAGTTATACGGAGACCAACAACGCCTAAGGTGTGACTTCGAACGATCGCATTAACAAGGCAGCGTGTAATCCGCAGCCTGCCTACCGGATGCGGGGTGATAAAGGCTTGATACGCATGAAAAGCGGCACAAGCCAAACGTATCCACATGGTACAGTATACGTTGCTAAAACAAAGATTAATAACAATACTAATAATATACACGCATTCTGACATCAGACCTCAAATTCCAACCCTGAAGACGCCGGGCACCTTGTTGAGCAAGGCGTGTCGAAAATGCGTTTTTCCTATCTGGTAATAATCCCGTGTCCCACACCTTCATCGCCTTCCTGATATGCAACAACCCACTATGAGGTATTCTATCCTTTCCCTCACCCATCCCATCAAGCTGTAAGCCATGTGACTGAGTCATCTGACACCTAAAAATCAGCTCTGAAAATGTCAATATGTTTCATTGCGACTTATAAAAGCATCCGATACAGTGATCTGTAACATATAGGGAGCAGATGAAGCCACCCTTGCTTCCATTTCCACGGGTGGGTTAACGTGCTCAGTCACCGACAAGGTAGTTGGATATAAAGATTAGTGGAGTTGATGAAGCTAACTGATAAGTATGGGCTATCACCCTTTAACGCGTATTAACGGCATTGCCCATATTCTGACTTGTGAGCAAATGTCCAGACGGTGACGTGGCACATTTGCGATCACAGCAGTGCAGTCGCACCACCAAGGTATGGAGGAGCACAGTTTCACTCCACCTTAACAAACAGAATCCCCCCCTCTTATACACCATACAAACAACCGTAGTAAACCTTCATTATGATGCTGAGTTAGCAACCGCAATAAGCCTTTGACAACCTAAGGCGATGTTGCCACCGAAATACGCAGATCAACATAGGCACCAACATCAGCAATGAAAGCAAATTAATTCGCAGGATTCACCAATACGTTACCACATCTCAGTAACTCATAACTTCGAGTAATAGTTCTCTACCTGGATGGTGGAGAGGACGATACCCTTGACGGTGACGCAGCGGCATTCCAATGGCGGCGTCTGGTGCAGAGTTTCCCCAGGTCCTACACGGGAACTATCGAACCATAGGATGGCAAAGTGGTTCGAATGCGAAGAAACCAATGAATTGCTAAGATCGATTATGTGCTTGACGGAACCATCCACGGTAACATGGCCAAAGCATTTTGGCGGTTCCAGGACGTACGGTGCTGGGCAGTAGAACGCGGCTTCCTTGGCAGCTCGAAGATCTATTTTGCACCCGAACTGAGACTGCCCATCACCGTCGTAGAGTGGAGGTGTCTCAGGCTTGAACAACTCGTCTGATGCGTACGTAACACCGCAGCCTTGCATGTAGGGGTCGGTGGTCTCTACAGCAACTTCAACAACGTGCCAAGTGTATCGTGAAGATGATTCAATTACACGGTGAGTGAAGGTTGTAGATGCGGCCGAGGAAGAAACGTCACCAGTGATGAGGGGGAAATCCGATGTGTCGGGCGCTTTGCCGCACACGAATGTCATGGGCACATATTTCTTGTGAAGTAGGTCCTTGGATATCAAAATGGCGCCTCTATGTGATTTTAGCATCAATGTTTGATATCCAGGTCTGCTTGCTACCTCGTTGTAAACAACTTCCAGCCCGCCATGCGTAGTGGCAATTGAAGCGCTGTATGATGTTCTCATCAACTCGTAACAATTGTCTGCTTTGTTTAACGTATAATAGAATTCTTCAGGATTGTCTGGCAACCAAGCCATTGTGAGGCCGTGGGAGTTTTCACTGTCGTTCACAAATCTGTATTGTAACCATGCATCGAACCCAATTTCACAATTCATGAACAATGTAGTGCCGGTGTGTAGGGTGACAGGCTCTAAAGATATGATGTGTAACCTGAGCAAATTGGACGTTGTGACCCCTTCACTTGAAAATAGCACCCCGGTCCATGGCAGCAACATGTATGGGAGCAACATATGAGATGTCTTTTTGAAACTTACCCTGTAGGTATAGGTCCTTTTGTAGTTATATTCTAAAACAACCCTGGACTTTTCATAGCCACGTTGGTCTACACAGCTGCATGCATAACTGAAAGGGCTATTGTTGTGGACTTTATAGTCGAACACGTGAAATCCTGAAATGGCGTGAGGATTCGCGCTACGAATATATCGTGGAAGTGGCCTGATCTGATTGGAGGAGATATCGTATGCTGCAAACTCACAGCCGCCTGGCAAAAGCGTTTCATCAGGATTGCAGTGTATGCCAGCTTGACGGACGTGCCGCATATCATACAAGCATTCATATATATCCTCTATCCCATTTCCAATCGTTATGGTAGAACAATACCGCCTGCTAATGTTACGATTAAACAGACTTTGTGAACTACGGTCGCAACCGACGATCCCGTAGCGGTGAGTGGCCGCAAAGGATACGTGTACAGTGGCACGAATGCGATCAAAAAGATATTTGTTACCGTATGAAGATATGCAATGGAAAATGAATGAATTCAGACCCTGACGTAGTGCGAGCGGTTTGTCCAGATGGTACTTCAGCTTTACCACCCCCTGAGATATTTGGGAAACATCCAACTCGAGAGCATCGCCAGCAAGGGCTTCGTGGTACAATATTTCGTCGTAAACGTCAATGTCATACACGGTTTTGAGTTGTCGCATTATGGTCAAATCCTTCGGCAGGAATTCGGTTTCATATTCATATGTAGACAGCTTTTGCGAGAATAAAGCAGTCGAAAAATCTTCGTAGAAATCTTCGTTGTAGTCTTCGTCGTAATCGTCGTCGGTAGCAGCCGAGTTGACGGCCTGTGTTGGTACCTTAATTGTCAAGGTGCTGCCCGGATGAAGCACCACTGAACACCAAGGGCTACGTATGGTGCGGGAACGGTTTAGGAAAACTTTGCTGGAGATGTCACAAATGTAGTCGGTTTTTGATCGGATCTCTATTTTGGCATTCACCTGTTGTGTTTCGGGATCGATGCATTTGCATTCGCCATTGATGGTTGGTAACTCTAATTCGTCGAAATATTGCGCTACCACCACGGGTACATAGTTTTCGAAATCCCAATAATAGTCGGGTTGAGGAACACTCACAATTTTGCCATTCTTGTCCAAGAGTGATCTCATGCAATCCTCGGGCTCGATCCTGCCTTCGCAGAGAAACCCTATGGGTGATCTAGACATAGGATCCGCCACGCATGAACGGACTCCGGTGACGGGGTCTATGGTCACCTCATTCTCTGGAGCGAACAGTGGCGAGGGGCGACTACCACAGCCCTGAAGCGGTACGTGCATTTGCCCTCTGTACAAGAACAAAACACCCAAGCCCTTACCTATCCTTTTTATTTCGTCAGTCCATTGATTTCCTGAATCCCAATTTTGTTCGTGTATTTCTAGTGCATTGTTGAGGCTGTCAAGGTGGGATTTTAATGTGTCACCCAGGACCAAATCTCGTGGTCCGCAGATGAAAATCGTACGTAGTTCTGCGATAGCATATATATCGTCATTAGAAAAATCCAAATTCAATTTCGTGTGGGACTCATTCGACTCCTCCCAAACGAATGAACGTGGTGCTTCTATCGCGACTACATCCGAAAAAGCAACAGAACGCAATGAACCATTGTCACTCACGTATGTGTTGATTTGACCGATCTCATCCGACATTGGTTGAGGATGCCAAATATATTCCGTGTCGTCTACTTGTCGTGGACATATCACAGTTGCGGTGTCAAAGTCATCGATGTCCATGTGGCAGATGGCGAGAGCGTTGATGCTAAGTAATCCAGGTGGATCTCCGAAGTCACAAGGCAGTGAATCTGTGTAGCTAATCCAATGCAACCAGATGGTGCAAAATGCCCAAAGAGCTCTCATGATTCTAAGTTTGGCAATGGCTACGGATTTTGTGTCTAACTACTAAAGCTATCCTGAATAAAAAGTGCTCTTAACCAGCGTAAAGCTTATGGATATACGAATCCACAAAAAAATTTACAACTACTAAATGTTTGTGATGTGTTATAACGGTGAAAATCCCATTGCCCCATCTAGCTGCCTGCCCACCCAAGAATTTTCCTTCACTGCTCTAACCGCAATAACCAACAAATGTAGCATAATTATATTGACACCGTTCACTATAACTGTTCGCGAGGTGTCACGCGCATTATTATTCACATGCTGCTATTGGAAGCATTATTGTACCAGTGAGGCACAACCGACCGTACAAAATGGTCGGCACCATTCCATAACAATCATGGATACCATTATAAGGAACAAATGTTGGTCGGTAGAGAATGGGACACATGAGTAGCGTGCGCAAGCATACGTTGCTAGTACGTTTAGAGGGAAGGCGTCCAACCAACAGACGAAGTACGAAATGGTGACTCGTGATGTCGTGGCGAGCCGGCACAATTTACAGGCTGTAAACGACTGCTACCGAAAACAGCATGAAGTATGCATTCTGAGTACGACATTACCGTTGTATGAGGACCACGCAGTGCTTCTACCATGGCCTTTGGCCATAGCATGAGAGGCGTAGGCCCTTAGCACGAACACCAGCTAGAGATGTAATTCACCTCATACTGCACAATGGGCAGATAGAAGCGGCGTGCATCCTGTACAGAGCGTAGCGCTTCCTAAAGCTTATTAAACTGAACCCGTTAGCCTCTCTGCTATTGCACTCGCTGCTCAGCTTTTGGCATTTTCGGATTCGAATATTTCCTTGTTAATCTTTGCCGCCTCCTCGAACTTTTCCTTGAATAGCTTTGCATGTTCGATCTGCCCGAACTTAAGTGCCATCTGTTCTACCTTGCTCTCATCATCGTATGTGTTGTTCGCGGTCCATACCCAAATTTTGTCGCTACCGATATTCGGCCTGAGCTTGCAAAGCGATTCCGTTTCGAGGACATAATGGTTGGCAACAACTTTAAGGGTTTTTTCCTGCCTCAACAGGAACCGTATTTTGCCAGTTTTTTTGTGCCTCAGCAGCTTAGATTCGCCCAGCCCACGCTCCTTCCACACTTGCTCGCCATCCGTATCTGTGGCGAAGCGATAGAGCTTGGAACGTTGCTGCCAGAACAATTCTTCATCCTCCTCTCCGGTGACTACCTTGATCTCCTTGACTTCAACCTGATGTAATTATTATTTGCGCGTCTGAACAGGGGTAATAGCGCACCATGCCAATGCCCAAATGTGTACTACAAAAGTCGCACACTACTATGCGCTAATAAGTTCAACGTACACAATAGAGCATTGTTTTCACGTACGGGTTTTGGTTAAGAAAGGCTACAGGGAAAGAATAACGATAACGCTCGAAGCAAGTGCCTATATAATGATTCCACCTACCTTCCGTGTGTTCCAATTACCCTCCACGACTTCTTCTTCCTCCTCTTCTTGTGGCTGCTGAGCAAGAGTAGTTTCTTGTGTCGTGGAGTCTTTGTTTCCGGTTTCTTCTTTGTGTGTCTGCTCGGGAGTTTCTGCCGCTCCCGAGGCGACTTCGGGGTCCTTCGCGTCGTCAGCCATTTTTATCGTCTAACTACGTGTGCACGTGCGTTACAGCGTATGATTTTCGCCGTCGTTGTTTCGATCAGGGTGACCCCTTCCCCACTTCGTATGGGCCAGGTGCGGCTCCTCATCCAACCGCGTTCGGGTTGATCTGTCTCCGTACAGCGCACACGTTCCATTTGTTTAGGCGAAAGAGATAATTCCAGTGGTTTTCGGTAGAGCTGTGACGCTCATAAGGGGCGCGGTTGACGCGAGATTGAGTCTTGGGACTGGCTTTATTTTACAAGAATCCGCAGCTGTGTTTTAGCTACGGACAGTGTTTGTTACGTTATTATACCACACTTTGAAAGCTGTTGTTATCTATCACATGGCTCCTGCGTTAACTAGGATACGGGCACACTTGCAGTCGGTATTTTACCTGCTAGACAACGCAGGTCATATCAAGTACTATAAGTTACTCAACCACCCGCAAAATAGCATTTCAGTGTTACGCGACCATCGTGTGTAGGCGGCGTTGGCATCGACACCTCTGTAATTTCTGCTCCGCTGGCGACAGGTTGCGCATTTTGCTAGACAGCGGAGCCTGTGTACACCTTATCTGTCACATTTGGCAGCCATGATGTGTGAAGGTGGCTCCCCATCCAGCAATGCTAAATTTACGAGAGCCTGTTCACGGTAACGCTGCCGTTGGTTTTGCTGCATTTCACAGCAGTGTACAAGGCGATAAGGCAAATTCAGCCACTGACATTAACACTAACAGTCTGTCTGCTCGATTTAATCTATATGACGCTTCGGATTGTCCGCGTATAGCGGTGTTTGCATTCCAGGAATTTCATCGAAAGCGCCACATGTGCGATGATTTGACCCGCAGCCACGGTGGGTCATGCAAATACATTGTCAACAACGTTCATCACATGATGCGGTTCTTGATTTCGTCCAGCTTGCGTAATACGTTGTTTACATTGGAGTCCAGCTGTTGGGCAACCTTGCGCTGCTGGGCCTCGCTGAGATGACGGAACTGTTCACACATGTCGCCGTCCACCACTTGCTGAACGGGCACGTAGTAGCTGCGGTAGAAACTGTGCTCCCGGCCGCATAGTGGTGGCGCCTCCGTCGCCATTAACATCTCTAGGTGTTGCAAGAAATCCAATTCGTCCTTGGACTGGAAGGGCACCAGTGCGCCTATAGAGCCCATTATTGTACCGTAAAGCACCACTGAGGTCGAAGGAGAGAGAGAAGCCTTATCTATAGCCGTTGGGAGGTCCCCGAGGTGGAACTGGCATACGTTTTCCAGCTGGATGTGTCGTGTTGACTCCTCCTGGGGGACGCGTGCTACGAACAGGGAGTCGAACTTGTCTCCGGCAATAACCGTGGAATAATCTAATTGCGCACAACAGGTGAGCCATCTCGGTCCCGTGGCGCCACCGACCCATTCAAAGTCGGCTGCCTCTTCGCTGTAGAACTTGATGCGAAGCACCTGCAGACCCTCACGGATATCTCCCGCAAAAATACGTGAACCCACGGTGTTGAGCCAGATAAACCCGTGGTCACTGCATGTACGATGTTCGGCCTTGAGCAACAGCTGTTTCTTGCCCAGTGAGTAGAGCCGGATGCGCTTTCCCACTGCAGCGAGCAGCCTTCCCTCATAACCGGCAAATGCTCGCACCACCCCACCAACACGGGTGATATGTAGCAGTCTGATTTCGAAATTGGCACCGTAGCAGTAGATGCGTATGTAAGATTCCACATCTTCGGCATTGGTCAAGTCATATCCAAGCGCCGTGCCTACGCATAGGCATTGCATGCCGTCGAGAACCACGACAGCGGCCGTAGTTGCCGCTTCGTCACGTTCGAATAGCAGCTTCGCCGCCGTTGTGAGGCTAAGGGGGTTGACGATGCGCAGGCATGATCCCCATTTTCCGCTGCCAGCCTTGAAGTTGGTAAGCGCCAGCGGCTCACCCACTTCGTTGTCCAGCTTGATCCCTTCCAGCGCCTGCGCAATTTCGGCCACATTATCCGGCCCGTAGGCGTTGTGATCTGCCTCGACAACAGCCAACATATAGTTGAGTCCGCCTTGTGTAGGCGCCTCATTCGGCATAAGCACGAGACGTCTGGGGGTGTAGTCTACCTGTAGACGATGCTCGCTGAACGTTTCTCCAAGCCTGCAGCACCTGAAAATCCTGAGGTTGGAGCCTGCGATGGCCACGTATCCGTCTTGGCAGAGTGGACTTGAAAAGGACGCAACGCTTTCCAGGGTGTCGTAGCTCAGGGGAACGCACTGCATGACTCCTTGGTACTCGTATAATAACCAAGGCCTGTCGGATGTCCCCATTATTTGGTTCTTGATGTTCCTGAACTTCACTGCACGCGAACCCAAGAAACGGGTGTACTGGTCGCTGAGTGCGCCGGATATAGAATCCACTGTAGCCCTAATCATCACACCGGTGTTGAGTCCAACAGCCAGCATCAGTGTCGAATGCGCAGCAACTTGGAACTCGGCCAGGCACACAGACTCCGGAGTGCTGTTGTTCGGCAGCAGCTGCGTGCTGTGTTGTTTCAGGTGCCTGTCCAGCGATAATATACGAACCAAATTATCCAAAGCCCCAATGGCCATGAAGCTCGCCATAAGTCTGCCTGCGCCGGTGGGCTGTAAACTGACGCATGTGATCTCCACGTTGAGGCTGCGCTTTGCCACCTCGACAAGCGTATGCGATTCATCCAACTCGAAGTAAACGATTTCGCCACCGGACAGGGCGAGCACCAGCTGGTGTTTGTTCGATGCTGCGACCTTTACTCGCTTCGCAGTGGGTGTTTTCCACTCGCGTACCTTCATGTCGAACACGTGTCGAACACCGCCGTCATGTACCTGGATGTATGATCCATCCCCCATCATGCTTACGTGCAGGGTAGTAATCGACGTGAGGAAGCAGGAGTCAGTCACCTCCTCCACCGCCTCCCCTACCGATAAGACCAGGGTGTTCCCTTCGAAACCTACGAGGATAAATCCGTCGTGCGTGCTATCAACACCAGTGGGCACCGTCCATACCTGCTTCGGCCTCCCCGGCAGTTCGTTGTCCGCCAATTCTTCCACCGACAACCCATGTCGCAGCACCCGTATACTGCTGCGATCACCCCTGCCACAGCCCAAGAATATCTGCGGCTGCCCTAAACCCTGGACGTCTATCACCTTGAGATCGGTGATGGCGCTGAGAGAGCTGAGCTCATCAATCAGCTGCAGGTTTTGGTTAACGCGCGGTTTAAATGCGATGATTGCGTCTTTACCCTGCGGGTGGTTTGAGCTACATAGAGGGTCGTTTTCGTTAGTGCCAATTCCGGTGAATTGGTAGAGGTGGTGGTCGCCAAACTCCGCAGCGACGAAGAGATATCCTGCTCTCAGGATGCATATAGAGTTGCCAAGCGGCACAGTATCGAAATACCGGCATACAATCTCCTTCACTCGGCCTTCTTCGTGAAACAGTTCGACTTTGTAAATGTCGCCATACTCGGACTGCAGGAGCACGAAAAAGAAGTCGCGCATCTTGTGGATCGCGCTAGAGACTATCAGCAGGGGTTTGTCCTGCGCCATTTCCAGCCTGCGCGGGTAAGCGCAGGATATCTCGGGGTGTTCCATGTTTTTGTACACAAGGAAGTTCTCGCAACAGACGAGCACCCCACCTGGGCTTTCGCCTCCAGGTATCGCCACCAGGTGATGCGCGCTGAGATCAACAGGGAGCGTCATCTTCCGCACTACGTGGTTAAGACCGAGGTCCATCTCCCAGAAGCTGAGACCTTTTTTCAACGCCTCGTCGGTGAGCTCTTCGTCATCGTCTACCTGGAGGGCGTCCACCGCCTCGTAACTCTGTTCGAGTGACGCAAATATGGGATTCTCGAATCCCACATCCAGTCCCACAATATCATGGCACACGGAGCGGCTTTTGTGGGCCTCCAAGGGGGAGCTGATGGTGAGGTTCGCCTTGCTGTCTCGATTGAGGATGTAAACAAACTTCTCTCGCTCCACTGCACCTACGATGAGCGCTCTGCCCTTGGGATCCACCGCCAGGTACTGTCCAGGTACAATCCTGCGTATGCCGGTTTTCCCGTACGTTTCGCAGTGCACGCGCTTGAATGTGCGCGCGGCGTTGCAAAACTCCAAGATAACCAGACGGCCGCTGTCTGAACCAACCACCAGGTAATCTCTTTGCGTTCCCGTCAACCGGAACGCCGAAATGACCCGTACGATTCCGAATATCTCGCAGACGCAGAGGCTGCGCAACTTGCCATTTTCATCCGGCGACAGCAATTCCAGCGTATGAGACCGCGCTACCACGATTTCCTGGGCCTTCGGCGCCGAGAAGTTGCCCTGTACAGCCTGCGTGATGCCCGTAGGCTTTTGGAGCGTGAGGTGGAAGAAGACCGGCATTGCGCTACTGGTGATGAGCGCACGGATGCGGTGTCCTGTGGGAGGTAAGAAATCGGTGCCGCGAGTAGCGAGGATTAAGGCTCGGGGCGTAGCGCGGCGCTCCGTTGCCACCAATGGGGTGACGTCGCGCGATCGTAGACAGGAATCCCGAGGCGTGCTGGTGTTTTGGGTGTGTACGGCACCAAATGGCTCGGATTCGCGTTATGTTGCGTATTATTTGCACGTATGCCCCTTTTCGGGATGATGTGTAGATGTTATCGTGCCACCGGCGGTAGCGCTGTAGCAGCTCTGTTTTTGCGACGCCAACGATAGAAGATGAGATCGTGTGTAAAGCTGGGCACCGCGTGGCTCCTAGGTATTCACGTTGCAGCAGTTGCGAGCTCGTCAGCCGCTGGCACTGTTCTGTTTGACTCTCTGCTAAGGGAAGCCAGGGTGCGCTACACAGCTGCCGGCGCACGTTTAACCCAGGAAGGTGAGTTGATGACTTCTTGTAAGCATTATTGCATGCAGAGCTTGCCAATACGGTGACTGAATCCCTGAAGAAGGCGTCGCAGCTCCTGGGACTCAGTGTGCCCGTTGTAAGCGGTGACTGCGAATTCGATTTCTCCTCGTTTTGTCCTGAGGGATGGGTAAGCATTTAGTCGGTGCTGGATGCGTTAATCACATACAGGTGTCTTCCGGTGACGGTGTCCACTGTGAGGTGGTACATGCTGGTTCCGCCGATGCGGGGTGCTGCGGGAGTCAACTAGACATGCGGAATAAGTCCCCCTTGGATAAGCTGAGCCTTGCGAATATGTGCAACGTAAAGTGGCCTTGTCGCGCATCGGAGGTCTACGTTTCGTCGGATGAGGGTATCTGTCCTCAGTTCTGGCACAGAGAAGGTGGGTCGGCCTCTCATGTTTGCCAACACTCTGAAGGGGAGGAATGCGTGGCAGACCACACCTACGTGGGACCTTGCGACACACGTCTTAATTTCACGGGGAAGGGTCATCAGGAGCGTGAAGACATCGCTCGGAAGTGCGGGCTCTCGTATTCGCGCACAGCCGGGCTCCTGGATGAGGGCAGCGACTGGTCTGCAGATTGCCCACTGGGGTGGTCGCTGCATGAGGTCAGTGTGCTATATCGAAAAAATTAACGCCCAATCAGGATGGCACATGCATCCTAAACGCTGATCAGAGTGCTGGAATGTGCGGAAGAGCACTAAAGTTTGTGGATATTCGTGACAAGCGCGATAAGGCTCGGCGTTGCGGCCTTGTGTGGTGGGTTATACATATACTGGAGTGCCGCATTTTTTGATTGTTGTATGAAATATATGTGGACGCCAAGCAGTTGACCGCGGTATTTATCATTGTGACAATGAAATGGTACCTCTGCTGTCCTCGCATCATGACTGTGGCCTCTACCTTGTTGAACATGTGACTTATACCTCCCCTCACTACCTATTTATCTTTGCTGGATAATGCACCAATAATCTTCAGGCCTGTCAAATTAGCGAAAGTTGAGTCGATGTGTCCACTGGGGTGGCGGTATGACGAGGAGAACGAGCTGTGCTTGGCGCCTCCAAGTTACACGGTATGTTAAGTGAGAGCGCCGTCCAACCGCTGCAGGGCCCCTGCCAGTTAAGGATGGACTTTAGAAACTACACTGCTGCAGAAAAGGCTCTCTGGGCCCACGTCTGTAGTGGTAGTTTCCTAGATGGTGGTGTGGCGAAGGATGAGCCCACTAAAACCACGTCAAATGTGTCGTACCGCAGCGGCGCCCTGGACCATGCGTTATCCGTCGTTCGCTTTAGCAAACCTGTTAAAGATATGCGGGTTATTGAAAAACAGCTTGAGAGTAGGCATCGCTGGGGCGCTATTTCATCTGAATCAGAGCTTCGCCGTCTGCGTAAGACGACTAATGATCGCTTGTTTATTAGCACCATCAACGTAAGCCTTCTTGCTGTTTGTGCGCTAACGTCTGTACAGAAAAGTATCGCATCCCTGCGCTCGCAATTGGACAAAGCCGCTGGTACAACACCAGCGTTCATTCAGCTGGAATCAATGCACCTCACTCCCGAAAGCACGAATTGCCCTTGTAGGTCAAAATTGCCATTATTATCATAGCTTTTGCGACAGACGGCTGGCGTCAATTCGATGGCGTCTGTGTTGCTGGTGAAACCTACAGCCGCATAATGCCGGGGTGCAGGACAATACATCACTTGTCGGACGGGTTTGACGAACGATGCCGTGTATCGCAGTGAGTGGCGGTTAGAGCTTAAGATAATCTCAACAGCCGCACCGAGGATGTGCTGGAAGATTTTGTTCGCGCATACTGCCCGTTGGGCTGGCGCATCCGCCGGGTGTACTACGGAAACTTGGTGCGCCACATATGCGTGGCACCATCCGATTGGAGTGGGGCCCAAAAGGCCGAATGCGGCGGCACAACTGTGGACTTTTCCGCCAGGTCACCTGGTTTCAAACGGCGGTGGGCGTTCGCCTGTGGACAGCGATTTCCCCAATTTACGGACGCTCATGCGGCGAGGTGCGCTGAGAACTTCTATTGGTAGGGTTTCCTGTTGTTACTCCGGCATATTGCAGGCGATGCCCGGCGGAATGGATCCACGAAGGAGAAGACTGCGTTGCACCCCAACATTACGGTGGGCCCTGCCCTCCAAAAGTGCCCGTATCGCAACTTGCCAGCGCTAGCTTGAAGGCTGCGTTTTCGCAGCGTTGTCACGCTGCATGGCCATGTATAGGATACTGTGAGAAAGATTACAGTGCGGTAGGTTATAACGGCCGGTTGATTACTCCATGTTGGACCCACGCCTAACCTATCGACCACATTGTATGCAGGATTGCCCGGAGGGGTGGATTCGAACGGACGAAGGCTGCAAGCTGTCATCCAATAGCGACGGAGGCAGTTGCGGCAACCATATCGTCGTGCCGAAGTCAGTCTTCCTAATGTCGTGAACATTCTTGCGCAGGCGTTGGGGACCGGGTCCTAAAGAAGAGCTTGAATTTTTGTGCGAAGTCCATTGGCCCTGTAAAAAAGTATGATGCGGTTGCTGAGCACCCATCAATGTAAAATGAATAATGTTTTAGTTCAAATGAAAACCCGTTTATGCCGTTTGCACTGCATGCTGACATGCTGCTATGGCGTCATTCATCAACGTGTTCTCAATGTCTGCGCGGGCAAATACATACACTTTTCCATTACGATGCTGTGTGTTCCACGCTTTCATAGCCCCTCTAATCGGTGCCAGTGCTGCCGTCATGTCTAGATTCACCGGCGCATTGGAGATACACCGTTATTACGCCAAAATAAAGGAAGGCACATTGCAGTTTAACACCATTATCACTCGTTTGTTTTAGTTAGTGTGGCGAGCGCGTTTAACATCTAGTTCCTCGTGGAAGTTATGCCCTGGGTATGCCAAACTTTTCGAAGTCGAAACCCAGTCGTCTCAGGCCTACAACGGCCATCTTAAGATCCTGCGACGTAATATTGCGCTGCTGGGTAAACTCACCTCCTTCAACTCGGCGGTAGCGGTATGGGAGCGGTTGAATGTGATAACGCCCAGGATGACTGAGTACGCTGCGTACACACCTAGAGCGGCGACTGCGACAATCGGAGCCTGCGAAGAGATAAATAGCGGTGCACAGCATATTACCAGCAGGAATCTCAGCACGGGCAAGGTGCGAGGCTGGCGGAAGACATGTGCCCAGACAGCTGCGTAGAGCACCAAGAGTACCGCGACGATCTTCCCCCTGCTGACGGCCATTTCGGCGCTTAATTGTAGGTCGAAGGACGGTGTAGAATATATTGACTACCCGCAGCCGCCGGTCTTAGACCCCATGGGTTAGAAGGTGCGGCCTACACCTCCAACAGCTTCAGACATCAGCTCCTTACAACGTGACGCCACGTTGGAAACCAAACGAACCCGTTTAAATTTTTAAGAGCCAATAAACGTTCGTATATACCCAAAACGGTTTGATGTACCGCTGTTTAGCTGTGTATTAGTGGATCAGTGCGTTGCAAAAGATCGATGCAACCACGACATTATACAACGTCATTGGCGCAACATCTCCAGGTCTACAGCCGCTGCAGAGGCGCTAGTACAAACTAAAGCATCGCATAACATATAGTTTTGGTGGAAAAAAGGGCCTTCTATCGGCCGTAACCCCTTATATTTTCAACTGTGATTCCTGCGCCAAACGTGCCATGTTAGATGGTTGGCAACCATAGAAAATAAATACACACCGATTTAGTTGCATTCGGCATTAGTAATCATTTTCAAATGAGCCTTAGTTTCCTGTTGTATGGACTGCGCGTGTATGGTGTAGGCAAGTCGCGGGCGCGTGAGCCTATGGACAACCAAGAGCCGAGTGAAACCAAAACCGTTTGAAAGCAGCTAGCGCTTTTGCGATAAGCGCTTGAATTCTGCAAGAGATGGAACATCCCGCCTCCTAGAACAATACGGGAATGATGGCTGACGCGGAGTTCACGGCATCGCTCGTGACGCTGTGCCGTCAAACGCTCAGCGGCGATCGTGCCACCATTTCGGCTGCGGAGGAGAATCTTAAGGCATTGCTGCAGCCGAATGGCGCCCATATTGGTCACAGGGTTAAATGTCTTTTCCGGATAATCCTTTTGCCATCTACGCTCATACTGCAGCCCACAGCCATCGCAGGTTGGTACAATTATACGATTCCACTTCCATTTCATATGTATGCCGCCATAAATACGTTCGTTAATGGCTGTTTGGCTGAATTGTAGTTGATTAAGCGTGTAATCATACGACCGTTTCAATGACTTTTATATGCGATATGGAACGTAACCGCCTGGCTATGTTGCTTAACATTGGCATAGTAATACACGTAAACGTACTGCCGTTACTATGTGAAATATGTACTACCCGCATTTATGCTCTAACGATGCCTAGATAAGATGTTTTGTACAGTTTCATATTAACATCTAAGGTTAATCATGAACGCCTAATCAGAATGTTTGCGTGCTTTTTAGAATGTCAATTTATATATGCACCCCAATTAAAACAATCCTGTGGTTGTGTGCAATTTGATAATCTGTCATTTCGTGTTGGATGCCGTTATAGCGTCGGGAAGTCATCATTTTGCAGATAATGACCTCAAGGTCGTTTCGCCAGAACTTCAACTTTGGGTTGCCATATGCCTCAAGAATTTCATTCGGAGCAACTTCGACACACCGGAGTCCCATGGTGGAGTGAGCGACGACCTGAGGCATCTTCTGAGATGCTTTCTTGTCGTTGCTGTGCTCAATCACAGCCGCCTCGGTTTAGACAAGAATGTGTTCAGACAACTGGAGGAAACTCTTCATATGCTTTCGGAGTACGATTTCCCGCACAACATGGACTTCGCTATGTTGTTCATGGAGTACTGCCACCTCAGTGACGTAGCGCCCACTGTAGTTGCGAACGCATTTTCGCAGCGCGTTCACAAGGCGGCCAGTATGCGCACCCAGGTAAACGTGGGGATAAATTCGGCTGTCGAGAACTCCCAATCCCTCGCAAGGTCGTTAGAGGAGGCAAAGTCTACTGTTCACCTGGCATACGGCGAGAGCTGTGCCAAGCTCGTGGCGTCGTATTCCCAAGTGCACCAGTCTTTGGAGTCATACAGTGCGGCAATGGCAGTTGGCGATCTCGGCATATTAGGGCGTGTGTACTGCGAGTTGTTTAGAACTATTGCATCGAGTTGCGATGCGATGTGCGAGGTGCTCAAGGGGGTGACTCTCTGCGACTTGGACCTTGGCAAGTTCCTTCAGGCCGCAGCGTACTTGTTCCCCAAAGAGCAGTTGCTAATACACGCCATCAGCAATTCTACCGGTACATGCGAGGTTAAGCATGATAAGGGTGATGCGCTGATGTACTTCGACGATCGCGTGCTGTACAAGGACCCGGCGTTGTGGCAAATGTCAAGCGCCGCGCTCCCCGAAATTGGGAACCATGGACAGTGGGTAATAGTGTCTTTGCGCGCCGGATCAGTTCTCAATGAGGCTACAGTTGACCTGGAGTACTTCCGCCGCAAGACCCAAACCTTGGGTGTCTTCAAGAGGCTGATGAAAAAATACAAGACCAGCCTGTACGGCGATGCGATTCTGAGTGAGCTGAAAATAGTGCTGACGGTTAGTGAGAACATGTTGCTCTATGTCTTCAAAGTTTGTCTCTCCAAACTGCGCGAATTTTTGCCGAAGGCTTCTGTTGCCGGTGCTCCAAATTGCATGTCCCGAGTGGTGTTGGACATACTAGAGGCCATTACCTACATCACTAAGATCCTCACTTATATCCACGCCATCGACCTGCCGGAATGCTGCGAGGACAATGTGGATGTCTATTTGGGTGGGATGCTGGAACTGTTGCGTTTTTCGGACCCCGTGATATTGCAGGTCGACCAGTCTGGTGAGTCTTGCTCGCGTGTTGCTTTCAGAGTATTACAGGCATAATACGAAAAATGAAAGTTGCTATTTGCAAGCTGATGCGTTACTATGGCGAACGTTATCAGGAAGCCTTCTGTCCTTTTGTTTTCCAATGCATCGACGACACGGTAGCACTTTGCCGTGGTTTGTCGCAGCAGAGCGATGACGATCGTTTGTGCTCCGCCATCCTGGAATTCCTCACTGCCTCAGCATCGACCCACTGGAACCCCCATGGTGGACGTAACAGCCCTTTCACTGATGCCGATTACCTGGCGGATATGATACGGTCCATCGTGCTTCCCAACATCGGCTTCCGGGAGTGCGACCTCTTCCTCATGGAAGACTGCCCTTTGGAGTTCGTCCAGCGTGAGTTGGACACGGGCACCGGCCATAGCCGCCGTTTCGCCGCCATCAGCCTTTTGAAGAAGCTCGTGAACACCTACGGACAGATAGTGCAATACATACTGAACCAGTTCGCGCTGAACGTCTCCAGCGTCAACGATTACAAGCTCAAAGAGCTGTACTTGCAGCTGATCATATGTTCCAATTTTAAGGTAGGTTCGGCTAAACTTGTGCGTCAATGTTATTGCAGGCCAACGATGGTTTCCAGGTCCACGCTTATTTCTCTGAGCACCTGCGAGGCGACTTGCTTCGGGAGTCGCAGAGCCTGATTAACGAGCAGGCGAACGTCCTGATAGTAATGGCGATAATGAAGTTCCTGTTTACGTTCAAAAAGCAAATCCCTGTCAACGAGTTGTCGTCGCTGGTTGCTCCGATCTCTGCTTTCTTGCGGCACCAGAACGACGCAGTGCGCTTCCTGGCGGCGGAGACTCTCAACCGCATTCTGCCGCTTGTTCGGGACTATAAGGCCCAGCTAAAGCAGACCTTGCTGCAGGCTCTGGGATGCATTCTGCAACTCATGAGGTCTGAGCCTCCCAACGAGTTTTACGTGCGCTGTGTGATGCGCATATTCCTCTTCTTGCGCCAGGATGTGCTCGAGAGCGGGTTCGTCATGTTGGACATTATCGTCGAGTTGATCAAGAAGGCGTCGGACAATCCAGTCAACCCAGTATTCAACCACTACCTCTTTGAGTGTCTGGCCACACTACTCCGCATCCACCTTTCCGCAGGCTCGATGGACGCGGTGGCTCGCATAGAGGACGGCCTGATACCTACGATCGCAATCATCATGCAGCAGGATATGCACCCTTTTGTGCCGTATGGCCTGCAGATTCTGCATATATTGCTGCGTGCTACGCAGCAGCCTGGCTCTACTTACATGCAGCTCTTTTCGCACCTGACCTGCATCGACACCTGGCGTGCTTCCACGGCGAATGCCCACGGCGCTGCTAAGCTGCTGGTGTGTTACTTCGAGCGCCATGCGCTGTTCGAGAAGGAGATTGTGGCGAACATCGAACGCATATTGGGTGTCTTCCACTTCTGCCTGACGCACCGGAAGCTGTCGTTAGTGGCGCTTGACCTTCTCAACGGTCTCGTGCGTTACCTTCCCGTTGCGTTTTACAGCAAGTTCATCACCTCCATCGTTACAGTGATGCTTTCATTCATCCACAAGACGAAGACAGGCGAGAGCATACCAAGGGTGGTCACATCCATGGCGCTTCTGGCCACGTCTCTGCATCTGCAGCAGTATGCGCCGGGCTTCGTGGAGACCCTGGAGACCATCCAGGCCGGCATCTGCCGAAATTTCTTCCAGGTGGTATACGTGCCCAACGCACAAAAGGTGTTGGCGCTCGAATCGAAGCGAGTCCTAATGGTGGGCACGGCCATCATGCTTGCCAGCCCAGTGGTACAGGTGTCTGGTGACATATTCACGCAGTTGGCTAATTTCCTCGGGGAGCTGATTCAAGGCCAAAGTCTGAAGGCCGCACCCAACCCCGTGGAGCATGACGAGATGGAGGACCTGATGCAGGATCTGGAATTTGACGTATCGTTTGTCCGTCTGCGCAGTGTTGAAGATCCCGCCAACCGCGGTGGCGCCAAGCTTCTGGATCCCAGTGTTAATGTGGAGCACATGGTGCGCAGCTCTCTGCGTCCGATAGCTTCCATTATACAGCAATTGCCGCCAGGTGGCAGTGCGCATACTTTGCTGAACCTTTTGAATTGACCATGAGCACCATTTTCGACACTAATATTGCTTGTGACCAGTTGCTTCAAGTTGCATATGGGTGTTTAATTAATTTGCGCAAAACAGGAGTGATAGATGGTACCCTATGACATGCCGCCGTAGATGGTGATGCTATTAGACCCATCATTAGATCGTGATATGTGAGCTGATGTAGCATGGTCACATAACAATTAGCGTGAAATAGAGTTTTGGAGTTTCAATCTTCCAAAATGCAACAATGATGTTGCACGGCCTACAACTTCGCAGCGTAGACTGATATTCCCATGTAACGCCGCTTTCTGGCAACGGCTAGCGTAATGTATTTGTTATAAACATGCCTCCTGCGGCTGTAGTTATGTAATGTGCAAAGGGCCATCCTAACTGCGCATTAGACCAGTCAAGCGTCGGTCTTGGATAGCCACAACATTTGCCCGTATACTTGCACACTTGACAGTGCACAAAGGATCACTTTGATGTGCACATCAATCGCCATTTATTTGAGACAGTAACGAGTTCCCTAGTGCACTGCCGTCACATTTACTCTAAGGCATCGAAAGACATGGTAGCACATGGCAAAGACCGCTAAAAAAAGCGGATGCCCATTCAAAGATGCGACGTGCTAGCAATAGAGTACAACTGCCTGGTTGATCCGAGCCCACTAGTCACCTACCGTCATTCCTGTATTGCACCAGTGGGGCCGAATACGCACATCTCAGAAGCTGCCTGGCGCAGTAAAAAACTGTGAAATCGGGAGGAAACAAATTTCCTGTCCAAATCGGACCTGTCGGATTTGTGGCAGGTGGTAAAGAGATCTGCCATCGCCCTGCCAAGTGTGCCTGGCGACGGCGCTTACGCGTTAGCCCCTACCACGGCTGCATAATTGGATGTCTAAACAACTCTGGCGACAAGATGATGTTCATTATAGATTGGTTAGTTAGCCGTCGATTATATTGGGATTCATATCGTATGTTCATCGTGATTTGTTGCCGTGTCTACACGGTCTAGCAGGGGTGTGTCGTCAGTCAAATGTCGATGTGTGTGATTGTAGCGCTATTACTTTAGCGTCCAACGTGGTTACGTTGCATGGCTCGCTAAATATCTGGATTTATTGTTCGATTACCCCCGTAATTCTGTCCGCTAACATCTCTACAGGATCAAGAGAGCCCTCATCTCCTTTGGATGGCTCAACAAGGAGGGCAAGATCGTGTTCCTCGGCCTTGACAACGCCGGTAAAACTACGCTGCTGCGCATGCTCAAGGATAACCGCCTGGCGTGCCACACTCCCACTGTGCACCCGCACAGTGAGCAGCTGACTCTCGGCAAGGTCAACGTCACGGCCTTCGATCTCGGAGGTCACGAAACTGCACGCAGGGTCTGGAAGCAGTATTGTGGCAACGTCGACGCCGTATGCTTCCTCATCGACGCCTCTGACCGCACGCGGTTCCAGGAGTCGGCCGAGGAGCTGCGCGCACTGATAAACCAGGAAGAGCTTTACCACAAACCTTTCGTCATCCTCGGTAACAAGATCGACAAGCCCTCTGCCGCTTCGGAGGAGGAGCTCAGGTCACACTTGGGACTCCTCGCCGGTGAGACCTACGGCAAGGACTGCGGCCCCGGCCGCTGCGTCCGCCCGATAGAGGTCTTCATGTGCAGCATCCTGCGCAAGCAGGGCTACGGTGAGGCCTTCAAGTGGCTCGCACCGTTCCTGCAGGATGCCAAGTAAGCTTTCAGTTGGGTAATTCCCTACTGACTTACATCGGGATTCGTGCGGCGGTAGCGCTTGTTGCGGGGTGCTAATAATCGGTACTCACACCATCCGTTCGTGGCATGGTGAAATGTGTTGTGCACTCAGCGCAGCGTTGGACTATTTTAATGCCAATGGCGGTGCTCTTGTACACGGTTACAATTGCTCGTCTGCTTAATTTGATATAAAATGCTTCATTTGAGTGATCAGTGCGTGGTGACAATTGGCATAAACCATTAGAGTTAGGGTGCCATATTTTGGCACGGCTTTTGTCAGTTGTCGGTTGCCCGTAGTCGCATTTGGAGCTCAAAGCGAATGGTATCGTCTGGAGGCTGCAGTCTGCATGGCCTAGTTCCCGCTCTGCAAAAGCAGCTTCTGCACCAGATTATCGCGCTCGATTTGAGTCTGCCTGAGCAGGTCCACCTGGTTGGACGGCCTGTAGAACCGCGTTATTCCAGCTCCCATGGTCCCCTCCCCTGTATCGGCCGACGTTCTCCATGTGTCTAGCAATTGTTGTATCCGCTCGCTTTTTTGATCTACTTGCTCATCACGGAGTTTTATGCCGATGAGATGGCCCACTCCACAGAAACGATGGTGCACGCCGTCGTCTTCCTTCGGCTGTTCTGCGGGCACGTCGTTTGCGCCGTTGATCTCAGGTATCACCGGCGAGTGAAACAGCACCGTGTTTGCGATTTCTTTAGCGTGAATGCTCCCATGGGCTTCTATGCCCATGCACTGCGTGGACTTTACACTGCCTGCTGCACGGAAAAGGCAGTCCTCCATGGTGCTACCCCGCTCCTTATTGGGTTGCGACACTCCCTGCGCATCGGGAAGTGGTTCTACAGTTACATCGCCATCATCGTTCACCTTCAACGCCTTTACATAGGAGGACAAGACCTTGCAGTCGTGATCGGCGCTCGTGGGTGTGAAGCAATGGCACGGCGGAGTTGGATCCAAATATTTGTTGTTTATGTTTTCAGCTTCGTACTCGAAATCGATCTTCAAGTCGTTGCAGTCCCAGACATTTGCCGCCAGATGCTCTAGGTGAGTGCGAGACCCTATATGGTGCTCAAAGTCCTGACTGCAGCAAATGAGAACAAGGTTCGTTACACTTACAGTGACATGATGTCATGCTTTTGCAAGCCGGGTGCTGGACCGATGTGTTGTTTGGTGAGCCACTGCAGCAGCGATCGCGAGTCAAAAGTGTTTTCGCCTGAAGAGAGTGGCAGATGGTCGGTTTCCTGCAGTTCTACGAACGTTTTAGTTAACCCCAGAACCGCTATCGGTATGGGCGGTGTTTTGATTTCCGGGGTGTTGGGTTGTAAAACGATCCACCTAACTTCGTCTGTGATAAATTCCCTCGGCAGCTTCACGGACCCCTGAAGGGTCCTGACGTACTTGAACAGCTCGCTTCCTTTGGAGGTTGTCTTCGCTGCGTTGTTGGAACGGCTTGTCACGGGGCATTTCACCGGCCGCCGCATCTCAAGGTCCATTGCGAATATGGACCCACTAGTGGTGCAGGCGAGCAGCAACTTTTCCTTCCCAGAGTCTATTACGGCGACACCGCAATAGCCGTGGAATATAGAAACAGCAGCTTCGTGTTGCGGCGCTTTAAAAATCATGTTGGGATAATCGTACGGGGATTCGATCAGCGGACCGACGGAGTCCATGTTTGCCTCTAGATCCTCTTTCCTAACGCGCATGATTTGCATTGGTCTCACTCCTTCCACAGCTAGCTCAAGATCATCCGCGAACACCCTGCCGCTGGCGAAGTCACGTAGAAGTTGGTTGTCTGCTTCATTGGTCCGCGTAGAGTTAGCGTTTGTGCCGGGGACATTAGCGGTACGCGGCTTCGCTTGTTGCTCGTGCTCCGCATCCTCTTGTTGTTGCATAGGCATGGCATCCATATAATCATCCATGCTTTCATATGCCTCTTTCTGCTTGGGCACCGGACCCACTCTGGCAATTCGAGGCGGTCTTCCAGCTTCTAGCTTTGCCAACTTACAGGGTCGTACACCCCGCAACCTGTCCAGTTGTTTCTGCTTAACCGGATCGTACAGATCCATCCAATCGTTCCAGAACTGACGCTCCTTTCCGGGGCCCGTTTCCTGCACGAATCGGGTGATGGTGCGGTTAATGCGGAATCTACAAGTTATTGGGTACCGCTGTCGCCAGCTGAACGCAACCAAAGTGGATTCACCGTTGACATCTTCGCCTGCTGACCATATTAGCTCCCTGAACCGTGCACCCAGGTATTCCGCTGCCGGGAGCGGTATCTCCAAGACCGGCTTGACCGGCACTCGGAGGTCCCAGATGTAAATACAGTTGCTCCTGCCACAGACGCAGGCCAGTATGTGTCGATATATTGGGTGCACGGCGATTGCTGTGAAGGCGTCCCAATAGCTGGGTTTTATGTTTTTCCAGTAGTGAGAGTAGGCACAACTAGCCCCTGCCAAGTTACGGTTCGCTGTGGTGGTGGGTTCGTACAGGCGCTCCGTCCACCTCGTTGAAGTCACACTTATTTCCTTGTTTGCCTTAACCAGAAGGTCCTCGATCTTATCAGTGCGCATATCCAGCATGTACAACCGGTCCCCTCCAAGGATAAGCTCGTTCATGTGCATTCCAAATGACACTGTGTGTACAACATCCGTTACAGTTTGTCCTACATCTGCAGGCAACTTTAGTGTCAGGTGCTTGCGTTCCTTGCTCTGCGAAGCGTCATAGAGTAGCAGCGTGTTGCTGACGAGCATGGCGCATTCCGATGGGATAAAGGGGTTGGGGTGCATAAAGTACACTTTGTCCCGGTCACCGTATTGCTGGTTATTTAGTGTTTCCACGTGCCAGTCACGACCCTGTTCCACACATCTGCCGACGTAAAATCCGTTGAAGCTGCGTGCGTACATTATGTTGGCGCTGGCCTTAAGCTCCAGAATGTGGCTATCCCGGGATGAAACATTCTTCCAACTGCGATATATTTGTGGAACATATGGCTTTTCAGTGTCCCCCGTAGATGGGGGTTCCGCCTCTACGTACGGAGCGAAGTAGCCGTTTGAGAAGTCGTACCCCGCTTCAAACATGCCTCGCTGTGGATTTACGTGCCTCTCAAATGGCATTTTTATGCGCCACCCAGGCTCTTGCCCCATTTGTTGTTGATCTTCTTCATCTGCAGAATCGCCGTCCGATTCGCTACTGTCGCTATCTGAACCTTCACTTTCTGCATCGGAGGCTTCGGCATTGGGATCTCTGTTCTTTGCCCGCCGTTTTGGGTAAAATATACCTGAAGGGTACACTTTGAAACGCACATTTGTCTCCAGCTCGATGGTGCCGTCTCCACTTTTTGTTTTCACTTCAACGGCCTCGATGCCGCCATTGGCTGCGCCAGTCGGTTTGAGCAGCATCGTGCGTTTGCGTCCCCAGGTATACATAAGCGCAATTGCGTTTACAATTTCGCACTGCATTAGATCGTAGAAGCTCCTGTAGTACAGTTCGTTGAGGGTTTGGGGACCGCGCTCCTGGTTGAGGTATAGTGTCGATTCATAAGGCATGCAGTACAGCCCGTTTCGACACACGCCGGACGACCCATGGAACGCCGCCACCCTAGCCGACACGCTGGAATTCCCGACATGTGCGATAGCGGCGAGGTTACGAAGCGATGAGCTGCCGTCGTTGTCACCTCTGGGATCGTCGTGAGTCACGCTCACGGTCAGGGGCTCCGGCTCTAGCAGATATCGAAGGAACCAGTCCCGGACCCGCTCAGGGTCATTTGTGCCACCGCTACGCGATATGTCTTCAATCAAGGCGTGTCTGTAGAAGCTACTGGCCGACGAGAGCGCCCAGGTCGGCATCTTTCAGACGACAGCGCCGTGTCGAGATTCCTCAACATAAGCGTCGGTCACATATGCCTCAATGTGTCTAAATAATAGACATTAAAGTACTAATAATAGCATCATTATACAATGTGTGTGGGCTAAGTACGCCTTTTGCGCTCTACAAATATTCAATGGGCGTGTATCACACCCATGGACATCCTCGGTCTTTTCGAGACCGGTGTGTTGCGATGAATAATACGGTTGCGTTGCACTCGCGGTTTGATGCAGCGCCATAATGACGGTATTACGTCATGGTCTCCGGAACCTCAAAGTCGGAGAGGCAGTCCCCCTCGTTGCATGAGGAGACGGTCTCTTGATAACACGGCGTCGTGAACGACTGCTCATCTTGCATCTGCCGAACTGAGTCGCACTTGCCGGTGGTAACGCAGCACAGGAACAGCACCAGCTGCTGGCGCTTGTCAAGCAGGAAGTAGTTGAAGCTCTGCATACAACTACCCTCGTTGAAAGGCCCATCCTCGCCGTAGTAATCGTACGTGTATATATCGACCTCCTTCAGCGGCACGATGTCCTACGAAATAGGTGAAGCGTCAGCGACGCTGTGGCATGCACTGCGCCACTTTCGTGAAGCCCACATACCTTTATAACATCCCAGAAATCCTTCGCGAAGCCTGGCACGAAGCGCTCCACTATGAACGACAGGTTGTAATCGATGTTGTTGATGACCCCGGCCAGGTTCTTCACCTGCTTGAAGTGTTTGGCGCCCAGGTGACTGCGAAGGTTGGACAGCGGAAGGCAGCAACCATACCTGAAGCTGTAGTCTGGAAAGCAGTGGTTCATGATGTACGAGAAGTATTCCGCATGCGGATGCTGTCTCCCGGCTGCTTCCAACTTCCTGCAAACGTTAAATCGCCGTCACACACACCAACTTTGCTGGGAAAGCTAGGAGCTCCAACTTGACATCAAACACGCGGTCGGACGCGTCGAACCGGTCAAGCAGAGCAGTGAGCCGGCTAAGGTCGCTGTTCTCTACGAGCGTCATCTCGAGCTACGGTACAGGACGGCTGTGAAGCGGTTGTCGGTAAGCGGTGTAACACCGGTAGGCGAAAGTTGCTGAATGAAAGACGGCTTTAGCTGCCTAAAAAGAACACGTTTTTAACATTAAACCGCAACTTCGTGGCGTTCATCTTGAATACGCTGGCGTGGAGACAGTTTTGAGACTGACGTCGAGCGCATAATGTGCGTCCATGAGGGGCGCGATGCACATCCTGGTGACCTCTCTGCACTTAACTGTCAACACAAAGCAGTGTCTACGGTATTCAGGATACCGTAGCAGCTTCTAAAGCACAAAAGATCCCTGTCAGGCTGGCGACACGCTTGCGCTCCGGAATGGCACCTGTATCGGCGTGGATGTTATGCGATCTGCAGACAATCGACATCGCCGTATAGATCCCCGCCTGTGCCATGATCGTTGTGCCCCTGGCATTCCGCCGCCGCGGGCTTCTGCTGTCTAGGCGGTGGTTTACCAAGCTATCTAATTCGTCCGAGCTTCGTCATGGCGCTGCTGACGAAGGCTTAGCTTCCACTAAGGATGCCTCAGCTGAGGTGAACTTGAGCCCGCTATACACGCAACGCGTCGGCATGTTCTTGGAACCGGGCGTCCTCTTCAAGGACCACCATCGGAAGCGCTTCCTGACCTTCAGGCTCTACTTCTTTTCTATCGTATCGCTAACGGTCATCTTGGGCATGATCAAGATCGTACCTCCGGGTTACGTCGGCCTCATCGTGAGGCGTGATGGCAGCATCGACCAGTTCAACAACGAGAAGCGCCTAGCGCTCTTCTACGTGCCATTCATGGAGACGCCCGTCGCATTCCGCACCACGCCGATACGCAAGAAGATCATTGAAAAGTTTACCACCAAGGACGGTAAACAGGTTGAGGTGTGTTGTTAGCAGCTACGTACGGTTAGGTTTAACGTGCATGCAGGCCGTGATTTTCCTCGATTTACAAGCCAAGCTGGCCTACGCGAGCCATGTCTACGCAGTCTTCGGCGTGAACTTTTCGAAAAGCTTCGTCGAGAAGGAGCTTCTCTTCGACGTTGAGCAAGTGGTAAAACGTTTCAACAGGGACGAGCTCCTCGTGCAATCTGACGAAGTGGAGCGCCTGTTTGCCAGCAATGGCCAACGCGTCGCCACCCTCAAAAGTCACGGCGCCACTGCGGAGCTTGTAGAACGCTTCCAAGACGCAGGCGCTTTCCACAAGATCGTCGTCAGCAACATAGTAAGTCACCCGTTAGTCGAGTCACATGATTCAGAACGTGAGTTTCCGTGACCCCAGTCTGGTGCCAGATCTCTGAGTCACTGGCTTTTGCGCACCTCCAGCATCACTGGACCTACAAAAGAAGTCAAACTTAATCTGATAAATCGCACATGTCACCACATTGTTGCACAACCCCTAAATAAAAACTGGCTGCTGTTTGCAAGCATGCAGAGCATAACCTACCGACTTTTATCCCCTGTGCCTGGAGGTGTTGGTGCGAGTTGTCGCATATAGGGAATTTAGCTGCGTATGTATGTTGTCGTGTAGCGTGTAACCTACCTGAGCGCCAGCAGCGGCATACCGAAATTCTTGTGGTTGGCGCTGACGGCGGCGTCAAAACCTTGACATGTTCCATGGGATGCCCTGCGAATAGTCACGTAAATAAGACACAGTCTCACCCCATAGGTTTAGTTTGTCGCCAGGTTTGCGAGGCACCCGCAAGGCGTGCGCGACAGAAACCGTTTGGCCCATATGCTGCTAAAACAAGGAAGTGACGCAAGCAATACAGCAATGTGCGCCCCTTTTCCGGTTAAATTAGACAAATCCCGTATTAACGTATATTACATACGTCTGTAGTAAGCGGTGTGTACGAAAATGTTAGCAATTGAGTGCCACCTGACCTGAGTCCACAGCAAGGCAGTGTCGGCGTTCCTCCACAGTTAGAAAAAGGCGAATCACGGAAGTTGAGTTGGTAGCGTTGCTCGCTCCATGTGGATAATTTCTAATTGTAGAAGACAATGGTATTAGTAGAGGCACACCGACAAGAATGCATAGATGTGTATATATATCGCCGGGCCGGCTTACTTCGGGAAGCTTTAGTAAGAATTTAACCGTGACAAAACCATAACAATAGCACTCGTAAACTTATTAAAAACTTTATCTATCATGAGGTATTTTCTATGCGAACACCTCCGGCAATATCTTTTCGCGTTCACAGGGCATAGCAAATGCTCCAGCTGACAACGGCGAAGGAACTGTAGAGGGAAACACCCATCTGTATAATTGTATGCATATACGTAAAAGTATAGCATACAATTACGCTGCACCGCATGTTGTGGGCCTTCACTGTAACAAACATCAGCGACGTTGCCTTGCGGCATACACCTATGCATGGTTAAACGTGCTGATTCAACACATCGTCGCGAGAACACTTCTACGTGTAATTCTGCGCCCATGTGTCCCAGATAATGGCCGGGAAGCAGAAATGTGTCGCTGTTTCGGTCGCTGCCAATGGATGCATCGCTCGTGACACATAGCGGACTGAATCAATTCCATGCAGCACACTTATGAGCACAATTCAGTAGCATTATGAAGAATTCGATTTGCAACTAAAATTCTTTGTTTATAACTCATCCAATCGCGCTTGCGTAGCTTGAGTCGGTGGGGAGGAGAATGCAACGGTGTTGCTGCCACGTAGAGCATCACGCTGCATCGACTGACAATTACTAGACGGCGATTTGTTTAAAATCGCTGCACCGCTGTGTAGGAGCCTTTCCTTCACGCGGACTGAAAGCCGCCTGCAGAGCTTTGTTTTGCCCATATAGGCAGGATTGTTGCGCTCGCCGATGTTGTCGCATACACGCATCGTTGACACCCTATCCTAGGAAACACATCTGCTAGAATTGGTCACGATGGATTTCATGAAGATGTTTAAAAAAGGCTCCGACCCTGCGGGGGACGGCTTGCTCGAGGAGTGCGTGAATCCAATCAACTTGGAATCTTTGGGTCTGGTTGAGGGCATTGGGCCTGCTTTGACGCCAGATTTTGACGATGTCGGATTGAGTATGCGCGAATACATCGAGAAATGGAAGACGCTGTACCCGTTAACCGAAAGCGTCGACTCGGTTCTGGAGAAGCTGAAGGAGTTGAAGAAGCTGGTATGGAGCCTGCCCGTGTGCGTTGGTGACGGAGGTGACATAGCTCAAGGGCGTAAGTGGTACAAGCTGTGGAATGTGGACCCTGTCAACGACGTCAAGATATCCGAGCTCTACTGGTGTAACGATATCAATCTCTTCCGCTACCTCCGCAGCTTCAAATTCAAGGTACAGCAGGCGTTCACGATGCTTCGAAGGACGCTCGCTTGGAGGCGTTTCAAGAAAATTGACGACATCAACACGGACAACGTGGCCATATCAAACACTGGAGGTATGGTCTACAGGAAGGGTTACGATAAGAGCGGAAAACCTGTCGTGTATTACAGGCCGAGCAATGAAGTGGATTTCGACCGTGAGAGGCAAGTTTTGCTTCTGTTCTTCATGTTAGAACTGGCGATGTTTACGTGCCTTTTCGCAGAGGGTAACGACAAGGTGGTTCTCATCGTTGACCTCGCCAAGTGGTCCATCAGCAAAATGCCTAGCCTGGAGCTCGTCATTGATACGGTGCGTGCGTCGTCCGACCACTACCCCGGTGTCGTCCACGACATCATCATCATCGACCCGCCGATGCTCATGGACCCGCTCATGCAAATGATCAAGGCTGTCGTGGACCAGCAGACGGCCAAGAAGATAGTGATGAAGCATAGGGGCTCAAAGCTGGAAGCGTTCCTTAAGAACAAGATCGACGTGAGCCAGGTTGAGGAATCCATGGGTGGAGCCAATAAGACGCACTACGACCACGATCTCTACTGGCCCGGCGAAACGAAGGCGGCCATCGAGATCCACGAGCGCAGGAATAAATGGATCGCTGCGCACGAGAAGGAATGGTTGGAGTCGAAGAAGAATGGAGCTCCAGGTGCGCCGCTTGGAGGTGAAGATTCCGCCACTGCGGAACCATCTGAAACCACCGCTGAATAAGGCGTCACGAATACAGTGACGCCGAACCAGGCCCAAGTCGCAATGCGATATATACCGTCGTAATGCTTTAGACGGATTCCCAATGCGCTGAATAAGGTGATGGCCTATGTGCATTAAATCTCCGCTAATAGCATCCCAAACCTTATCGTAGTTTCACGTTGCTTTGAATCGGCTGGAATGTATTACTATTATGATTTGCTCTGGCCCGGCCACGCAATTCTGGACACCGATAAGATGTTGTCTAGCGGGTATGCATTGGCGTGGCGGACCTCGGTTACGCTTATTGTCTCCCATACGGCGGTTCCATAAGAACTAACGCCGCATTGCACACTTATTAACGTTTGCCACTTATCGAGTATTATATATCCATGGGAGCTTTAGCTACGTAGCGGCATGCCTCAATAGGTTTGACCTCCACGTGTAATCGTAAGAAGGGCAACACAATTACTGATACGATATACTTGCCTAATACGTACGTAGGCATTCCAGTGAAAGCGGCTTAATGTTCGATGAGTGCAGGTATAAAGGCCTACACCCTTCCGCGGCAGTGACCCTCGCGGGAAAGCCCTGCCAGGATTATCCGATTAACGTAACGGAAGCTACTTCGAAGAAAGAAACACTAATTTGTTGTTTGGATGGGCGTTTGAATTGTCTTTGACTGATCCGCGACGTAACAACGACGGGTGAAGACAGGCGGGCAGTTCATTCCAATTTCCGCACACTCACCGGGCGGTAACGGACCTTCTCGCTGGAAACTTCTATTCTCCGCAAAAAGTATGTGGAAGAGCGTAATTCGCTTTGATTACCGAGCTGCGAATTTCCAGGTTAGGCGACCGGTACCCCTGCTACCTGGACACCGCGGTTCCACTTTTCCGTCCTTAACGGCCATAGGCAACCGCTTGTTTAGCAGGGATGCATTCGATCGGTATGGTGTACCATCGGGGTCAGATTCTGTGAGTCTCTGCGGCCCCAATGGAGAGAAGATCAGCGAAACAGCTGAGGGATGCTGTCCTAGTACACACGACCGGAAGAACACCAATAATGCGGAGTACGGTCAACACAATCGTCAAACCTGCGCTGCTTCATGCAGCGCGGTGATTGAATTTCCCCGACAGTACCCTGCGGGAACACATAAAGGACGCCTACTGGATGGTTCCTCTCACATCGGCCAGGGACAATATGCTAGCTCTACCTTTGCAATCCATCCCCAGTTGGTTCAGCCTGTGGGAGCATATGCGTGCTGCGATGGCAGCAGCGTATTGGAACGCGGGGATGTTCCTTCGGATGAAAAAAGGGCCAATCGCCGCCACGGCGCAGTCCCCATTGTGAGTACCGTGGCCGCTTGGCAGCGATCCCCAATATCTATCGTGGGTAACTGCAATGGTTATATGCCGGGTTGTCCTCCTTCGCGGCGATGTTTTGCCTTGTGGAGTCGCAGCGGCAACAACAATAAGGACACTGCAGGAAGTGCGTCGTCCAGAGGTTCAGCCGTGACGAGCTGGACAAAGGGACGCTCTTTGACGCGTGGATTGATGAGCTTGTCGTACCATCTCGTTCGCTGGGCAGTAGTGCTGCCATTTCGTTTGGGAAAGTGGACGATCCATCTCGTGTCTCTCACCTTCAAGGCAGTTGGCCATTTGATGAGTATGTGTGCTCGCGCGGCAGTTGTTGCCCGCGTAGGTGGCGTATCTGGCATATTCAAAAGCATAGTGGGCGGTATTAAACATACTGTGCACTGGTGCAAAACCGGTTTCCGTCTGTACTTTGCAAACGTAAAGGTTTCGTACTACATCCTGCTCAAGAGGCTTAAAGGGCACCCGATGCGCTACAACGAACGCAAATTGCTGATGAACACGCTGAACGATGCTTTAAAGCTTGTGCCTTTCTCCTTCTTCCTCATAGTGCCGTTTGCGGAGCTCCTGTTGCCGGTTGCAATCAGACTGTTCCCGCAAATGCTCCCATCTACGTTCAGGACCGACAATTCGAAGAGCGATGACTATCTGCAGAAAAAGCTTCTGGCTAAGAAGGAGCTTGCGCAGTTTTTCCAGGAGCTGGTGCAGGAACGCACTAACCAGCTCCTTCAGGATGAGCTTGATTCCTCCATCAAGACCAAGATGGAAGCGCTCAAAGATTTCCAAGAAAGAATCCTTAACAAGAAGGACCGTGACATTAATCCGTTTTTGAGTTCAAATGAACTTCTAGTGTTCGCAAAGATTTTCAAAAAGGAGTTCAAGTTGGACCAGATGAACTTGGAAACGCTGAAGGTGATGTGCAAATTGCTCGGCATCACCCCCTTCAGCGTGCGTTCGCACGTCGTGTTACAACTGCGTCACCACCTGCTCAAGATCCAGCGTGAGGACAGGTTGATTATGTGGGAAGGCGTGGATAGCCTCTCCACCGAGGAACTGCAAGAGGCGTGTCGTGATCGCGCCATGAAATTCTACAACATATCCAGAGAGCAGTTGCAACAGCAGCTGAAGCAATGGCTTGATCTCTCAAGCATGCCTCAGATTTCGCCGATACTGCTGCTATGGAGCCGCTGCATCACAATGACCCATGAGCCCATGGCTATCAAAGCTGACGACGAAATAATTGCTGACGATAAGCTCGCTATACCAGAGACAGCAGCCGTCGAGGTAGCGGATGTCAGCGACGCGGTACACGATGTCACCAAGCCGACTAAGGTTGGTGAGAAGTTTGCCGAGGAGGTGACCACTGCTCAAAAGGCATCCTCTACGCGCATCATGAAGGCCGTTACGGCGGCCGCCGAGGTGGACGCACAAAAGCTCGTAAGCAAGGAGGAGCGCTTGGAGGAGCTTTCTCTCAAGGCCAAAGAGCTTAAAGATATCATTGATGGGAACGTCAAGCCATGCGAAGGCGAAGAGCTGGTGGACGGCGTCACCTCGCTTGATGATCCCATGCCAGGAGAGTTGCTGGAGCTGCACAGTTCTGAAGAGAACTTCATGCACCTTCACAATGAGGATCACGTGATTCGGCACGCTGAAGAAATTAAGCACCTGAGCTCGCTTGGCAAGAAAGAAATCCTAGTTCGACACGAGGAGCTGCTGTCTGCACTCCACATCCAGAGAGAAATTACGGACCTCCAGCATAACCAGCTGACTGAAATGTATGCGTTCCTGCTGAAGGTGTCAGAAGATTTGAATGCAGGTGTTGAGTCCAACATCAAGGATGCTGTCAACGACCTGGTATTGGCAGCCCGGCAAGAGTTGGAAAAGATCGAGGAGTTGACTTGCCAATTCGACAAGCACAACTTGACTTACGAATCGCAAACATCTACCCCCGCTCCAGTGTCATCGACAGCATGAACAATAACCGTGTTATGTTTAATGTGGTTGCACTTGTTTATTGTGTTTTTTTGTTGGTTCAACGAGGCATTGCCAGCGCATACTGTATGTTGGTATGCTCCTTCATATGATTAGCAGCAGATGTAAATGGGTGTCAACGGGTGTGGCATATAATTCCGGAAGCAGGTAATTTCAAAATCTCATGGGTCTTGCTGAGGGCACCATACGCTGCACCGCGATCAGGATTCGACGCCGGCAATTGAGCAGTATGATACAGAACTGTCTTGGATCCCCTGGCATTCATTAGACTGCACGTAGATGCACATTGTGGTGTCGCATAATCTACCTGGGTGTATGCTATCATTTCTGAGCGGATGCTCATCTCCGAAAGTTTTATTAGCATTAGCAGAACCTGTATTGCGTTGCAGCCGCATATAGTGTTGCCGGTTTCCATCAGGTACTCCCTGAACCCTGTTCATGGTAATAAGAAAACCGATGTTCATATCATACCGTCTAGGTCATGCTTGAGGATGTGATCCACTCCATCCATATCAAGCTTTTTAATACCCTCACACAAAGGAATAGGCTCATTTTCGTACCCCGTCACGGTGAAGTCGAATCTGAAATGATATTTGGATGATGCGGTGAACATTGTCATACCTGCGTCCAAAGTGGCAAAAGTCGGATGAAATGACAAAGGCCGTATCCTGCGTGAAATTGCACTCATTGCCGTCACCCTCGCAGTACCTTGTTTTGAAAGTAAGGAAGCAGTGCTTTGCCTAATCAATGTATGTAGTGTCGAAGGCTGGAACCTACCGGCCATTTCCAAACGCTTAGCGTCCATTGATCCCACAATTATAGGTACAACCTTAACTTGACCCGCACCCGCCCTTAACGGCATTCGATAATAGTCTATGCGCACTTACCTGTTCATTAGGTGTCTTAGTATCGGTAACTGCATCTCGATGCTATGCTCTCTCTCCGCAGCAGCCCTGCTGATTTCCAGAAACCCATCTTCATTGAGCAGCTTTTTGGTTATATCCGTATCCACCTGAAGTACCCCAACAGGCGTCTGAAGCGAGCTGAAGGTGTCAATTCCGCACCCTCGAAAGGATACGTAATGCGACGGGCCCAAAATGAAGATGGTGACACTGCTCATAAATGTTGTTCTCCGCGATCAAATGCTTACATCTTTAGCACATCAATCTTTCGATACACTGTGGCTGCTGTTTTCAGAGAGTATGTGTAACCAGCGTGTCTACGAAAATATTTAAAAGTAGCTGTTACACCTACGGTGAGATTATATACTTCGGTGACGGCAGTGAAGCCTCTTCATCCGTAGATAAAGCCTCCTCAATTTCTTGTTGGAGTGAATCGGCTGCTCGTTATAGTTAAACGTTTCCAAACGCGTGCTTCGTCGCACATCTCTACTGTGCGACAACGATGTGTAAGCGCTCAATAAAAAACGGATAACTCACCATCATCATCGTACCAGCTACCTGCATGGGTATGCCTCCTCATTGTGATGTTTTCTGGCATTATGCTATGCAATCGAGATGTGGAATCTGCTGATTTTCCTTCTCCACCATTGCACGCCGTGACCGCACATTGGCAATATGTCGCGACTTGATCAGATTCCTTCTGCGATCCACAGATCATTGTAAGTATTGTTAGGCACGTGGTAGGACATTATGGCCTGGAGGATGGCTATGTACCTTGAGAATCACAAACGCAACAATACATTACACTAAGCAAAATTAAACACATTGTGGCAAATCCAGCTCATCTACGAACACTCTGCGGCTTCAAATATCACCACACAAAGGATTACGAGCACCTAATCTACTCAGATGTTTGTTTTGACCTTAAAATATCACCATATTACCGTTAGCATTTGCCCTGGCTGTGAGCTCTCTTCGGCCCATTGGCATTACTAAAATCAAAACTTTACAATAAAGTCATCAACATTCATAAAAATAAGAACCGCATTGAGGATATATGGAACAACTTAGTGAACTTCTGCAACGTTATATTTTTTTTTCATGTGCCAATTGAACACGATGTAAATGTTGCTGAAATTAGAAGATGCTGATCTACTATCTATCGTTGAAATAACATTCACAGTGTCAAAAAGTGATGGCCGAGAGATGACGTGCCACACAAATCTCGTTCTAACTTTTCCGAGACGACAGGCGCACGAACGCCTGGAACTGTTTAAACTCTTCATACTGTTTCTCCATGATTTCCGTGTTCATGGGCTGTGAAAGTTGTGGGATCTGTGAGAACATCCCGATGAAAAATTGTGGACCGTTCGTGGTGAGTGTGTTGTATCCTTTCACTGCTGCGGTGGCGTCTATATCATTATTTCCTGACGTCGACTCCTCCTCATCGTATTGGTTGTCCGAACTCATCCTTTGAACATTTCCGGGCGTAGATCCTGGAACTCTGCTGGGGTCGGAGATGTTACGTACCTTGCGCTGTCTAAACCTGCCGTGATCAAGTTCCTCCTCATTGTCGGAGACTTCCAGGCTCATATACGACGAACTTTCATCATCCCTCGAACCAGTAGTTGTGCTGTACGCCACTTCTCGTGTCATAATGGCGTATAGTTCTTCCAGCTCTCTTAACAGGGCTTCATCGTCAGCTTTATCAGATGAGCCCACTTCATCCATGATATCTTTGATGAATTCGTCATCATCGGAGACATATGAATTTTCTGACTGTTCTACCTCTACAATCGGTGTTGATTCCGGCTCTACAATTTGCGCCGTATAGTTTGGTTGGTAATCAGAAGATGTAGGGCGAGACGCGTTAACGCTTTCTGGCTCTTCTACACGCTGTATCACAGTACTTTCTTCCTCAGTTTGCACGTTCTCCGCTGCTTGCTCAATCATCAAATCTTCGTTTATATCTATGTGTTCGTTGGAGATTTCAATTAACGAGTTGACGGCCATTTCAAGGGCTTCGGGTTCCTTTTCAGCACCGCAAATCGGATACACCTCAGCATTCTCACTCTCCTCAATGTTCTCATTTTCAAGGCCGATTTCAACGTTTTCATTGGTTTCAGCCATCATTTCTGTTTGCAAATCGCCATCTGGTCTGGCTACTTCCTGCTCATTGGAATTGTCTGAGTCATCTGCCTGCTCCCCTGTTTCACCGCTCTCGTGACCATCAGTTGCGGTGTCCTCACTTGTTATTGCGGTGGCAAGATTGCTTTCATTAGACACTGACTCGTTCGAAATCCCATCAACAGCTTCGTTTTGATTCAACGCTGACTGTGTAGTTTGAGTCGTCGGTGAAGCTAGATCCTCAGTAACCTCAGCAGCCGGGGCATACCATCCAAATGCTTCAGACTCTAAATTTAAACTTTGGTTGGGCTGTTCAGATGATAGAGGAGTTACGCTTTCTACAGGCATGCTTATAATGTCGAAATAGGCGGAGGGGTATGGAGTTCCGAAAGGCCTGCCTACACTGACGAAATCCGCAATGCCTTTATCTAGACGAACAACCAACTTGTTTGGGTTATTTGGCGCATCTGTACGCTCATGGTGTAGTGAGTTAACAACTTTTGTGTCGTTTTCAGGAGAAGATACATTGCAGTTAGTGCCAACAACATTGGTGCGGTCTTGGCTGGCATCCATTACAAGGTTGTCATTATCCGTGTTCACTGTTTCGACGCTCTGCTTGTTTTGTTCTTCATCTAACTGTAATAATGTATCGACACCTTCATTAGGCTCAACAATGATATCCATGTAAGCGCTCTCGTATAGGTCACGGTCAGGGACGTTCTCCCCTGGTTCATAAAGCTCTTCATCTACGTTTGACTCATCCATAGTTGGCGTAATTGAAGCGGCATCTATGAGAGCTGCGTCTTCCGTGATTTGGCTTTCTACAGATAGAGCATTTTCGTTAGGAGTTTCATCATGGATTTCAGTAACACCGTTGGCATTACTGACATCACATGCCTCATTACTTCCAGTTTCGGATTCAGGTAACAGCGTTATGTCATCAGCCACGTTATCGCCTCGTTGATGGACATTGCTTCTGGTTTTCAGATTCATTAATTCTTCCCTTAGGTCAACGACGTCTTTCCTTAAATTTTGAAGTTCATCCCATAATTCGTGTGTATCAATTTCGAGATTTATTTTCAAAACAGGAGACTTTTTGAGTAGATGCGTAGTCCTAATTGTGATTTCGTTGTCCATATTTCGATAGATCTCATCCTTCAGGTTGTAATTGACCTCTGTATCTTCCTCGGTTGTCCTTTCCGTTTCCAGGGGTGACATTCCCGTATCGTTGCTGGTGATTCCGTCCAACCTCACATCACTTGCAACAGGTGTGGATTCTGTATATGTTCCATCAGGTTCCGTGGGCATACCGACCGGTATGGGCAAACTAGTGGCATCCGGAAGAGGTGACGCCTGTGGCTGAGGTGGCATCGAAACTTCGGTAGGTTCAGAAAGATTATTCTCCTGTGAACCCGTCTGTATATCAGTATTTTCACCAGAAATGGGCATATCGGATCTTTCAAGTGCAATGGGCGTGTAGTTGGATTCGGATGACACCTCGACGACTTCAATGGGACTGGCTAAGGGGGGCAACATCTTATTTGCAGAATCAACACCGAATGATTCATTATCAACATTTTCACTAACTTCTACTGACGTTTCATTGTCAACATTTTCATAAACCTCTTCGGAGTTTTCGTTAGCAACATTTTCATAAACCTCTTCGGAGTTTTCGTTAGCAACATTTTCATTGACGTCCTCCGGTGTTTCATTGGTAACAATGTGTTCAACCTCTACTGATGATTCAGTGCCAAGATTTTCATTAACTTCTGGTGTAAGTTCATCTGATCGTTCTAAATTTGCGTTTATTACTTCCGGAGCCTCCGAGACAGTTCTATCCTCAACTGAATCGACACTCCCATTCATTGACATCTCAATGCCTTGTACAAAGTCAGAGTCGACAGTAATGCTTTTTTCACCCGTCATCTCGATGTTTTGCTTTTCAATTAGATTTGGATCAACGCCATCTTCATCAGCATTATCGTCAATAGTAGATTGCAAAGAGATGGATATATGCTTCTTCGTAACGGCTTTGGAAACCATTGCCACTTCCTTAGCTTCAGTCTCTACCTCTTCGACTTCCGTAGTGGTCTCTTCGTCTATTTCGATCGCTTCTGATCGTATCACGGACTGCTCAGCTTGTGTCTCAGCCGGTTTAATAAGACCCTCCAGATAGTCTTTAGCCACGTCGACAACGTCAGCTGTCACTTGATCAGCTGTTGCATCAACAATAATGCTCGGTGATGATACATCTGTCTCATCAATCTCCGCGGCGGTAAACGTGTCATCTACATTCTCAACATTGGATGCTGCCCTCTCATCATGTTCGACAGCAGACGCAACAGCCTCATGGGAGATAACGCTGATTTTTTCAATCTCTGGAGCCTGAATGACAGGCACCTCCGCTTCGTGAATTGATACCTCCGAAACTAAGTCTTCCGAGGGAACGCTTTGAGACTCAGTTTCTGCAACAATCACAGATTTGCTTTCTACATCTTCAACTATTGGAATTGCATCAGATTCACCTTCTATTGGTTTCATTATCTCCTGCACAGTGGTCATTGTCGGTGTGACTTCGGGTCCTATGTCCACGCGCTTATCACTTGTGTCAGTGCTCTCTTTGATGTCGGCGACGTCGGATTCAACCATATCATCCTTAGCGAGATTTTCAGTTGTTTCCAAAGGCTTGATGTTTTCATCGTAGTTTTTAGACGCTGCGACAGCCTCTGACTCTACGGCAGGTTCATTTGGCTTCATTTCATCCGGATACGAATTGGACTTTTCCGCTATCTTATATAACAGTTGGATGTACCTGAATAGATATATGGCGTGTTTATAATGTTGTAATGAGTTTGCATAGAACTTGATAAAGCACATTTCGGGTAAAGCATTAGCACCTCACAACGGTTATGTATGTCGTACCTGTTGATATTCTCCGTGGTCTCGTCGATTGCTTTCGATGCAATATCATTCTTTGTTTCCAGTTTCTTTACGTGTCGTGTGGTGGAGATGTTGTGCTGCCTCAGCATCGCCTGAATGGCTATCATCATTGTGCGGAAATCCCTCTGAATGATGTTCTTCTCGAGATCACTCGTGTTTTCGTCAATATCTTGCTTTGACAACTTGTTCTGATTGATGCGCTTCTTCACCCGATTGTACAGAGATAACTGTTGTTTCAGCTGTGATATTTCCATATCAAGGTTCATCAGCTGCAATTTCATCTTCCTCATGGCGTCGTGCTCAGAATCAGGATTGAGATGGCGCCGCTTCTCCATCTGATTCCTGATTGCGTTGATAACGGTGTTGTAGAATGACATTCTCGCCTCTTCTAGATCGCTACTACACGGGGATGATAAGAACGGTAATGGAGCATACCCGTGAAGTTCACTCTTGAATGAAGCCGATAGGCCATACTTATTATCCATGGATTTCGACAGGGATTGGCATATCCCTCTCATGGACTTCAAAATCCTGACTTTGCCTTCATCGCTAAGTGTTTCCGATTTCTGCGGAGTGATTTGCATTTGATAAGGCGTGACGTACCTCGGCGTTGGTGACGAACTTGCAAATTGACTCCAGGACATCCATTGGTCCTGAAACGACGCCCTTCGCTAGCGAACCCATGCACGAGGCATCGTTTTGCAAGCGTTCGTATGTTTCTACATTCATCGCGGAAAACGTTTGAGCATATCAATTAGTTAACATCAGTGTTGATCTGATGGTTACATGTATCCTGTTCAATTATAGATTCGTCGCCGGGCTTATATGTAAGTGGAGTGTTTTGATGCTATCTCGAATCATACGCACAGCGACTAGAATTTGAGGATTGCTATGACGTGCCTCAGATTGAACTGAAAGGGCACTATAAGACACCGGGATCTTGTTTGTGTATATGATACCAGTGTGATCCTACATCCGTCTTGTGTCGCGTGTCTCAGTTCGGGCGACGATGATCGAGACGCCGTCGGCAGCCGACAGATGTTGGTATGAATAGCGTTTTGGCGGATCCATGTTGCCTTATATACGGCAGATACAATTGGATATTGACCAAATAAACACTATTCAGAGTCACAGATGCAACCAAGAGACGGGTTGTACACCTTCAGTCGTCTCTTATGGACATTACATTAGAAGACAATGTATCTAAATTAGAGAGACGCCCAGCTGAGACAACTTTAATCCGTTATATAATGGTTTGTATAATAGCTAAGTGACGTTTTTGCAATATTTAGAGAGTTTTGGCAAGACTTAATAATTCACCATACGGTGTGGCAGTGGTCGGCAACCCGTCTCCAGCTGGTCGTGGTCGCACTTCCGTCTACATTTTTACAAGCACCTTATGTGCTATATATACGCAATAGAAAAGCGAATGGGCAGTCCAATACCTCATCTTGAGCTGCCTCGCAATCCCGTCAGCCTCAATGCCTTGCTGGTTTGGCTTTGGCCTTCTCCATTAGTGCGAGAAACTTTACAGGGTTTACTCTACCCAAAAATCGCGATTCCCGGCCTGCGTCATCGTCTTGATCCTCCGGCTTACGTTTAGCGCGCACTTTGGCGTTGGTATCTGGAATTGTTGGCATGAGCTCGATGGTCTGCGTTCTAGGCCTCTCCTGCACGTATATCCACTACATGTCAAGCTCACATTAAACGTACCGTTGTGAGATAAGGGTGGTTGAGGGCCTCCTTTGCCGATATGCGCTTGCTCGGGTCTAGCGTGAGCATCTTCATGAGCAAGTCCATTCCTAGCTCCGTCATGTAGCACCCTTCGTTTGCACCCATATTGGTCTTGGAAAATGCGTGGAAGTTGGGTTTGTAACTGGTTATCGGGAACCTGCCGTCTCTCACCAGGGGCAGCTTGGTAAAATCCGGCCAGTTGTCTTTTGTGGGCGAACCGCAGCACCTAAATATTTTATCTAGTGTGTCCGCGTCGTTCACCCCCGTGAATAAGGGCTTCCCGCTAATTATTTCCGCAAATATGCACCCCACTGACCACATATCTACGGCTTCGGTATACTTTTCTTGGCCCAGGAATAGCTCCGGCGCCCTGTACCAGTGCGTGACGACATTTTGCGTGTAGTTTTTGATTGGTTGGCCGAATTTGCGTGCCATTCCGAAGTCGCAGATTTTCAGCACTCCTCGATTATTGTACAGGATGTTGGTCGTTTTCAGGTCTCGGTGTAGCACCCAATGCTCATGGATGTACGCCACCCCCAACAGCAGTTGGTGCAGCAGGCACTTGCGCTCAGACAACGTGAAGTCAGGCTTACGCTCGTGCAGGAGCGACTTGAGCTCGTGCTCAACGTACTCCATGACCATGTAGTACTGGTCCTTCCTGCCATTGGTCACCACCTCTTTGACGCTGAGAATGTTCGGATGCCTCAGTTCGAGCAGTATTGATATTTCTCGCAAATAGCTGATCGGAAAGCCCTCTTTCCAGTGCGCCTCATGGAATTTTATGTGCTTCAGTGCCACTATTTCCCCAGTTTGTGTGTCTAGGGCCCTGTACACCGAGCCATATGTGCCTTCCGATATTTTGTTTAGGCATTTATAAATATCAACATTGCGACAGCACTCTAGTTCGCCTATAGTATGCACCTGCGCATCTTCCTCCGTCGGGGAAGACGGCGTTTGGGTATTCTCTAATGTCGACAAAGCTTCATGTGTAATTTCGTCCTCATTGCGACCGTTATTGGCATCCTCATGGACAGCAGATGGCGCCTCTATGTCATCCGGTGTCAGAAGGTCGCCATCATCGCTGGAATCCTTGGACATTGAGCGTTGTTTTCCAGCCATGCCCATACGGTGTCCAGTGGAAGCGCAGCACACATCAGCCGTTGCGACCGTATTTTCCCGCACACCTACGACACATTACCACGAAATACGCCGTATTTTCATCGCTATGTGTAACCTTGGCGATGGTTCGCGACATCTCGAGATATAGACGCTCGACTCCCCATAGTGGCGCGAATCAACGCTGCAGTTGGCGACGACGGTACGGCGTCGTGACTAGCACAGACTGTATACCGCAGCGGAGCCTTAGGGAATCGTCTGGACAGTGTGAACGCGTGGCCTTCTCCGTGCTTTTCCGAGGCACATTCGCCCGGAGGCTAACGGGCCATCGCATTAGCACACTGAGTGGCAGTTGCGCCCTCGTCGCCCATCCAGGATGGATGCTAAGAATGGAAATGGAGGCTCCCACGCTTGCAACATTCTCAAGGGCACCACTCTTGGAGGTAGGCGTGATTTTGGAAGAATCACGGCGTTCAGGGCTTGTGGTATCGTCGCTCTGTGTGCCAACTGATGTCGTGCGAAACTACTGGTATTTCAACCCGGAGCTTAAGGGCATACGTGGAAGCATAAGTACCGTGGGTGTGGCTCGTCATATTTATGCAACTCGTGGAATTCGATGTTTCTTCACCGGTTTCCACCTCACCGCCTTGAATGTCGTGGGTGGTCAGACCATATTCCTCCTGTCTTACGACGCGCTGAAGACTGAAATGAGCACTCCTTTGGCAAGCATTTTGGGACGAATGGCTACACTGCTGTCAATGCAGCCGCTGGAGTGCCTGCGTACGTACACGCAGGCCAACCTTCCTGGTCGCACCATGAGCTTTTTCAAGGACACAAAGGGATTGGCTGCAATAAAGTCACTCTACCGGGGTCTGATTCCCACTGTGATTCGGGATGTGCCCTTTTCGGCAGTTCATTGGCCGCTGAACGACCTTCTCTACCGTCGTTTTATCGCATCGTGCGGCCGTTCGGAGTCAGACCTGAGTAAAGGCCAGAAGTTTGCGCTCTCGTTTGCAACGGGAACGATGTCGTCCATGTTGGCTACGATGATATCGCAGCCCTTCGACATAGTGAAAACTACAATCCAGGTACGACTCTATTTGCATATCTTTGCGTGGTACATATGCTTTGAAACTGCGTTGTGGAAGCAATTTTTGTTTTTAGCTATAATGGGTGTGGTGGGCATAAGGTAGTGGGTACAACGGCACAACGTCATGCATGCAACATCGGTAGACATGTTGACATTGCAAAATGTTTTTCTCGCCATTTCATAACATCCGCACCACAGCGATTGACTGCTGCATACTTTCTACGGCAACATCCAAACATATGTGCAGGCTGCGACTGACCGCACTGCAAAGATGACGGTGCGAGGAGAGCTGCGTCGCTTTTTCGGGCAATATGGTATGCGAGGGTTCCTCATCGGGCTAACGCCCCGGCTGATAAAGGTAGTGCCAGGCTGTGCCATCATCTCCGGATGCTACCGTTACTTCAACTGAATGCTAGTCTGCAGGTGGGTGGCGTCACAACGTTAGCCAAAGCGCACAGTGATTCTACCCGAATTCTGCAATTCTCCACCACATTCACGGATGGCATAAGCCTCTCTGCGGTGGAATGACGTACGAGGAGCACATGGAGCGTTGCGTTGTATCGTTGCTTGCCATGCAGTAGGACGCAGGATTCCACGCGCCCGGCGGTAGGCTTCTGCTACACACAAGATCCGCACTGCGCCAATAGAGCGCACAACACCGTATACAGCTTCAGTACACGCGTCAGTGCACGGTTGCGATTGGTATAGTCGTTATGGCGACGTTTCTGTGGGGAGTTGCTAAAAATGACGGATCTGCCTTCCGGCGGCCGAGACCGCAAATCTTTTCCAACGTTTACACACCGACATCGATGATGCATAGCATCAAAAAGCAGTGCTCAGAAGGCGCACACAGGCCGTTTGACGCGGCCGCGCCATGTGGCACTGCTTCTCAGCCGGCGGACCTGCCGCCAATCCCCGTTGCCGGATTGAGCGAGGTGGTGAATCTCAACGTGGGTGGCGTTTCGTACGTCACCACATATCGCACTCTGCTGAACCACAAAGGATCACGTTTCGCGACGTACTTCCGTCAGCTGTTCGCGCACCTGTTCCAGAACGCCCCTGCGAGCACTTTGGGCAACGATTTCTCCTACCTCGCGAACGATCGGTCTACGCCGTATCCTACAGTCTTCATTGACCGGGATGGGCGGCGGTTTGCCTACGTCTTGGACTATCTCCGCGACGGGAGCGTTGCTCTGCCTGATGACCAAACACTATGCCGGGGATTGTTAAACGATGCGCAATATTTCCGTCTTTCGGGTTTGGAGCTGACCATTTCACATACCCTTCAGTTGTCACGCGGAGGGACGCGTACGCCTTCTCTGAGTCACTCCCAGGATCATGTTGCGGCGGGTGTGGCCAGGTCGCTGTGCGATCCGTCGTCTCTGGTTACGCATGAAGCGGCAAGGACGCTGAGTCCGCACCCCACGGCAAGTTGCTCCCAAAGGATGTACAGTCTGGGAAGTGCTGCCAGCACCTCCGGCGTGGTCTACACGTTTGATGAATCACAAAGTGGGATTTGTTCTCAGCAGAGCTACGACGAGGATCTCGTGAGTTCCCAGAAAAGTTTCCTGCAAGTTGAGGAGAGCGACAACATCGAAGACGCTGGAATGTTCATCCAGACCACCCCACTTTCGGATTTGGGCAAAACCGAGTTCTCCACCAACTTTGATTTTTGACGCAGAAAATTGCAGCAATCACGAAGACTGCTTCATGTCAATCCGATGTTGCCACCCTGTATGTTGATGTCGTCAGATTGCAGGGATGGAGACAGAATTCAGACCAACTTGTTACAAATTGTAATTAAAAAATTATTCAGAGTAGTTGATGCGATTCGGGTTGGGTATATCTATAGACGTACTGCATTGTACCGCATGCGACCCCGGGTCGCAGCGCGCCGGTTCCGTTTTGCTACTTCAACTGTTTGGCGGCAGTAGCTACGCAAAGTGGCGTGCGTTTGCGTATTGTGCTGCATCTGACAGCGCATAATCGGTGTGGCTCCAACATGATGGCTTTTACAGGCTTTGGCACCTAGCTTTGCATTGCGCATGTCAGTGGACGTATGCTTCGTTTAATTGGTCTCAAAACAGAGGTACGATTCCGGATACAGAAGTTCACGTGAATGAGATTGCGGCATATGTTATTGTACATTTTATGGCTCTTGCCAATCGGCGCTACGTGCGGTGGGCGACGTTAATTAGCTTTGAAGAAATCCGAGATCCTTTGCGTCTTCAATTTTGGAGCCTTTGTGGATGCACTCTCGGTATGACTATCGAATGCTTCCACGTGCGTCCGCCTATGAGGACTTTTAGTCTCAACCTCCAGTGCTCTACTGCTTCCGATTTGGCTCACATCGATCGACTTTGGTATGCTTCTGAGCATGTCATGCTCTGCTTCCGCGTTCTTTTCCCTGCCACTGGAGGTGGAACTGGAAGATTCGCTAAAAGGATCCCAAAGGTGCTCCAGATTGGTGGGGGCTTTAGCCATCATCGCCGCCCTGTGCTCCCTGATGCGTTAGTGAGTAATTTTTGATGCGCATGCGTTACCTTTCGAGCACGAGGTACTCGCCGCTGAGTTCGTCACACTTTCTTTTCCACACGTCCTTCAAATCCACGAGTGTTTTGTTGACCCCCTCAAGCTCGATTACCCTGTTGCTGAGCAGGGCTAACTTTTCCGTGGAGCTGAGTGTTTTGAGGCACGAATCAAACGATTGAGCCCCGTGATCATCCGCCTTCAGGTAATTGTGGACGTCTTCGAGTTTCTTGAGCCTGGCTTTAGCCTTTTGCAGCAGATTGTGCAGTTGTCCAATGCTTGTCTTGTCGGCAGCTGCGACGACTTTGAGGTTCTTGTTTTCGCCGACTAGTGTTGCATTATCCTCTTGCATACGCAATACCGCCTCTCTAAACGACGTGTTTTCATTCTGCGCACCGTGAGAGGCTGTCGATGTAAATGTTATCAGGGGGGGATTCCTAACGGGCGCCGAGGCCGGTGTCTAATATGCGACAAGTCACAGCAAAAGTACAGCAACGAACGGCCCGGGACACATCAGCACAGTGCAGTAATTAGTATAATATATTGAGACATCATGGACTGCGTGTACCCACCTCCATTAATGCGCATTGTTCCTGCACCTCGAGCAAGTCCGACGTCGCCTTCGACAGGCGTTGCCTTACATCTTCCAGTTCCTGTTTCGTTGCCTGGTGCTGGGATAATAATACTACATCGTTAGCATTTTCGGACGTGGTTTCTGTGTGCACACCGTTTGTATCTGCATTAACCTTGCCTTCAGTTTCTGCGTACGATTAGACACCGAAAGAGGCAACAAACCGTTACTACGTTCAACGCACTCGAACTTCAGCTCAACGATGCTCTTAAGCGCTATGTGACACCTGCACAAAGGACATCCTCTTCCATACTTATCCGTTTTTTGCATCCATAGCGTCAGGCTGCGTACGCTGTGCAATACTTCCTTCGCGTCTCAACTAACCATTTGCGATGGTACACGTGGCCACATTTAGCCAAGACACACAGGTCGTTGGTGAGATAGTCGTAGCAGACGCTACAATACGGGATGTCGTAGCGCGTCATCAAGTAAAGTGCGTCTGGTCAGGGAACCGCATTCAGCTGCATTACTGATTGATTCGTGTACAGCGCATCGCAGTACCAAATCTCAACTGCAAATAATGCTGCAGTGTGTAGATGATTTGTGGGCGCCCTTCACTGGTGTCTAGCCGGGTAGCATCCATCCCTATTGGCGTGCATCGCGGGCGCTATCAGGCGAAAGGCCGGTTCTATTGATGTGACGGCTAGTGCAACATGGATGAGGCAACGGGACCTCTCCCGCCCCCGCAGCCGCCGCCGGCGGATTGGCGTGATGTCATTGAGGTATCGCAGGAGGAGTTCGAAGGTAGGTGAAACGGTGTGCTCATTATAGCTTCTACTGAGCACCATGTATCCCGTATTCGTGAAATATACGTAGAAGCATGGCTTTTGGGCGCATTAACGGCGCCTATGACCATATTTCGCGCCGTTAAAACGTTTTGCGCTACACGTGTTGTATGCATTACCTTCTCACAGAGATATGAACGCATTTTCAGATTCCCAGCGCTTTCTGCAGAGCCAGGACGCGATAATGGACGACTCAGTGTTCATGCACATCCGCAAGGTGATCGCTTACCTCTATCGCAAGGAGGCGGAGAGTGTAGCCATTCAGGGTTCCGGGGGCGACGATGCGAGCGCCCGCGAGCACCAGTCCGAGTACCTCGCTGAGCTGAACACCAACGTGTTGAACACATTGGTGGAAGGCTATGTTGGGTACGCCTGGCTCTGTGAAGTCTGCGCTCGTTGGATCGAGGAGCTCAACGTGCAGAATAGCCAATACCTTAGTATGCGGGGTCTAGGCGAGAAACGCGAGGGAAATAGCGGCGTTACTGGAACCGTCAACATCATTCGAGAGGCTCTGATGAGCTTCTTGAAGCAGAACTACGACTCCGAGAAGATGCGCATATACATGGAGGACAAGGCCGACCACGACAAGTGGAACCCCCCTGAGCTCTACTGGAACCTGATGAAATCTCCGCTGGTAGTTTCGCACATGATCAACATATACCATGAGCGACCTAAGGACGAGTTCTTGAGTTCGTGGTACCAGGACTACATGAATACGGCAAGCGCGCACATGAAGCTCGAGCAGGCCGACATCGACAGCGAAGGTTTGTCGAGGATAACCAGCAACTTCAGCGTTTTCACTCTGCGCATCTCCGAAGAGATACGGAAATTCCTGATGAAGGACGACGTTTTAGATGCAATTGAGCTGGATGGAACGAGCCCGCTGAGCCCTCTGTTTTGGCACGCAGAGAACGCATACATATACTCCCAGGCACTGCTCCATTTCATATACCAGTGGCGAAACGATCTAAAGGGCTGCCGTCGCCTGTCTCAACTGATAGCTCGTACCACGATGCGTCCAACAGAGGGCCTGTTTCCCGACGAGGACAAGGTTGACGGCAACATGTACGAATGGAGCGCATCGCAAATACACCTGCTCATGACAAACTTCTCCCGTTTCCCCAACCTACACAGTTCCTTCAAGCGGCTATGTGCCAATCCACATTTGTCGACGTTCAAGTTGAACGAGATGGACGTCTGCGACTTCTACGATGAGTTGAACAAGACGCTAAACGCCTTTGACAACTATGGCATCTTGCTGTTCGACCGATCCCGGGGTTAGTTGATGATTTATGACTCTTGCATCCGTCATTTTAGATCGCGCCATCAACAGCCGATCGCAACCCTCCGATTCTCCCGAGGACGTGGGCGACTCGGTATCGCTTTACGGCGATGCCCAACGCTCAGATGAGTACATGCGGCTTAGAAACGCGCCAGAAATGCCGCCACTGGAGGCGATTCGTGAGAGCAATATACTAAACCAGTTGATTGAGGATTTCTCGAACGAGGACATACCTCTCCCGGATTCCAATACTTGGATCCGTTACGCGAATCTGCTGGTTTTGCTATCAGTGCCGTCCCCGTACGAACTGCTGTACTTCCACTACGACGAACTGGTGTGCAACCATCTGAAGCGTCTGCCTCAGCGCGAGGTGTGGAAACAGTTTTACCTGCCGGTGGGTTTATACTTCGGCTCCACTGACCTACCTCAGGAGTACGACGACGAGAGCAGCCTGGACGAGATAGAGCAACTGCGGGACTTCGGCACGAGTTCACCGGACGAAGATGTATGCTCGAGCGACCTGAACTCCCTACGTCTGCATTCACCTTCCCATGACGTGGAGAGCGAATTTTCAGTCCCGATGGGTGCTAACAGCGCTTCAAACGACATGAGAGGCTATGACGGATGCAAACCGCAGAAGGCGTGGAACACTCAAAGCGTAGTATCCGCGTCGAGCACACTGCGTGACTTGGACGCTTCTTCCGTCTTGTCTTCCAGCGCATTTGAAAGCGAGCTGTGCCATAACATGGAGGTGGAGTCCAACCCCGGTCATCATGGCGGCAAAGTCAACGTGTCCACACCGTCTAGCCGTAGCGACAGCTCTACCGGTCTCGGTAAGCGTGGTTTTGGGGGTGTTGCGGGTGGTGGCTGGCTCCCGGACGCAAAACGCAGTAACGTGCCTCGTGACAAGAGCCAGTCGGCCGATCGCGAAGACGAGTACCTGGAGATAAAAAGCACTCTGGCAAGTGCCATATACAAGAACACCAACGAGGACAGCAAGCTGGGGGCGCCGAAGAACATCTCTCCGGAACGGCTGGCTGAGATGAAGGACATGTACGCAGCCTTTAAGATCCAGAGCGACAGGGTGAAGGGCATCGCTCGCAAGGAACTGTACCACCTGCATAAGATCATCCACAATGCATCGATGGACCCGAGCGAGCGTGACTTCGAGATGCGTGATGTGATCTCCACGGTCATTGCCTCGTCCGTGGTGATGGCATACATTCGGCATGACGTCATGAGGAAGCGCAACATAAGCGCCGTCTCCGACGCGAAGCTTATGTTGTTGATGGAGATCGCTGACAAGCACCCTGTCAAGCGCACTCCTATCGCTGTGTTTTTGCGTGACGTTTGCGTCGCGTGCGCCGAAGGCAAGATATCGGCCAATAGCAGCACCGTGAAACTGGAAGTAGGTTTTGCATTCTTGACCCACGTGTTATACCGTTGGTTGTTATTTGAGAGTGATGTGATCAACTGCCTTTCATACAAGATGTCACGTTCCATATTTCCCTTCGCTATGCATTTTGTGATCCTACGTGATTTCATCGCTCATCAATGTCACAGCGCCTGCAATGCATAATGGACCTTTTGTTATACGTTGCAAGATTCGAACGGCAGTGCGTGCCGGTGGTGTCGATCTTCACCTCGATCGTTAGTTGTGACCTCTACAGTTTATAAAATCGGACAGATGCACCATTTAGACCGCAGTATCAGTCGCCACTTCATCACGATGCTCTTCACGTACTGCGGCGCCCCTTACGGTGAGATCTTTGTGCGCCAGCTGCTCACGATGGTCGAAAAGTATCTGCGTTTGGGTAGGTTGAATGCTTTTTTTGAGGCATGCTTCGCAGGGGTCGCCGGCACTTCGAGCGTACCGAATGTGAACGACACGAATGTGGTCAACAGCTTTTTGCGCCCGTTCTTGGACGAGTGTGCGCAGAGCTGGGCACGCAACAACGCATTGGCGGAGATAGTGCGCCGCTGCAAGAGGATATTACAGACAGATTTTGTACTATAGGCTGTCACTTATCGCACTAATGTTTGACTCAGTGGTGCGTGGCAGAGCCAGCATTTCTTACAGTGCTTATTATCATGCGTGGTTGTATAACATGCCGGGTGGAATGTCTCCAAATCAAAAATACTCAATGGATATGGCGACTATCGTACGCGTTAGCATGCGTAAAGGTCGGTTATTCCGAGAATTATCGATCATATCAACGCCACTGTGTCTACGTGCGACAGCGCAACGTCCAGACTCACATTGGTGACGTCCTCGCATCAATTAGAGAATTTAGTAGCCTCAAATGCGCATTGATATGGCCGAAATATTCGAATTTAGTGATTTTAGTGAGTGATTACGCTGGCGATAACACGCGATGAGCAAACGTGTACGTATTTTGTGTTTTGCTTCACACATCTCGAGTAGAATACTACACACCGTCAATTATCAGTGTATATTCTTTATATAATTAGTGTCAGCACCTGGGGTGTGCTGATATAACTTTCTCCGCAGCCGAGTGTCGTATGGTGATATCGCTGGTCGCTTCTACATTCACCGCTTACACAAATGCTGCCTACTAACGTAATCGGGTGTACTTACGTTGGGAATTCTGTCTAGATCTTATTTTTGTTACACATCGGCGGAACGCGTCTTTAGGGCGATTTGGCACGAGCTGGGAGTTTCTGCCGGCTTGCTGTTAGATTTACGCATTCAGCTTGATTAGACGCAATGTGCAGCTGATGTGTGCTGAATTCATGCCGTATGGCGTGAAATGAGTCAACAGACGGCTGTTAGACAGCTACACATGCTGAGAGCTCCCGTCTAACGACTGCTTCGGAGAACGTGTCTTTTTCACGGTCGTTCTGCTGACGGGGATTTTCGCGACTATGGAGTACGTTGACTATGAGAGCCTCACGGAGGCGGAGCTGAAAACCATGGATAACCTGACGGTGAGGAGCAAGGTCGCCGAGCTGCCGATGAGCACTTCCGGCAACATATCGCCGTATGCGCTTGGCATGTCCGTGCGCATAGACCTAGAGAAGCGCCGTAGAGCGACGCAAACGGACAAGGAACGCAATAACATGGTGGGAAATGCGTTCCTGGACTCCTGCGGTAAGTTCGGCTCCAGCGACAAGGTGGTGGAGGCGGCTGCTATTTTGCGGAAGTTGGACACCAACTGCAGTTCTTTGGTGTACCGTGAGGCGTTGGCTACCCGCATGCAGCTGCGCAAGATGGCGCTGAAGAACTTTTCTGCGGAGAACTTCGCAGAGGCTCTGCTGCAGGCGCACTACTCGCTCCTGCTGGCAAAGAAGTTCCACATGGACATCGCCAAGACGCCGTTGACTGGAGAGATGGCGATGGAGCTTCTGATTTTGAGCAAGTGCTACGCGCACGTGGGCCAATTCGACGCGGGTAGAACCCACCTTGTGGAGTTGCGGTTCCTGGTTGAGCAGACTCTGCTGCACTTCGCGAAACCTGCTGCGGCTGGGGAGCGCGCTGAGCCGCAGACTCCTGGGCGCAAGGCCGTGATAAACTGCGACGCAAAGGTCTTTCCCAACATTGTGTTCACGCTGGGCGAGATCTTGACGATGTACGACCTCTACGAGGATGCGGAGATATTTTTCTCGAAGTACCTGATGCTCTGCGAACGCGAGTTTGGCGGCGATAGTGTCGCCCTGAGCGAGGCCATCAACAGCGTCTGTGTGTACTTTTTGCGTAGTCGGCAACATATGAAGGCTCTGCCTCTGGCCGTGAAGGCGCTCGAGATTCAGAAGAAACACTTCGGCGATTACACCAGCGAGACGCCCGACCCGCGTGTGGCGGAGGGGTACTGTAACGTGGGGATGCTGTACCGCATGGTGGGCAACCCTTTAGACGCTTTGCACAACTTGCTCATCGCCATCGACATGAAGATGCGCCTCTTCCAGGATCGGGAGCATCCCCAAGTGCAGGACATTTTCCTTTCAATCGGCTGCTGTCAGCACATGCTGGGCAATTTCCACGCCGCGGCGTCCATATACCGCGAAGTATACATGACGCGTTGCGACACTCTGGGAACTACGCATCCGCTGACTGTTGCAGTGAAGCATTTGCTGGAGGACCTTGACCGCGATATCAAGCTGGCGCCGCAATCGGATCCTGCCGATGAGAAGCATAAGGCGCTGTCTGCGAGCACAGAGAAAGTTCGTGCTCGCGTAAAGGTGCTGGATGCCGAGATGGGTCATAACACTAAAAAGGCGCCGCGCGGAACGCCCGGCATTGAGGTATGTCGCATCCAATCGCTTTACGCGAACAAGACAAAGCACTTCCGCATACCCACGGCGAGCATACTGCAAACGCACGAATGCATCATCCCTCGCAAGGAAATCATTGAGCTGTCGCGTCAGATATCCATTCAGTACGCGTATAAGCGTCTGCCCATCATAAACATACCGCGCATGGCCCGAGGCCGGCTGTTTTTGAACGACGGCCAGCCTGTCATGGAGTGCAACAAGGACGCTTCCGACCTGCTCCTCGAGTGGGATTTCCGCCCCCCGTCGGTTACCGCCGATGGCGACGTGGTGGGTAGTGACCCCAAGCTGTCTGCCGATGTGCACCTTTTCATCCCCATCATAGAGGATGGTAAGCCCGTCATCGGGTTCTACAACAAGCCCATTTTCGTCCCAAACCCAGGTCTATTCCACGCATACAAGCGAACCAAGGCGATATATGACTTCAACGTGGAAACGCCCTCTCAAACTGCCGATCAGGTCAAGGGACGTCCTTCGAAAACGAGTAGCACGTTGGAAGCCACACCAAGCGGAATGACTCGAGCCAGCGATTCGAAGGAGCCTAACCGTCCCGTTCCTTTGGTTACGGCGAAGCCTCAACCTCCTCCGAAGCGCAGTGGAACGGCTTCTACGGTTCCCGAGGTCACCCGAAAAGCAGATCCACCCAAGGAAGCACCTGCACCCGCTATTACCGTGAAGACGAAACTTACTGTAAAACCAAAGGGTGATACTGTTGCTGCTACGAAGACAGCAACTGCTCAACCCCCCAAAGCCGCTCCTAAAAAGGCACCACCCAAGGCCGTTCCTAAAATACTGCTTCCGAAGAGCGTTAAGGCTGTGGAGAGCGTGAGTTCGGACGATGCAACTGCACCGAAGCAGGAGACACCGGTACCCACACCGGAAGCACCGACAGGCGCAATATCATCGCAGGGCGAGGAATCAAAAACGGATGATCCAACTCCCATAAATGCGCCACTTGTCGAGCTGCCATCGATGCGATTGGGCGATTTATTCACTAAGAAGACGGAGACCAACCCCAATGGTCGCAACGCAAAGTTCCTCGCCAAGATTGGGAATCTGGCGAAAATAGTGGTGAAGCCGAACCAAGTGAAGACGCCCCTTGCCAGCAACATTACAAAGGTCAAGCAGGCGGCACCTGTAACCGGCGCATCGCCTCCATCGTCCCTTTTGGACAGCGACGCCGACACCAGTCTCTCTGACTTGGATGATGAAGAGCTCCTTATGCCCTCTGCATCTCTGCGTGAAGATCCCACGGCGAGAGCATCCTTGGTGGCTATGCCCCCTAGAAATATTAAGCTACCGCTGGACCTAAAATCCATCCATGATCCGCTGCCCATGGACATTCTCAGCGAGGTTCGAGGTATCCGATCCCACAAGGACGATGACACGTCGCTTCGATGTATGCTGCTGGATGAGGACGGTCGCTCGCTCGCAATTGTGCCGTGGCAGATCGACATGATGTCGCTGACATTGGCCAAGTCGTGCCTTTCCATTGAGCTGCTCGAGAAGTATTCGGTTACCGGCGACAAGAAGGATGAGTCCTCAGACGCTGCAAAAGAGGCCCAGATCGCCGCATATCGGAAACTGCTGGCGGGCGAGGGACTTCACGACCTTGGTTTCAGTGATTTGATCGGTAACAAGGCAATGCAGTCGTTGGCTGGCGGTGCGGATGCCTTGTCTGCCGGTTTGGGCATGGATCTGCCTCCCTCTGTTCTTGCTAACCTTCGCAAGCAGGCTGAGGAGTTGGAAAGGAAAGCTAAGGAAGAGGCAGAAGCGGCGGCCGCGGAGAAAGAAGCCGAAGAAAAGGCAGGTGCTGCCGGCATGCCGAAGATTGTGCCGATTTTGAAGAAGGAAGCTCCGACGATGAAAAAAGGCGCGCCGCCCATGAAGAAGGGGGCACCGAAGGGCCTCGCTCCACCTGGAATGAAGAAAGGTCTTCCAACAAAGACAAAGGGCAAGGGAGCGGCGTCAATGGTCGACAACTCCCGGGTACGTCGCTTCTTCTGGGATCCTATTTTCGGCGACGACGCCAAAGGCACGCTTTTCGCATGTCCAAAAGGCATGCCCAGCGTGGAGAAACCCGAGATTGAAGCAACGTTCGCGAAAGCGGCGCCCAAGGCCCGTGTGGCAGTTGTGTCTAAGCCTAAGGTTCTCAACCTGCTGCCTGACTCCAAGAGAGCCTATAACATGAACATTGGTTTGTCCAAATTCTCCAAGTACACCTTCAAGGAACTTAAAGATGCCGTGCTAGGTTTGGACCCCAGCATTCTGAACATAGAGGCCACTGAGGGCCTCATGACCCTGTTGCCCACCCCAGAGGAGGCCAACATAGTCCAAGAGTATGTGAAGTCTGGAGGCGACATGAACCTGGTAGACCGACCTGAACAGTTCGTCGCTGTGATTTCAACGATCCCGCTGCTGAAGCAGCGGCTGGATTCGCACCACGTCGCGCTGACCTTCAAGGAACACTTCCAGGAGATCATCACGCCCCTGGAGCGTATAATGGACGGCTGCGAGGCGGTGATGTCGAGTGTCAAGTTGAACGTCCTGTCGAACGTCATCCTGAAGATCGGTAACACGCTTAACGAGGGAGACTCGAAAAAGGGTAATGCGGAGGGTTTCAAGCCCACCACGTTCGCCAAGCTGAACGAATTCCGCACCACCACAAAGCCGGTTAAGACCTTGATGCAATACATTTGTGACATCGTCGCAAAGGATGATGAGAGTCTGCTGGAAATATACAACGAACTGCGAGCTTGCGAGGAGTGCTCTAAGATCGACACGGTCGCCTTGGAGGCAAACATCACCAAGTTCAAGAACGACATGCAGAAAGTCAACAACGCCATCGCCGCGGTAGAACGCCTACGCGACAGCAACGACGAGTTTGTGCCTATAATGCGTGACTTCATGAAGGACGCGGAGCCCAAGGTGTCGTTTGTGCAGGAGCAGCAGAAAGAGGTGATGCTCCTGTTCCGGGAAACGGCAAAGTACATGGGTTACCCCGACAAGGAGGTCGAAAAGGTGCGCGTGGACGAGTTGTTCCGTCACATTTGGGGCTTCGCGAAAAATGTGGAGGTGGCCCGCAAGGCTCGGCTCGAAGCCATCGAGAAGGAGCGCCGGCTGGTTATGGCTGAGCGTAGAAAGCAGGAGCAGGCGGCTGCCCGAAAGAGCAAGATGCGCACGTCACTGATTCCTACAACAGTCACGGCTACTCCTAAGATGGTAGACGGGCTGGCGGACATTGTGAAAACACAGACTTGATATGCTGTGAAGCACCGCAATATCGAGGTGCCGAGTTTTCTAGCTACGGTGCTGTCACTCATCGATTACAAATCAAATGGACATTTGATGTATTGTGCATTAATAATATGATTAAAACTATATAATTACAGTTCACTATCATTTTTAGGTCTATCGAGTAGGTGGCCGGCTTTGATATGCCGCCTTGCCACGTTGCCATTTTCTTCAAGTCTTCTATAGACCCATGCGATATGCTGTAGCTGCCATTGTAATGGGCATGTCAGCATCGGGGGTTTGACCGGATCTCGTGCTGTTATCGCAAGGCCACCATGCCTGGCAGCGGTGCGACCACTGCTTCTGCATGTCGATGTTGTAGTTGAGGAAGGAGTGCTTTTCGTCCTTACACGGGCCCTGATATTCATCTTTAGCTTTGCACAATCCCCTGGGCGCGGCCTCATGAGTGTCGAGCTCCCATTTTTCTGGGCACAGGTCAGAGAAACGCCTAGTGCACTGCACGCAGGGCCAGTTTGCCAGGCAGTCCAGAGACCAGCTGAGTTTTTCCTCTTCAGGCATAAATCTATACACAAGTTCCTGCCCCATGCAAGGCCCTGTATATAATTAAGTGACGTGCCATATGAGTAAGAAGATTTGTGTATTACCATACGGCAATCACGACTGTTCTCATGTAGTAATGAGTATATAGATGGTTACGGTTACGTCATCAACGACAGACATAAAACCGCATTGATCAGAGGATGGCATCTAGTTTACAAACCTGTATACGACGCCGGGAATATGCACTTGTGCTCCCCGTCCTCAGTGGCGATGTGCTTGAAACCCTGAATACTCATGTATCCGCAGCTACTATCTGCTCTACTACAATCGAACATCACATCATGTATATACAGTAGTGTTTTTACGCAGTTCTCTCACAAAATCCAGAAATCTAACGGTTCCCGGACGCCATAACATGCAACATACATCATATTATATACGCTAACACTGCAAATAAGACCGCAGATGAGGCATGTGTGCCAACTAGCTGTATACAGTGACATAATGCACTTACCAGTGGGCAAGGTTGAGTGTAATCACGTTGGCAAAGGAATATTGTATGGTCATGCTTGGCATCAGCTTCCTTCTTTTCCTTATCCGTATGCTTATCTGCACGGCACTGTCAAACTACGGCTTGCGACATACGCTTTGCAATCTTGTCTGCGATTTCAACAGCGCGTTCTTCCAGTTTATTTACGAGGTTATGCCCTATATTATGGGCATTAGGGAGAAGGTTTGGGTCATCGGGGTCCAAGTTCATTGTGCTTTTGGAGGACATGTCACCCATCGATTCGCCAACCTCTAAGTTTGAGTCATCCGCGAGGCGCGTGGATTCATTTTGCTGCGATTGTATAAGTCAATGAAACGAACGCTGAGACAACGAATGTCACATAGAGTAGCGGATAAAGTTCATGTTCATAAAAGCCAAGATTCCGATTTCGTACCTGCTTGTGTATTGCCGAAATGCAATTCAGCATGTGAAGGACCGTAACCACGCAGAGTAACGCCTTCATGCTTGATCACAGGTGAATGTGTAAACGACATCAATTACAGTCATATGCCGCCGGGTAGACAGACACACCTTCCACCGGCTCTTCGCTATATAAAGCAACCAATAACAATCATTCTAATATTGATACACATCGTACAACGATGGCAAATTGATGGTACTAGCTTACACTCTTGTCATAGTGCCACACACTGCGTCTGAAAATGTGTAACCATAGAATACGACCAACGCCAACCCATAGCATAATCATCATTTGATTTCGTGAACTGTGTGTTTATTCACTTTTTGTCTGCAGTATCGATGAAGATGCTTTTTATGGGCAGAGTGTACTACTGGCTTTATACCTCTTCACCATCACTCGGAATAGAATCTTTCACTTGCTGCTAGTCAGTCGACAGCACAGTGCCTCCTGATGTGCTCTAGAATGCGTCATTTGTTTCAACTAGATAAGCCTACGAAAGATTTTGCCATGGCGCGTCTAGTGTCATCGTCGCCCTTGGCGTAAGTGTCACATAGTAATTGCACAAACTGTTCTTCTCTGTTACTATGTTAATCGTCTACGATCTAATCATCAAGGACGCGCTCATCGACGTGTTTAGATACGTTATATAGGAGGAAACGTTTTACATATGGTGTACGTAACCGGCTTGGAGCTTTGTTGACCCGGCCTTTTCTCCAGGCTACGCCACCACCCGCCTACGCATCGTATGACTACATCACATAGTTACATACTGTTAGTTTTAGGCAATCCTATGTCGATATTGTTCTGCATTTGGCATGAGGGATTCGCACAGCTGGAGAATATAGAACCTCAGGGTGAAGAGTAAAAAATTTCACAAATCATACTATGTAGTTTACAAAACATCTCAGACTGAATGTCACCACTATTGTGGGTAACCCTCTGTCATGTTTCATACCTTTAAGTTTTGGATATTGTATAGGTTTAATGCGTCTAAGGAATCTACTATAAGTGCGAACGTCAGATTGATCTTATCCATGCCGCTGTTATTCAAGTCGCCGCTAAAAATGTCATCGTGCTCCGATGTGGCTACGGTATAAGTTATGCTGAGGATACCGTTGCTCCAAGCAACATTAACATTATCAGCCAGCACTGAGTTGGCGTAGAGCAGTACGGAGATGCTACTGGCATCCCGGTACCGATCATATCTGCTATACAGTTGCCTTAATGCCCCTTTTTTGAGCGTCCTTGTGTACAGCTAATGGTGGCACGGAGCTGTTGGCTCGATTAACTTAATGTCCAGTTATTGCGATTCGGATTACTAGAATCCAGACAGCAGTCAACATCCGTCCCTGGTACGGTTTAACAATAAGATCTTTGCTGGCATCGAATACATTGATTCGAAGATAAGTGCCGGAATCGTATACACCCACTGCCTCACGGCAGCCTCCCTTCGCGTGAGGCCGTCGATATCGCGCGTTTGGCGACGACGAGTTTAAATAGGGAAGTGTGTCCCGAATTAACTACACATTTCAGCCTCTTTTGAAATTAGAACAATATGCGGTTAAAACCTGGGATGCAATAAGACAGTGGAGACGGGTCGTTGAGGGTTTCGTGGACGTTCTTCCGTCGACCGCAGCCGCCGGTTGACGGAGATGATGAGAATTAGGCGTCGATGTGCAATTGTCTTGGAGTCACTCCACTTGCTGTTTATAGCCTTTGGTTGATTGCCAAGGGCCGCGTTATGAGCCCCTTCATCTCGCCCTTATCGCCGCGCTTTGCGACCGTAGCTTCAGATCCAGGGACCTAACGACACCATGGGAAGTCACCAGAAGCCGATTATGCCACCGGACATGCCGCCGATGATGCCGTTCGACATGAGCCGCTTTGAGGCGGGAGGCATGGTGCCGCCGATGTTCCCCTTCCAGATGCCCCCAATGGGTATGCCGGGCGTACCAATCCCGCCTCCGCCAGCACCGCAGCCACTAAGGCCGGAATCTGAGGAATACCAGCTGGAGATGGCGGCCATGGCTGGAGAGATGATGTCGCAGGGCAAATTCGGTCAGCCACCGGTTGCTCCGCAATACTCGGTGCCGCCTCAGCCGCTTCCTCCGCAGTCTGCCGCACCCGAGAAGCCGGATGTTCACCAAACTGTGGACCCATACCTCGCTGCGGAGATAGCATCGGTGGTTCATACCCTCACCACGTCACAGTTGACCCATGCGCTCGCCGCATTCAAGCTGTTTTTGGACAAATCTCCAACCAACGCGAAGCGCTTGCTGATGAACAACCCCCAACTGCTCTATGCGCTTATACACGCGCAGTACATTCTGGGTAACAGCGATAAATCGCTGCTACATTTGAACAAGGCCGATCAGCATATAGCTGCTGTGAATCGCAAGGAGCGGCTTTTGACTAGTAGCGACACAGCTGCAAAGACGGAAGAGGCACCCGCCGTCGTACATCGTCAATCAAGCAAGAGACACCGCTCTATGACGCCCAACGAGAGCGCGGAAGAAAATGTGGATGCCCCGGCACCTGAGGTGGAGACTGCTAAAGGTAGTGGCTCTGCGCGCCGTCGTGAGGGTAAGACAAAGGATGTAAGCGGTCAATCGTCGCGTCGTGGAGCTAAAGCACACAAAGAGGGAGATACGAGGGCGTCCGGACACGCGCCTCCTCGCGCGGCGCCAGCGGATAGTCCGGCAGAGGTCGCCACTCCAGCTGCCAGACCGGCAGAGAAACCTGTTCCGCCGCCAGCGGAACCCAATGTTGCGCCACCGGCTCCACAGGCACCAGTGCCGCCTCCATCGCAGTCTGCCACGCCGGCGCCGCGGCCCGTTGCGGTGGTGACAACAATTGAGCAGTTGATGATGGAGGTTCAGCCCGCTCCAACGATACTGGTGGAAGAAGTGCTGAAGAACACGGAAATCCTCACCAAGTGAGTTTTTCTTTGCATGTGTGCGCTAATTCGTTTGCAGTATTCAGCGAGCGACGCTAGCTGAGATGCAGTCATGGCCAGCGGAGCAGCGCCTGCAGGTGATGTCTATCAAGTTAGCCCTCCACTACAGGGGAATATCGATTCACTTGTAGATTGTGCATCGATAAATAGATTCGAACAAGATGCTTAATATCAGTGCTGTGTTTACCATTCTGCTCTGTGTCCTCCATCACTGGCGTGGCGTGGCGGGTCCTCCTGGCAAATGGCCGCGAACAGTAAAATATTCTTCAAAGAGAATGCGAACAATGGACATAATTAATAAGTTTCCCAGCACCGAATCGCCAGCGGACGGCGCTACCGTTGGAATCTTCCACACCGACAGCGTGCCTTCAGCGGCTGCCATCGAAGGCCTGGCAGGGCCTGTTGAGGTGTTCCACCTAGTCTTTGCGGCTGGAAGCCCACCCAAGGAGAAATCTACGGAGTTTTCCGTACTGAAATACGACAGATTCCCGGACGCCTTCGCCACTAGTGAGGCCGGTATCCGTGGCGTTGCCGGTGCTGCGTTTTCGGCAAAGATTGGGTAGGTGTATTATGGCGTCCAACATATTTGGCAGCGATTTGGTTGAGTTCTTCACTACGCGCGAGAACGGCTCTCTTTTGGCCGAGGCGCTAGTTGGATGCGGAAAGTTCTCTGACTTCAGGGTGTCTGATGCGTACAACGTGGCGAAGGCTATTGCCCTCACCGCTTTACACCGCAAATGCAAGAACGTCATTTTAGTGCTCGGATCGCTCGACATAACGTTCATTGAGGCGCTGGTTACTGGTTTCCTGAACCACATTAGCGTAGATCGCCGTTTCAGAAAGGACACCACGACGGAGAACCACCTCGAGGGCATCTATGTCGCTACTACATCCTTGGAAGATGTGCACCCGCTTGCAGTTCGCTGCAAAGTGCTCGCAAGGGCCATGCACCTCAGCCGCGAGCTGGTCACCGCCCCCGCCAATTACGCGAACACGTTGTCTGTCTCAAGCTTCCTTAAGGACAAGCTGACAGCACTCGGCTTGTCGGTCAACTTGATGTTCGAGGATGACTGCCGTGCCTTGGGTATGGGAGCGTACTGTGCCGTTGCTCAAGGTAGCAACTATCCCCCAGTATTTGTGCACGCCACATACCGGGGTGAAGGTCCCATCAAAACCAAGATTGCGCTTGTTGGCAAGGGTATCATGTTCGACTCTGGCGGTATTAACATTAAGAGCGCCGCAAGCGAAATCGAGTTGATGAAATTCGATATGGGCGGTATGTCCGCCGTCTTCGCTGCTGCCGAGGCCATTGCCACGTTGAAGCCCAGAGGCGTGGAGGTTCACTTCATCAGCGCCACATGTGAGAACATGCCCGGACCCAAATCGTACCGCCCTGGTGATATCATTACAGCTTCTAACGGAAAGACCATTGAGGTAGTTACATTCATATACATTACATAGTTGTGCAGGTTATAAACACGGACGCCGAAGGTCGTCTTACCCTGGCAGACGCTCTGGTCTACGCTGAGAATTTGGAAGTCGACTACATTATCGATCTGGCAACGTTGACCGGTGCCTGCATAGTTGCGCTAGGTGGGTTGCAGTGAGCATTTTACACATGTATGCAGGAAACCATTACGGCGGTTACTTCTCTAACGACGAGGAGCTGAATATGAGTTTTGTAAAGGCGTAAGTTTTTGAGTGCAGTCAGCGTTAACGTATGATGTGCAAATGCATTGCTATTTGAATGCGGTGTTCCCGATTATAAACTCCTGAATCGCACTGCTTAACACTGTCTACAGCCTTGAAAAGTCAGGAGAGCTAGCGTGGAGAATGCCACTCGCCAAGGAGTACGCCGACAGCCTCGAGTCCAAGGTGGCAGACCTTAACAACTGCAACTACAAGGTGAAGGCATCTACCATCACGGCTGCGCTGTTCCTAAAGGAGTTTGTGGAGAAGGCCAAATGGATCCACTGGGACATTGCAGGCACAGCGTTCGATAAGAACTCTGGCCGCGGCACCGGTTACGGCGTGCGTACACTGGTCAACCTGGTTATGGACCTGGCCGAGCATTAAAACCATGTAGTCCTAGAATTGCTGTCTTAACATATGTACCTTACACACTACGTTTAAAATGTGATATATAGGAATAGCAGCTACATAGATTAAGCGTCACGATGAGTTGTCCAATTGCCAACCTTCCGGTGCGGCTCGTGCGGGTGTAATATGCTGGCGGCTCGGTGCATAATACGTACAGACAGTATACGCTGTCTAGCGTAATTCTTTCACATTCCAGTGAATAGCTGCCACAAGCGAAACTTGTATATTAATGGTTTCGTGATTCGGCAGGCAGTCTCTTACACATCTGATGTGTAGCCCGGAAGGTCTACACCTTTCAATCATTAATGCAGTTTTAAACGGCCATCTTAACGGATGATACAAATCAATTTGATACGACAATGAAGTCCACTGCTGTCTGCAAATATGACAAAATAGCGCATGAAATTTTTGCTGCTACGCTAAGAGCGCCGTCCACCTCTCCTCGTGACCAAGAGCCCGATTCGCGTCGTTTGCGCTATAGTGACCTGGTTGCTAAGCTGGCGAATCACATTTCCGACGAGAAGACACTGAAGCTGAATCTACTTCTCCTGCCTCTGTTGACCAAGGTGCCCGAGGTTGAGCAAGATTTCCTTAAGGCAGCAATACCATTTCTGACCTGCGCTGCACGCCCATACAACAGTAAATATGCCCTGGACAACGGAACTGCCATATTGAACAAATGGGCGACTTCTGGGCTAGGAAATGAAGATACTACGTCACAAGACGTTACTGAGATGCTCATATCACCTCAAGCCTTCAAGAATACACTTTTGAAGCTGCTAAACGGCAAATCTGATGACAATCGTGTTGTAAATATGCGAAATCAGTTGACAGGTGTGTCTTGGTCTCCGTGCATGGAAGAAAAAGACGCTGTCGTAGCGGCCGTGGACGACGACGACGCAGAGTGCACTTTCCAACCAAAGCTCAACAGGTATCCCGCTTACCTCAGGAATGCCCCTAAATTGATGCAGCCGAAGGATAAGGTTTCGCGTAAAACGAATCCTACATTGGATCTATCACCTTGTGGCTATTATGAAGATGGTTATGATCAGCAGACCAGGCAAATTGTTCGAACTAACGATGGGGAGATAGACTATGGTTCACCCTGTAATAATGTGTGCCCTTTTGGCACGAGAAGGTTCAATTTCGACATGGCATCTCAAACCAGGCGTCCTGTGGAGCATATGAATGCGCCTGCTTCCCAGGTTGTCGATAGCCCGAGGGGAATTCTTTTGCAATCGTTCGCCAAACAGCCTCACCAAAATGCAGCAGAAAAACGGGTCACAATATCGGATGCTAAATTAACTCCGAATTATGATGTGGATAATATAGACGATAAGATCGAAGAAATTATAAATAGCCTCCCATCAATAACACGGATGTCGCCCCCAGCGACAAATGACATGGAGGAGCGTTACTCGTTGCGCTTTGTACCTTCACAACGTCATCATTTATGCAGTGTTAACGCGGATTCGTATGAACGCGAGAATTACATGACCACACCATGGCAGGAGAAGCTTCGCGGTGGTTACGTGAACACTGGAATGCGATTCTCGCAAAGTGATAACTGCCACTCACCCTCATCGCCGTTCTCAGCAAGGAATGCTGGTTCGCTAAAGCAGTGCGATTATATCCTCCCACGCAGTTTCGGTATTCCCATATTCAAGAACTCGCCAGCGGCAGGTTCACATAATGAAGTCTACACGCCTCAGAAACCAAAGTTCGAGCAGCAAAGGAACCCTCTGGACGTAATAGAAGCCCAGTTGGCACAGCTGCCAGTCAATCTCAGACAGATCGTGCGCTAACAAGCAGCTGCGGTCGTTAACATGTTATCAAAGCCCCTCATGCGGGGCACTACAACGCCAGTACAAGCAACAATCATGCTTCGTCAAACATAAAATATGCAGTCACCACATCACACCCATGCAAAATGTCACGTTGCTTTCATTAAGGTTTAGAGTTCGCTACATGAGTGTACATGAGCGCTCCGAAGAGTCGGCAATTGAAATTCGGCAGTCGTGTCGTTGACGACGTGCTTGCACACATTAGAAGGCATGCTTAAGCTCAACAAATGCGATCCCTCGCGGGTCGCTCGCTCTGCATTAACCAAGTAATTCGTGTCAGCACACGATTAACAGAACACGGCTATCGGCTTCAGCACACTAATAACGCCTCCCCATAGGCATCGCGTTGGAGCTGCTGTGGTAGCCCCCTCCGTAGCGTCCGCCATAACCGTAGTTCCCTCCACCGTAACCACCCCACCTGCGATTCTCGCCACCGCCTCCAAACCTTTCGTTCGCTAGTTTGGAAAGCTCGGGGCTGATGGTCTGGTTCGCTTCGCGCATGAGCTTCACGAGCTCCCTGGCGATGCGACCCTTGTCCGGAGTTAGGAAGGTGTAAGACGCGCCTGCAATATATGAATTCGGAAAAGGAAATGCTTACCCTTATTCCCTCCACGTCCGGTACGCCCGATGCGGTGCACGTAGTCTTCGATTTGGTTGGGGAAATCGAAATTCACCACAATTTTGACATCGCGCACATCCAGACCTCTGGAGGCGACGTCCGTTGCGACCATGATCGGGTGCTTGCCATTCTTGAATTCGTTGAGCACCCAGTTGCGCTCCTCTTGCTTCTTGTCACCGTGGATGCTCAGAGCTGGCCATCCGTCCAGCCTGAGCTCCCTGGTGAGCGAGTCTGCGGTCTTCTTCGTGTCAGCGAAGATGAGCACCTTGGTACCATCAGGGATTTTAGCCAAAATCTTCTTCAATTGTGCGCGTTTCTCTTGTTCACCAATGACATATACCTCTTGCGATACGTTGTGGCAAGTCTTCAGGTCTAGCGATCCGATGTTTATGTGTACGGGCTCCTCGCGGCAAAGATCATGAGCCAGCGATTGTACTTCCTTGGGCCAAGTGGCAGACCACATGAGAGTCTGTCTGTCGGGCCGGATTTGGCTCACAATCTTCCTGATCTGTGGCTCGAAACCCATATCAAGCATGCGATCTGCCTCGTCGAGGACGAGGTAAGTGACGCGTCTCAGGTTGGTGACCCCCGACTCAAGGAAATCGATGAGTCTTCCGGGGCACGCCAGCAAGATTTCTACACCACGCCTGAGCTCGTACGACTGCTGCCTCTTTGGTACACCACCGTATGCGACAGAGCTCTTGATACGCGAACTTGCCCCGAACTGCGTGCACTGCTGTCGGATCTGCTCCACCAATTCCCTGGTGGGAGCAAGGACAAGTACGATCGGCCCGTCGCCTGGCCTAAGTAGATGCTGCGCATTGATATGTACTACCGCAGGTAGTAGGAATGCAAGTGTCTTCCCTGAACCCGTTTCGGCGATACCGATTACATCCCTTCCTGAGAGAGCGATAGGCCATCCTTGAACTTGGATGGGCGTCGGGGATGTGAATCCGGCGGCGGCGATAGCTTTGATGATATAATCGGGGAAAGAGGTTTGATCGAATGAAACCACTGGCTTGGGAACGTCCTTTCCGGCGATAATAGTGATCTCCTTCTCTTTCCTGATGCGGTCCACGTCGGCCTGCGACATGGATTTCACTTCGTCATGTTCCTTGTAGAAGTTTTTTTCGAAGGGCACCAACGTCTCCTTGGACCAGTCGATTGGCATCAATTTACTGCCAAGGGCGTTGCTGTCGTATCCACTCGAAGAACCGCCGAAGCCGCGATATCCGCCATTGCCTGAGCCGTAGCCCCTACTGGCACCTCCACCATATCCGCGCGAGGCGCCTCCCCCGTACGTCGATCTGGGATCGCTCGTATAATAAGGAGCGCTTGACATTGTTGCGGAAATCCTGCACTCGATACCACTGGTCGGTATCGAAAAGCAAGGCACCAGAGCTGGCCGGTAAAACGATGCTACAGCTTCTTTCGTGCACCTGGACCTACTTAGTAGACTCAACAAAGGTGTCCTGTGAGTAGACCCGCAGCAGCAACACGGATTGTAAAATCTAGTAGTGCGTTACTGCTATATATGTTATTGAGCGACTTTCGAAAGCGCAAACAGGCCGTTCAGCTGTTGAGACTGTTTATTCAGTTCCACGCCTATGATTTGCCCGTTGCCAGGGTGCTGTGTGACGTTACTCAAGCGATACCTGTGGAAGGATCAGCACTCCGCGCGCCACGAGCCGTAACGAAGGAGCTAGCACGAGTAATATCATAAACTGCCAGATGACAACATCATAGACGGCGCAATCTTTGTGGCTCTAACATATATCGCACTACTTGTATTGCTGGCGGTGAAACGATAACTGAAACCACGCCTGAGTACAGATGGGGTGGATTATTCTCCTGACCCCAGGGAATCCTTTTTTCCAAAGCTCGTATTATAATGCCCGAGAGCGTTGTCCCACGATTCCATCGCCGGTCATGATCCGTCAGTATCGTGATTTAATTTGCACAGCGCCTTTTACACCTTCTATCAGGCCGAAAGCGGTAGACACGTCTGCGAGCGACACTACGCGACGGGCCGTTATCGGATAATACGCACTATAAAATCAGGATTCCTCAGATTTTTGATGTGTGCACTTATGTGTGTATAATGTTACGGGTAATACTCTGTATATGGTCGCCAAATATGGACACGGCGCCACGCCGACAGCGCAGCAGGCCGGAGGGCGAGGTGTAACGGCGTAAACCGCCTTAAACCGCACAAGTGTCACTTCTTCGCGCCCAGCATAGCAGTGAGTGTGTTCAGTTGATTCAGCCAATCTCGGCGTTCTGCCCCGGTGATGACATTATGTGTGACCTTCGCTTACCTTCTGGCACTTGTTGCTCCGACTTGGCAGCGCTTTCCGTCGGTGTTGGGATGCTAGGTGGCACGGCAATGCCGATCAACCTGTAAGATATGTCATGTGTAAGCATCCACCTACATGGACTCCCTTTGGTCATCCTTGGCATGTGTCTTAAACAATTCTGTGCCTGGCGCACATATGTAAATGCTGATATCCTTATTCAGCGTGGCTACACCGATCTGGCAACGTATGAAATGTGTAAGGAGGGCGCCTTACTCTTTCTTTTTCCCGGAAGTAGGTGATGTACTCCTCCAGGCCCCGCTGGTGTTCCGGCCTTCGCGCCTTTATGTAGAACACTAGAACGATAAATAATACAACTCTGCTGTTCTCCCACCTGCTTTGGGCGTCACGTTAGCGGCATCTTCCCACTTAAGCCTGTGGGTGATGTTTATCGTATTCACGTCCTGCGTAGAGTTAACAGCAAGTCCGGCGAACCGACCTTGGTCAATATGGAATCGGCTTGTCCACTGATTGGGGTCGCAACAATTTCTACCAGCTTTTTGCCATTTCGGGCAAACTTTCCCTTCCATATGGGCTGCGCGTGCTTCTCAGCAGAGTTTTTAACGGCAGCCTTATCACTGGAGCGTTGATATGAGCTATTAGAGGCCGGTTCTGCATAGCCATTATATCGCAGTATTAAGAACGAGTTGTACATACCACGCGCGCTTCTTGATGTCTCAGAGCGTTGTTGTTCGCTTCTCTGTCGGTCTCTGTCGTAGTAGGGGCGGCCTTCGCTGCGGTCGCCTCGGTCGCCGTGCGATGTGTAGGATGGCGAAGTGCTCCGCGGTCTTGCGAAGATGTGCGGCGCCTGAGCTCTCAAAACATCGCACAGCCGTAACTCCATTTTAGAGTTGTTAACCAATGATTCGGATGTAAGACGTCTAAGCAAAATGACCCGCAATACCCCGACGAGATGCACATACACAACATCGCACCTGTCTAGGCGGCCATTTCATGTAAGGGACGTAATAATAAAATCTATTACTTTGAGAAGTGACACATGTTTGTACCCTATACTCTATTGTCGCTGAATGGCCGTTACGTCGGCGTTCTCTCGCATACAAAATCGAATTACGGAGAGCGTCTCCCAGAGTAATTTCCTGGTAATAATGACCTGCCGCATGTGATAGGCGTTGTGAGATGCTTTAAAACCCACTTCTGCGTGGAACCCTTGTTTTTCTATGGATTGCAGAACGCTGTTCACGTCATTGCGTTTCTCAACCAGCTGCGCGAAATGAACATCGACCATCGACCGGCCGACTTACCAGGTATACTGTTCCGTGTTGCGATAAGTACTCCTGAATTACGCATTGCGGTGTGGCGTAGGCGTTGTCAACCTACTTTTACGGAGGCGATGAACCTATCTGTAACCTCACTGCCCATGGCACCGCCGTTCCATGCCATGTCTAGGCACTGATTCGTTGGGTCCGTACTATCAGACGGTACATATGGCTGCAACATATCAGTACATCGTTGATATTGATGTAAGATAAGAAGATATCGACTGTATGGAAGTACGTTGCAATTAATTGTAACACATGCTTGACTTACTGGGTTGAACATGACAATGTCCACCATTTTCTTGCTTATACGACTGTTTAGTGAAGCAAACATGTCCATTCCAATTGCATCAGCTTTATCCGCAACTCCGTTATTTTGGAATGTTTTCATTGTAGCGGCATTGGCAAATGGGTTTATGTCGACAGCTATGACGAACGGCGAACCAGATTCATACGATGAACCGCAATTCCCTTCCGTTGCGTCAGATGACGCTTCGGTGCACTGAGAACTTCCATTATCGCGTCTGTGGGTTGAACGGCAGGCAGTGCCTCTTCGATTGTCTCTAAGTAGTTTCAGAAGGTATGCCGATATGTATCCACTCCCTGACCTGTAGTTCATATATACTAATAAAAAGCTCCTATGCGTACCCAATTTCCATAACGACGGCGATTTCCCGGCGGCACAGGTGCTCGATGTCGCTTTGTAGAGCATCGACGAAGAGGAAGGTGTCTTGACATGGACAGTATACGGTATCTCTGAACTCTCCGCTTTCAACGTGCGCATAATCGACGTTAATGCGTCCAACGTTAGCTACCATATTGAGTGGAATCCGCTCAACACTTGCAACAAAAGCTTTTCATGTGCAGAATACTTCTTCTATCACACACATAATTTAATAAAGACTGCTAAGCGTTTGAATCTATATTTGTAAGCGGAATATTAGGATGTTCATGACTGATTACGCGTCCATACGGAGGTCGACCGGACACCTTTGCCTAAATGAAAATATACGCACACTTATAATATGAAAGATATTTAGTATACGATATTATAGGGAACTGTATCTTTCATAAATTCTGCTGTCCCATTTTGAACCGTTCAAATAACAAATGGGCATACGCGTCAAACCGATAGGTATCCAAAATGTGTAAAGATGTCTTAGCAGAATGCGTTGAGATACGACATGTTGCCCTAATTTTTCTTTACGGCTTCTTGCTCCTGCTTGAGCAGAGTTCTCTCGATTTCATCACGCTAAGAAAACGTTAGTAAATGCCAGGATATATTGTTTAAACAGAAACTCATAAAAATTCTATCGCTGTAAAACCTACCAACATGCAATGATGTAGCCACGTGAACCTATCCGAGACGATTTCTTCCATATTCAGCTTCTTGTAGCGGCGTGTCCAGTATGCTTGCTGCGAAAGTAATTAGGCTACGTGCCAATATAAATCTATTACAATTCCCACAGGGTAGTATATAACCAACTGTAGAAGCTAGAGAACCGTCTATATCGTACCTTAACCGCGTTGTAGATATACGGAGATGCGATGAGACCGACGCAAGCTACACCCAGTAGCCGGCTTCCATTCTTAGGGTTGAGACCCGGCATCGTGAGGTAGCGGTAAATATGTTGTAATTTATTGTGGCATTTGGCGCTGCGCCACCTAAAGGTAAGCAGGTCACGTTACGCTGCAGACCCTACATATTGGTGGAGTCTAGTCACTTGGTCTGACCGCAGCAAAAATTGAAGCTTTATACACTACTACAGTACAAAGCAGAACGCTGAAATAAATCATACGTATCACACTTGCTACTAAAGCATATCATTATGGCCCTGATGTCGGTTACACATTTCTCCGATCTTTGTCTTACTTACACATCATCATATCCTCGTTCGAACACATAGAGGCGTGATTCTTTAAATATGTGAAGAGTTTCAAAGCCTTATGCAAATGACATTTATTCTGATGACTAACTATCCATTAAACTGCTGTATCGTTCATTGTTTAAGCCGCACCGACCACGAGGGAAGTCACTACGTGTAGTTTTAAAAACTTTAATAATCACACATACATCATGATAAGTCATACATTTGATTTGATAGACATATAATGTGTAATATGCAAACGCAATAGCCTTGTTATGAGGTAGATTCCTGCCGCAGCTACCGTTGAGGTTGGAGAGCTCAGTGTTGTGTAGGCGTCGTTATCGCAAAAATGGCAACATTTCGTAGTTTTCAGTTAATGAAATGTGCCACTAAGCTCGTGTATCGCAGAGAAGGCTACAGGGAGTTTGCCACCGAAACGGCTACAGTGCCGTTGGTAAGGGCGACACCAGTTTCCCGATCCGATTGGGAGAGGAACAGGCGCAACACAGAGGAGTCGTACTCTCATACGGATGATTTAGAGGCTGAAAGCAGGCGAGTAATCTCTAGAAACCATAAGGGTTTTGGACGACCTCATACGCATAAGACCAAGATTGGGACTACTTTTATCGCAAAACTGCAGGTAACCCCTTTAAACAATGGCATATTATCATCTAAATTGCAGAATGTGTCGTCGAATACCCCAAAGGAGGAGCTGCGATCATTGTTGATGAATATATCGCAGCATATAGATGAGTTGAATGAGTACGAGCTGGTGGACATTGGGTACTACCTTACGCGAGTCAACAGTGAAGACTGCGCATCCGTTGTAGAGCCGATACTGCACCGTTTTTTTTCGCTACCTGAACGCCATTCATGTTTAAATGGCGTTTATATACACAGGTGGGTCTGCACCTGAATGTTGTCACAAATTTCAGATTGCTGCGGACCATGTTCATATACCAGGATGTGACCTATCGCGTGTGGGTATATGAAGTGGCCCAGATTGTAGGAACAAAGCACCGCCATCTTTTGATGCGCGATGTCCAACTTGTGATCGATGACCTATCCCTATTCTACGACGCAGCCGCACAGGGCTCACTCAAGAAGTTCGAAGATGTCATTCTACGTCGGGCGCACGAATTGGAAATAGGGAGACTTCCTTTGGTGATACATGCTCTTGGTACGTTACTTCACAGCAGCAGCAGCTGACGATATCGATCCTTGTCAATGCTTTGCAGGTCGGTCTGGTTATAACACCATAGAAGTTGCAAGGGCGATACACAACGTGTATATGAGAAAAAAGGGGCATCCTGACTTTTATCTGTGCCATTTGATTGGGCTTTTGCTGAAAGGATATACGACGTTTCATTTTCACCCTGGAAAAGCATTCTTGGACGACGCGTGGGAGCACTTGAAGGATGGCATAAAGACAGCAGAGTTCAAGTACATCTCATGGTTGGCAGAATCCTTTCTAAAGTTGCGTTATGTTGAACATGCGCCAGCAGTGTTGGACGAGCTTCTCGAAAAGCAGCACCTGTTGAGCCACCTGGAGTTCACTGACTTCATATCCGGATGTTGGTCAATTCAATCATACATACTCTCCGAGGAGTTTCGGAAGTATGTTATTCCCGGATCAGAATGGCAGCTGGCTAGTCATGAAGGCGAGGAGAGTCCCGCAGATGAAACCACGGCGGGGACAGTACATACCTTGTACACCTACTACAAGAAACTGCTGCGCGCCATTATGGATGGTATGTCGAGCAAGATATATAATTCCACGCCTCCCTACCGCGCCACACAATTTGAGCTGCTTACCAGGCTGTTGGTCATCTATCCGAACCCACGTGACTTCAGGACGATCCTGCCGCTCAGAAAGTTCGACTCCGTTTACCCGATAATGCAACTCCCTTCAGAGGAAGAACCCCCAGTCGGTAGCGTCGACTTTATATTCAGGAATCACGCTCACCTGCAAGCATCACGTTTTTTCGGCGATGGGCACACATTGAACGACGCATTAGAAACCAGCGTTGAGTCCTGCCAGGATCGCAATGATTCCACCATACAGATGGATAATGCTAATGAATCGTTATCGGAAAAGTTGCGTTGTGGAAATCGGGAGCCTGACCTTCAACCTCTACCGGGCCTGTTGAAGCAGTACCTTCATTCGCTCTTCTTCAGGACACCGGCGCTTGCTCCGAGAGGAATTCGCATCTTGATGCAGGGTTTAGTACGCATCCATTTCGAGAAGCGGGAGGATTGTGTGCTGGAACCCGATTTATTGCCGCCGATGAAAACTGCATTCCACAGTCGCCCATTCTCACGCGCTATTATCCGAGAAGTATACCGCAAGCTCGCCTGTTACAACACAGACGACCTGCTCGTCACGCTATACTGCATGTTTCCCCTTCGGATGTTTGAGTTGGACCTTGCGCCGACACTGTTATCACAACTTACTGGCATGTGGGTGCACCAATTGAGGGATGATGGGTTAACTCCAGACCAAACACGTCTGATACGGTTGTTTTATAATACTCTTAAGGTAAATGCAGTCGAACTATACAAAGGATTGGACAAGAACCACCTTGAAACCATCATGAGAGACGTCGAAGGTTGAATAATTTGTTGGCACTAATACTTCTATAACATTGCAAAATTATATTTCGAAGTTGTTCGGCGATCTTATAGTCGGTGCGAAACCTAAAAACCACTACCACAACGCATAATTTGTTATACATCCGTCAAGCACACTTTCTAGTAGAGCAACATGCTACCATGATTCCTTCATAGGAGCTATTGCATCTGCCAAAGTTACGTAGGGAGGACAAGGAAACATATGAGAACATTGACACAGTATAGAATATTAATGCTTAAGTCCAACTTAAGTGTACATGTGATTCTTTGCACGGGCGTGGGTCTCCGTGCTGACACAATGTGCTCCAGCAAATATACCCGCTTACAAAGTCGAGCACATAACTACATAGGCGAAACAAAACTATTTTGCGTTTGTCTCAGCCGATATGTTAGCCAATATTCGCTTGACATCATCAGTGGTTATTGCAACTCCAGCGTGCTTGAGCCAGTATCCCAGGAAGTAACGGCCCTGGTTATCCACCTCCAGGCTTTCGTCATTCGTGGAAGCAACAACATCTGGAAGCAACAACATAGATTGTGATGTTGCATCTTTGTGGTCATGATGATCAGCAGCATGTTCTAACGTAACATCAGTAGAGGAATCGGTATCCGCCGACTGAATCGCATTCCCCCTACCTGTGAATGGGTGTGAGCATCTCGATGTTTCCACATATTTCAAAAGGTGTGTGTATAAGAGCGCTTTGTTGCCGACCGCCGACTCTGAGAGGTAATTCTTAATCAGATCGGTGGTAGAGGTAACCATGTTTTTGCACGCTGAGTTGCCACCATACAGTTTATCACACACCTCCTCACGCGATTCTCGCCATGATTCAATCGCTGACGATAGCAAGTGAGGCTCAAAGAGCAGACTACTTCCAACGACGGGTATACCTGATGTTGGGTCATCCGTTCCAGGGAAAACTATCATGTGTGCATTTTCAGCCCGGTGGTCGGACCACTTTCGCAGGAATGCGCTTCTGAACAAATCGTACATTGCATTTATCTGTATCTCTTTCACGTATACGCCTGCCAAATTAGGCACACAGAGGGCTTCATGCGCTAGTGTATGCCGCTCTTTCACATCGAAGGTATCCAAAATCATATGGTTACCTTCTTCAGGTACAACACTGGCTACCCACAAAAGTAGTTCGCCATAAACATCTCTATATACAATTTCCAGGATGGAATAAGCCACACAACGTTCCAACGTGAGAACCTCTTTCATATTCCAGGCCGACCACAAAAGGTCTAGGGGTACCTTGTCGATGTTCGATACAGGACCGCTGAAGAGAAAGTCAAGATCTATAATGGAGGCCTTTTTGAACGCAATGTAATCGAGTATCCCATCGAACGTGTCCTCATCGGCTTCATCGATAACAGTGTTACGGAGCTGGTTTTCGAAGGAAGTCCAGTCACATAAACCGAGGAAGCTGATTGGCTTGTTTGAAAAACTAAAGTAGTCATCGAACAAGGTTGCAAACGGATCATGATTGTATATAACTGAGCCACTTATCGTAAAAATATTTTTCATGTAATTCATGTCCGCTTTTAACATGTTTGACAAGCCCTGATCCCATGTGAATACCGACACATCCGTCCCATACGCAGATGCAGGGTACATAACGCGAAACCATCGGTCAATGGGTTTCGCATGTTGCTTCACGAAGAGCGTATAATTCCACCACTGACTAACAAAAGACATGAATATCGCCATCAATAATCCCGTCAACAACGATATGTTAATCATGTATCCCTGGTAGCTGCGACATGTAGTTAGTAGCAATGCGTATGAAATAAACATTACAACTCCTTTTATTGTGAACAACAGAACATAATTACGGCTTATGACATACAACCAGTTTTTACTAGAAACATAGTAACGACCGTAGACGAAACAAAGTGCTAAACACAAGAACCAAGCAGCATCAAAATATCTTACATAATCCTTCAATGATGTACTTGCCTTCTGTTGTGTCATTCGACGACGCTTAAAACCAAACTGCTGTGTAGGAGTTGGCGTAATAGTAAAATTGCGTTTCTCCGCATCGAGCCCCTTCAAAGATATCCCAACCTCACTTTGCAGCGACTGAAGCCTGTCACATGCCTCATTTAGATTTGAAGTGAGGGTATTAACTCCGTCATCCAATTTGAATATTCCACTTTCGTGTTGATTGGACAGATCAGAAGTGGCTTCTACTATCTTCGACATTGAAGATATGGCAGATTGATATGCAACACCATTTTGGTCTAAAAACATTTGCAAAGAACAAATGTGTTTCACCTCAACACTAAATGTGTTGCAAATATAGCCTGCCAGGCTAGAAAGGTAATCGTGGTATCGCGCATAAGCACCCCTTAATTCTTGAGTAGATGAATCTATATCAGCCAGATGACACTTTACACAATCAACAGTATCACAAAGTTTTCTCAGTTCACTAATTAATCCATTGCTACCACCCGCACCTCCCTCACTACTCCCCAATGTTTCCTGTAATTTCTGCAATTCAACTGAACATTGGCACAAAACGCTACATAAGCTCTCTTTCCACATGCAACAGCAGCCTTCGGATCCCTTATCTTTACATTTGCACGCACTATCACTACTAGCGGTTGTACCACAAACGGTGGTGAAAAACTTTTTTACGATACAAGATAATGATTTACAATTTCCTTCACCGTTTTCGTGACTCGGGATTGCACATGAATCAACAGCGCATGTTTCTGAAGCCATATCACTGGATGCCATATTGCAACCGTAGAGAAGAAACAGAGCTAATCCTTTGTGATGACATTCAATATTACACAATCCACATTTATGCGTACTTGGTGACAACGATGATTTTCCAGATGGGGTAACGACTTGATTAAGAAATTCTGTAACCTTTGACGCAATACTGTTCGTACATTTTAGTTCATCAGAAACTGTTTTGCATACATCTGCTAATTTCTCCTGAATCGTCGAAAGTGATGAGCATGCTTTAGTTAAACAATTGGGCACGTCAAAAGATTTCGAAGCAAGTGAAGGCAGCGACTCCAATATACTCATGGCACATGCGTCGCCTTTTCTACACTCCTTGCAGTCTCTTATAAAGCAATTACACGCCTTACTATTAGGTTCGTCATTACTAACTTCATTACATTTATTATCGCATTTACAGCACATTTTGAGATCAGCAAGAGTGATGTTGCCTAACGTGCTATCCGTTGCCATGTTACCTTTTGTGTCCAAATAATTAGCCGTGTACATCTTAGATCTAAAGTCTGCTGTAAATCGAGCAATGGATACAAACCGACGGAACACTGTCATATAGTCGGGTGTATCGACGTTGAAATCCACTTTTGGAGTAGAAAAAACATCAGAAACGACATGAATTGTTTCACGAAGTAGACTGTCTCCCCGATGCATTGATGATTGCACGTCAGCAAGCCATTCCGACAGCAAACAACACAGACGCCTACATAATACCCGACAACGGCAAGCATTGCTGTCATCTTTAATAAGCCGACAATCACAATCGCCCACATCGGTGGCTAAACTTGAACTCAATATCTGCTCGAAGCTAAAAAACAACAACATTAACGCACGTACATGTGCGACGGACGGCATACGATCGTATTCAGAATTGAACGAGCCTTTTATAATCTTTTCCGTCAATTCACATTGCAATTGGTGTATTTCTTTAACGCATTGTACCAAAAGCAAGAGACACGCACAGCCACACGTTGCATGCTCATTGGAGCGCATTGGGGATGTTCCCTTCTTGCAACATTCGTACTTCTTCATTACATTTTTTATTAGTCCAGCACATCCCCCAAGAATTGTTTCCAAAGATTGACACAACACAATCCACTCATTGACAAGACGCAAGTAGGTGAGCAAAACGAATAGTTGTTGCAAAAATCGCTCGAGAACTTCGGCAGATTTAACTAATGAAGTATCATCAAGATCATCAGATAAATCTGGGCACTGTCGTATGTTATAGGCGAGTGAATGTGCTTCATCGACACAGGTGGAAAGTTGCCTGCTCATATAACAATTAACCGCCTTTAATGCCAATGACTCCACTTCGGAACGCGCATCTACACCTTTTGACCCCCCACTGCCCTGAAGCGACGATCGGGATTCCTGTTGCATTGGAGCAGCACTGCCACGCCTATCGGCAACGGAATCATGTGTAGTAGCGGGTGGTGATGGCGTTGGGGAAGTTTTACATGTTTTTTCCTTAACGACCTCTCTCTTGTAAACACATACGCTGCATTCCCAGCAGAGCGAATAGTGCTTCATACAACCACAATGGTTAACAAATTCATCCACAGCAGACTTCACTTTAGTATAGGGGCACGCCGCTGCACCCAATTTGCTAAGACCACCTACTACATGGTGCGAGCAAGCATTACACGAGGCTATAAAAGACGATATTAAACCCAAAAGACGGTGCTTGGCCTCAGTGATGTCCTTGTACGTGATTAAAAGGCAATCAGGATTATACTCGTCTTCTTCTTCAGTAGAAATCAATCCCCCACGAATGGCACGTATAACACTGTATACTGTGGCGCAGTTAGTGACATAAGCCGCATCTTTGTTATCCTCGTCCTCCCATATATTCCAAAAGCCTGACGGCAACATGCACCACGGCTGAGGCTCACGAAATGGGCTCACTGTCTTAGATGCTCCAGAGATGTACTGATCAGAGTCACCATCAGATGTTTTATATGTGCTAACGGCTTCGTTGCGTTCGGTGTCTAGTCCCCGTTGTTCATCAGTTTCTACTATGCCATCATCTCTACCATCCTGTATTTCGGGGGCGAACGACCTGGAAAATGAGTATATAATAAAAAAGCAAAGAATCCCTAGATGTGTCACATGGTTTAGAATCATAATGCTTCTTCCTTCATTCATTGTAACGTTGAAAAGAAATGATGATGCGGCAATCCCACACAGTGGAGACATTAGCCATCCAAAGGAGCATAGGAAAGTGCGGCGCAGAGAGTAACAATTAAACATTAATCCAAACACTTTTCCAACGGGGAGCATTAGGTACTCGCTACAAGCGCTTTCCAAATAACTGTGAACAAGGAAGGTTGTGAGTGATGCCGACATAAACGTTATTCCACTGAAAACATAAAGAGTAACCTTCAACAACAGCAACGTTTGGATAACATCTTCTGCTCTCATACCATAAAACGTCGTGACACAGGAAATCAGAACTCTAGGAATAAGACTGGCGCTACTAGAACCAAGCAGAAAGAAGAGCATGCACCTCAACGCTTCTGTCATAGATTTACTGCCGTGTGGGTTGAAAATAAAGAAGAAGAAACATGACTGAAGCGATGTGGATGATAAAGAGCAGAATGCCACCAGGCATTTTATCACCACCGACGATTTTAAGGCAGTCGCATTGCAGTACATATAAGCAGATAACAGCCCATAGCTCACGAATATACACCATGTAAGACACATTACGACGCACTTTGTCACTGTATTTGACATAACCAAGAGAATCAGAATTATAGACAGTCCATAGTGAACCCGCTTGGCAAAATACCAAAAGCCCTGTACCGATAAAGGAGTTAAGCCCATATGACGCATCCATACGTACGACTCAAAGCTTGTTACTACGTTGAACAGTAACGCACTTAAGCCAACAAGGAAACACGTCAAATACCAAACTGACTTGCGTGTCTCCCGGACGGATTTTACTGAATTCGCCATTTTATCCATATTCATACCACCATATGGCAAATTGTTATCAGATGACATCATCCACACACCGCAGACAACCTTCAATCAGGAGCCTTCATGACCTTCTCAAACCAAAAACTGGAGAGGTGTAACATTGTATACCAACCACTTTGCGGGTGGAGTAAAGGCCTAAAATACGCCTATATTACACGTTTTCTTAAGGTTGCAAGCCTTGAATTAGCTTGAGGTAGGCACGGAAGAATATATAGCCTCTAAACTTGGTATAGCGCAGCGCAATACACGTAAGAGCGCGCTAACAAAGCTCCGGAGTTTTATATACATTATACGTATTTTAATAATAATTATTCATTGGTTGCGTGGTGTACACAGTAAAGTATCACCACGTGATTTGTTACAATATGTGTCGACCGCTTAGACGGGAACATCTATTACACCCACCGTAATGCCAGCATAAATGTACGATGTATTCTAATAATTACTTTTTAAAAGTAATATTTTTAATGTGTGTTTGCCGCCGCTTTTCGGGCGAGGCTGATACAGGCTCTCACTCATGGAGTAGAGCCTTCAGACATGAGGCTAACGACGCCACTATTTATGTTTACACCGCTTACACGGAGCCATTCACCCAATATGTACCGTAGGCGCTCGACCTTCGTAGCGTGAACCTCATCCTGTACGTGAGACAATGAACGAACTGACTTCAGAGCCCCGAGAAAGCATGAATCATCACCACGCTGCCATCGCCACAGTGAATTCGGTATCACGCGTGAGTTTGCTTTACGTTTTTGGTTAGACGGTTTGAACACCAGAACTGTCGTTTCGTAATCCCGGCTAAGATGGAATGTCTCATACGCCTCATACACTTCACGTGCACTACCGTACACGGCGCCTTTTTTGCAGTTTTTCAAGAATGACTTGAATCGATTAACCACAAGGTTCACCATATTTATACAACGATCATCACTCATATATGATCCTTTGCACAATGAGATTTTGTTTGCTTCCCATGAGTCACAATGTTTCTTTAGATGCGAAGCCTTAATGGTTTTTATATCACTTGCCATTAGCTTATTATCCGAATCATCCTTACTTTTACTCTTCAAACGACCAAGGGAGTCAGCTATGTTTCGTTTCATTTCCGACAGACCTTTTCTCGCTTTTGTAAGAAAAGGCTCTGCCTTCGAATTATCAGTTGAAGGCCACGTATCTGTTTTGCTCCTATTAGCATTCTTTGCTGCTGCTTCTTTTGCTGTATATTGTTCCCAATGTGCGATATATTCCCCTTCAAAGAGTGCTACAACACCGACATGCTGCGCGGCAAAGCGCGGAGGTTCGGGTACGAAGGGTAAATCTAAACACTCGGCAGCTATCTTAGTCAGCGCCTGCTGTCGATACATTCGTAATGATTTTTCCAAAGTCATTACATTCTTTCCCGTGCTTCGATAGGATGATTCCATATTTTTCGACACCGTGTCAAGGGCGTACAAGCGAGTTTTATATAATGCGTGATGCCCCTTTGTCACACGCACACCCTTTGTCCAAGCTTCCCACAGCAGATCTGTTGGATACAAAACATCATCAACATTCGTCGCATCGGTCAAAAAGTTCCAATTCTTTTTGCACATAGTTGAGAGTGCCAAAAAGTCAAAAAACCTATTGAAGTCAACTTCAGGACTCACCAACGCAACATTCTTGATGTGGTGAATGACATGAGACTCCGTCCAAAAACGAGTTATATCCGGGCACATTTCTCGGTTAAGTACGAATACAGGTGAAAACCCCAAATAATACGGATCCATGTTGTATACAACACCTCTCACGGTGCAGAAATCAGAGACTGCCTTCAAATCTGCCCTCATCATGTCGCGGAACCCGTCAGACCACCAACATATACTTCCCAAAGGTTGGTCAACGTGATCGGCGTACATCCGATGATAGGTCTTGGAATAGAGTGAAAATTGGTCTGTTAAATACGACCTATACCCGTAACCTTGGGAGAACCACGAAAGCAATATGCTGCAGATAGTACCTATAAGAATCGTCGCGTTAATGAGATAACCGGCCTGCTGGGGAATCTTCGACAAATTGACGAAACCTTTCAGTACAAGTAGAGGTGCTATAAAGGCGCCTATCGTTAGAATTGCTCGATATAACGTAATTTCTCTCAGGAATTTGATGCCAGGTAGAATTTCCACGCCTGCAATATGCAAAAACAAGGCACAGAATATTAAGCCGTAAAAGGAACATTCAAATACGCAAGAGCGCTTTGTATCAATCCCACAGCTCTTCCAGTTTTCAACACACAAAATGGTGCAAATATAGCTTTTAACAGAGTCCATATATAAGGAGCGTCTTGTGGCAGTAATTGCCTGGGTGGTCTGCGATGCCCTACTATGTAGATCCAGTGCATATTCACCAATACGACTCATCAACTTAGAATTCCTCCTTAACCCTTTCACTTGACTATGCAAAGCTGATGAATACATGTCCGTTTTTGTCTTCAAAACATTACAACGACCTTCAATTTTAACGCGTGCAACACTCAGCGATTGCTTATCGGTCTTCCACCTTTTAATCAGTAATTCCACGTGTTTATTTAGTTCCAATCCTCTCTTTGTTGCACACCTAACCAATGTAACCAGAGCTTTGGTAATGCACCTATAACACGCCGTAAGGACGGAAAATACAGCCTTGATACAATTGGCAAATGACTTAACATCATTTAGAGCATTAACAATGTGTGACACTTCTTGACATATTTCTTGTATGGAAGGGCAAGTCTTTCTTACATTTTCACATATTCCCTTAATGTTATGAGAACATCCATTATCTATACACGTTTTAATCTCCGAATATTTGGATAAACAACAGCCAATACAACTTGTATCGGTGTTTTTATCACAAGTTTTCCCCACGCCTGCGTCGTTAGCTGCGAAAATCAGTTTCAGAACGTCGTATGTTAGCTTATTCACACAACCAGAACTGCTACCCTGGCAACATAATTGTGCATCTTGGGTTGTAGTACCGTTGCATTTGGTTACTGAGTCCATAAAACCAGAAAAACTACAAATGTTAGATATAAGAGAATGGCCATTACCCGAGTGCCCACTGATTAAGCTGCCATTTCTACAAAATGCTGATTTTAAAAACGCTCCTAAAGAACCGCAAAGTCCTCTCATCAAACAATTCAGGCCGCATACTGAATCCGTAAGTTGCACTTCTGCAGTCAATATGACACTTCCATTCGTAATATCGTTGCATGAACAATTATCAATGGCGCAAGTATAACCTTGGCAGGTGTTGTCCTGGCAGCCACAATCCTTAAGGCAGTCATCTGCGTTGACAACATGACTTCCGGCCACGCTATTAATACACGCACAATCCTTCATCATTTTAACGCAGCACTCATCGCTAACATCCAGGACACCTGCATGTTTGCATATAATACAAACACACCTTACACCTTTACAGTTATTGTTGTTACAACAATCTTTAAAATCAACATCAGAGTGTTTACATTCACAATGCTGCTTGCTGTATGTAAATTTTGCTTGGGGAGTAATCTTATCGATTAATTTAAAACCAAATGCTGATGTACGGCGAATAAGATCAGATAAAAAGGTAGTAGACTGATTTATTTTCCATAGAGTCGATTTAGGCGTTACAAGTTTGTCACGTTTAAGGCATGCCAGAAGCGAAATAGTCATGCAAAGCAACTTATCCCCGTTAAGTAATCCTTCCATGTCATCGCTTAACAGAGTTATCAAATCGTCCAACTGGGAGCTTAATCGACTACAGACCCAAATTTTTACATTGGGAGATTTGTTGCAGGCGCATTTGCTATCGTCAGTGCAATGTATGAACACTGGAAAATGGTTTGCAATCAAATACGTCGCTCGGATGTGACAAAGCGTAGGTAATTTGTCCTTCAAGGATTCCAAATCAAAATTGCACATTTTTGATGCCGCATCGCACTGTGCTTTGTGGAGCCGAAAAACACAAATTAAAAAGTTGCTAAACAGTGCACAGCCACACTTGCCTTCGCAGTTCTTCTTTGTAGCAGATTTTTTTACAGTAGCAGACGCAGCAGTTCGATCACGCATAATGTTTGCCAATAAGGACGAAACACTATCACTGTTTCTCCATTCTGTAGTACGTCCATTGTTTTGTGCCTCTTGAAGTTCTGACGCATTTCCTGATCGACACGCCCGAAGTAGATGTAGTAAGTCACGATGAATCGTTTCCATAGAAGTGCACAGCAATATCCATTCATCGGCCAACTGCATCATCAATAGCAAGCTCAAAATGTTCGATAAAACGCGTTCTAATTCTTCTATAGCTTCCCGCATCTCATCCTCGGTAAGATCGCATTCACCCTTGCGAAATAATGCGGACTTAGCCATTGAATTGCACAACTTTTTTGCGTCCTCCAAGCAAAATTGTATAGTGCCCCGCATATATTGCTTTGAACTTTGAAGAAGGTACCCGTCTGTGTATACACAATATCCACAATCGTATTTCGTAGCATCTACGTCGCAACATAGATATTCACCCCATAGAGATAGCAGACCCTTAAAAATACAGCCTGTTCTAACTGCCTTGGGCTGCTTGATAAATTTATGATCAAGCTTCTTATGCAAATCGACACTTCTGCCTATAAAACAAGTCAACAACCAGCACAGCTCCGACTTAGCTTCTAGAACAAGCTGGTACCGCTCGTAGAGTGTGTCGGAATCACAGGGGACACAATCAAGCGTATCAATGTCACAATCTGTACTCGGAACAGTCTTGGCCGTTTTCAACTTGACAAGCACTGAAACGTATTGTAACATCAACTTATTATCTTCGCAATCAGTTTTGTACCACTCACTGCAATAACCGCTCGGGAGTAATAACCAGGGCTGCGGATCGCGTAGGAGCCTATTATACACAGCACCAGAGACCGCTCCATCATCTTCCTTATCATCATTGTTATTGTCGTTATTTGATACGCGTGATTCAGACTTTTTCGAGCTGTTGCATAAGGCGCGCTTCAGCCGGTCGATGTCGCAGACGGTGGGGTCCACGTAGCGCCCATAACGCACGCGGGTAATAATCAAGGCCAATACCGTTTCTATCAGAAATACGGTTAGTTGCGCCGTTAATGCATTTGAATTTGCCGCCAACGATGTTTTTATAGCCACCAAGGACGTAAGAATCCCGCAGAAGGGTGTAATGGCCCACCCCATGGAAGTCCAAAAAAGCACGCCCCAGCTGTCATAGTTGAATAAGAATGTGGTCACTGATCCAATTGATAGGGTGATATATTCCACATCCTCACCATGCCACTGGTAAGCCACAAAGCCACTTGTTATCAATGCAGACAGGAACGTCACCACGCACAACGCCACAACGACCCGGTCAATCGAAAACACCATGTACTTCGCCAATATTGCGTCACTTGAGGTTTCATTCCAATTGATGTTCAGGAAAAAGCGGAAAATGAATCCCGACGTACAAGCCCCCAGCACATACAACAACAGCCGGAGCTGCGGCCTCCCACTACCTACCGGGGCGCCCTGATCGAAGACGAAGAATATCGACAAACATTGTAGCACGTTAGATGCAAACGAAATTAAAAGCAGAATCCATTCCAGGACAGGAGTGAATTTGGCGCCAGAATCGTGATAGTGGTAAACATAAAGAGCAACGCTCAAGTAGAGCGAAAACAGCATCCAGCTCCATTTGCACACAGTACGCCTGGAGGACGAACCGAAAGCGAGAATCACGGCCGTCACGAATATCCCAATGAAGAGATTGAAACGCTTCACAAAATACCATACGGCTTGCGCCTCGAAGGCGTTCACGCCCAAAAACCTGAGCAACACATACGCATCGAAGTTAATAAACGAGCTGAAGAGGGTAGCGCTCAGCCCGAGGAGAAAACAGCTCACTTGATACAGTAATCCAGCAACGTACTTGTCGAACATCTCAATAGATGTGACCGGAACTCAAATGCCCTCGAGGCTGACATTGGATTAAAGATTCTTTTACATATAATGCAGCTGTTGCTTATGCTTCCAAAGCATCGACAACTGCTGCGGGCTGTTTTATAACAAAACAGAGACAAACACCTAAAGACACCCTGGCACAACAAGGCCAGATTACAGATACATAGAATGATCACAAAATACCACAGGAATTTATTGCACCCGCTTTTATATGTATGTGTTTAAGCGAAACAATAAATTTTGAAGTAGTCACTACCCCTACCACCATACCGTCAGTATTACCATCGGAGTAAGACTGACTGTAACAGTTATGCTATGACTACCGTCTCGTTATAAATTGGTATTTTGCGAAGAATAGATCGTTATGTTGCGAAAATGTAAAACTATAGCGCATTGCGCTTGGTGCCAATGCCACAAGCCGGCAGCGAAAAAAAGAGGAAATAACGATGCCAGCAAGCGAAATAGAGACCATTTGTTATATATACGGTCTTTTTTAGGGTGTGTGTATCGTAAACTGACCCTATCTCTCCTTCAATCGTGTTAAGTTAAAACGATAAAAATCGTCAACCATTACAAGCCGTACGCTACTTCTTTATGTACTAAAAACTTTTTGTCGACACACAATGTAATTTCAACTCGAATTGAAATCGATATTGGTGTTGGAACCAAAAATACTGTGATACGGAAACCGAACTAGTAGTTGAACACGTACAAATCATAATACATGAGTCTTTCCACCGTATACCTACATCTACACCATATTGATGTATTGTTAAAGGGTTCAGTTACAAATTTCTAGTTTGACGATGGACAACGTAGTTATGTCGACGCGACACCATCGGAAGGACTCCGGGAGGGCGCACGCGCGACGATTACATTGACAGCAGGGCACACCATAGAGATCATAATTTGTAATTTTATAGGCGACGTAAAATCTAATAGTGATGGCGTGAAATTGTCGTCATTGCTTGCTCGCCTGAGTTGGCTCATTGTCTCCCTTGTACTAAGGAGGCTCCGGAGGATAGTCCTTCCCTTCACAGGTTAATCAATGCGAGAGGTTCAAATTGATACTTCTATATAACAATGTATCTCAATGTGATAGTCTGCCGCCTACAGCCGCACGCATCGTTGCGCGGTAAGTATATTACCCTTGCCTGCTATACTTTGTGTGGAAATCAGCTAGAGCGTCATTTTGTGGGCCATCATTGACGTAGCAGGTGCAATTATCAAAAGGACCTTCGCCACTACCCCGCCGATACATCACTTACCGCCGCCTCCACCCAGGGAATATAACGAGGATGGCACGCCCAAAAAGTATCGCAACTCGAAGGCCGTCTACAACCACAGATACAACTGGGAGTCTTGGTCGCTCCGCCCAGCTGGCGTTTTTCACACGGTTCTGGTGGGAGAATTCGGCAGACAGCACAGGCCGTGGACTGCGTGGGTGCTGCAGTACCCGATATACATAGTGGCCGTACCGTCCGTGCTCGCGATATTCACATTGGCGTTCCTTATCCAGAACATGATGCTTATCGGAATCAAGCCCAAAAGGTACACCATCGAGTGGATAGAGGCGCAGAAGGAGAGGGAATTGGCCGAAAACACCAACCCAATTTCTAGATACCTGGATCGCCGACGCAGTGTAAGTAGCCATTTTTGTGTAGCTTTATTGGTGCAGGAACGCGGGCCTAACTGGATGCTGCAGAACTACGTGCCTAGTCACCCATACTTCCTATTTCTAGGCGATTACTACAAGGACCCTGACGCAGAAGAGTCCGAAGAGGGTGCCACATCGTAACACGGTGCAATAATGTAATTCACAACTGTGTATATGCAATTGAATGCGTGGTGTTTCCGAAAACGAAATACGTCAACGATATGCCCTCTCACCATTAGCGTGCAAGGTCGAAGAAACGTGTCCATCAAAGCGTGTCGACAACGTTATGTTTAGCGATACCAATACATGGCATTAGGTTCCGAAATACTATAGTGGTCGCTAGTTTATATATTTAGCCGGACGAAGCGGAAACCGTTAGTGACATATTGGGTCTAAAGCCCTTGTTATACCTAGAAATGTCATGAAACATACAACGCATAAACTGACTTGTTGCGATTCCAAATGTCCGTCAGCAGAGACTGAAAAGGCGGGCCAGCCAAGGTCAGATCACGTGCCACGCAGTGATACTGGTATTCGGAAAACTCCTCCCATTGGGCGGCAACGCGTTTGGAAAGCATGTTCACCATCTTCAAGTTCGTCAAACCATCTTTCTTTAGTTTACGCTGAAATTTGTTTGGCAGAATGAATTATGGCCGTAACCTACTAGCACCCTAGACGTGCGTTGGTAATCCACCGGCTCGAACAGATCCACCACCCGGTAGATGTCCCGGCAGATAACGTCGAAACATTCCTGATTCAGAGAATTGTGCATCGATAGAACCTCCATGAGTTTAGGTGCGTCGTATTTGACGTTGCTGTAGCCTTGTCGTACTAGCAACGTGGATATTTGACACATGAAGTCGCTTTTTAAGGAGCTTGATGTATAGGCCTTGTATGCAAATGCGGCAGCATCAGATAGCTCGCGGCGGCCCATGCGATGCAGATGCCTTTGGATCTCGTCTAGACAGACACCGAATGCCTGCAGGGGCTGAAATAAGGAGGTGGCAAACTTAACCCTAGACACATTGTCCACATCCCTCGGCAGCACCTGTGACAGGTGCCTGCCTATTTCAGAGATACTGCTCAGCAATTAGTTAGCACAACACAAATACCAACCAGGCAGGCGAATAGTTGTACGGTCTTGCAGTAATGTAGTCGAGAATAGACAGGAATAGAGGTATGTCGGTGATCTTTAGGCTGCAGAAAGACCTCACGATTCGTCGGTGAACGTCCGGATTGGTCACCTCAGTAGCGGTACGGCTGGCCAGATCACGCTGTACCATCTGCGATATGATGTCACAAAGCTGCGTGTCGCGGTGTTTCGAGACTGCGAAGGCTTCCACTGCGAAAATGTATCTCGTCAACAAATAAACAAACCTAGCAGAATCAAATCAGGAAGCGACGGTCTTCGCGCATGGACTGTTACCTCCTGCTGAAGGTTGAGAAGGCAGTGCCTGCTCGGCGTGGATATTAGCTCGCGGTTTGAATTCATGACGTGCAGAGCAGGGGAAAACCTCTTCTGCACCGCCTGCGATATGGAAGCAAGCATCCCGTAGTTGTAGATTGCACACCTTCCAAAAGCCTGAAATTGTTATATCCCAGCAAAAGTCGAATTTGCTAGCAATTAAATGAGGTAGTACATTATATAAATGCATTTATATGCAATCTCGAATGTTGCAGAGAAGTGTGATGACAAACAAAATACGAATTCACTTTAAGCATTCCAATGTAACCTACCATCGCTATAGTGGCCAGTTCACCATTTGACGCGTAATGTATGTTGTTTTCCAGATGCCTCGCTATCAATGAGAAAAGGTGCTTCGACGATAGCCGGCAGTTTCCGAAAGCACCTGCGATTTGGGCCAACATGGTAGGCGAAAAACGATCTATCTTTTCACATAGCATGATAGACAACTTGTCCAACGTTGGCACAGCTCTTAACACCCCCAAGTAATGGCATACCCCCGGCAGGTCTGAGGCACATATAAACTAAAGCTGGCAATATACCTATGAAATACTTGCTGCGCTTCAGAAGCTTTTTTGCGATGAACTGAAATCTCCAATCTGACGTGTCAACGTCTTTGACTTCACACAGGCGCTTTAACGCCAACACAAAATGGTATGCTTTTTTGCGTTTGTGCCTGAACAATCATGAGTCGCCGATTTTGTGACCACACCTGAAATGAATCCACGCATCTAATACGCCATCAGCAGATGTAGCTGCGGCTAAACGTTTCGGCAATTCCCACAGATACGATGCTGAACTCTTGGCTGCCTGGAAGGATGCTCGGTAATTGAAGGTAATGCGCTGCGTGTTCTCGATGGAACGGGGCACCGTGTATCGTTCGACATATCGATTCCAGTTGCCCTTGCCGACACGTTTATGGAACCTATAGTAGGAAAAGAGTCTCTGAACTGTTTTGAGCGTTTGAAACAGTGTCAAGAGAAAAGATCACAAGTGCAGGACAACCAACCTTGTCTTCCTTCAAAAATCCTAGGCATGTGGCTCCATCACTTTCACGCAGACCACCTCCAGCCCACCGCACACGAAGTGCACACCGAAACATATCCATGTCGTTAAGCTAGTTGCGAAACTCAAGGATAACAGAAGACGTGACATTTCGCAGGGGACACCATCACGACAACGCAGATCAAACGATACCGCACTGCGATAAATGTTAAGCGCACAATGCATCAACAATTCAATATTGCGTAATGGCCCCGATGTGTGTTTAACAGGGTGGAAATTGGAGACCAACAGCAGGTGGATAGCATCCGACTGTTACATACGAGTTCATACTTTTAGGATTAAGAATCCACAAATTCCGTCTCTGATAACACTACGTATGTGAACACGGCGATATATAAAAAGGCGAAATGGATGAAATAGAAGGACTCTACAGAAAAAGGACTGCTATCGAAACCGAGATGGAGGCGCTGATAAGCTACCTCAACAGCGACGAATGCAAAGGAGTTGGGATGAATGGCGCATTGGTAGACGAAGAAGAATTCCCACGCGCTGATGTCGATATCTATGCCGTTAGAGAAGCAAGGCATCGCGTGCGTTGCCTCGAAAACGACCTCAAGAGTATAGAATCGCAATTGCAAACGGCTCTACAAGAATTACACCGGAAACCGTAAACTGGGAGCGACAACGACGCCGCCACGTAGACAAGGAATCCACTCTTTACATCGCAACTAATTTACATTGCCATGCGTGTGCAGGCGGGAGGGCAATAGATTGATATTACAGCCGCTCATAAACTTGAAGCAGAATTTTACGCATCAGCTTATGCGCTCTGTGCTAAATTTTCTTCATGCACGCCGAAATTTCATGCGACGCCGTGAGCGCGAAATGCCGTATTAGGAGCACGCATACAGTCCCGCAAATCATAGATACTGTACATGCCGGCCGATAATCTAACTATGAGTGCGCATTAATCTATATGTGCTGCAGTACTGTGTTAAAACGCGGGCCGAGGGTGTCTACATACAAATTTTTTTAACCCGCCAGTCCCCATATAGTAGCAGCAGCGTCGTGACTCGCAGTGACCACCGTCTGCAGTAACAAACGTCAAAAAAGCAATAATATTGCAAGGTCAAATTTTTTGCAGCTTTAAACTGCGCTTGTCCCTTTTCAGTGTCCCGCAAAGGCTTCACGCGTCCGACTTCGCACCGCAACTCTTTTGGTGATTGTTTCAGGGGTGATAAAGCCCCTGTTATCGTCAGCCGGTTACGCCAAACTGTTCAGCATTTCTCTTGTCCGAAATACTGAACCCGTTGTGTGAGCCAACACTAGCGACGAGACCCATGTTCCAGCGACATCTGACTACACCCATCTGAAACGACGAGACCCGGTCTTCGTGGCAACCAAAGCGTTGCGCTCAGACTGTTCTTTTTTGGCCATCAAAGGTTGTGTCAAACACTCGATTTCGCCTGTACGACGGAATTTTTTTCGCGGGGTACCTGTTCGTTATATTGCCGCGATCCGCAGAACATCCGCCGATATAAAACGCAGACAAAGGCCTCAGATCTGCGCCATTGGATCATGCAGGAAGTGTCTCATTGGCCTCTTAGAATCTTCGCGGAAAACCATTGTCGAGTTCCTCAAATGCCAATATCGCCGACACGATGACGAATCATGTTTACGCCTCGGATAACGTAGGCGTCATCCCCGATCCGAACGTCTTTCCAGTGATGTTCACAGGGCCCATAGGGCCATCATGCGCACACTTTCACGGGATTCCCACGCCGTTCTTGCCTGTGGCTCCGAACGCCCTCGTGGCCCCTTACCAAATAAACTTCGGAGATTATAGGAGTTCTGTAGAGGGATGGAAAGAAAAGGATATACAGCGGCGACCGGTTGCTTCGTCGTACAGAAAAATCGTGCCGGATACGCGACTGGACCGAGGAAGGCCATACGGGGCTACCGTTGGCGCACCTCTCAGAGCAGCGTTGTTCATCGAATACGCCAGGGCCGATTTCCGACTCGTTGAAAGCGACCTAGAAGAACTATTCAGTTACTTCGGAGGGACGTCACGAATTTACATAAAACGCTATGCCGCCGCGGCTGAGATCACGTTTACCGACGGCGCCCAAGGCCGGGCAGCAATAGAAGAGCTCAACGGCCTCAACATACCCAATGTGGGTACATTACGTTGCGTTGAACTGCATAACGGAGACACTCTTGAACGCGCCTTGGCGAAGGCGCACCTACATGAACAAAGGCAACCCTCCAGACCGTACCATGCACCTCGCGGAAGCGATGCGAGACAGACGCATTCGACCAACATTGATACAAAATGTAAGAGGGTAACGCGCCTGGAACTCATCGACCTATTCACTTACGAGCCCGAGTTCAACGTCGCCGCAAACATCCTGGGACCGAACAACAGCAACATTAAGTATATAATGCGGAACTGCGGGGGGAAAGTGGATATAGAAATAACAGGAAAACCACTCAACTCAGCACCCGTATGTGATCGCCTACACATATCCATGTCATCGCGGGAATACCACGCCTACCTAAAGGCACTAGATATGTTGGAAGACCTGCTCACCACGGTATGTGAAAAGTTCGTCGACTTCGTCCGCTCCCGAGGCAAAGTTGTCTCAAATGTCGTTGGCTTCAAACGCCACGAGTACCAGGAAATAAATGGTAACCTCGAATACAAAGGTGCCACAGAAAAATGGAAGTCCTGGCTACACAAACGTTGCAGCACCCCTCCGTACAGGAATGCCCATGATACCCGCCTACCCAGTAAAAGGGTCAACGATCGCAGTCGCGGCATTTACAGGGTAACCCCCCTTCCCAAGTCAAATATGAGGTCCGTCAGATAATGAGCACAACCGTATCCACATAACGAAAGTACCAGCAGACACAGCACGCTGGTATTGTCGGGAGAATAACACCCATAGCAGACCAAGCCCATAAAGGGCGACCCCAACACGATTCTAAAGTGTCCCACTACTACAGAGTGCTAAGGTGCGCCATAGAAGCAGTTCGTGCGAAAACCGCGCAGTAGAACTGCGTCGCCACAGTGACGTTTGGCGACGTGGCCCAACGCTTGACGTGCCGCGGCAGCTGTGGCTGCCGGCACCCACCGTCACCAAAAATATGTGTATACACAGAATTCGATACGCGTTACGATTAGGCCCCAATATGTTCTACACGGGCTGCCGATCTTAGAAGAGGCGGAATTGCTTCCTGGGGTTACCGAAAATCTGGTTCCTCTCCACCTTCAGCACGTTGAAACGAACGGTCTTGGAGAGGGGCCTGCACTGGCCGACAGTTACGATGTCACCGGCGTTGGGCTCGAAGCAAGGCGAGCAGTGGCACGGGATGTTCTTATGGCGCTTCTCGAAACGGTTGTATTTCTTCACGTAGTGGAGGTAGTTGACGCGCATGATGATGGTGCGCTTCATTTTCGTAGAAATGACCATACCCCTACATTAATCATGAAACCCTAATAACGCCAAGAAAGACAACATAAAGATGAGACAACGCAATACAACGATCAGACGTGACACGAATTAGAATGTAAATACAAAACAAACGATACAAAATGATGATATGTAGCACCAATGACTCACTTGATGATCCTCCCACGAATGGAGACGTTGCCGGTGAAGGGGCACTTCTTGTCAATGTAGGTGCCTTCCCTAGCCTCCTTGGGAGTGGTAAAGCCCATACCAACATCCCTCCAGTAACGAGCCTTACGGCCCAACTTCTCAAGCTTGGCCACACTCACGGTGGGCTGCTTTTGGTAGGCTTTGTATACCTGACAAACCGTGAGGAATTGACAACGAGGAATGACATAAACCGTGAACCTAACCAGTGGCACATTTTCACCTGTGCTACCGCACAAATTCATAGAGAAAGTTATAATGAATTGCAACGCAAATTACCTGAGCATCTCCGCGATCCATCTTTACGTTGGTGGTTGTCGCTTTGTACGTAGCAACGTCGGTGCCCCTCACAACTCTTCACTGATATAAACGTGAAAGTGTAAAAAAAGGTTCCTTTTGTACAAGCTACAGTGAACCTATCCGCGAGAAATGGTCGTTTAGCGCAAGGAAGGCCCTCTCACCGGGGCTACGCGACGAATGGGGCAAGGTCCGGGTGGACGGATGGGGAAATGAACACCTGTAGAACATAAATTCCGGCGCGCTACAGGCGTTTTCGCGATATATTTTGACGTTCCAAGCTATTGGTCGGCGGAGGAGAGGTGCGCATTTTATGTGTGTTGGCGCCCCTTAAAGCTATGGCAGGGAACTAACGCGCTCGCGCCCTTGCGTACCTTCTGGCACTCTCGTGCCACAATGTATAAATCAATTTATAATATCAATCTATAGCGGCGTGTTGCCTGTTGCTCGCCACTTGGATGGGATGGCGCTCCTCATGTGAACGCTATGTCTAGAGCTTTTGCACAGAACGTCACGTGGTTCACAATGAGCACCGCTATCGAGTTCTCGGCTCTCTGGTTAATTATTAAGAATCAATATATTTATATTATATAACTACAGCGTACAAATCTGAGTGCCGGAGCCTATTAATACACTTGTCAAACTACACACATTTCGACTTACGCTGCCGCCATATACCTCAGTCGCAGAGTTTATCTTGTGACTAATATATGTGTGGATATCGGGTGTCCGCAGCTATATGCTTCTGCCAGATTTCTGGCTATGTTGTTCTGGCCAACTTGCCTTCACTATTAGTTCCAGAGTTGCAAAATGACACTGCAGACAACTTTATAATGGCGAACTAGGACCCGCGCACGATACACATGTTACTTTATCGCATTGAGTCTTCCACGAGCCGGTCATGACGTCGCTCGGAGTATGGCAGCTCAAGTCCGTCCTTCTGCGCTACAGTGAAACTGGACACAGCAGCCGTGGATTGAGATTTTACATGCGCCACCTGCTAGAGACTTTCAAGTGGCGCTACCCTCATGTTGACGTTAAGACACAACATGAACAGTATGAGCTGCCTTCGGCCTTATTCAGGTAAGCAACTATGAGTTGCGTGTAATGTGTCATAAATCTTAGTGTAACCTATATTGTGTGAGTCCTATGTGCGTGAAAAGGTCATTATAACGTATGTAAACGTGCTTACATTTCATTTGCAGCTACCTGGATGGCTCCAAGTACGATATAAGCTTGAAGGACCTTGAAGCCAGACATATCGAGGAAATAATGTCACTCCATAGCAATTCCGCAGGTGGAATGGAGTACATGAAACATGGCCAAGCAAAAGTGTGGACAACGAACCGATCTATTCAGGTATGACCAGCCTATGTTGGTTGCATGTATGTAAATTGCACCGACCTCGTTGTGATATTGGTGCATACGTTCGAATATATTTAGATATATATACTTTGGCAGGGACTCTGGAAGCCTACACAGGAGTCACAAGCTGTAGCTTTATCGTGGTTCAAGTCTAAGGACTCATTGTGCACAAGGAGGAAGATTACCACCAGGTGAGATACGCACTTCCCGCGCTAGACATATGTCGAGAGTGTTGTATATGTGTTATATTGCCGTGTAATACGTTGAAGGCCCTGTATTTTATACGTACAGTGCCTTTCGGTAGTAGTACCATGTTCGTAAGGTCGATCACCCGCTGATGCCAATGGCAAGCACGTATTATCCAATTTTCATGCCCTGACACAATATACATTCAGATCACTCCCCAAGTATTCTTCAAAGTCGCTCAATCTAAATTGCGAAGCCGTTAAAGGCAACGGTCGGTGGGGAGACGAAACGATATTTCCCCGAGGATTTGACCAGCAGCATCTCAAGGATATATTCACGATGCCACTAATCAATCCGGAGGCAGCGAAACGGCAACCAAAGAATCATAAGGACAAAACGTGAGAGCAGGCCGATAATATGGTCGAAATGTTCTGCACGTTGCAGAACGCGTCATTAGTTCACTATTGCCGCGTGCGCTGTAAATCGAACAAATGAGACAAATTAATAATTCAAGTATCGCATGTTTTCGATGTTTTGTCTTCGGTATCCTGTTTGGAAACAAGATCTTCAAGCATCATCCTCAATGGCATGAAGCCAGGGGAGCGCTCGTGAGACTTATTAAGCGCTTCCTTGGCAGCTTCCAAAAGGTGCATGACATTTCTGTCACCTGGTGCAAGTGCGCGGAAAGGATAGAGCTTCAGTAGGTGGAAGATGTCAGAGATGGGAACGCGGTGCATCAGGGCGACTACAGCGTCCACATAAGACGCAGAGCATAACGCCTCCAGCTCCATGTTAGCCGCACAGACCCGTGTCAGGGCAAAAATGGACTTCACGTTCATGTCCTTACAGCACTTCAACGAAAGCTGAAAATGTTGATGTTCAGCGCAGAAAACTTACGTCGATGAGGTCCTTGTAGACCAAACGTCTAGATGCATCGTCCGTCACAGCTCCCAGTGTGGCCGCCATCTTGGCAACAAGGTCTGCGTTGAAAGCGACATCAGGCCTATGGCAAAGTTAACAACAGCAACAGACTCTTACTGGGAGACAGAGTCGTGCACGGCATTCCAGAAGACGTCGTGTCGTCCTGGACGTTTTGCGATGGTCTGAGATAATGGTATTATGCAACTACATAACCTACAACAACTAAATTTGAAAGCTTCAACCCGTCATACTTGCCTTCACGAATGTACTGCGCCGTTTCCTGCAGCACCCTGTCGTAAAGTTCCTGCTCAACTGGTATTTTCAAAATCGAAATTGCGCGCAACACTATGGGCATTCCGTTGGCAGTTATCCTGTGGATATTGTCTTTCAAAGCCTTAGAAAATACTGGTCCCAACTCAGGGATGGGGAACTCGGATTTGTCTTTCGATACGTATCCATAGCGCTCCTGCAGAAACCGCTTGTAAACCTGTACGTCGATACAAAGGTCATTCTGACTGAGGAACTTTTGAGACGTGTACGCCAAGAACAGGGATATAACGTCGCCATCTTTAAGCTTTTTAGTGCGACAAATGTCAACCAGACGCAGAGACAGGACATTGAAAAACAGCGAAGATTTATAGCCACCAATACTTAAAGAAGCCGCCAGGGCCCGTAAGTGGTGCAGTTCCATATCGTCGTACAACTCGATTGACCTTGTGCAAAGAGCACGATACAACTCCAAGTCACGGGTCTTGGCCTCTGTATTGGACGTTATAAAGAATATGACGTCCACAATGTTGAGCTCATTTATAATCTCTATTGCCCGCTTATTGATCTGATGCAGGTAATTGCCCCCAATCTTCAGGTTGGATATAACCTTCACCAGTAAAGACAACGTGCCAGGATTCGCATGCTGGATCCACGGTGTTGACTCCTCTATTAGTTGTGCAATCAGGGGATGTTTGCCGGGGTATACCCTGCTCAGTGAATACATCAGACCTGCCATCTCCTTTCCGTCCATGTCATAAGCATTCCGAGCAGCAATTGCAGTGAATTTGTCCCACCAATCGCGGTCGTTGAGCTCCAAAATGGAGTATCCATGCGCGATCATGCAAAGCTCACTGGAGCGCATGGTGTGCGCAAACTTCAAAAAATCGTTATTGTACTGTATTAGTTCACCCCTGCTGTACAAAGATATTGGTTTTGTATAGGATTCAAATCTATCTAGGTTCTCCACTTGTAGCAAAAATGAATACCAACCATTAAAAAGAAAAGGGGCCACTAAACCATTCTCAGACCTAATTAAAGAAGACACGGAAACGCCATTAACAGATGGAAAGGATTATTCAAGCACAATAAAAACATGCAGTGTAGACAACACACCATTCTGATTTCAGCATAAGTCCAAAGTCCCTGAGGGCGTTGCAGAGATTGTGCTCGTGTACTTTGTGAATGCCGAGCACCTGCGGGTAGAGCCGTACCATGACATTGTTAATGCCCTTCACCTTATAACCGTGCAGTGCCACAGCAGCCATCGTTACGCGAGCAGGAATGGACAGGCAGAAGCGCAACGTTTAGTCCGGTTCCGCTGTGTTCCTGAGGAGTGAAAACAACATCCTCCAAATCATACACATTACTTCGTTTATTTCATTTATGCATAGTTCTGTGTTTATTTGAAGATCTGGAAGTGCTAAATATATAATATAAACTGCGTTGCTTAGTAGTCGGTGCTCACTAAGGGGCGGCCGTAGCCATACAGCGGAGCAGCCGCCATTAAAATATATCGGATATTAGACAACATGGATTCTGTATGATCCTTCATTAATCGCCGAGATTCTTCGCATGAATAGTTGTTAAAACCGGATTTACGGTTGCCTTCGTGAAGCGCGATAAGCAACGCCTGGTGATATCTTCCTAGTACAGGCGCCAAACCGCTTATGTAACTATCGGCTTTGGATTAACGCAGTAATGGATGGAACTGGAGATCTATATAATCGCAATTTTGGTGGCAAGTTGAAGTTAAAGCGGCTTAAAGTAAAAGGAATACGGCCAGATAAAAAAATCAGCTCTGAATCTAAAGGCACTGACTCCGGAGAAAAAACAACTGGCGCAACCGATATCACTGGTAGTGGACGGATAGTGTCGTCGGGGAATACCATACAGGGGTGTGTTTGTGTAATACGTTATCTGGTTACAGTAATGTTGTAACCTATGTAGTCATTTAATAGGTGACAGTAGACTTATTACCGCTCATATTTGACAAGCTTGTTCATTTAATGATGCTCAACTGATATTTTTGCAGATTCGAGACAAAGTTTCTCGACGAAGTTGCCGTGGGCGACACGATTATAATAAAACATCCTATATCCAAAGAGAATGAGGAGCGCACGGTTCAGAGCGTAATGAGCAATCGCACTTTATGCCTAGACATTGGGTACAGCACAGATCTTGTGACAACAAGCGTATACATTATAAGTATGTTATATTTCGCCGAAACGATAATCCACGCAGGGAAACAGAAAGCCGATGACGACCAAACACTTCCCGAGGGGTCGGACTCTACCCCAGCTAAAAAGGTATCGTTTGTAACTGTAAGGGAGAAATCGGGGATGTGGAGCTATAAAACTACCACAAAGGTGGTAAAGGCACAGATGACGGCTGAAGAGCGGCTTAACGAAAGAATTAAACACAGCCGTGATAAACGCTGTTGGTAACACAATCAAGTTTGTATTGTGAATCCGCATCTAACTTCGATGATCATATGTGTGGACAATTCCGCAGCTAGTTAGACAGCGGACGCGTCTAGCGATGTCGCTATGGCGGCATAGAATAACGACAATAATTAAAAACACATTTTGTAAGCAGTATATAACCTGGTCATTTTGTATAAAATGAAGCTCATACGCAATTCTTACTGAACGGTACAAAGCGAGATACCTACTACGACCACGATTGGTAACATCGCTCAGAGCAACATCGCACGTAGTCACAATATTTGCGTAACACCACACATCGGTCGTTCTAATTATAATTTTACAGTTAATCTAAGGTCAACCCTAGCCGCCAATATCCTAACAGGGAATCGCTTGAACAGACTATGCCGAAAAAAGTATGCCGAGGTCCACAATATGGTTCACAAATCGCATCATTACTAGCCCAGAATTTGGCGACTTCCCCTCCTGAGCTATCTCGGGAGCGTTTTGGCGGTTGTCTTATTTCTGGTTTTCGTTGAACAACATCCAAACATATCGTACATCGGCCAGGCGGGGAGTTCGAACTCGCATCAATGGATGCAACTACGGAATTGCCAATATGGTTCCACAAGGATGAAATATTGTCAAAGCTTAGGTCTTCTCAGGTCTTGTTGCTCACGGGTGAGACGGGAAGCGGAAAGTCCACCTTCCTCCCGAAGATTCTCCACGATAATGGATACAGTGATAACACCATCGTCATCACACAGCCACGCCGTGTGGCGGCTGTGTCGCTGGCGAGGCATGTCGCATCCATGTTCAGCTGTGACGTAGGAAAACTAGTGGGCTTCGCCGTGAGGTTCCTCAACTGCTGCGGCGAGGAAACAAAGATCAAGTACGTCACCGATGGCGTGTTGTTACGAGAAGTGCTCGTTGATCATCTTTTCTCAAAATACTCTGTAGTAGTCATAGATGAGGCCCACGAACGTTCCATACGCAGCGACGTGTTACTGGGGGTCCTGCGGACATGCATACCACAGAGGCGCGACCTCAAAGTAATCATTATGTCAGCCACATTGCGATCCGCTGCGTTCGCAGATTTTTTCAAAGGGTGCGAGGTTGTGCGCGTCGCCGGGAGGACATTTCCGCTCGATATCTACTACGCACCGCAGCCGCAAGAGGACTACCTCGAGGTGAGTAGTCGGGAAGATCTTAGACCAAACGTGTTCAGGCTGCAATGCTGACCATCCTACAGATAAACCTAACCTACAAAAATGGCGACATCTTGGTTTTTCTGACCGGACAGGATGATATCGAGGCACTGGAGCATATGCTGCAGACGAAGGTGAATGTCATCAGAGAGTTCCTGAAGTCTTCCGGAGTTCAAGTTGACGGTACCGTAGCAGACGTTATGCGGGCCACTGAAGTACTGCTAGGTGATACGCCGTACGAACTCAAGTATTGGAAGGAACTAGAAATCGTCCCACTGTACGCCGCACTTCCACTGCAACACCAGTCCAGAGTTTTTAAGCCCACACCTGAAGGACACCGCAAGGTCGTGTTGGCCACCAATATAGCAGAGACCAGCGTAACTATTCCCGGTATCAGATTCGTGGTGGACAGTGGATTGATGAAACAGAAATTGTTCTGCTCGAAGAATTGCTTTGAGTCGTTAGTTATACAGAAAATTTCGAAAGACTCGGCTGATCAACGTGCCGGAAGGGCGGGAAGAATGGGACCAGGTATGAAATGGTATAACTGTGAGCATGTGACGTAGGGAAGGTGTTTCGTCTATATACCACTGAGGCTTTCATGTCAATGCGCATATCCCGCATACCAGAGATGCAATGCACCAATGTATCGCACGTTTACCTTGAGCTAAAGGTAAAGAGAATGCTGTGTAGAAATGACCGAACAACTTGCAGATGATTGGTATAAATAATCCGCTGGACTTCCCCCTTATAGACCCACCCAGCAAAAACGCTCTGCTCGCCGCAGCAATGGAACTCTACCGTCTGGATGCGTTAGATTGCAAGGGTAACCTGACAGAAATAGGGTATGTTCGTCAATCACATATAGGTCCCTTTCACTCGGTTCACAGGAAGAAGATGGGACATATACCATTACTACCACGTCATTCCAGGCTTCTTTTGTGCTCGGCAGAATTTAGCTGCACTTCGGAAATGCTGACTATTGTAGCAATGTTATCCACTGATTTGACGCTTTTCTCGTCCGAAAAACACGACAAGGAGGGCTTTAAAATGAGGAAGAACCTAGCCAACCCCAGTGGAGACCACCTCACGTTGCTCAATATGTATAACATCTGGAGCGACGCGCCCAACAGAAAGGAGACCTGTAAACAATTCGGATTCAACCCCGCAGCCTTTGAAAGAGCGTCGGAAATACGATGTCAACTGGCAGAAATACTTACAAAACGCGTCGGGTTCATCAACATCGCCAGCTGTAAGGACTCCTCAGAATGGGACAACGTGCTGAAGTGCCTCTGTAAAGGAGGGTGGATGAACATGGCCTCAATAAACAGCGATGCGAAGTCATATAAAATCGAGATACAAAACAAGACGGTTGTGATACACCCGCACTCGGTGCTATTCTCAAAGCGACCGTTACCGCCACTGGTAGTATTCGACGAATGCACGAGCACCCGCAAGGCGTATATGCAGAACGTGTCGGAAATATCACAGGACTGGGTAACTCAGCTGCTGCCTAGACTGGCACTCACGGGATCAAATACGCGTAGCTAATGCAATAGTGATAGAGTTTTAAATCTCGGCATAAACTGCCGTACCGTAATTTTCGGCAAATAACTGCATGGCGCCTCTTGCTGTGTTTTTGGAGAGTGGATGCCCTCCATTCATCTGTGGAGTAACGCAGCTTGGAAACCATACGAATAACACACATTGTGTGCGATGTAGTTATCGGCGATCTCACAGCAACCACGCAAATCCTTAGCGGTTGTTTCCGATAACCTATGTCATCGCAACAAATTCCTTTCGTTTGCGTGAAAGATTGTACCCATTAATCCAGGATCGCGAAATCAGGCACGTCACTCAGCGGATGGAAACATCACCTTAATCCCAGACACCTCCCCAGTAACGTCATCCCTGAGCACAGAGCAGTAGTACGTCCCGTTGTCACATATACCAACAGACGACACCGCACCTATAGGTCCATTAGGCATATTGGATAAGCATATCTTGCTAGACGTAGTAGTAGCCTGGCACATGGCGTTGGCCCAGTTGCGAATGTACTTGCAAAATGCCTCGTTGCTCTCCGCAGTGAGACCGTGGGCCTTGGCGCACCTCCGGATACTCTCCATGCAGAGAAAACCAACTGTACCGCACTCAACTTGCAATTTATTGGAGTACCACTGGGACTCGTCGCCGCGAAGCTCCTTCCACGGAAGCTCCAGAAGGTAGCTCGTTGAAACCAGTGCCGGGTCTAACACGCTAGCAGAAATGCACACCAACGCGGCAACACGCGTTTCGTCTATGTCGCATCCCGACGACTCTGTCAATGCGTACACATACCATAAGCCGGCAGTGGTAGGCGTGATCACACAAGCATTCAAGCGCTGTGCGTCGTGCTCCGGATTGGACCTCGCTAGAAGATCCCTACACGTAACGTCTTCTACTAAGCGCAAGTCCACGGCGACTAACGAGTCGCACAACGCGACAAAACAACCGCCATCAAGCACGTTCATTTTGACCGAAACAAAGTTAATATGCTAGACACGCGACCGATGTATGTATGAAACATAGACTGAAACTACCACTATATGTAAAGACAGTTTTTAAAAATGTCCCTTGTAAAACTAAAAACTAAATGTGGACGAGACCGAACGCATAACCATGGCGCCAGCGGATTCCACCCTGCAGGACGTTGGACAGCACGCCTTCCAGCGGAATACAGTTCATATTTGAGGTGGAAATGACACTTTCCAGATCACCTACAGGTGTGTATACTGGATGTGTGCAATTACATAGTGGTACGTATTGCCTGCGTGGCCTGTAAGCTATCCCATTATAGCCATTGTTATGGTTGGATAGATTGGCTATCCCGCGCACTGCAATATTTGCGTGATTCGAATGCACAACTGAGTTGAGTGCACTACCTCTAGAAAGTGTCACGCTCGTCAACTGTTTCAACGTGTCTCACCGGTAGAGGTAATTCCCTAATATGTGCGACGGTTAGGCAGTCAAGTGAATGGGTACTCATTGCTAAATTTGCATGGATGCATCCATTGGGTGCGTCAGTTGTATGCATAATATCCGGACGTCGTGTGCGCACTTCGTGTCGACGATCAATATTTCAATATCTTCCTTATACTATCGTGTCCACGCGTGAGCAAATTCACTACAGATGCAATTTGGGGTCGCATTGACCCAAAATGACGTTCTCAAGCAATGAGGATTCCCCCCAAGAATCGTTAAAGTAAGATGCTATAGTTAAGCTGCCACGCAGCGTCGGCTCTTTTGGACCAACCGTTTAGTACCCTGTAAATCTCCTGCAGGCCTAGCAGGAAGAAGTCCATCACATGGGACGAAAAAACAATTAGCGAACACGACAAGGAACGTGGAACCAGAACCAAAATCGCAGAGGTGTCTACACCATTCTGCTACATGTCGGACGCGGACTCACAAGACGATTCGAGCAGTTGCTACAAGGACGCTGAAACCAAAGAACTTACAAAGGAATTATCCAACCGACTGGGCGCAATAAAAATTTTGCACGACAAAAAAACACGATTCGAAGAGCTTCGTAAGAAGCACTACAGTCACGAATACATCAAACATCCTATACACCATGGGTAGGAGATGCTTACTACTTCCTCAATGCGCACAGCGAAGAACAAAGCAGTGATGATGAATACCAGCATGACCAAGGCAAGGGGATAAATGACAAATTTGTCAACTACAGCACCTTCGACGACACAACATCTGCGAAATGATAATTCATATAAGCGCGTTTCATAAGGCTACCCGGCACAACTACCCATTAGATAATAGGGTTACAAGTTCCCATTGGCCAAATGATGCTTATGTATGGTGCCCCGTACTAAAACGGCGACGTGTAGTGTTGCTACAGTTCTCAGCGTTAGACAACTTGGTACGCCTTAAGGAAATTTTATAGACGCTATATGATTGAAGCATATAGGTAGCAACGCGAATGGTGTATTGAAATCCGTGTTTCGTCGTGGCTTCGGGACACACATGTCACTTTGGACGTTATTAAACTCGCACCAGATCTTCGAGCGACACACTTTGCACATACGTTGAATTGTCTACATATTTCAAATATTTTTGTACATGGAAGGTTGCAAAAATAATTCACAAACATCAATACAAAAGGTGACGACCCACACGCTTTTCCGGCTCTCAGCCCCGGTAGCATCTTTGCGGCCGGCGTAATCGTCAGCAAATACGGTATATGTGTGCGTAATAAGCGAATCCTTCGAGGGTTTATGCTGCTGTAATACGTGCAGCAGGAGGTGTGATCGCGTTTGCGATAACGGTATTAAGGAATCAGTAACAATGGGCGATCTTACACTTCTGTGTCGCGCATCCGACGGCCTGCCCCTCGTGGAACTATGGGAAGACCAAATCTCTCCGGAATCGATAAACTCGAACGCGAACGAGGCGTCAAAGGTAACGCAATCTATAAAAATTAATGCCCGCATGATCTGCCGGAAACTACCGCCGAACTCAACGAAGTGCTCGATAATGGAAGGCGACGTCTGCTATCACTACATGGTGGAGAGTGGAATCTGCTACATGACGGTGACTTCTACTGAATATCCCAAGAAACTGGCCTTTCTTTACCTTGCGGAACTGTGCGCTGCATTCGAAAAAGAGCTAGAAGGGCAATGGAAATCGCAATCTTCGCACGATCCATTACGCGCCATTACGAAGCCGTACAGTTTTATGACATTTGGTGGGTTGCAGCTGCATGACACCCATAATCTAGTATGTACTCTATTGCGTGCCGACGAGCACTTGTGAACCAAATGAAACCAAGCGCAAAACTCATTTATGCGCTTTGACGGTCTTTTATATACATCAACACGTGAGTATACCTGACAATAGTGTGCAGATCGCACCATTCATAAAATTAAGGCTAACTTCAAAGATCCGAATTCAAGCAAGGCGCTGCATATGATCAACAACAGCCTCAACGAGGTGACCAACATCATGCGGCGCAACATTGATGAAATACTGCAGCGTGGGGAAAACCTAGAAGGTAACGTTTTCATCGGCACTACCGTTACGCAACAGCAGATATCGGCCGCATGGCAGACGGGCTCAAAGCCGAAACGCTCAAGTTCAAAACATCGTCACAGCTTCTTGCCCGACAAAGCCTGCTAGAAAAGTATCTGGTGTATGTTATCGTGGCTGTTGTCGTCATCATGTGCTACTATTTCGCCTTCGGAAGAGCTAAGGGTACCACATAACTGACGTTTATATGCGACACCGAGACAGTAACATTAAAAACAAACACACTGAACCATGTGTTGGTATAGGTGAACATATAAAAATAGCATATGGAAGGGTGTTGCCTCTTCTACTGCGCTTATCAGTGTCCCGCCTAGTGTGGCGGATAATGGGCCGCGCTGCACAACATCCGTCTCGCTTGGAACGTATAAGACAACTCCGTTGGATCTTTGAAATTACATTCAATTTTACAAACGAGAGTCCAACAAGCAGGAATCCATAGGAGCTGAAACATTTATTGTGTGCGCGCCGTCAGCTTGTCTGGGTGATTCCACTAGGTGGCCATCCATTTGCGAAGCGTCGCTCCGCGGGGCGTTGTCAACAAATAAATGTGTGTATAGTTGTATATATTCCGACTCAATATGAATGTGGCCGTTGACGAATTCGGTAAGCCCTTCGTGATTCTACGACAGCAGGAGAAGAAGCGGCTTACGGGGCTCGATGCGCACAAGGCGAATATCATGGCGGCCAAGGCTATTGCAAGCACCCTGAAAACCTCACTTGGCCCGCGTGGTATGGACAAAATCATTGTAAGCCCTGACGGCAAAGTCACCGTGACAAATGATGGTGCAACCATACTACAAAAGATAGAGGTCGAGCACCAGTGCGCCAAACTATTGGTAGACCTGTCGAAGAGCCAAGATGAGGAAATTGGAGATGGAACGACGGGTGTTGTTATATTGGCAGGAGCACTACTCGAAAGGGCGTTGCGTCTCTTGGATAAGGGGTTGCACCCATTGCGGATAGCAGACGGATACGAAACGGCCTGCGACATCGCTATCAAAAGGCTTGAAGAAATTGCAAATGAGCAGGATGAATCATACTCTGCGGAGAAAAATGGGGAAATTTACAAGAAGGCGGCATATACTGCCTTGGGGTCAAAGGTAGTGTCGAGCTGCCAGGACCACCTCGCCGACATCGCAGTTAACGCCGTTATGGCCGTACAGGACAAAGAACGCAGGGACGTAAACCTTGAACTCATCAAAATAGAGGCAGTGACCGGTGGACGGCTGGAAGATACCTGCCTAGTTGAAGGAATAGTGCTGACCAAGGAATTCAGCCATTCCCAGATGGCCAAAACCGTCACTGATGCTCGCATAGCCATTCTGTCATGCCCATTCGAACCACCCAAGTCGAAAACTAAAAGCCGCATCGAAATATCTACAGTAGAGGATTACGAAAAACTGCAGGAGTGCGAAAAGAATTACTTCGAAAACATGGTCCAGCGCGTAGTAGACAGCAAGGCCAATGTAGTTATATGCCAGTGGGGTTTTGATGATGAAGCAAATCATCTGCTCATGAAGAAAGGCATATCTGCCGTACGTTGGGTTGGTGGCGCCGAACTGGAGCTTGTCGCCATAGCCACAGGAGGCAAAATTGTTGGGCGCTTCGAAGACCTAGATGAGAGTAAGCTGGGACGCGCAGAGGTCGTCCGTGAGGTTGCAACTGGTACAGAGCATCAGGAATTCATATTTATTGAAAAGTGCAAGAAAACGAAATCGGTGACTGTTCTTATTTCCGGAGGAAATGGCGTCTATGTAGAAGAAACAAAACGCTGCATTCATGACGCCATCTGCTGCGTACGCAACCTAGTACGGGATTCTCGTGTTCTGGGTGGAGGAGGTGCCCCAGAAATAGCTGCATCCCTCGCCATCGAAGCCGCTGCCGTTAAGCTCAATGCCTTGGAACAGTTCGCAGTGCAGGCATTCGGAGAAGCGTTACTAGAAATTCCTATGGCACTGGCAGACAACTCTGGACTAAACGTGTTCGATATGGTTGCCAAAGCCGCGCAAATGCAGCAGACGAATTGTCATGTAGGCATCGATTGCCTAAGGGGAACTGTTGGCGACCTTCGAAAACACGGTATTTTCGAGTCTTTGCACTCCAAGATTCAACAACTGTCATTGGCCACACAGGTGGTGAAGATGATATTGAAAATAGATGACGTGATATGCCCCACTGAGATCCAGTGATGCACAAGAGCTAGCCGACTAATGTGGTTTGGCATACACCTAACAAAAATATAACATTACTCTGGCGAAACATTGTCTTTACGGTCCATATAGTCCGTTGCTATAATACTACGTGTATATATGACGGTACAACTTTCGCGGTAATTTCTATTCTCTGTAGTCCACGGGGGAAATGAGTTAAGTCGCGTCACTCTCATGAACTTATCACTACGGTGAAATACCAGGCTATCCTCTGCATTACTACTGAACCATTTTCAACTTTTAGAATGCACCATCACTTGCAATTTATTGATCATCACTTTTGTTGCATTGCCTTCCAGATTATTGAGAGGAAAAGTGTAATAAAAATTGCGTAGCTTGCCGAATTTTGCATACATCTCTACATTTGTAGGCCATCTGATAGAGATCCTACGCGTAGTATGTTTGTTAATTTGCGATTTGTAAATATCGAACTATATTCTGGGCCGCATTGTCTTGGGTGCCATCAGATTTCGTCACTGCAACGCAACACCAAGGTCATACATTGGCAAAGCAGTCGTTATGCCATGCATAGGGCCTCTAGTGGGAAATAAGGGCGTTCTTTGGTAAGTGTAATCATGTGGGAAACATAAAGTACTCCTTTAAAGAGTGATTTGGGGAATAATCGACATTGAGGACTAAATTTACCTCGTATTCATGCCCAGCTGGTCGACACAGGTTTGTTCAGTACATCCACTCGTTTGAAGTAATTGGAGAGATAAATTGAATGACCAATATGAAAAGACCAATTGGTGCGGGCGAAACAGTTGTATTCTTAAATAATGAAATTATGAATGATAAGTGGTGCCTGGCAAGCTACTGCCTAAAGGATATTTATCTGATTAGTTTGCAGTCGTTTGTTTCTTACGGGTCTCATTAAAATTTTAGATATTGAGTATTGTATTTGACAACACATTATTGGTGCATTTGCTTTTATGCGACACCATAACTTTTTACAACACCATATATTCGCAGTATAGTCTCCCATAAATATATGGACGATATTGACTCTAGTTCATGTAGATGGCGTATTTAGCGCTAAATGAAATTATAGGTGATGCTCAGCGCGATATTTTGTATCTTTTCTACCACCTATACCTCCATCATTTAGCACAAATATATCTGCTGTGTATGGCACACTATTCATTTTAAAATGACATGTATTCTTGTTAATGTGATGATGTATTACGTTTACAAGGTCAACCATGCTTCCATGCTATCCGAAGACTCATCACGTCATAGAGTCACCTATATATCCATACGCCAATTCAACATATACGTGCATATATTTGCGTAATATCCCGCCGTGTGGCGTATTGACTAAACGGGTAATGGCATACAACAATGGCCTTATAAAAAAATACCAACATCGGAGTAAAGCCTAACATATAACGCAACATACTGGCGACACGCAATGCGTCACTATCGTAATACAAACAATAATTAAACAGTGTCAGTAATTACAGCTGGCAAAATGCCAAACTACGCTGGGGAGCACGATCAATTTTTGATTATCTTATATACTACCCTTATCTGACAGATTTTCTTGCATTCGCTCGTGCTGATGAAGACTGACTACATAAGAACACTGTATCTCATAATCACATCGCTTCAATGATGACGCTAAAATATATGCCACACGGATGTTATTCCACAAGGTGATGTTTTTATGTATCCAAATCTGCATTTAGAAATCCAGTACATTTTCTGTGACGATAGGGGAAATCCATGAATCTTCCACGCAGCGCAGCACATTCCTGTCATAAGCTACCCTGTCTTGCTCTAGCATGGTAGCTGCTTCAGTGTTTGCAGGAGACTTTATGTTGGGATCACTCAGTAGTGACTGTATCGACATGAGTATGGCAGAAATATCGTAAATGGCAGTCCATTGATTCTGTAATATGTCCAAGCAAATTCTTCCATCTGAATAAACGTTGGGGTGGTATATTTTAGACAGGAACTTGATTTTAGGAGGCTTAGTAGGATAGTCCTCGGTGAACCTGACAAGAAGGTGGAAACTCCCTGTTTCCCACAATGTGTCCTTAGGCCCTGTGATAACGGCGTGACATACCATCATATTGTCATCAAAAGGCTCCGCGCGCACTCCGTCCGGAGGATCCTTGGTCACCTTAGATATGTCCTGCACAATGCGTCTCCTGGCGAATGTAGACATCGTGAATAAGGATTGTAAAACAAAGCATATGAGTGGTCTTAAGTATATCTTACTAATGCAAAACTAATCGTGGCATGAGGGAAAGATTAGTACTCCTTGCCAGGTCACTACAACTTAACAACCTATATAATATTTCTCTTCCCTTATATGGTCGGTCGCCATGACATTGCTATTAAGAACAATACGATACGATAGAAGCTGCAGAAAATGAAATGCAACCCATAAGTAGCATATCATCAAAGAAATGCTAGGGTAAGAACAAGCATATCGCAATGCCTTGTGAACATACACAATAGCCTTTAAGATTAGGCAATAACAACAGGAAAGCGGAATGAAACCATACACTGAATAAAAAAAAGTCCTCAAAAGCCAATATAACAATTGCACATGATGTCTACCATCCCTTGGTTATAGGTGCTTTGAATGTTACATGACAACATCGCTGCACACCTTCGCGATAAAAACAGATTGCGCCTTTAGCCAATTTTATTTAATGAAGCTTTTGTGAAACTTTACCGTTTAATTAAGTGCTATTAAGTTTTCGTGTCTGTTATGGAGATTCTTTAGGACGTGTAGGCATACGACTGACGACGCTGGGCGGAGTTCGCCGCTCAAAACGTAAAAGCGAAGCACAGGAATTTTATCAGGTTTTGACCTAATATGTGATGGCGATCGCCCATATATCATTGGTTTAAATGGTAATCTCCTTCTTTATGGGCAAATTCCCACGGATGCGACCATCTTGAGGTTTAATGCCAAACCTCTGGCACGCTCCTGACTTATTTGATGGGGCCATTTGTACTAGCAGACGTTTCATATGAATGTGTTTCGTAGCCAAGTCGCACCATTTCAACAAAGGCGGCAGCTAGCCTATTTATGCCTATCATCGTTCATGTTTGCGCTCTCTGTAGGAGTGGCCATATCATTCCACGCAGCGAAATCACTAAGATACAGTGGATCGAGATCGTTCGGTGTATCATACCTGCCTAAGCACCACCCAGTGGTACCTTCGAATCACCGACGGCTGTTGTCATTGAATTCCTTTCGAAGCTGGGAACACGCCTTCGTGAAGCACATATCTGCAAACTACGCCTCAACCAACGCGTACTTAAGGTAAGCATGTCGCAGAGTTATTCATACTTCATAGTGTCTATGTTATGCGAGCGTTTGGTGTAACGATGGTTGCGAACAAACGTTTACAGCAAAGAAAAATATAGGGATCAACAGAACGCAACTTCGACGCTCATATACTATGTTGTTAGTTTATGTGGATCGCATATTGTTTCATACCACACATCTTTATTATTGTCCAGCATAGGAGCATCTGCCCAGGAAATAGATTCATATGACAGCACAGAACGTATAAAACAAGACTCGAGTACAATGTCCTCCTTTGGTTACAACTACGCGCTGATAAAAGCGCCATCTAATGGCGACAATGTCACAATCACCGTGAATTGGAACGGTACCGAACTCAACTTGGATAGGAAAAAAAGTGAAACACTAAGTGTGACCGTGGCTCGGCTGAAGCGTTCGCTGCAAAAAATTTCCTCCCAGTTTTCAAAGCGGCAGAAGCATGTTTTCAATGGGGATTTGCCTAATCAACCCCGTGGTAAATGCGAAAGATTGCAGCAACACACAAGGAAAACAGTGGATATGTGTGACACCTCTGCAATGGAATCTAACATTCATCACTCAGCAGGTTCACCAATGACAGTCGTTCCCACCACAGCAGAAGATTACTCGATATCTTTTCTGACGAATATGTTCAAGCCTATTGAAGAGGGTAGAACACTAGAAGAAGTAACACAAAACACTTCTTTCCTCTCTATCAATGATACGCTCATACAAGTATATACGAATGTATTCACTATCCAGGAGGTTAGAGTGGGGCCAAGAGCGATGATAGGTTGCCCGGTGTCACTGCATATAAATTCAGAAGGGAATTGGAGAAATGCTGTGCATGTGGAATGGCTCGATGAAAAAGGACATGTACTGCATCACGGCCCAATTTACGTGCCTTCTGGGGATATGGAACACCGTCATATAAAAGCTAGGGTATCGCATAAACAATTAAGGTGGAATGTCCTCGATTCCAATTACTGTGAAGTATTCGACATACCCAAAAACCGATGGCAACAAGAGCGAATCGCGGCTTTCAACGCGGCTCCAGTGAAAAGGTCTCTCTCACCTTTACAGAACAACCTAAGGGACATGCGTGTTATGTCCTTTAACATACTCTCTCCGACATACGTCTCAAATGAAGAAGCGATAGATCGGTTCTTTCCGTACTGTGCTCCAGAGTGGTTGGATAGCAGCTTCCGCAACCCCCTTATCCTCAGAGAGATACTTTTGGTTAATCCGCAGATTCTTTGTCTTCAGGAGTGCTCCACAAGTGCCTATCGCGATTACATGGAGCCTGTGCTGAGTCAGAACTACGACTCCTGGCTAAACATAAAAAATCAAGCCTCCGACGAGGGTTGCTGCATTTTCATGCAGAAGGGGATATTTGAGACCTTGGAGGTGCGAAGCATCCCATTCAAAGAGGAAATTCGAAAACCGGAGTATCGAGAGGTGTTGACAAATATAGGGGCGGCCAACTGGTTGAATTATGACCAAGAGTCGTATTTCAGCAGATATCACACAATATTCCAAATGGGTTGTTTCAGGAACAAATTGGATGATGGTGGCAGTGTTCTGTTTCTAGCAAATACCCACCTATACTTTCATCCTCACGGCCGCCATATACGTCTACTGCAAGCTTATGTAATGCTTAACGAGCTTGAGCGTTTCAAACAACAGTGCAGTAAGAAATACGCTTTTGATGTGAACCTCGAGTCGAGTACCATAATTTGTGGAGACTTCAATTCGTTCAGTACGGAGGGAACCTTCCAGCTAATAATGAATGGGTGGGTGCCATATAATCATGTAGATTTTGATTATGGTCTCAAATTTGGATATGAAAGGTTCGACCCAAACGATCACAATACTAAGTTCCCTCGAGGGAGGCAAGAGGAGGATGCAAACCATCGGTCGGAGACAAAAGAGCGTTTGGTGGTTGCCAACTGCACCGGATACCAGGATGCATATGGAGGGCAAGAACTACCATTCACAAACTTTGTCAAGACGTTCAGCGGCACTCTGGATTATATCTTCCATTCCAAGAATCTGCAGGTAGGCTTTGTATGTAAATACGTTAGAGAAAATAATGCGCCTCCCGATACTCATGTAAATGCGTACCAGCACATGATGCATGGACTACGAAATGATCATGCCACCCGGGATCACTGCGTGGTCTAGAGGAGGTGCAAGAGCCGCTCGTTCCCGTCTTGCGCTTGCCGTCGTTCTAATTCGGCCTTAAGCCGTTTTCTTTTCATGTTTTGTGGCACTATATGATTAAAAGCCGTGTGAAACATCTCATAGGTGACGTGTTGATAGATTTACGTGAAATCGTTATTTGTTCTCATACACACCTGTAACAATTTTGCAGGTCAAGCGTTGTATGCCTGGCATAAGCCAAGCAGATGCGCAAGAATTTGAAGGGCTGCCATCCAAGTTATACCCATCGGATCACATTTCAATAGCTGTTGACTTTTAGGTTTTGCCAAGCGTAGTGACTGTAGCGGAATCTCTATGCTCCCTACTTCTTAGGGGCCCTTAGGCAGCTAACCGCACAAACTTGCTACGGGTTGCAACGCCAAAAACATGAGCGGACTTCTCGCATTCTAACACTACTTTTCTTTGACTTTGCTGGGGGCACGCCTTGTTCACCGTACTCACTCAGCCAGCAGGAACCTGACTCGCCAAGGTCGTCATAAGAATGACTGATGACAGTTACAAGTCAATACAAAATAATGTAGGACTTAAAGAAGGTATGTTGGACTTTCTAAGTCGCCTAAATCCAGCTGGCCAATCATAATGATGTACATCATTTTCATATTTCACCGTTGTTTTGGTTATCCGCTACACATATTGCGTGTCTACTCTTATATTACGAAAAGGTGTAGCCTATAGTTAAGTCGTTTTATATTTGGAGGTTGACGGTGCGGGATCAAATGTTCTAAATGATGCTATCTCATCTCTGTTTTCAGGCACTGATTCCGAGACATTGGAAGCATTTTTTAAAGCGTTGGAAGAATGCGAAAACGATTTAGAAGAAGATAGTAGCAATGTAATCGGTGATTCTGCTGTCACCCTGGTACATGAGGAAGGCAGTAACAATGGCGATCAATTTGCACATCAAAAAGTATTATCGCAACATCCGGAAGCCAGTGGAAAGCCAAACGGACAAAGCCAGATTCTGCAATCGGCACATCCATATAATGTAGCTACAAGGGTATACAACCACAATCCAAGGGATATTTATAAAGTTGATGCAGATGTTGATGCGTTGACGCTTTTAGAAGTTGTAAATCTTAAGAAACGGCTGGGTATCGAGACCATGGGAGTCCGTGTGCCCAAACCTATTGGATCATTCTCGCATCTCACGGCTACAGTTGCTATGCCAATCTTAAAAAGGTTAAATAAATTGGGTTACAGTGAACCTACACCAATGCAATGCCAGGCGATGCCGATTCTGCTACAGGGTCGCAGTGCGATCCTGATGGGAGAAAGTGGCTGTGGCAAGTCACTTTCGTACATTTTACCCCTTATTTGCCACATTTTGTGCTTTATTCGCGAATCGCAGACAGTCGCCCCTAAGCGCTCTGCTTTTTGCATCATCATGGCACTCACTCGTGAAGTTAGCAACAATATATTGACAATGCTCTCCAAATTGATGAAGTCGCTCGTTGTAAGGATTGCGATGATAACTTCAGGGTATGACAACTACAGTCAAATTGTCTCCGGGACGGAATTCCTCGTGGTGACACCCGCAAAGTTGGGTGATCTTATAAATCAACGTTGTTTAACGCTCGATGCAACGAATTACATAGTGGTTGAAGGATTTGAAAAAATGTATCATAAACATCCAACCGAAGTAGAAGCCCTGCTGAGTCACAGATGTGCCATCAAAGTCGTACTCTCCAATGCCATTCTTGGAGTGAAGACGCTTACCGCTCTACGGCAATACTTAAAAGGGGCCATTACAGTCAAATACATTGTCAAAAAAGCGTTGTCAGGGACCAATTTAAAGTGGATTGCATGCCTAAAGGAGCCAAGCCATGTACAGAAGGCAACTTTTATTGCCAATCTACTATCGCATTTCCACCAGTCTTTTCGCATGATAGTTTTCGCTAACGAAAGAATAAGTGTTGAAAATATCTGCAGTTATATCCAAAATATAACTGAAAATGTGGGATTCGTACACGACGCTGTGGGGAAAGATATCACTGCAGAAACACTGCGACTATTCCGTGAGGGGAAATTGCATGTTTTGGTTACGACAGAGACGACGTTGGGAAATGCTAATCTGCCAAAGGTTGATTATGTTGTTATATATGACATGCCACGAACATTAAACAGGTTTTGCTGGCGCGTCGGTGTAGCTAGTGCATCGGAAAAGTCTGTTGTGTACAGCTTACTAACCAAACATGATCACATCATATGCGCACATATCTGTAATCAACTGTCTGATGAAGGTCTAGAGTTACCGCGTGTATTGGATCAGGTAGCAGTCAACTGGAAGCCTTACCGACATTCTCGGCGCCACAGAAAGGATTCACGAGGCCAAGAAAGTGAGCACAAAGAAGTAGAGATTGCAATGCGTGGCACAACTCAACTTGGTCGAGATAGCGAAAACCCTGCATACGACGACCTAATTTCAACACGCCGCGGCAATGTAACAAAAGCCACAGAGCCGGAGGGTATACAACTGCGTTTTGAAACGCATGAATCATCGGAGCAAACGCAGAATTACAACTGTGAGGTTCACGATGGCCGTAGCTACGATGCAGCAGATGAATTGCCTTCGGATGATGACGTTGATGCGCCCCCTAAACGTCAGCTGGCATATGCGTCCGGGTTAATAAACTTGGAGAAGCTAAAGCAGCGGCGCCTTAGGATGATGGGAGAACAACACGAAATGTAGTATTTGTTAACTTTGGTTTTATAGACCCATTTTATCGGAAGGCCGTTTAATAAGCAGCAGGAACCCTATACGTGCAGCACATGGTACATTTAATGCGTGCATATCCTTATCTACGGATTACAATCTTGCCGACGTTGACTACAGCTGTCGAGTATACGTAATTGCGTATATATGGCGTTGTGTGTGTTGCATTATTTGTTACGAGGTGTCGGCCTTTTAGGGGCTCTTCAACTTAGAACCTCTCACATATGGCGTGGATGCTACACATCTCAACTACCCAGATTCGCGCTCCGCATTTCCCATTGATTACACTTTTATAAAGCAAGTCGAATGTTCACCGTGCTATGTAGGTACCGAGGTTATATCTCTGGAAATGGTGTAACAGAAAAAGTCCAGACGCTATGTTCCGTACCGGCAAAACGTCTGTTGGGAAATGAAAATGCATACACATAGGTAATATCACTGCCGATAATTAATCCAGTGTGCCATTTAACTCGGCGTGGCACATCAATCGATAGGCCAAGTAAAGAGGAAACGTGGTAGGCCTCGGCTTACATACAGTGTCTAGTATTTTGCCAACGATATTACACGAAATCGCCCTGAGCAATAGCTGATGTCGTGGGCACATTTTTTTGTCTGGTAGAATTATGTGTTGCCGCTTTTTAAGGTACGTCGCAGTCCCATTTCTACACAGTATTAGACATCTCTATGCATCATCCCTTTTGACGAAAGGAGAAGCCTTAATACAGTAATGTAAACTCACTGCGGATATGAAGGTGGTGATTAATACCACACCATATCTTCTTCACTCTGGAAGCCTAACCGTAGATGACGTATATCTAGGACACGGAAGATGACCGGATTTTGGCTTAGCCTCGCAGACTTCGTCTGTATGGAGATACAAGGATTCCCGTTTACTTATAAAGATTATACTACTGTATCGGAAGATGAGAGAAAAGAATCGACTACCTCTGCGAGTCAAACAGTTAATCGATCATCTCCTCATACGGATGCATTTGAGGAAACGATTGTGGATCCTTTACACTCAATACCACAGGTATGCACGTTAAATTCACCCATGTATGTCGATCATGTTACAGAACTCTTTGAAGCACGTGTTGAAGCTGCCGAAATATTTTGAACAAATTATGTGGTATTCTTTCAGCGTATGCGTAGATGCGTTATTGTTCGAATTAACCTTAATGCCCATCCAGGTATGTTCGAATGGTTGTATCATGATGTGGTTTTCAGGCTGTTGGAACGATTATGTACGTCGGTCAAAAGTGGATGATGTGGCTAAAAACCTTCTACAAAAAAAATTTTACCGGCTTATATGTACGTGGATCAGGTAATGTAGTTCTTCTGCACAGCAATTTTGGAACTAATTGTGATTGCGTTGGAGATTCTGACGAGCCCTTCACCACATGCCACTATCACCCAAAAAGATGGAATCTAAAAGGTGGCTTTGAAGATTTCTGTGGCATAAAATGTGCTAAGACAGCAGACTCTACGGTTAAAAATTACGTGGGAACCAAGACAATAATGACTGTGGATGCAACAGAAAAGCTGGCATCTGACCAAATACAACCACACGAAGCAGAAATGCACGTGCTCCTAGGAAATGATCATCCCCGTATTGGTCATGAAAGATTGCATGCCCATTCTAAAAATCGAAAGCCGGTAACATCGCTGTTATCTAAACCAAAAGGGGTCAATAATGTCGATTTGCTGGATGGTCTGAGTCACGAGGATGCGTTTCTCATTAATCCTAACGAAGCGTGTGGTGCGGCGCGATTCATGGCACTCGTGCTGGCTGTTATTATTATTTCGCGCATAGATACCTCTCGAGTATATCACAATATACGTGGGCAGCCTTTTTTTAAGCTTTACGTAATATTCAACATGCTGGAAATATGCGAACGGCTCTGCAGGTCATTCGGTAGGGATTGCACTGATACTCTTCTGCGAGCTGCCATGAAAATGTACAAATCAAGTTCACGCTTCAATTTGCGTATGGCATTAATGTTGAATTCGCGACAGTTGCAAGAAAAAGCTGATAATGTCGAACAAAGTGCGAATCGGCGCAGTTGGGAGAGCACGGTTACCGTAAATGAATCTGCCTCTTTTGGAAGGCAAAGTGGCATACCAAATAACGACGAGTCTGAACAACCAATAGGTGACTCCCATGATTCGTGTGAACCTCACATATCGGTGCATCAAATCGAAGCAAATGGCGCCGTACCACCCTCGTCTCCCATATGCTTCGGCGAGATGGCAAACACACCTTGTTTAATGGATCCTTCTATTTGCAAAAGTACTGAAGTGCTCAAATTACCGCATCTAGGTGAAACTTTAGCTCAAAATTCGCAAAATTATATAAAACGATTCTTAGGGACATCCAAGGATACCTTGCCGGATTCAGTCAATCATGAATCCTCAAAAGATGGGCAACAGTGGGGAAGCATTTTTATAGAATTTTGTGTGTGCTACATATTGGTAATTGTTTACATAATATTTCACACTTTCATGCACCTCGTCAGGGTACTAAGCCTTAATATCGCCATAAATTCCTCGGATTCGGCGATGTTCCTTCTTATGGTGACAAATAATTTTGCAGAAATCAAGTCTACAGTGTTCAAAAAGTACAACGAAACGTCTCTCTTTACCATAGTGGCTACCGATGCGGTGGAACGTTTTCATCTCTGTTTTGATGCGATGATGGTATTCTTCAAAATGTCAACTGTGAAGAGTCCAATAAATTCGTATTTCACGGTTTCACATTGGCTGAGTAAGATGTTCGTATTAGAAATCTTGATTGATTATTTCAAGCACGGTTTCTTGCTAAAATTCAACAAAATTGATGGAGAAATATTCAAGAGGTACACTGAAGTTTTGATGGGTGATGTTGTCTTGGCACGTTGCTGGCGCCTCAAACAACGACTTGTAAATTTCAACTTCCGGGTAACCTGCAAGGGAACATACTCCTTTTCGCATATACCGTCACGCAGGTTAGGTTTCATGCCATCACCAATAGTAACCCTCATTGTTTGCAACATTCCATACATAAGGAACATGCTCACGTTCTGGCGGTTTTTAGGGGCGGTTTTCATTTGGTTGACGCTATTTTTCGTAAAAATTGTGTCATCCATCTTGCTCGTGGCACACGGGATAAGAAGGCGTAAAAACCTTCTACGCCTCAAATCGCCCATAGACAAGATAGGGTCGTTGTAGTGATTCGTCTGGCTACTTTAATGTCAACTAACGGCCGTGCTAAATCGATGGACGTTCCAATAACGAATGAGAAACGGGGACCTAAAACGTAGGTCACAACATTTCTAGAATTAGTTAAATGGTTTGCAGACGGCAATGACCAAGGTATGTTAATATGTTGTTTCTGCCAACATATTCCTGCACGAATCTTGCGATCCCACAGACGCTAATGTGGGCCGTAGCGTCGCCTATCCTGGCACACGGGCCCCGCCACAGTCCAGCCCAATACCTACCGGTGCGTATTTCTGTATAATCAAAGGGTGAACTTTTGGCAAATCCCGGTGACAACATCATATGAAATAAAAGATCGAGAACTAGAGAAGGATTCGAGATTACAGAACACTGTCGAGTCGTACGACTCGACGAATGAAGGACAGGAAAGATCACCTATACAAATAAGGTCCGGCATTGGGTACAAGAGGAGTGCGGCGTCATGCTTCACAATAGTGCTGTAACCTGGTCTGTTGGGGCAGAGGTGTCCTTGACCTAGAATTGTGGTAACCAACATCCTCTTGAGATCCGACGGAGATGTTTTATTTTGAACTGTGCCACTAGTCAATAGAGAACTGCAGAGTAATTTGTTTAATAAATCGCTCCTACAAAATAACATCCGCTTAGTCAGATGCCGTACCCTGCATGGGTTGGTTGCATAAACTATTTTCGCATGGTCTCCCAGGTGACTTTTCATGCGATCTGTGAAATGTGACGTAAACTCGCGGAGTAGCGGCGGTATTGGCATCAGCGAACTGCAAGCTGTTGCATCACCCTGGCCAGGGAGAAAAACGAAATAAGACGTCATTAACAACACCCTGAACTTTGCTTTCAGCAGTAGCATTTGTAGGCGTTCGAAACCCTGATTATATTTCTCGGGGATGCTGCCGGCTACGTTGAATCCGCTGGACATGAAATTCCCCATGAGGATAAATCCCGCGGGAAATCCTTGACTCTGGTACATATCCAAAAACGCTGCTTTAATCTAAATACATGCATGGGGAACTTACTGTCTAAGAGCATTTCAAACGAATCTACGGCACCTTTAACGTCCAGGTGTAAGTCTGCGATAACCACCCAGCGTTCAGATCCTCCCCCTTCCTTTAAAAGGGACATTCGTGATTCAAAAACACATTGATCCGTCAATGATATATTGCCTCCAAAGAAATCTGGTATTTCTGTTTTTACCATAGGAGGAGGATGCCTTATTTCAATGCATCTTATTGCATCCTGAATGTCAACAGACTTAAGAAAACGTCCCTCACCTTATAAGAATCCATTACGCCACGTACAATGACGGTGCAGCTATGGCAGTATATACCATGCTCTATTACCGTGTCAGGTGTTATTACCAGGCGTAATTGACTCAATGTGCCCTTTATGGAAATATCACCTTTCCTGTCTACGCCCAGTATGCCGATAACAAGCTGTTCGTTATTGGAGGCACGTGGAGCGGCATCAACCGATGTTACGTGTAGAAGACTTGGCCGAGTTTTCTGCGCATGGAAAATGTTTCGGGAGTATCACAGAACCCATACCTCTAAAACTAACTGATGGCGAATCTCCGGAATCTGTAGATGGCTTGTCGAACCGAATTCCCTAAAAAATTTCTGCAATCACAAATTTTGAAATAAGTTTTAAAAGCAAACCTTTTTGTTTCTGCAGAACACAATACGTGGCAGATCACGCATTACGTTGTAAATAAACAAATCCCGCACATGCGTGCTACTGGCGGTTTCAAGTCTGCCCCTCTCCCGATAGAACTGCCAAGCAGCTATATCACTAAGCAAGTTGCCGTTATAATCAGCTTGCTGGAGTCGCAACACTGTGAAATTCCAAAGATAACCATCAACATTAAGGCCCTCATCCAATTGAACTGCTTAACATCATGGCGCTTTAAAATAACATACCAGAACGAATACTGTTGGTTGTCAACACATCCAGTAATTTGCTAAGTTCATCTGAATTGGGAGTCTTCACGATGCCACATCGGCGAAGGTTCGACAAAAGGCGATACACACCGTCACGGCTATCCGCTTTAAGCCCTTCCTCGGGTTTCTTCTCCAACGATGTCGGCGGTTGTGTATCACCATCGTAAAATGTATACATTATATAATGTCAACGTTATTGTTTTATGAGTTCCGAAGTCGCGATCACAAGGTCAGACACGTCCTGATGGTGCTTCTGCGCTGTCCGTTCCAATGACCTTAGGTCATTTCTCAGAAGTGGAATCTCATGTGGTAAACATCGAGTACGTCGTAATGCGGAGATCAAGCAGTGGAAGCTCACCTCAAAGACAGCAAGGAGCGCTGGGCCACATGTAGAACCTAGTTTACAGAAATTGGAACACAAACCTTCTATAAGATCCAGAAATTGCGGGAAACGATTGCCCTGCGCAACTGTTGGTTGGTAAAGCTGTTCTGATATGGGATGTAGCGCTTTCAAGCCGCACAAACGCGCTAGGGTCTGTAAGTGGTATTCGCATTGTCGCTGAATTAGCCTTTTAGAAGCAGGAACAAGCGCCAACTCCTTCATTGCCAGAAAGCTCTCAAAATCAAAACTGAAGAATTTGCTGGAATCACGATATACATCAGTCGACAAGTGACGGTGTATCTCATCGCTGCCATCACAGCGCTCTGTTAGCATGGCATGATAATACTGTAATATACTGTCCTGGCAATTGGTGAGATAATTACCAAGGTATAACACATTTCCCATCTGTAATAAGGTCTTATCGATGTCTCCATCGTTTCCCAACTTCTTAACAATCTCCACAGCGGATCCTGACTCATTGCGAAGTGCAGACAAGGCCTGATCAACGGTTTCTGCCACTTTTGCACCAGCCACTGTAATCAAGTAGTGGTTTAATACACTTTCCAGTGAACTCGTAAGGGGCACCAGCAGATTTTCTAAGGGTACTCGCAAGCTCAGGGTCGCGTTGAGCGTGGCGTTAAGCACCGTAGCCATGTCCACAACGGCACGTGTATGATACTGCGACCCAAGCCGTTTCCAATCTTCGTTCTTCATCCCACGCGTGACGATATCTTTGAATGTACCAAGGCGCTTATTGAGCTCACTCATGCCTATGATTTCCATTATATCGCAATGCTCGGCCAATAGTTCTCGGCCTAAAGCACCAGTGTGTTTAAAAGAAAATTGAAGAACTTTTAACAAATCATTCTGTTGCGTTTCTCCATTTGTTTTTATAAGCCGTGAAGTTTCTACTTCACGCTGCAGGAGGCGCAACTTCTGCACCGAGGGCATAACTTTACAAACATCCAGAAGTCTACTTGTTCGCTTCTGTATCTCCAGCTTTATGAAATGAATACAAGAATTTGTGAACAAGGTCGCGAAGTCACCCGATGGCAGAAAGTCATCCCAAACGGCGGCAAATATTAAATATTCTTTTATTGTAACGACAATATTGTCGATACACGTAGCACCAAGCGTGTCAATATCGTCGATCTTAAAAGCGTCCAATCTTGCGAAAGATGCGACAACTACACTTTTCGCGTGCTCGAACACCACGCGACGCAAAATGGAATCCATACTAAGACCACCTCTATTCGCCTCAAGCAAAGAATGTGAATCCAAGGGGCCCCCATCACTTGGGTTCATTTCAAGCTCATTCCGGAATAGCAACCTATTTATGAGAACAAATGTTGATAGCTTATATGACAAGGTTTTTACCCCTTCTTCCGCATTGAAGTGTAGCAATTGTTCAAGAACAATTCGTCGGAATTTTTGAGTAAGCACCCGTAAAACCAAAACGCTAGTCACCAATTGTTCGCATGAAGAACTATTAACCAGAGACATCGAATCCCTACACCTCAATGTGGTCATCATTGGTATGTTGTAGCAGATAGAATCCAACACTAGGCGATATACCTTGTATCCTGCACGATTTAGCTGCATTCCAGCTATCTGCACCTTCGTCGCCGAAAAGCGGTCGTTCAAGTTCTCCGTTGAGAGTAGATCAGAATGCTGAAGAGAAGAGTAAGGTGGTACTCCATATGTGTTGTGCACTTTCTTGAAGCACGAAGCGGCCTCTCTCATGTCTATAGTCAAGTATAAATCGACATCACCAAGCACCTTGGGTAAAACAGCAACATTATGTGGCACTTGCAGTAATGTAAATACATCCTTGTATAAATTGTGTTCAATGCTCCCTCCATTATCTACGCGGCCATTATTGGATGTCTCTTCCCTAAAGTAACTCTCTGTTGATGGATAAGTGGGGGCTTCACTGCACCTATTATGCATGGCACAAACGCTCAATAGTGCATTAAACAGAGTGCAAATGTTGGTATACCCCTCGTTGTGGGGTTCTTTGAATAGCCGGAAGTTCAGCAAAGATCCGGTGGATATAAAATATAATACATACTCAATAGTTGTGAAATTTGTAGACCAATCGCTGAAAGCGAGATTTTCGGCAAAACAGCAATGATAACACGATGCGATTCGAAGAATTATCCAATCATCTAGTTTCCAACAACGAGACAGTTTTATAGCTTCCATTGAGCATAAAAAGTATGGATTTATGACGGTATCTTCCATGTCGATGTGCCGACTACTGCGTCGAGAAATGCACCTATTAAAACAGCCTCTTCTACCACTAACCCGTTTTAAAACTGAAATATCCTCATCATCAAAAATAGACATAGAGGTACAGAAAAACGCATCGGCGTCTGAAATTGGAACCTTGAGCGCTTTTGGTGTATCACGACCTCCATATAAAAATCCAAATGAGTTGCCTCTTTCTGGAAACGTAGATTCTAAACATGGCTTGCAAGCCTCATATCCGTGTGGTGCGTCCACGGGATTTGACGCATACGTATAACAGCTTCCGTTAAGCGTTGAAGCAAACTGTGAGTTCTCAGGCATGCCTAGTAAACCCATTAAAGTATTATCAAGATCTTCCAGCTCCACAGTTCGTTTAACCAATTGTATGAGCTGATCATGCGTGCTCGTGTAATTAGAATCACAAACTATATCCTTTCCCCACTGACCTTGCTCTAAAACACGTTGGACATTATTTAGTCGACCTATACATTCACACAATAAAAGCAGAATTTGATTGGTTATTTGCTCCACATCTGCACTGTCTTTAAAGGTGAATTTTAAATCCAGAATTGTCACTGGATCTACCGATTCCAGCGCACGTCGCCATCTTGAATCCAAGTCACCATCAAGCACAGGTATGCGACGAATCACACGTGCTAGCTTCTGGGTGAACGACAGTTTTATCACACAAAGTTGTCTGTGTAAAAAGTTATGGAAATCTGTTAAATCGAATAATATGCCATTACCAAGGGCCACGTCATTCTTATACAACGAGTCAATTAGAAGCAAAATCCTATAACGTACATCCATTGGATGTATCCTGATGTTTGGGCTTGTATTCACAAACGAATTCCTTGGTGTTAGGACAAGATCCAAAACTGCGAAATGTTGTCGACTAATGTTTATGCGATTTCTGAATACCTCAATGAAATTACGTATTCGGGTAACGAGATGCTCTATGATTCCCAAATTTCTTAGCAAAAAGTCTTTCATGGTGCTGTTAGCATCGTTTGAGAGAGAAGAGTGCGTTAGAAAGCTTGATAGATGTTTGTGCAACAACAGCAATGACTCGAGCGCGAAAATGTTCCATTGACACATATCCATAGACCCGTCAAATTTGTATGGAAGCTGCATTATTCGACGAATATTAGCGTTATATTCGTTTCCTATGGAATCTGAAGCCTCCATATAAGTAGAAGTTGTATCAGAAAACAGCTCCGGTGCCGACGATTGAAATAATTTTCCATTAGACGATTTCGCTGTCATGTGGGATGACAATTCAAAAGGATACGGAAAAGTAAATTGGCCATCCTCCAATAATGGGTTTATCTCATCAACAAAAGTGTTGAAAGGCTTTTTTATTTGCATATTATAATCACGGTACAACCCGAGGAAATACGAATCTGATCTCCGAAGAGTTGCCAACAGGACTTCCCTAGCTGTCTTAAATGTTTCAAAATCGAAAGTGATACCGCCTTTAAAGGGTTCTTCAGGATTATTCGTAACAGTTTCATTGTCGTTCTTCATATTCGGCAATGCAAAGTCCGTATCTTTATACTTTTTATTCCCTCGTTTTTTTTCGGATCCAAGTTGTTCACTGTTGTGGTTATCCTTATTTTCGGAATACTCGTCCTTTTTCTTGTCACGTTTTACATCCTTATACAGTGGAATTGATAGATTGCGCACATCACAAGGTAGGGCACTGCTGCTGCGGCGGATCGCAGGGTCACCTTTATTATCCCTGCCGCAACGAAGCACGCACTCATACATGTTGTCAACCTGGGATGTGACCACTTTTCCGATTGAACAGTCTCGGGATGTTTCACAATCTCCGTGATTCCTTCCTATCACATTTGACTGTCTAATTACCAATCCTGATCCCTTGCCGTTTTCCCCAGCCAATCGGACGGATGGTACAATCTGAGTAGATGGCAGATGAGACTCATTGGCAGGCTGCATAACTCCATCTGGGTAAACATCCCATTTTGCAATAGGCACATGATCAACTGTTACGGAACCCTCCAAATTGCTGTGAGAGCTCAATACAGCAGTACCATTTGTTACGCCGTCGGTAGACCTGTCCGTAAGCGTGCCCAACTGTTCCAGGGCATCTGAGGTACCTGTCATAGGTGTTCTGAGTGTATCTGGAGTTATATGTGACTCTAATCCATTAGACGACTGCAATTTGCTGGGTTTTGACGACCCTTCCGCGCCCGAGATAGATGCGTCAATATCTCCAACACTCATTGAAACCTGTCTTCTTATATCACCATCACTTGGCGAAATAATCGGTGCATCAACTACGGTCTCGGAATCATCATTGAAATCCCCAATGGCGGTCGGTTGGTGTAATATGGGGGATGTGCTAGACTGTTTACCAACCTTGAACTTTTCAAGTTCCCCAAACCCCTTTGGAAGCCACTTATCATCAAAGATCCGTGAATGCCTGGCTGTGTGTGATACACGCGCTCCCAATATAAGCGCTTCCAATTGGCCATAATCGGCTTCAGGTGAAAACTCCACTATCGCCTGATATAACTCACGAAGGTTGTTATATGAATCGCGCTCGTAATTCACAAGTGCTTCTACCAAAATCTGCAAACATGAAGAAAACATGGATAGTCTACGTTTCTCTAGAGAACAGAAACGCGTGTGAAAATCAACAGGGTTACTTTGGATTTCTCCAATTGTATGGGGCGTCTTCTTGAGCTTAAGTGTAGCCAATTGCTCAATGACGTCTTGAGACACACCTTTTGATATAAGTACCTTCATCGCAGGGGCTTGTTCAAACAGTTGTTGAATGTGCTTTCCCAACGACATCTTGGCCTTCACCGTTTTGTTCACTGCCTTAGCTTGCGACTTTCCGTCATTGATACCAACTGCATCCCCAACCACCTCTTTCTCGTTCTCCAACGAATGTTGCAAATCTTTGTACGCTTTTAGCACATTTTCCACGTATTTACGTGCACCGCAATGGTGGAACGCCGGGGTCAGCCTAAGTGTCTTCAGATTCGGTATGAAATTGAGGACATCGTTCATTTCAAGCTGATCAACCGGCTCATTAAACCCATCATTGAACTCATCGCACAATACCATCAACGGATCACAAACACTTTGGGTAAGTAGTGAAGCAAATTGAGATGCATCTTTGCGAGTGAGAGACAGCAGTCTGAATATTGCCATCCAAACGGCGGACAAACCTTTCTGCTCTTTAGTTATTAGGTGTACCGTATCATCAGAACAGGGTATATCGCCGCGAATTTGACGCAGCGCTTCAGACGAACTAAAATTTGATACACCCGTAAGAAATGAAAAGTTGTTGGCCTTTAATTCTAATTGATGGATGCCATCCGCAAACTCGGTATAAAGCCGAGATATGTCGCTCACTAGCTCTGCTAGACTTCCAAGTGACTCCTGAGACGTTTTGCGCTTAAGTTTGATGAGTGGATGCAACAGCTCCTGCTGTGCAACGCTCAGTTCATCTAAGCCCATCCTTAGTACACATTTATGTAATAAATACGACGTTTACTATTGAACCCAATAACCAGTGGTACAACATAATTTTTAACTAACAAAGCGTCAGAAACAGAGATGAACGTCGACATCCTTCCAGAAGCGCCAATGCGGAGTCATCGCACATTGTTTGACTAATTGGTTTAGCCTATTATATTTTTATATGGTGATTTTGTGATTTCATTGTTTTCATAAAATGGATTTCGTGTCATTCTTCGGATCGCGGGCCCGGACACCAACATGGCTACGCCACTTAACACATAGCGTCTATATGGCTTCTACACACCACCCTGGCGGAAACTGGTGCTATATATTAGTAATCAAACCATAAACTGTCTGCATATAAACTTTGTGCCAGCAACAGTGATGGATATCCCTTACGTGTTTAAATCGCTAACGGTGCTCTATCATCACGTCAACGGTGCATACAGAACATTTGAGATCTCAAAGAAGTGTCCTCATCGATCCTGAAAAGCCCAAACTTTAAACTGCGCAGCGTATCATCATCCATCGTTATATGGGTTGAGGGCGACCACGGATTTCGTGAATGCAACGTACAAGGCGAAACAATTCCTTTGACCATCTCGTGTTCAGTTGGCTCCATCATTAGTTGCTCACTCACGGCTATATCTTGTGTCCTTACGTCTTCGAAATCCGGACAATTGTCAGGGCGAACCATATCGTCCTCGTCTTCCGAGAATTCAATTCCCGGCCACAAGGGCAATATGCGGATTAAGCCACGAGTATTTGGTCGCCGTGTATGCGCATCTGCCTCCGTTGTAATAGTACCAGTGGATGAAGTTGGGTCGTCTAATCTGTAAACACAGCCTATGTAACCGCGCCCATCGATGGATGCTCTGCGGCAGGGTAGACAACACAACATAACACCTGAACTATCAGAACGTCCTCTACCTAGGAAAGATACGTCATAATCAATATCAGACGAATCTTGTTGCGGTCTCCAAAAGGCTCGAGTAGAATCCATAGAACGCTTTCTCCCGAGTTGAATCAATGATCGCATGTCATCAAAGGGACGCTTGGTGGCGCGTTCATCGAGTGGAATCCAATCCACTGGGAGACCAAACGTGAGAATGTTGCGTAACAAATCAACATTGTGCGGGTTCCGTGAACCATCTTTCTCGGAGGGAAGATCATGGGGGCACAAAGCTGCCACGCTGAATGGTAGGGTGAAGCCTCCCCCCTCACGCTTTGTGAATATCATCAAAAGTCCATGGTCCATACACAGTCGTATTAACAATCTCAAACAAGTCTCTACCAATTCATCCTCAAAAGTACCTGATTTAGTCAAAAGTGAGTCTATTACCAAAACCCTAGAATCCCCGGATTGAAAGTAAACGTCTAACGCAACAAACAAGTGTTGAGTATCGTGGATATCGTAAACAGGGAAGTAAACAAGTCTTTCAAAACTAGAGCTCACTTCTGCTTCCAGGGCGGCTCCTGTGAGTCCACATTCCGCAATCTAGCAACCGTCATTGGTTGTTATCCGACAACTTACTTGATTCCTTACTATTTGCGTGAATGTCACTAAATCAAATGATAAATCGAAATCCAGATATACCGCTTGCTCGCACATACCATAACTGCTCAGAATGTCAGCCAAAATATGCAGAGCAAGCAAGGATTTGCCACTGGAACAAGGGCCAGCGATACACAGTACACTACCTCCCTTGAAGACATCTGCAAAAAGTGAATAGCTTCATATTGATTTAAAATAGCGGTTTTCCCCGGAAAAAATTATCAGCTCAAATGCGAAAAGTGCAGTAGTGCCAAACAACGTCGATGATAAACGCTGATAAGCAACTATATGGGACTCAATATCAACACATCTCTACAAATTGCTCACACATACAGAAACAAACCTGTGAATTGATCATTTGCGAGCACTGGACACGTAGAGAATACAAAACGTCTAGACTGTCGGCGGAACAACGTACGCCCTGACGCGTAGAACGTGCAGCTGCCCTGGGTGATTCTCATACAATTGACACCTGGTTATTATCCGGTATGTGTGTGATGACCGTTTGACGTATTAGATAACCGGACAGTAGTTTAGTGGCCACCCTACACATCTACATTTTCTGGTTCACTTATGAGTGGCATCGACAGATTTTCCAACCACTGAAACATGGATATGTGCTTGTTAAGGGCTCATTATTATATCTTGTTACCTAGAATTAATTGGCAGAATCGTAGTCAATTCTGGCAACCATGTTCATCATCATATAGGGCACCGCCTTTGACTTCGCCGTTTGATCAGACGCTATATAGCTAATTCCTTTGCAATATCTTCCTATTTTCGCTTCTCATTTGCCTTTATGTGTGCCACCGTACTACTGACGACGCCCGTTCCGCTGATAATGTGGTCCGCAGTGGCGGAGTCTCTTCTCTAAACACCATGCGATGGCATACCCTCCTGATCTCCTTTTAGGAGCAGTTGAACCTGCATGTGTTAGTCCATTTTGTGTGCGCTTTACTGACTGAGATTTTCCTGCGCACCTCCCGGAAGATCTTGTCCCAGATATCTGATGTCCACGGGGATGAAACCGATGCGGAAGCTGACCACGCTCATGGCGTATCTGTTGATGGCCAACACATCTTTTAATCCGTCATCTCCCTGTTAGATATCAGCGGTTTCTGCAAGATGCTGCTACTGTTGTATCTTCTGATGAATGGGGATGATCGTCCACAGAAGTGCAACTTGTGGACCACCTTCAACAGACTATCGTGGCCGATGTCGTAGTAGCCTTTCACGGCTTACATACGCATTGCACATAGCGTGCATCCGTGACCCGTGAGTACATCATTGGTAGGGTTGTGCACACTAGATATTCAAATATTTTGTTTAGTGAGCAGCCAGCAGACCTTGGGCAATAACTGGGCCGTGTGGGATGCGAAGCCATAGCTTGGCAAATGGCCATTTAGGCGCGTCTCGTCAACGCGCGGTAGAGATCTTTGGGGAGTGAAGCTAGTCACACGATGTAGACTCCGTCGCTGCCATCCGGCTTCCACTTCTGTAGCGTTTTGACGGATTTCTCAGGCCCGTTATGTGAAGAAAGCCCCCTCACTTTATATTAGCTTGACACATCGAACGAGTATCACATACGTCTTTTTGCCTTCTGTTATTTACTCTGCATTTTGCTGAGAGTGTTCCCACCGTACCAACGACTCCGTTCCCCTGTTCTTCCCGGCCGTAACATGAAAAATCGCCGTCCAGTTATTGAATAGCTGTTCGGCGTCATTGTTTTGCAGGATGCCGGCGGCGGTGTTCGCCTTTCTCCACATTGGCTTTATGGCCTGCCCCTAAAGCGGTCGGTGCATAATCTCAAAAGCCTGAAAGTAGACCCAAACCAAAACTAAACATATAACATGGAATATAAATAGAACAGGATTAATATTGCATTTAAAATGGCATCCTACACATAAACGACAATAGTGGAAAAGGTCCCGCCAGGATTCGAACCTGGGTCTGTGGAGTCAAAGTCCACGGTGATAACCCCTACACCACGAGACCGCCCACGGTGGCCCTCATTTTTACGCCCACTATGTTACTACGTTTTATTTGATCAAACATTCCATGACACACGCATTCTCATCAATTCATGTGATTAGGCCGAACAACGTATACCTGGTCATCATTGTGTAGGATGAACGCTGGTTGAGGCGCGACGATAATTAGTTGCTTTTGCTCGCCATTTACCATCGGATTGGTGTACGTTCGCAGTATACCTACACAAATTTTCTGTTCAAGGAATAGCTTGCGTTTGAATAAGTTCTCAAATGTCGCTCCGCTAAGATCGAGGGGCAGTTCATCCAGGCATATACCGTTGCTAACTTTTGAGTCTTTATCACCATCGAGAATTTGTTGTATTGTATCGTATCCAACAGAATTAAACGAAGGAATATATGAATGAGCAAGAAGACCATAAAGCATGTCTTGAACAAATATAGTGCCTGATGCCATCTCGTAGCTTGTCATAAATTCTCCAAAGTTTTGCCAAAGACGGTTCATAGCGTCTCGACCACAAGAAGCCTCCATAGTAGATACCAAGGAAGGATCCAGGTACTCTAGGCATGAAGAATGCTGTATGTCGAGAATAATATGTGGAGGTTTGAAGCCTTCCGAAGGTGAAGCTAAGATTTTCTTTATTAAATGACCCACGAAAAGAACTTGCGAGTCTTTCGATAGTTGTTTATTTCTTCGCCCAGTGCACAATTGTTCACTATTTAGAACAACAATGCAGGTAGCCTTTGCAACACCTGCAATAAGGAGAGAATTCGCATCCATTGCTGAACCGTCTATATAAGCGACAAAGTTTCTAAAACTAGCCAGCGACATTGGACAATCACTCGTAGCAACATCTAGTGGCGCCAGACATATGACATTTGAAGTGCCGTCTGCAAGCAGATATTTGAGGAAGTGATGCATGTCATGCAACCAGCCGCAAACTAAAATTAGATTTGCCCGCGGTTCTGTAAAAAATTGCGTCGCCTGTTCCCAATTATCAACCTTAAATATCCCATTGAACATAGACGCTTCTGTGCGTTGGCGTTCATCCATGGGTACTTCGGTTAATTCTGGTATTGCACTGAAATTCCCCAATTGTGGAGCGGAAATTGTTTCGCTAACTTTTATGGGCAATAGATCCAAAATAGGATTTTTTATCATGGATACATGTAGCACATCTCTGAGAGACTTGGCCAAAACGAGGCCATGCCATATTACCTCATCCTGTTGGCCAATAATATATTCCACAGGGTTCAGAACACAACGATTATTTGCCACTATTCCCAAAAGAAATATATTCTTGACCTTATACAAATATTGGCACAATTCCAAAAACTTCAAACCTGAAGGAGTGTTAAACTCGTCATACCATTATGTTTTTCGCTTACCATGTGTGCATAAAGGAAATTCTAGCTTATATAACTGAAACTTCATCCCCGTTATAATTTCAAAGAGTTGCTTGGTTACTTCCTGAAGTGAATGTCCTGCGTTATGCTTTGGTGGTTCCTCGTCTTCCTCATCTGTAACAAGTGATATGTAATACTTTGGAACTAAACTGGACGTAGCAAACAGATTATACAAGTCTTCAACATAGGCGCGTGTTCTCTTCATGTTTGTCGGTGTATGGAACAAGGTGAGGATCAAGTAAAATAAACCTCTACAAGTCACCGATTTAGCTATAAGCTTGTACTTTAGTTCTCGAAGGTAACAAATCTACAGACATCAGTTGACAACTTCAGCTTATAACTTACACGTGTAATATCTGAGGCATTCAAGAACGATGCGTAATCCGAACCATGCAGCTGCACACCAACTGGGATACCAAGGTGTCTTGTTATATTTAAACAAGCTATTGACCGTAAGATGGTCATTTGATCGTCTACATTGTGATCTCCGTGTGTTTCCGTTTCCATGTTATTTACTACAACAGTAAGCATAGATAATCCAATAAATTTGTAGACAGATGATGGGGCACAAATTTTTTCACTACCGCCGAATATACAGAGGTTTATTCCCGTATTACGCTTCACAGCACGATAAACAAGCCTATAGGACTCCAGTGGTAACGGCGTTGCAACTACGACGGTGTCGAGTACTCCGTCAAACGAGTTGACAACACACCTAAAATGTTGGATTGCACATCAACATGCCTTACCTGCAGAATGTTAAAACTTGATAAGCCGATAATGGACCCCAAAATAACACATATTTATACCCGCTCAAATCGAATCTAGAGCCTGCGGAATAGTTATTCAACCGATCTTAACATACCCATGTCGATTACGTTCCTTGATATGGCCTCTTTGAGCCGTTTGAAATGCACAGCGCCTAAGGATATACATGTGCAAATCAAAAGAATTGACAAAGCGCGACCCATCCTAGTTGTGGGCACAAAATCGCCGTATCCCACTGCAACCGTATGTCTACCAGTTAACGTAACAAACCTGTCCCCATCGTAGCAACTCCAAAAAATATAAAGTCAAAAGGAGTAACAAAGTTTACGCTTACGCGAGGCGCTTCTAAGAGATACATCATTCCAGAAAATCTGCATTCATTTATCCATCTGCCAGTAAGACTCACGAAAACAACAGTGACACAGCAGCAGTCGCAATACCGATTATGATTGTTTGGACATCAGAAAGATGATCGAAACTTTTATTCAGTAATTCTTCGGCCTGTGTGAGCTTCAAAAATCTTAATGGCCCAAACTGTAAAATTTATCCGCGTAAATAATGAAACCTACAAACAATAGGCCGAAATGGTTTACGGAACCGTATTTAACCGAATCGATGTTGAAGTATGTTGAAATCCACACCATAGTTTGCGTTAACGCCGACGTCATCGTTAGATCTATAAAGCCGCGCAACGAAAATATGTACCTGTGGTTTTTACATGTATATGTACATGTAACAACTTAAACCCACTTGTAGCGGACGTCATTGTCGTACAACTGAATGAGATAGTTTAAACAAAAGATTAGCTGAAAGGCCCCTTCCAATATCCAGTACACATTTGGGACCAACTCAACCGACCAGTGCAACAAGTTGTAGTTGCCCTCTTCCCTGCGGTGTGATTAATATATAATGCGGATAATACGTACCGCTGCATATAGCACGCCGCCCACTCCCACACTACACACCACGCTATAGTGACAATGATTCCTGACACAATCCAAATGGCGTTGTGCAACAACGGTTTTATCCACCTGTGTTTCAACCAATAATTGAAGCCTGAGAACCATCTTAGACATTGGAATCCTATAATGAAATGAAATCTGAGCAAAATATACAAACCACTGTGTTTTTGGAAATCGGGATCGAAATAACTGTAGAAAGCTAGTCGGGCGAAAAATCGCTCTCGAAATGAAAGATCCTCTGTAGGCCTACTATACTGATTGCGCCTCCCGTAATCATTGTTAAAACTGAAATATCTCACATCGTTGTTTGCGGATAGTGGAAATGGCTGTTGAGATAAATTACTCAAGTGCTCGATGCTGAAGGCAGAACGCCTTATGGGTATATCGTTCGATATGCCACCCAAGATGGAAGAGTTGGCAGTTTTATGACCTAATAGTTTATGTGATGATACAATTGACTTTACCGTCAAATTTCCCATAGGCTCCATACCTCACATCGTCTAAAAGGCGATTAAGTAAGCATCAAGTACAAAATACCATCATTATCGGAACCTCGACCAGCAGTGGTACCATGCCTGAAAATATGCGTAGCCTTGTACGAATATGAAGACCTGGCAAAGCGTATCTTCACCTGTGTTATCCATCGTTTAATGTTTATCAAACAGTAAGCGCTGGCACAAGCAACCGCCAAAATTCCAACAGCAACTACCGACGATAATGGTATTTTTATGCACAGATTTATGGTCGAGAATATTAAATATAATACAATAAGTACTGTCACGGTTAAGTCGGCTGTTTTGAGAAAGCCATTAAACACCGCCTTCGCCATCTACACCTGCCCGTAAAAGTCATAAATGTAGATATTACATACTGTGTAACGATGAAATATATTATATGTGTTCTTTCATCGGGTTCAATTGGACGAAAGTCTTGGGCAGTGTTTCCGCAGTGGTCCTGCTGACGACAGCGCACACTTTGTGCCATTCGTTCGTACTCCTCATCTTACTGCATAATCTCGTGAAGCACTCCACAGTTGCGTCTAAAATTTCTTCTCGATATAGCTGTCTATCGGCGTCCGTTTCCCCCCTTATTATGCGATTCAACGCCAGAAATCCCCTGCTATCTGCAGACAATGGTTTGTCGATGCTACTGATCTTCCCTATTTTTTGACGTAATAAGGCTTTATCTCCTAGCGTTTCTAATGCCTCTGCAATAGCATTTGGCACGTTTCTAAAGACTTGTAGCGTTTCGTTGAAGTTAGGATCAGCATACGACATGAATACGATATCACCGCATGGCGATAGATTACAAAATACGCCATATGCGCCCAGAGACACTCTCACTTGCCTCCACAGATAAGATGAAGTTAAGTAGTGCAACACCAAATCATCGGCTCCGTTGGTGGGCTCTTCATTAAACAACGGCCCTCCCATACCTACAAAGTTCACTTTTGTAGGTGCCACAATAACCTCATTCCGGCTGTAATCACCCTCATTTTCTATAATTTCCTCAACCCAATTTTTCTGAGGTGACACGTGTGAAGACACGAATGTGCTTGTCAGCTGGCGTGATAAATTCCCACTATCTTGTTCTAACCACCGTTTGCTAATATCGGCACTGGATGTTACGTTCGCTATTACGTTCTTCGAATGCAGCAGTTTTGACCTAATATTTTCTAATTTAGATGCTACGCTGGACCAATCTTTTTCAGCAGTTGGGTGAATTTCGTTCTTCAGTGTTTGCAGATATTCGTATCCACTTGATATTTCAGCAGCATGATCCGTGACGGAAAACCCCCTCATAAGCCTCCTAGAGGCATACTTATGTCCCTCAGATATTAAATCATTCTCCATTTGATTAATCTTGCGTCTCATTATTTCTAATCCTTTTTTCATATTACCGAAGTTGCTAGCCTTAAGAACATCAACAATAATATCAACCATGTCGTTCTCCTTACCTTTCAAAGCCTTAGATCTTATGTATAGATAGCCCAAAGCATCCTTTCTTTTACTGTGTTTCCTTCCATTGGCGGGTGACATAAAGGAAAATGTGGCTGCAAACCCCCCCAAATTAGCTGATATGCGATAACTCAGATCTTCCGATGAAATTTCGTATGTCCCAGCTTCCTTCAACATGCTACAGAATATATCCATATACCGAATTTCATCCAGAGTTAAATCCTCCAAAGATATGGCAAGGTCTAAATATATGATTCCCTGAGATTCTATGGGGTGGCATAATAACAGAATGTCGCCCGATGCCATTTGAGGTTTCTCGTCATATGTTTGCGGCCTACCCAATATATAGTAAATAGTAGGTATTAGCTCATTTTCTCTGTCAATATCTTTTAACGATAAGGTTGGGAGGTTGTCAAGACTTTTAGGATCTTCCGACTCTTCACAATCACTTTTGAATCGGATATACTCACTCTCCATATGATCCACTTCTTTTCTACTCAAACTGCCTAAAGCCTTCATCAACGATCCCCTTATTGATTCATTAGAAAGCTTTTCGAATTCGCTCGGATTAATTGCTTCCATGTGAACTGTAACTTTGTGCTTGTTCTGTAAAAGGTGTTTTTCAACTAATTGTTGAAAATACCCAGGGTCTTCAATCAATCTATCTTTAAGTTGGTTTATTAAACCGTCAAAGAAAAGAGGTGCAAAGGGGTCCTTGCCGTATTGTGACTGCGATTGTATAAGATTAACTAGCATTAGCCCTTTGGGAAATGAACCGGTATTTAGCTCCCTCATTTGAAATTCAATATAGTTCAAAGATGCATTTAAGGCCTCCTTCTTTATTCCATCGTTTACGATCTTTTTGAATGTGGACATTACAACTTCCTCAAATGTCAACCTGGCATCTTCCTTTGAATTGTACTTGCTGCAATTCACCCCTGCCAAACCTATTACAAAGCTAGATTGCTTAAAATAATTTGTCAATCCAGATCCAACAACTTTATTACCCAATCCAGATTTTATTAGTGATTTGTACAGCAGGCTCTCCGATGTTCCCACTAGTAAATGTTCCAATACTTCCATGCCCAAAGCATCAACTAAGTCTATATTGAATCTTCCTTTGTTTATGACGCTTGCATTTGTGTTGTCCTGAGGGTCCAGCAACCAGCCCGTTAGGAGTAAATCTTCTCCCTCGCACCCGGTCGCTCCAAATGTGCCATGAATGACCCCATCCAATTCTCTGTAAACCTCTGGATGTAGGTTACTATTAGCTGTATCTAGGGTTGCCTTGTGCAAATCGGGGGTAGATATTATGCTGTTTTCCTTTAAGAAATTATCCACAAAGTTTAACCTCTTGAGGACATCATCAGGACCATAAAAATAAATATTTGCTGTTTTGGGCCCATAATACGTGACATAGAAATCCACCAATTCCTTGTGGTTTAGCCTTACTATGTGTTCGGGATCGCCACCGGAATCGAATCTGTAGCTGTTTGTGTGGAGGCCTTGATAAATGTAATCCTGTGCCCTAGAAAGTGGGTCGGAGTACGCTTTTTTCATTTCACTATATACTATACCTCCATAACTTATATGCCTGTCATGTAATATTATGCCATGGTCTTCTTCACAATGTGACAATGGGTCATGTTTCGAAACTTTGTAATGCCATGCCTCCTGCCGGAAAATTCTCGGATCATGCCTTACGTTCGGCTGGAAAACAGCGCTCATGTAGAAGTCTGCCGTAATGTAGAAGTCTTTCTCATTGGTAGATGCGAACAGATACGATGTTCGGTCCTTGTATGTGAACGCATTAACAAAACTCTGGAAGCCCCCCTGGAGAAGGATTGAGAATCCACCCTTACTAGGGTATTTCTTTGAACCTTCCAATACTGCGTGTTCCAATATATGCGGGCATCCACAATCGTTTGACGGAGGCGTTGGTATAATTATATCAAAACAAATCTCCTTACCGCTCGCTGCATCGGTTGCTAAAGAAATAATTGAAATTCCCGTTATTTTATGCTTGTATATAACGGCGGCCAAGCCCAATTCTGGGATAAATGCTTGTCTAATCTTTTCGTAAGCGTGGTGTTCTACTTTGAAGGCATCATGAGCCCATCCAGGTACGCTACCAACAACCGTCATCGCATCTCTGGATTGAGCAAGAGACACAGGCACCGCAGCACGTGACTTCTTTTCGCACGTGCGATTTGTGAATAGGAAACCTTCCGCGTTTGATGTGAACCTTTGAACACCTGTGTAACGCTTCGATGGCGTACCATATACTCTATATTCTCTGTCACTTGGAAAAATAATACGCCTACTGGCGGTGTGTAAGGCTTCAAGACCCACAGGTAGAAATAAACGAGTGTCACATATACCGCTTATTATACCGGCGCCAGCTAATGAAAGCGCAATGTGTATCCTATGAAAAGGTAAACTGCGTTGTGCGAACATGTTTAAACCAGAACAACAGTATAGAAGTAAATAAGGTGATATATCATCGTAGGTACGTTCCAATGGCTGCAGGAATATAAAATTCGCAATTGCGTTTTGTGAGGAATCCTTTCTCCCACACACCGCAGTTGAAAGCGCTGGTCTCAGCATAACAATGGAAAATGTCGATGTCTAAAATATATGATATATTTAATTCAAATAATTTTGTTCAGCACTGTTAAGACCAAACTAATTCAACGACGTTTGTCCAAAGGCAGTCGTTGAGTTCGGTGATGCTTTACTATGAGTGCCGTTTTCACACTACCCAGATATTAACCTTCTTTGCACATTATAGCTGCACGTATAGCAACAGTTTGCGCGAAAGAATCAGCACGTTTCCAGGGTATGGTGAAACTTTTACGTGCACTGAGTAAGTGGTGTGTACCTCGCAATATAGCTTGTGCACCAATAACTTTTCCCGCTTGGGGCTACGAGGCTATCCCACATAGCATTGCGGGATTATATTATTAAATAGGTACACTTTGTTGCCTCTTATGATGGTTTGCATCGTAGGCATGGAATCGTAAATCTACATGGACACTTGTCTAATGCTCTACGTGATGCATGGTCCTCTTGGATACACATGTGCGGCACTGATGTTATAGTGTACCTCATGTTCTAGTGCCACAATACGCCGAAAACGCCAGCATCTAGATTAAATTACGCAATGTCATGGTTACGAACATACCCTTGAGTTAGCATCCTAGTGTACGCATGTGACACGTAACCAACGTCTTGTATTATAGTAATAATAAGTTGTATGAAAATCCTTCCATGTCCGTCGCGCATCATGGAATCTTCAAAGCAGAGACATACGCAGAGGGAACGTGTTGGATATCTTCTTTTATAAAAGCTTTTTAGGAACAGTGCCATATCTGTGACTCTCAATATCTCACATACACATAGCATCATGAGATTGATGCAATTATTCATCATTAATTGACCTCATTAAGCTCTGCATCGATCTGCATGCCCTCTCAGGACTACGTATCGGCTAAAATCCCTTGGCACGCTTTTGGAGCCCCAAGCCACGCCTCATATAGGTAGACTGCGCAGAAATTATTTCTTAGCGCCTAGAATATGGGAATGTCGATCTCAAGCGTCTCCATGCGTCACCTCCAGTGGCAGAATCTTAGTCAATTCTGGCAACCGTGCCCGTCATTACCTAGGGCACCGCCTTTGACTTCGCCGGCTTGTTGAATCGTTGCCCCTTCGGATCCATAACCATGTCCGCGTGCTTTCTCAGCTTGAATGTCACCACTAAGATGTTTCGGTTCAGTTTGCCCATCTTCGATGTTATCACTGAGTTTCCCTGCCACTGTGCCTCCACATTCGATTTTTAGGTTCGGTAAATTCATGTTTTCATTAACCCAGCATAGGGGCTACTCGTATACTCACTGCCGCCTCAATTTCGATCGTAAAGAAACCATGTGGTGTAGCTCAATTCTCTGCAGAAACACGGAGGGTTTGGACGGCCCACCAGACTAATTTGCTCATAAGTGTAGACGCCGTTAATATATCTCTATGTTCATGAAGGTCATGTGTATCCTAATACGCATTTTGCCCACACGGCAGAGACGAGAAATCCATGTGCATAAGATTCGTCATGCATAAGGCAGGAAACCAGGTGTGCTGGATGATTTACCGTCGCTCCTACGTATTATATGCAATATATGAGGTGGAGTGCATTGCGCTACAATGCAATGATTGCTTAACGTGCTTAGAAGAAGAGTACTAAATCGGCAAGAGGAAGCAATGTAAAAATCGAGCCAAATTGTCTCATTTAATGGGTTCATTTCGCATGTAAATGCTCTTGCAATCATAATTTGTAGTTAGACATTTGGAGCAAATCGCCAATTGCCCTTGCATATGACACCGGAGAGTATATATGATGCCATTGGAGGTGTTACGTCCACTGTGCCTCATGTCTCATAATACTAACAATTCGCCATCAATCTTAATATTTAAGGGGTGTGTTGTTACCACAATATTTGTAAAATAACAGCATACAACTACATGATGATAATTTTTAACCAAGCCCTAGTATCAAGAGAACAAATGCCAGTAATTCACTAATAGTCCGCCGTAGCACTACCGCTTCACGCATTTTTCTTAAGCATAGGCCTGGTGGTATTATGCTAATAATCGCTTGGCCATGTTTGGACGCCAACTTACGATCCTGTCGCGTAGGTCGCTACACACTGCGATGACCAAACATAATAATGTCGAAAGGATGGCCTGCGGTCAATAATGTGATGTCTTACGCATACGTTTGCGGCACTTTTATGACCGATCTTTCATGTATGATTGAAACGTAGGTTATCGGCTTTGTTCTCCCAAGGAACTCCCTGAACCGACTTATATAGGCAATCTTGTTACAGAAGTTGTATCGTATGCTTCGAGTATCATATGTTTGACGTTAAACGCGTTATAATCTGCTGATCATACCGATACCCTCTACTATGCTTTTGCAAGACGTCACATAGCGGTTGGCCATCTACGACGCAATTGTACGATTCTACACTACATCATACACCCGAAGATTAAGGATGCCAATGTTATGTACCCAACCGTGGATATCATATAGTTAACGGTCTCCTGCTCCTCAACTTATTACTGGTTTATACATGGCTGGGTTTCTTACTAATAGGTTCAGTAACAATGTGGACAAGTCTCGTGGCAATTATATGGTACCTCCGGTGAATGAGATGTTCGAACCACGATGCCTGAGGCTAATGATGGTTATTAACACGCACAATGTTTTCTGATACTAACCTTGCTTTGGACTTCACGTATTGTCTCTGCCATGGAGAATACGTAGACTCCTCCGATACGTCTGCTCCCTTGATTTGTAGGTCATGTGAAAAACTCAGCCACCGGCAATGTACATGTTATGTGGGTCCAGATCGCGATTTTGAATGTTACCTCTGTCAGGTTCAAGTATTAGATCCCTTCAACACTGTGGTTGAATTTTTGTGGTATGGTCGCATGGGAAATAGACACGAGGTTTTTAATGTTGACACGCCAGGCTTTGATAAATGGTCAACACAAAATAAGGACGTATACGTCGTCTCACTACCATTGTCGAAAAACAAACTTGTTCACGAGTGGCCTAAAACCTTTGAGTTGAGAATCAACAACGAACTCGTGCATGTAGTCAAGGCGCCAAATTGGGGACACACTAGAAGAGACAACCCTATAAAGGTGACTTATGCCATGCATCGACGTGACAACAGGGTGGAGTTATCTAGCACCACGTACGATGACCCAAGATCGTTATTCTTAATCATTATAATGGTTTCAAAGAGAGTAACGGTCGAAAGGATTATTGAGACAATTAAAACAAGACGAAGTATTCCGGTTGCCGAATCAAAACACAGAATATTGGAGTTTCTAAACACACAGCTAGAGGACGATGATGTTATATGCGTCGAGAACAACAATAGGGTCGAACTGCATTGCCCGATTACGTTGGGTCGCATGGAGTTGCCAACGCGGGGGGAAAACTGCAAACATATACAATGCTTTGACTTGAGTGCATACCTTCAGGTTATGCAAAATATGTCCACATTCAATCAGAGGTGGAAGTGTCCGGAATGCCCATTAATAGTAAAGCCGATGGATCTAGTAATCGATAGTTATGTGCTTGAAATCTTGAACACTACCCCACAGGGGACGTCTACGGTGGAATTGGATGAAACGGGAGATTACAGAGTCGTTAATTGTTCTAGCATTTGCAATTATATCCAAGGTCCTGCTGAGTTTGGCAAAACGAATAACAGAGAATGTGCATCGGGACAGTGCGATAGCGGCTCATTTAACAACATTCCTGTGTCGTCTGAAAAGGGGCTCACAGCGTTACATACTAATTGTGACCCAAAACCAAGCAAAACTGAACATGCATCTGTCAAGGCGGAATGCGGCCTAAACGTAGGTTGTGTTATCGACTTGGACAGGAATGACCAATTAGCTGCCATTACATCTACTGAATCCACGTCTGAGAAGCTGTTCATCTGTCTAGAATCGTCCGATGGGGAAGAACTTGCCAGAAATGATGCTCGACAAATCATGTCTGGTGGAGGTGACGAGAGCCGGGGAGACGTATTTTCTCCAGCACACTCAACCGCTGTAGGCAAGGACGCAAGGAAAGCTGCAAACTTAAATAAAGAGTTTGCAGGGCAACTACAGGTGTACGGAGGCCCAAAGTCTACCCTGTCGCAAAGACTCAGTCGTCTGCCCCAAATAGCGGGCGATGCCGAAGTCACAAAAGGCAGGAAACGCATGTCAACCGGCACATGCACGCAGAAATCGTTGCTGCCTACATCCCCCTCCATTGACAAGTCCGTGTCAGTAAAAACATACGAACATTCAGCAGTGAAACAGTCTAAACGAAGAACAGCGTTGGATATTAGCGCGGAGAGGTTTGCCTTTTTCAGTTAAAATGGCGCGAATATTTAGCCAAATGCCGAGAAGGCACAATGAAATGTTACAACTGTGTATACTTCAGCGTCTTATACGCTTTGGGTGAATCCACATATTTGGCAAACAGAGGCGAGCCTAAAACAACCGTCACATGACATATATCGGGTAACTTACCTTTCTAACATTCTTACCTTGTAATAATGCAGTTACTTTGATTGGTATAGGGTAAACCGTAGGTATTGCGTGTGTTATATGAAGTTTTGTCATAATGGCGCAACCTTGCTTACATTGGCTTCTAAATGACAGGGACAAAGCCCCCTTCCGTCGTCCCATTCCCATCACAGTAGGACCACGGATACTAAGGATTATATCAGCGTTCCGTAGGTTTGTCTGGAAACTTCTCACGACCAAAGCACCTATGTGGGACGGGAATGCTATGCAGTCGACATCATCAATTGCCTCTAATTCATCGGTCCAGAGTTGCGAAAAGTTGCGATAGTAAGAAAATACGGCGTGAGCTCGGAACACTTTCGACTGCTTCCCCAGAGCTTTTAAGGATTCATCACTACCTGTTTCGCATTCCGCAGCTTGCATTAAATTATATGCTGAACATGGTTTGTCGTCGTCGACGTTTTTGAATGCTCGCTTGTGTTTTGACGACATTATAATTTTATCTGTGGCGCAATCAATGCACTGGCACTTCTTCCCCGTATCGCCATTCGTCCCCATCTTAGCCTCATTTTGCATTGTATCGATGACCTTTTGTATGTCGACAATTCGGCCTATGTATCTTAAGTGGTGAATATGCAGGTAGACAAGCTTGCCCTTTAAACAGTCGATAGTGATGGCATGTTTGCTAAAACGCAAGAAATCGGAGAATATTTTGCCACAATCGACGAGCGTTATGGTCTCAGAGGGTGTTGTTTTAATGTTTACAATCCCGGGAAATCTCATGGCAGCTTCACTACGCAACAGAGCATGTATGAAATGTAGCTTTGGGTCAAAACCTGGCACATTTCCCAAAATAATGCCAATCCAGTGTGTAGCGGGGCAGTGTACACCCTTTACAAATTGATGCATGAAGTCAGAGGATGCCACGCAAACGTTTTTATGTGCAAGATTGGCGAGCGTTTTTAATATCTCTGGCCACTCTACTTGGGCAAATCGTATCTCGGTATCATCGCTGAAAATGGAGCTGGTGGCACATTGGACGCTCATAGCTTTTGGCTCATCGTTGTTTTTTGGTTCGCATAAATTATGGAGGACGCTGAGCGCCGTTTCCTTTCCTTTATGCGTAAAATGACAATGGCCTAGGAGCCTTATTATTTCAGTTCTGATGTGCACACCACTACCTTTCAGTGTCAGATTGGATATTCGCCTCACAGCACCATCTTTCAGTGGATACAAATGAGAAACGGCTACAAGAACTCCCATGGCGTTTTCAATGGTTATTGCATCACTCACACAGTCGGTGACCAGTGACAGAATGTGCTGTCTGTCCTTCTCTGCCAACCTTACAGTAACAACTGCGTGCCTAATGATGCGAATTGCCGTATTCCTTACGTGTCCACTGTTGTCCTCTAGCAATGACAATAGCCAATATTTTGCATTGCCCCATATGCGTTGGATCTCCTCGTCAGTCGTTATCTCGCTCCCAAGGCTTTTTGCGTGGTTTTGTTTCATTTGCATAGATAAGGTCCTTGCCACCTCATCGAGTCCGTAATTAGAAGCATCCACATGTCCCACAGGGAATTGGCGCTTCGTACAGCCTACAATAACAGCCGTGTATGCAATTCTGTATGTTATCTTCCTCACTAAGCCCCCAGACAATGTCCCGTTTGTCCACATTCGAGGGCCAGTAATTCCTAACGTGCACTGTAACTGGTATAGGGACAATGATGATGCTTGGAATTCTTCGTGTTGAATATAATCGCTTAATATCAAGTTGAACATAGCAAAAGATCTTTCGTGTGTATCGGTATCACCATGTAAAGCATCTCCTGTAGGCGCCACAATAACTGGACTTATAGGCAACAAGGCCGTTAAAATGTAAAATATGGACTTGACGGCAGATATTCGGGCGACATGCTCAGAGTTATCGGACACACTGCAACATTTAAGTAGTGTAGAATGAACCAAAGCTTCGAAGAGCAAAACAAGATTCTTGTGCTCCTTCACTTCCAATGTGCAGTTAATTACGTGTGGTATTATCGTCATTAACATATCCACGGAATAAGGCGCGGCCTCTATAATCCACTTCAATCCATCATCGCCGTCGTTATTAAGCATTTGTGCATGGAGGGCTGTTATGACGCCAAATTGCTCAGTGAGGCACTCCGTGATCATTCCCACAACTGCATTTCCCTTGCCTGATTTCTTTAGAAGCATATATACGGATGCTAAGACGCAAGTAGTTTGATGACATCGTTTTATAATTTTCAAACCCCTATTCAGCAGGTTTGGGATAGATGCCCTTGCGCCTATTAGGGTGGTTAGCAATTTCAAACGCTTTACATCCTTTTTGATCGCATCTATATGTGTTTTTATATCCAAAGAATTATCTGCATTGTTAATTTATGCTTCGTAAAGACTTACCAATCTTTGTTCCAATCACACCAGTAGCGGGTTTGACGGTGGCTTTTTTTTCATCGATTTCCCCCTCCTCCAAAGTAATTACCGTAAAACCGCTACTGCTGACCGACGAAATGGAACCCTCACTTCGTGATACTTTTGAAAAACCACTTGAAGAGGATGATACCTCCGACAGGTGGCACGTAAAACCTGGGTGTGCCCCCCATAAATACGCATGAGAGGGCCTTAATGAGTCAGGTTTGTGTATTCTAGAATCATTTAACTTTCTACGTTTCCGAACATCCCAAAAGGTATCTTCTAAACTCCTCATGGTTACGCTGTCTAATAATTTGAAGTGTTTTTCGCCATTACAACCCTATATGCAAGGTTTCGATTGTGTATACACAACAAATATTGCTCATCCGTGAAAGAAGGCGAATCCTACATCTAATACCATAAGCAACAAATATATGCATAGAATAACCGCTTGTTTTATAGCCGCTCGCCAGCCTTTTTCAAAACATCAATAAGAGCTATCTACCTTGTAGCATATATCTGCGACAGCTTCAAAGTCATTTCCAACTTAATCGGCTGCTAAATACAGTTTAAGTGTTCGTATATATCGCCTCACTAAATTCCCTTTTCGTTAGCATGAGGGTCCCACAAACAATGCAAATGTTGAAAGGTATGCCGAATTCTCGTTTAGTATCATTGAAAACAAATCAATAGTACGATGTTATATGTTGCTGACACACACCATAACACAGAGGAAAGACGCACGGACTTCAGCGAGGTGGCTTGTTCAAAATTTTAATTGATATTGCGAAGAATTATTCACGCGTCCACACACCTTTTCGCAATCGCCTCCGTGTACTAGCCTATCCGCAATGAACCCATGTAATTTTACGGCTCAATACGCTAACATCGATTGTAAAGTAATAATGGCTTCTGTGAAATAAATCAAGCGTCGTATGTTTCGCATCGGCATATTGGCTTGAGAGATAACCTACACATTAGTCACTGAGCAAACCTGCGCGTGGAAGCTTTATTAGACATCACTTTGAATCGATTACGCCTACGCGCACAATGAGAGGTTGCGTTAAGCAGGATCGCTTAAGTCATTTTCTAAACCAAATATCGGAGGTATGTGGATATACTCTTTTGCCTCATTATTTAAATATAATATATTAGCCGCGATGAACAAAAACGCCGCGCTTTGTGTGGAAGGGTGAATCCTCGGTCGTGTGATGAATATCCCGGGCTGTGAACAGTTCCGCATAAACAATGAAGGGCATACAGCGTACAAATCATAAGGCAGAAGATACCAATCACCAGTAATGTTGGGGTGCATTTGTTTACTCGACATACTTTGGGCGCTTAGTGATTCGTAATGTCAGAGTGAAACGATTGTCACCGAGATAACCTCTCTGCGGCGGAACAATATTTTCAAACAGCTGGTGGTGCCGTTGTTGAACTTGCCAATGTGTGGTCGGTATCGTATTTAGGGTTGCTGATGTGATAAAGTCGCCGAACTATCTCACCATTGGATGCGCCTTCGTCCGCATGGCCGCTATCTCTGTCCGTGCTCATCAGATACGCGGGGAAACGTACAGAACTATTTATATAATGACAACATTCGCTCTACGTGGCTTTTCAGGAATAACACAAAACCAGAATGGACGACCATACGACTAGGATCGACTGCTCCTTCACAGCGTCAACTAACAATGTCATCAATAGGATAACAGATGAAGAAGCTGCACGAATGGGGAGCCGAATGGCGGTGGGAACTAAGGGGAATGGTAGGATACACCTGAGGAAGGCAGCTGGAAATGTATGGAACGACCCTACGCTGGATGATTGGCCAGAGAATGACTTTCGCATTTTTTGCGGTGATTTAGGCAATGACGTGACGGACGATGTGCTGGCCAATGCGTTTAAAAAGTATCCAACTTTCCAACGTGCTCGTGTTATCAGGGACCGCAACTCAGGCAAAAGCAAGGGATACGGCTTCGTTTCTATGATGAGTGCTGAAGACATGTTAGCAGCGTTAAACGAGATGAACAACAAGTTTGTAGGTAATCGCCCAATTCGTGTGATGCGTAGCAAGTGGAGAGATAGAGACATCGACTCAACGAAGAATAGACAGGCAGCAGCTGTGTACCAGATGTCCGCTGAAAATTCAAAGACGTTACGCAAGTTTAAAAAATTAGGTAAAGCAGTGACCGGTGGCAAGAAGGCTAATTTGGTTTACGAACCCAAGACGTTCAAAAGGAACAAGATCTACCTTAGCACTGGCGTCGCTAACCGATTCGACAACAGATCACGCGTATCCCACGACCACCTGCTCGACAACATATAGCGAGTGGATGACGCAAAGCGATCTACATGGCCGGTATTAAATGGCATAAATACGATAATAGTTGCTTGAAATAAATGGTATACTAATCACGAGTGTAAAGCGTGAGTCCCGGAAGAGCATGAAACTCGTCATTAGAAGCACATGCGTGACATTACACCGACACCTAATACATCACTAAATTCTTTAACATATTGAAATGTTTCAAGTTACACTCATGATGCGTGCTCAAACTGCCGGTGGGTAATTCCAGCCATACGATACCCTGTCCGTTCTTAGGCCGAACTCTGTTCAATGAAGAGTTGCAGCTAGCACCGGAGGGGTCTTGACATTGGAATATTGCCTAAATACATGAGGGTACTGTACTCCAGGTTGGTTCTCTATAAGGTAACTTTCTTTGAGCTTGAAGAGATAGTCCTTTATTTCATTTATGTTAAAAGGGTGGTCGTGCCCTTTATCGAAATATCTTGCTTCATATGTCATCAAAGACATAACAGTCGCCGGGCGTTTTCCGGGATTGTAGACCGCGCTTAGAATGCGGCATTTCGCTAATGGGTGATGAGGCGCACGACCATATGAATTATGCAATGCACTTTCGGCCAAACGATACAAAAGATACATAGAAACGACAGAGGCTGCGAGCATTAAACAAACACCGGATGAATTCATCATAATCAGACTAAATGCTGTGAATCGCCTCTGATTTAAACAAAGAACAGGGGCAGCCGATGCAACACCTACGTGAATTCAGCCAATAGCGATCTAGTCTCTCTCGCGGCGGGGTGTCTGCGTGCTGTATACAGTTATCGTAGAAACAAACCATATATTCTAGAATTCCATAGGAAGAAGGCAATCGACGCCATAGCAGTCCAAGTACACCCAAAAATTAGGAAATTTCGGCTAGAGAATTGTGCCTCGAAAAATTGCCGCCACAATGGTGTCCTTGTGTAATTAGGCGGCTCAATAACCCACCTAGGTTTTACTAGTCTTGGGAATTCGACGTTTTTCGATAAAGGAGCTGGCGCAGGTGCCAACAACTTTCCCGATAGGTGAAACATTTTGGCGTAGCAGTGTTGATCGTAAAATCGGCATTTGACGGAATTTGTGCTAGCTAATGAGTGTGCACATCTCAACAGCAATCTATTTCCTAGAGAATCAACAGCTAATAGGCAGAAGCCGCACAGATGAACCTTTGCGCGCAGACAAACTTACTCCTGTGCGCAACCAAGAACAACGAAACACCATACCCTACGCTAGATTGTTGTCAAAAATTAATTACAAGTGAACCAGTGTGGTAGGCAGAATTATGTTAATCACACTACACACGCAGGGCGTAGCCCAGCTTAGGCATCGTTGGATGTCCAACTCACCACTTTTGCGATCACGAAGAAGTAAAACTCACAAGCCTAACTGTGTTGCAGCGCACAACATCCACATGAAAGGCTATAATGAACTGCAAAGAGAAAGCAGGTGCAGTTATTTGAGGCTGTATCATGTCGCGTCTCCGAATTCATACGTCTTCACAAAAAGGGTGCGAATCGGCCAATTAGTGCAGCATGCGCGCTTATGCTTTCAAACAAAGTAATACTTCGCCACGAAACGGTTCTTTCACGTTTAGTGTAATGAGGACGCAACGCAGTATTGTGTACTAACCCTCATATACGTCATGATGACAATCAACCCGATCATGATCCTCTGAACAAATGGTTTACCGCCGCTGGTGCTACTCTGAAAACGAAGACATTTCCCCTTCGCCTATCCAACCTTGTTTGACGCTGTTCTGCTCGTATCTTCATCAGAATCACCTCTCTTATATCATCCATAATTTCACGCTTCATTTGATAGAGGGAATGTTTCAGGAAATCAACGTTCGTGTCTATCATTGTGGTGTCTATAACATCCATATCTAGCCAAAGATGTCTGCTCTCTACCCCAAGGTCCTCACTTAGCCTAGCAAGGCGGTAGGGTTGCATATCCTCAGATATTTTACCACTATTGCCGACAACGTAATTCTGGGATGGTGAAATAATGGAGTTGTTAATGGTTTCTCTCTTATGAGCAGCTGATCCTTGGCCGGGTGTCATGTCGATCGAAAGTGACCCTTCCCCAGGGTTTCGCTTAGATAGAGCAACCCTCCCTTTATACATGGTGTAACTAGACACGAATGGCAATTCTGCCACGTCTTGGGTGTTTTTCAATGACAAGCAAAGCCCAGATGCCTCAAGTTCGGGGACTATTTCATCCAATACCTCGGGTGTAGTACACATAGCAAATACGGACATTCCCAAGGACACCTCACCATTAAACAGTTCTGCCATGGTGAGGCAGTGATCCCTTGTATCCACATACATTACGATATGGTCGCAATAGCTCCGTACTAGGAAGTAGTCATGATCCCTAAATCTTTCCATGGGGTAATCTGGGTTGAGAAGCATAAGAGTGTCCATACGAATAGGTAGAGTTTTCGAAGGAGATGCCACTTTGTCAGTTGTATAATTGTGGCCGGTTGTAGCTTGTTTATCAGTGCCCAGCACTTGGAGGATCAAGCCCTTCTGTATCGCTGCCCGAAAGACCTTAAAGAAAACTCTTGCTCCGCATGAGTGCACAATAATGTGCACATTCTTTATTCCCATGCCCAATAATTCGCTTAGTAACTCACAAAATGACTCCTCTAATCCCGGATGCTGTGTTATTCTTTTTGCTTTGTGATAGGCGATGGCGCCAAAAGGACCCCAGTGCTGACCGTCCCAATTAAACACAAATGGTAGGACGTAAGGAGGCAGCTTTGAGAATGACACGAGGTGTGCCATCTGTGAGCATGCTTCATGCAAACTCACATTGTAACCATGAATGTATATGACTGCCTGATCTGCAATACATCCTTTTTTTCCAAAGGTTCGAATCGGGGCCCACCCTTTAACTACGATTTGTGGGGCTGTTGCATTAACCTGATCCTCCCAATCATCTTCATCCAAAAACAAATGTGAAATGGCGTCTTTGCCGTGAGCGGGGTGTGATACGTTGAGAAGTCCTCGATTTGCCCTCATTTTGAGATATCCACCGGGAGTGTGTTCTTGCTTAATTTGGTCGTCCTCAGTCGCATCATCTGAACCATTTTTGTCGTTGGACAATTCATTGGCTTCCAAACTACTGTAAATACGATGGGTGCTATTGTTACCGTACATTTGATTCAACCGATTTAACATGCCCATACCCCTATTAGCCGTGAGCTTTATTGTTATTTCATCACACGTTTTTATTTCAGAAGTATCACATGTTCTTTTATATCCATCTAAACACAAAGAGTTGGACAACTTGTCTATATATACGGTGATGGTAGATGTGTTCGTCGGCATATTAAGGAAGAATTGTGATCTCAGCATCCTGACGCACCACTTGAACGATGCACCCTGGATATCAGCAAATCGGCCATTTAAAACGTTAAAAAATTTGCAATGCTTATACAAACCGCCCGGATTATGGTTGTTTTTATCATTGTACAACGGGTTGAAAAAATACGTTAACGGAAATTCGCGAAAGAAGTTTCCAGAGATTGAACATTCCGTTGAGGAAACCCCATATCTTACTTTGCCATTTGGCCGTCTTGTGTCCGTAATAAATGCGACTCTTGTATTAACAAAAATGGACCCCGATCCTATTTCTTGTGAGCTGAAAGGACCGATGGGATAACCATGCCACCAATATCCTTGCAATCGCTCTCCATATCCATCATCCTCTAGCCATTCGCCATAACCGTGCGGCTGCTCGTTATCGTCGACTTCACCTCTGTATCTCATTTGGTGCGAGAATGGCGTATCACCCTTCGTAATTCCATCGGTCGCGAATATTTTCTTGAGCAGCCATCGCAACCAACGATAAGACACCCTATATATACAAGTGCATAACCCACAACCGTTAGATCCGCACATAACTGAGTAGTCATTGTACCTGGAAATAGTTATATTGAGATTGCCTCCTCTTCGCATCCTCTCGAATAGATGAAAATGTTCCGTGCATGGGAAAAACAAACCGTTTAGGGCTAAAAGCGGACCTAACCATATGACTATTCTGGTACCTACAATAACTGTAATTTGAAGTATTGTGTATACAGTAAGCGAGAGCCAAACAAAGTCCCCGAGATCGATTACGTGCTTCAGAACTATCATGATTATAAGAGTAGCAAACATAAAGAGGTAAGAAATGGCTATGGGCCACTTGAAAGGTATTGAAAGCTGTATCCTAGCCAACAGGAACGAAGCAAGAACAAATAGCAGGGACGAAGTATATGGCATTATCCCGTGTTTAATTTCTAGACCCATCACATACTTACCATCTTCCTGCTTGAAATAACCAAAAGGCACCAGAGCCAGACAAACACAAAAAAGTGATATGAACAATACCTTTTTGTAAGACAATGGTTGCCTAATGCCATTGAATCTTCGCCTTAATCTTCGATAGTCCATAAACAAGATTGTTTCTTGTATCATTAAATCTTTAAGTTGCCGTACACTACGTCGCTTCTTTTGTTCGTCAATGGGCCTCTCTGAAGACGCATCTGCCGCACCGTCACACGTAATGATGGGTACCTGGGCATCTTGTTCCAGGGTTTCATTTCCACCTAAACTGGCTTCATCATGAACTTCACTTTCAGAAGCATTAGTGGCACGCGGATCCTCCACGTACTGCTCCATTCCCCCAAGTGATTTAAGCGTATTTATGTACTTCCTTTGAAAGGGGGTGGAAATCGGTAAAATATATGAATGCAATTGTCTTTTGCTTCAAGGATTCCCTCCTACGATATCCTGCCCGAATGCGTCGCAACAGGACGACCAAATAGCTTAATGTTAAACCAGACAATATGTGAAACAATGCCTTATAAAGGAGTTTTGCGCACATCAACAGGTAGTTTACCGCCCTGTAACTCGCCGACTGTGTTCCAACACTGCACAAACAGAGTTGTTACAGTGCGTTTGCGTAACTAAAGTACAACAGACTGTAAAAACACCAAGTTTTGAGTATTACTGGAGTTCCTAGTGTGTAATAGACAAGAATAGATGAACAGTGGAACACGCCTACAAACACTCACACAGTAACAACAGCAAGCGTCACAAGATGCAATCTAAATTCAGCCGTTATATTAAGACGGGATCTTGTATGTGCCTAATCATGTTACAGCACACCACAATGTATACACAATTTGAGCTGCACCGATGGACCCTCAGTCCCTAACTGCGAGCGCCCATAGTTGGATACCATAGGAAAATCATAACACGGCGATACTGCTCACCTCGTATAGACATGGAGTAAGAGTAATTGGCCAAGGTGCTGGTTAATGCGCGGTATTCTGTAGTATTATGGACAGGTGTGCATCATGACACACTCCATAAAACGCTCCATCACACACACGGCAAAGCTCCAGACTCTGTGCACTTCCATATATAGGATTATCATTAAGCGTGCCTGTTACATTTTGTTTGTTTTCTGGCTGTTCGTGTGTCTACTGCGATGGAGTGTAATGGACAAGATAGTGAATTGCAGTACATAACGCTACTGTGGTTGCCATCGTAACGGTAACCATTATCTTTAAAAATGCCGTCGCGATTCTCCTGTGGTTGTAATGTGTGGAGATAACCATGTATATCACTCTTTTGTGCCCAACCCTGTGTCGCAAGTTTGATTGTAGCAGGTCATCCAGAGTATACACTGTGCTGCCGGCGTGCAATTCTGCAATATAGAATGTTTCGATCTGCTTCATCGAGATGGGCTTACTGTTAGTCATGAAACGTGTCAGGTTATTCACCAGCGCGTTAAATTTGATCTCAACGCTATTTTGGATGTCCTCTTTGTGACCATACACGATGTCTGTGATATTGTGCTCGACTAGGTTTGTACCTTTTAGCACATCGCAAAAGATACCCTTCGGTATTATAAAAAATGGTAAAAGCGGGGTGGTCTCATGCGTCCCGCTGAAATGTTTCAAATTGTACATCTTCAGCCTTTTCTTTACGAAGTCTGCGTTTCGATATCTTAGAGCCATCGAGACCACAGTTTTGTGTATTCTGGTCACATATAAACCCGATCTGACACGCCACATTGGATCCATGCGTTCCATGAAATGTATTCTACTTTTCTCTGTCATCGCTTTTTTAAAGGGTTCAGCGATGAAGACAAAAATGAATGCGTGTCCATAGTCATTGAAACCGTACAATCTGGTTGCCACATGCTCATATTGGGTGCTATGAGCTGATAGTCCAGAAATTCTTATATATGAAGGAAACATTATTTTGGCCGCCCTGTCGAAGAGGCCATTCCAGACATGGTTAATACCGTGGTCTTCTCCCAACGAGTGGTAATTTGAGATGTCTATTCGATAATGGCTGCGTATACATTTGACGTATGCTTCATTATAAGATCTTTCCAGGTTACATTGAGTGTACTCGTCCTCTGGAATTTTGTTTATTAGAGTGACATTTGGCCCCAACGAAGGCAGTGACGCAGTCCACCAAATATCGCGCATACGTTTGCTGTCTACAATAATAGCACCTTTGTCTCTTGCATTGTTTTGCTGTGTAAAACTAGTCAATGAGCGTCCCCAAACAGAAGTTTCTTCTCGTGCAATCAGGCTTTCATATTTAGAACCTCCTACTCTTCCATCACCTGTGCTCAAGACATTCTCTGAGCATTTTTCAGAGGCACAAGATTTAACGAAAGAGGCGTTAAATGGCAACAACCCTATTATGATGAAATAATACAATAGTTTTACGCATCTTGAACGATCCATATGGTCTTATTTTGTCAATTCTCGTCAATGCGGTGAAATGAGTGGAGGTGCCACCTATATAATCAAGGGTGCGTATGTGGCTACGTTTGTAAGTTATGTGTCTCACACATTGTGATGTAATTGGTACACATTATACCCACTTAGCAGAAGGGCTACACACCACTGTTTTGAACTCAACCACTTTGTCAGATGATGGCCCGTCGCATTAGCATTAGGTTATGTTTTCACAATCAACGCTAGGTACGCAATGAAATATCTATTCGGGTCTGGGCATGATGATGTTTCCGAGGTTATCCCTCGGAGCTTCCTCGTATGCAGCCTTCACATGTTGCCTCAGTATCTGGCCCATTTTCTCCACAATTATATTGGATTTTTTACTCTTAAGCAATTTTGTCCCATACAAGCGAAATGCTGTGTACATGTCAATCGCCTTCTTAAGCCTGTGCGCGTTGTTAGCGTCACGCCTATTATGGAAGTGATGTCTGAAGCGTTTAATCCATCGTTGCCGCTCGACATACCATTTCATTCGGTACATTTCTGATTTTCGCTCAGCTAAATATTGCCCGGTATCAATCATGCTTTCAGGGCACTCAACCGTTGATAATATGTTCTTTACGAAGGTCGTATTTACCGGATTACCGTATGTGACTGTGACGATTTTGTCATCCATATCAGCTCCACCATTGCGATTTCGATCGTTTTCAATGGGTTGTTGGTGCGCGGGCTCCACCTTATGCGCATCGGAATCGGTATTTGCCTGTATGTTTGATGCATTAACGCCCCTCCTTCCGTAAAATGCATTCATTTCATTCAATAATTTTTCGTGGTTACCTTTCAGCCTTATTCTCCCCTCTATTCCTTCTTCATCTTCCTGAATGTCGAAAAACATATCCCTGCTCAGGCGCAAAATTGATTTACAAGGCGACTGCCACTGTCTAACACGTTCTACGAATTCAGGGATGTCGTCGTACGATAACCTCCTGCCTAAAACTATTGCATCATATCCCATAAGAGCAAGTTCATGCACCTGTGTGAAATTTATGATCCCTCCTGCTGCGATTAGCGTGGCATCGTCACCGACGATATTTTTTATCTCCAACGCTCTGGTAGGTTTTAGGAGATTATGCACTCTATCCCACTGGTTTACCAGGAGATTATTCGCGCCAAATTCAAGCGCTAGCATCGCTTCAGCCTTAGTGTGGATTTCAACAACCGGCTCAATACCCATGTTAAGGCATGCGATGATCATTTCTTTCAGTGCAGTCCCCAAAACTAACGCATTCAACAAAACACCATCTGCCCGATACTCCGCTGCCTGTGCTATCTGTATGGGGTGCAGCACAATGTCTTTCATTACTATAGCTGGTCTAACCCTTCGTCCTAATTTTCTGAGCTCGAGAAAACAGTCGTGCAGTTCCGAAATATGCCCCCCATAAACAGTTTCGTCGGTGTTGACGAATATGACGTCAAACCCTGGTCGGACATATTTGAAGGCAATAAACGGGTATCATACAAGCGTAACACGTTTATAAACGACCACCCATGAACTCACGTTAGATTTGTGGAACTCTATTCTAGTTACTTTATTGATTACTGTGGTGCCAAGCTCCACGCGATTCGAATTCTGTTCTAATCTTTCAAATTGACCATGCAACTTATAATTTAATTGTATGAAATATTCTTGATCACAACAAAATTGTAATAGACATATTTCAATAGCGACCTGTGCATTACATACCTACTGCTGCCATGCTCTTCGCTACATCGGAAGCGTCTAAAAAGGATAATACAGAATTGTCTAGCGTGTGGTGTTTCGTTGGTGTACGACGCTTCATGTCAGCTATGACTGACAAACCATGCCCTCGTTCAGTGCTATGCCTCCTGAGCATTTCACCAAGCTTGTGGTTAGCGGTGCATTCCACAAATTTTAGCCGAAGCTGCACAACATTTGCTATGAAACGATAAGTATTCAACGGTTCATAGGGAGATATTCAAACAACACCCGAGTATTATAGCTCACCTGTAATGGATCGTTAGGGTCCTTGTGATCATCTAGGAGACGCTCCACTTGTGCATGTTTGTCGGCGATTGTCTTGTAAAAACGCTCTTCTGCCTTGTAACGTGCACGATCATCATCTGCGTCCCACAATGAACCATTGAATCTGCTTCTCTGGAAATTTGTAAATAGATAACCATACAAATGAAGGTGGCAAATAGTATATCTTCTACCTTCGTGGCAATGTGCACTCATGAGAAGTGATTGCACGATCACAGTCAAACTAGATATTATCCACATTCACACCCCTTTTTGGCTATTGTATTTACGCCGAATTTTTTGCGCGGGGTTAGCTTAACATTGCTGTTGGTCAAGTTTCTGGGCACTGCATTTTACGTATATTCAGAATTGCCACAACTAAAAATCCGTCTCCATTTGGTATATTTTTGGTAATGATATGACGCTTATCAGGTGAAGCTGCAGCTAAAGGTGTGCAGCCTTCCTTCGCCATCGAACGACCACCGTTGTTTTAAGCTGGGCGCCAAACATCTCATGTTTTTGACGTATGAGGAATCATAGGTGTTGACCATATTGGTACACAAACTTCCTTGCGAGATGCGAACAAACTTCCAGTAACGGATCGTATTCGACACCGAAACTAATTATGGATACGTTGACCCCTTTTAACGCAACTTTTCGTTTGAGACGTCTGTTGAGCAGTTTTTCGGGGGGTACGCGCTGCGGTTGCATTCTCCAAGGTAGATATGCGGCTCCCTCATCAGGCGTTCCAGAAACCTCACTGGATTCCGAGGTTCTCGTGACTGGGGGCAATGAAGGTCTCATCGCCATTTGGATACTTTCTGATGATGGTAAGGTTGATTTGGTTAACGAATTTATCGCTCATGATGGGACTGTTATGGATTTGGTTGGTAGCCGTATGGTGGATCCCTGTATCGAGGACGAGCATACTCCGTCTGAGGGCACCGAAAGCACCATATCAGACGCTTCTTTGTCATTCTACACGTGTGGAAGAGATCGAATGATTCATAAATTCGATCTCTCAGGTCGCAAAATTAGGACTTTTAAAGTAGGTTTCATGTAGCTGTTGCATTGCGTAAAATTATGTGCCGTTGGTTGCCTTAATTGTATATCTATTTAGGGACATGAAGACGTAGTTTGTAGTATTCAAGAATTTTCGAATGGGAAGAACCTTGTAAGTGGCAGCTGGGATGGCACTGCAATAGTTTGGGATGTTTTGACGGGAACAATAAAATATCGCATCTGTGGAAATCCATACAAATATTCCGTATACTGCAACACCAAATCAGATGGCACCATACTCACGGGAATGACTAATGGCGACGTGTGTTGTTGGGAAAACGGAAGACTTCGCCAGACGCAGAGGCTCCATGATGGGGTCGTGCGCGCAATAAGCATTAAGGACGACACAATCCTGACGTGCTCAAACGACTGTAGCGTGCGGAAGTACTCTGGTGATATGAATCTTATTTACACTATACCAGCTGCTCATCAAAACTTTGTTTACGGTATGTGCAGCATATCTACTTTACACTAATTGGATTCAGACGTACGACACTCAAACAATTTCCCAGTGTTTTTCACTTCTTCTGAGGACAAACAAGTCGGAATTTGGGATCTCAGCAATGGTAAGCTATTGCAAATGTTGACATTCGAATCGTCAATCTGGAAGGTGAGTTAATGTTTGTAACTGACGCAGCTGTAGGTGGTTGAAACGCAACGCCAAGGCATAATAGTTATCCCTCTGAATGGCAGTATATCCCTCTGTCAACTCGAACAAGGATCCGCCACTGTTGTGAATGCGCCACAGGTGAACGTTTCTAAGGGTTCAAGCTTGATCGACGCCCATAGTGCGATTGGCACAGAAGGGTCATTCGAAATGATCATGTTCAGGCAAGCTAATGGCACGAAGGCGTTGGAACGTTTATCTGCTTTCAACGGAAGTAAATCACCAACAGTGGGTTCGCAGTCCAAGCCCTAACATTGACAATGCAGATCTGTCTGTCGGAAAGCGATCTAAAAACGATTCTTGCAGTTTTTAATGCTGGCAAGCTACCCTACAGGTATGCGTATCTTTTTACACTGATTGTAAGTACGTGCTGTGGAGTGTACGCACCCACAACATTCTCCTGGTGCTCTGATTTCACTACATATGTGCGACAGGATCACATTATTTGCAGCGATTTCTCTTTCGTTTACAAGATGATACAATGGCCGCTCACAGAACGCATCCCAGTATTTGATTTTTTGAAGGTCTTAGTTGCAGGCTCATTTTGTACAAGGTTGTTCAAGGGTCGCAACGGTGGCTTCGCCATATACTCATGCGTGTGTACCAGCATAGACGAGGGGAGAGACAGCATTCCACTCCTCACCGTGGCACTACAGGTTATTGCAAACCTGTTTTACCCTACGGTGCCTAGAACGATGCTATTGAATCACATCGATACCACTCTGAAAGCAATTAATCATGGAAGCAAGTGTCGTGTCAAGATGGTACAGCAAGCACATTCTGCATGTATACAAAATCTTATAATCGCGTCCGGAGAACGCATACACGAGTGGTCACAAAAAGTAGTTGGATTTGTGCATACCGCGATGTCGGCGGTGTGTAGTTCAGGCATAGATGAATCATGGGTTGGAGGGGTAACACTTCGTTATTGCCGTTCCTTGGAGACACTCATCTCTCTTGACAGCACAGCAGCTGCTTTTGTAAGAGAATCGGGAGTTTTGAAATGTATTCGCGATGCAATTCCTCCCCTTGTGAGCCATTCTGTGGATGACGCCCTCTGGCGCTTGAGCCAAGTGGTAAATTAATTGTTGGATAGCGTAGGGAGTGTGAATGCGATTTGATCACCCGAATCGACGCTGCACCAGATGAAACTCGGGCGTTTTACAACTCACTGGCCATCTAGATGAACTAGTTTAAGTGTAAATGCTACTGCATTCGCTCGCAGGGAGGCCAGAGGCAATCGCGCTGCTATATGGTACTCTCCTGTAGTCGGTATTCTGTTGGTCTCGTCGCACATTTGGGCTTCATGTTGGCGCACTACCCCGACGAGCTGTGACGGTAATAGGTCTATTTGGTGCCTTCTAGACAAAATGTCGAGTATTCTATAGAGAGATAGGGGGGCACATGCACTTTTTCGGTCCTTGGATAACGTATTAACTTCTACAGTAACCACAAGGTTGGCCATCCAGTCTGTATCGGTAGATACGTCTTCGTGTACCCCATTTTCTACAGTGATGTTAACCGTATTGACAAGGTCTGTTATGCCCCTTCAAAGGCATTACCCACTATCAGAAACAGCGTGGCACCGCTGTCTAACATGCCGAATAAACTTCCCTCGATATAAAGTTATTAGACACATGTTAACGTGTAAACCCGTTCGGGATATGCAATTGCCAATGAAGTGTGTTCAGCCTCACCTGTCTCACTGTTGGCAGAAGCGTCATGTCTCGCGTTAGCGAACATATCTATATTTTGCCAGTTAGCGTATGTTGCTCTCCCTTGTGGTATCATGTGATAATTTGCAAAGCCACGTGGGACGGCCACCGTCACCCCTTTTCTGCCAAGCGAAGGGGAGTCACAAAGAAGAACAACATTCACTAGCTTGTCCGTGACCCTGGGGTACAATACTCGTCTTTCTATAATAGCTGTATCTGAAACTATCTTGAAACGTTTGAAAACTGATATATATTTGCAGATATCGACCATTTGTATAAGATATTGAAAATGGTTGTGTGTACCCCAGTAGTCGGAGAGCTACTGTTTATGTGGAAACGGCTAACACGCGATCGTAGAAACTGCCGTATGGGAATAGCATAAGTTGTAAATCCCTTACCCCAATATCTAAATTCGATGGATTTACACGTGGTGTGTGTCGCACACTACTTGTTGCTTCTGCTGTCTTTGTGGACACAGACTCCCCTTGCCTTAAATAACATTGCCAATGTTAGTTGCTGCTGCTATATAACTCTATTCGAAGTTTACATGGGATTTTAGGTCACCAGGTCTCCTTTCGGTCATGTTTTAAACGGCGTTTTTTCCAGTAATTCAGGAGTCCCTACCTCAAACAAATTAATCTCTTCTAACAACTTGGTAAGCGAAATAGGATACGCTGGTGTGGCGATCTACTACCTGCCATTAACTCGCTACTAAATTCATTAATTTACAGACCATTGAGGTTCTTCCATCTGACGAAGAGGACGGCGACGGGTTGTTGAACTTTTCAACTATCAGCGACGTCTACAAATCTGGCAAAAACGTGGAAGACATCGACACTAACTGAAGTTATCAGTTCTATACGGCATGCAGCTGTTGCAGGCTCGTTATTTCAATATTATTCTGTGTACAATAGTTTACGTGCGGCACTACTGTTTTGGAGAAGTGTTGCGATTTGTACAAATTCGGAACACTCCCGAACCATTAAAAGCGGCGGCTCGGTCTTCCCCTCGAATATCTTGCTTTGGGAAATAGTTTTGATAAGTTGCAATGGTTTCTAGGGAATACTCATGTCTTTTCGCACGCAACAGCGACAAGAAGAACAAGACATGGAGGGACGGTGTCATATCTGTACATGCTACACATCGATTTGCGCGTGTTTCACTCTATGAAATAAACGGTCACAATAGTGCCGTTGATTCGGCTATTGATGCTTTCGACTTGTTTAATCGTGACTACGATAACTTGACAGGCGAGACAATCACATCTCCCAGATTTATCATCAAGGTGTTAGGTGTCAACACGGATTTTAAAAAGACAACTGATGATCGCATCCCGCCCGCGTTGGAGAGCGTGAGGTCGTTTCTGCCGGCGAAGCGCATCTCTCGCACCCCGGCGCTAGGAACCTGCCGCGCATTCAAGAAGTATTGCGCTACGCAGGATACTACACCAAATTCTCTGCAGGCCCTACCTGGTGCGCTAAGGGGCTGCGGTAATGGTTCTAACGAGTTGCATTCTCTTGCTAACACGGGCAGATGTACGGAAATCACAACGATTACGGATAGAAACACATATCGCGCTACAAATAAAAGCACTATGGGCGTAGCTTTTTCTCATCCAAGTTCGGAATCTATGCGTGAGTCAGTGTCGCCTTATTCATCAAAGAAAATTGTCGATACCATATCCTTATCGCTTCACGATGCGGAAACTAGGAACCCACCGTCACCTGTGATATCACCGAACTCGACTTCAATGTTGACGCGAACTTTTGCCGTAAACAGATCGACACAAGTGCCTGTAACATTGCCGACAATTAGTGTTATGGACGCCAAATGTGCTATCGGCCCGGTTGATGGGACAGAGAAGCAATTTTGCGAAGCGGGATCTGGTTTCAAGAACACATCACCAACACAGAGGTGCTGCGACCTTAAGGAGAATGCTCCGCCGCAGGAACCTGCAGTAGTTAGTTTGGGCAACGAGATGATGGTGAACCTTTTGCAAACGGCGGACGACATATTGTACGCTCATAAAAGTTTTGATGAAGCGCCCATTGTGGATGCAGAACTCATTGGCTGCATAGAGTCCGCATTAGACCATTTGGGTAACTTGCAGGCAGGATTGTAACGAAACTGCAATGTATGGCTTTCCGTCCAGGTATTTCGACCCCCCCTTGCCGTGTCGGAGCTGTCGCCAACAATTTTTACACCATTAATGACATGGCACGCGTTAATTCGAACTTTTTAACCGTCAGCGGTTTTTACATACTATCTTGTGAATGACGGCCCCGCATCCGGCATTCAACATTTGAACAAACGCTATAAACGTCACCTAAATCATATACCTGCTACGATTCAATCATAATTTTTTCTAAATCCGAACAGAACTAAAAAGCCGGTGGAAGTTCACCCAGCAAACGACGTTCTTCATTCGGTAATTTCGGTGTCTGTATGCTACTAATTTGTGAAAATGTACATGATGAAATTCATCATATCCCGTGCATTTATGCCAAAAGCTACTTGAAATGTCCTTTCTCGTAGGTCGGTGAGTCGCCTGAGTGCCACTTGCACCCGCCACTCCGATATCTCTAAATACAGATCGTAGCGTCGTTCCATTGCTGCCTTGCAATTGCGGTCTTCCCTACCGCATATAAATATAGGGTCTCTGTCGCAGAGCACCTTATGATACAACAACAGCCTGGATTCTTTTTCTACTATAGTAGACCCGAAATAGCGGTGCAATTCGTGGTCGCTAGAGCCTGAATAAATAGCACATTTCCTCTCGGGATAGCTTTTTCGAAGCATTTTCCGACGTTCCCCCCTTTTACATATAGCACACTTGAGCATCCTAAGTTTTTCTACCATACATAGAACGTTTGTATCGCTGACTGTGTCGTTATTTATATCAAGCTTTTCGTTCATAACCACCGACAAATCGTATCCCTCGCATGCTTGAAAGTCCATTTTGTTATGGAAATCACGTACACCTAGTGGTGGCAGTAGTTCGTTTAAGAAAACATAAAATGCTCTATAAACGTCACTACTGATTCCAAACTCGAAGTGCAGCATCTGATCCGGCTTCACTGGTTTCCACCTGCTGTCTACGTAAAATACACACGTCTTCATCGCTGTAACGCTTCCGTGTTGCACGTCAGCCTCGTGGTTTTGGATATTTTCCTTATCATCGTAAATTACCGAGTTGTTATCACCATGCGACGCCGTCTCTTGTACAGCTGGAATTTCACGGTGTATATTTTGCGAGATGCCCCTATCACCCAGACTCATGTCGCCTTGCAAACGCTGCATTATCATCCACTTTGCATGTGGGTTCTTATTAATGGAGCTTTTCATGGTGTCTGTAACTGACATATCACCCGTGTTTGTGTTTTGGGGGGGGGATGCGTTTCTCTTAACTTGTGCTACGAGGCGTACGGCGCCGGACTCATGAGCATTGGATGCCGTATATCCTTGTGTGGATCCTGAGGTAGGTTTTGATACATTCACGGCATATGGCTTAGCGAAGGCAGCTCCCATATCAGCAATATGCAATTGGTGGGGCTGCTCCGGCGGCAAAACACGGTTACAAGGGTGTGGCATTTGCCTTTTAAGCGGTTGCATCCTTTGCAGATGCATTTGCCGACCCGGATCAGTCTCCGCAACTTGGGGCATATTAACTGATACGCACGTATTGTTTGAAATTCCTGATGGACTAGACTCCTTGGCATTCTCGGCCATTCTCAAATTGTTCGGCAACCTTTCACTAGCTCCCATCTGTGTTATTGGTACGCATTGGACCTCCTCTGAACATGGGACTGTATTAGCATGGTCTCCCCCATTGTACGAACGTGATTGTGTAGCTGCAATTGTAGGCATAACAATATGTTTTGAGACATGTCGAGGGTGTACTGGGCTTCGAGCGTAAATATCCGTCTGGTGATTAACGTTATCAACATTCACTGACGTAATAGGGGGCATAACGTGCCCTGCACCATTATATGCCGCCATCATACCTGTTAATCCAGAGTCATGCCGTTGCATTTCCGAATCATATCCAAAGGGTGGGGCACGTAAACCCGCCCCGCTGTGGACATGCTGATCATGTGGAGGAGCTACTTTAAAATCATGCATCGAGATATGTCGAGGCGTATTGGCTACTATGTCTTGGTTCCCTCGCACCATTAAAATGTTATTTGTAGAGTTTGCGTGTCTCACGGAGGTTGCCCTACCGGTCAATGCTGTGGTATCGATCATTTGGGGAATTTGATGAGGTATGAACCGATGGTTCATAACCAATTGTCCCGATACGGGAGATTGAACTGTTTGTACGGCGGGAACCCACGTCAACGTCCCATTTTTGTAAACTGGCACTAGGCCATTGGTATGGTTCTGCATCGTCGCGCAATTACTGTTCACCTTTCATGTTTCGCTGAAATGTTTCGTAATTCTGGTCCAAGTGGCTCCTTCCTATCCCATTTGTGCGATATGGCGGTTGTCCTGTAACCAGCCCCCCGCAGAGCATTCAATTAGTGTGGCTCATGAGCTTTCTTATATTCCAAAATACTGGACATAGTTCACTTCACTTATCTATTATAAGCAGGGTGGTGTAAAAGTGGGAATCCATACACCCCGGCTGGTGCGTGCCAGCCCGACCCCGCTATCGTAAGGGTCTCACTCAAAAGAATCGCACGTATACACAATTATTTCACATCACCATACTCCACAAATTGGTGTTGTGTTTACGTACTTGCAGCGCTGTAAGCTTCAACGTGTCCACCAATTCGGCCAGTTGTATGTGTAATCCGGAGGGGAAGCGATTTGCAGCTATCATCAGAATTTTTCTGAGATTCCTGACAGTTCTAATTTAGAAATACGTGTGTCATTACCTCGCTGGCACTTGAATAATGGAATGAGCCGTTTCAGACTCGCTGCTTATCGTGTTAAGCCGGCATTCGCTGTACCCCAAGGCACCAAAGCTCAGCAGCAGATTTGACCTGAAGAAGTATTCCAGAAGAGATCCATTTATCATCTGAACCGAATCCACGCCTTCACAAACCCTAGTAAACAAGCATTAAATGTGGTGAGGCAGTGTGCACCAAGCAACCAGGGCAACGCGGTCAGATATGACAGGATCGTACACGAATATATCTATAAGCCATACATTTATAAAGCGACTATAGCTGCACGTAAAACCCACAAGGATATGCGTACGTAGAGCGAGGTGTCTACTGTTGCTCCCCTCACTGCGGAGTACCTCGCGTTTCGTCGACCACCCATCGATGTTCCCACTGACTATTCTGCAGTCGTGGTTAAAAACTGCAAAGTATCACCCGGTGGTTGTGGGTGACTCGAGAACACATCCTCATCTATGCGGATTATTTGCGTCTAGATGAGTCAGTCGCCTCTTTTAAGGAAATCACGTGACATAAGTAGTTAGTCAAGCCTAATAATGTTGTTTAAAATAACCTGCTTCCGATGTGGTCTATGATTATGGCAGTTAAATCATTGCATCTAATTACGGATTTACACCTCGCCCGTTCCCACTGTATTATCAGTTCAGAATAGACACCGTGTCACTCACCTGGCGTCCATATGAAAGTCATAGAGTCAATTTCCAGCGAATCCGAAACACCGCGTTCCGAGGTTACGGACATGGAGGTGATCGCGCGGTGGTGATTGCCACCCCATTACATCCATACGAAGGTGTTACCAACGGAGACCTAATTTGCGTGTAATATCCCGGTGCACTACTAAAGCGTGCTATCATACTCAAGGGAGTGGGTGATTCTGACGCAAATAGTTTTTATTGTGCGTGGCCTTCTTTCCGTTGCACTACTTCTTGTTGTGTCAACGGCACATCGTCAAAACGGGTTAATTAAGGTTAACAATCATTATAGAATTGCTTCTCTATTGTTCGTCGGATCCAATTCGGGATGGTATGTTTGCTTGCTGGCGGTCCAACCGCTTTTAGCTGTATCGCGCATAGTATGCTCGACGTCACCTAACTTGATTCACAGGGGGCCCTTAAATCAACCACTCTAAAAAGGCATCTGGGGAAGAAAATGAAGCAAAATCGTCCGTTGCCGCACTGGTTCCGGCTCAAGACTGACAGCAAGATTCGGTACGTTGTGTTGTTCTGTAAATTATTTTTTGTAGGTATAATGCCAAACGGAGATACTGGAGACGTACCAAGCTTAAGGTGTGAATGCGATCACTGCCTTTAACAGCGAATTAAGTGCCTATCATTAAGCAGTACGAATCACGTGCGCACACTAGCTGTTCCCGCCAGCGGCGAAACAATGTTTTACGTGTTTGGTTTTGCAGTGTATGAGGTGTAATGGCGTCCTCTTTTGGTACGTTTTTGAGGTTGCCGTGTTTTCGTAGGTCATTTCGCTTCACTTGTGTGTGATCGGGCGCGCTTGAGGTGGGAGCGAGTTGTCCGACCTTCGTTATGCAGTTTGACGAGGCGCTACTGTGTACCCGGTTTCAATCAATGTTGAAATTTGCGAATACTCTTCTGTTTTAGTACTGCTGCCCTATCACCATACGCGTTGTGGTATTTCGGCGTGATGAGTGTCACGTCGGTGAGATCAGTGATAAAGATAAATATATACGTTTGGCAATGGTATTAGTTATGAATACCAATTTGGGGAAAATGGTCATCTCATCAGTGTACCTTTTGGGTTCATCCAGGTCGAAGGGAGCAATATTTCGTGTTGCTAAACGGCCATTTGCATCCGCACATCACGTACGTTCAGACGCATTTGAGCAACCTGATGCTCACTAGTGTGTAGTTTGCAGTGATGTGCTAACCGGTATATGACCGCATACATGTTTCTTGGTGACGTAGCCTGCTTCCACATACAGTGTGAAGCGTATTACGTTCCTTATCTAGATTTTTATTTCCATATACGTATGCAATGTTATACCTTATAGATGGTTAGCACTTTTTGCGGCGTAAAGCACATATGTATTGGCCTTCCCTAGTCGTGTACCAAGTGTTAGTGTAACCTCTTCATTGATGGTGATTAATTCGCACGCAGCCATTGCACAATGCGAGCCCCCGACTACCATTAACTTATTACAAGGCTAGTTCAAGGGCCATGGAGTCTATGAATCACCGCGTTTTTTACGCAAACTGGATTTTTGTAGTGGCTCTCTACGACATCTTTACTGCATACGTAGACTTCTAAACACGGATTTAATTCATACTCATTTCCACGACTTGTAGAGTGCAAAGGCACATATGGATGCCATTAAAACGAAGAGTGATCCCTTCATGGCGTCGTCAGACAAAAGGTCGAAGAGGAGACTGCGGAGGGAAAGGGCCGCATGGTTCCTGGGTTCCTATAATTGTTTAACAACTTGAATAAATAGTGGACATATTGGATAGTTCTATGACTCACCAAGCGTAGCAACATATCCAAATGTCGTTTTGCCTTTTTGTATTCCCTTTTCTTCATATGGCAAAGAGCCAATTGGTACATACATTTCGCGCTACGTTCATGAGTTAATCGTTCGGTAAAATACATGTTGCAAGCACACAGTGTTGGGTAATGGTCGAAAAGTCAATATGAAAGCTTATGACGTCCATGCATTGGCCAAAAACTGGTACCATACTGTACGACTAATAATGTTTCACCACCGAAATTTCGGATGTCATAATGCGGCCAACATATGAAACTTGACTCACCTATTATATCTAATTCTAATAAGCTCTTCGAAGAGTTCGATTGACAAATTTATGTGATTGCTTTGTACGGAACACATGAGCATACAGGCATAGTCATACTGGACCTTGGCAGATAGCTGGCAATTTTCGATACCCTGCGATTTGTCAGAATTCAATGACGAACATGTAGGGCACATAACCGAACAGTTGTGTAGGTCACTGCAGGCTGCGGAAGTTTATCCTTCGAAAGGCCATTATGCATTGCGTCACACATTAATGCAAATCCGTTCTGAAACACCGCATATATGCAACGCAAAATTAACTTGCCTCTTCATATTCTTGTTTCAAACGATCTATTTCAAACTGGATATCTTCGATGTTTGCCATGTCTATATACGTGTACGTTCCACCACAATGAAAACAGATTATACGCCGTCGTGTTTACCTCCAAGATTGCAGTCTACTTGTTATAGTTAATATGCCAGCAAATTGGCCGCCAACTCCTAATGAGCGGTCATGACAGCGACGATTAATTTCGCAAACAAGCCTTAGATTCGACTTCATACCTCGATCCCCAGAGAGGGTTACACACACCTCCACGCAAAGTACGTCCGTAGTCACATAGCACGGGGTTTTGCTTGTTACGATATATGCGTCACCATAGGCTAACATACATCCACCATTTATGTTCCATGTTGTCCGTGACTTTATCGTCACGGAGGGATATTTAACTGAGGCGGATGTAATGTAGCAACATCGTCTGTCTTGTCATCCAATAAGGCTATTCTTGTATATAAGTCTGCTTGTTCTATGTGCACTTATGACTTCTCGGGCATTCGGTATCATTGATTCCACATATTTGAGCGGCCTTTGCTGCTGCATAGGCGGCGTGCAAGTCACTCTTTCCTCTGTGTTATTTGTTTTTGCAAGTTTTGCCGCTCTAAATAGTTACAAGCGTTATGTAATGGTTGTATCATCTGCGATTAGTGGTCTGGTGCTCGTGTCTTCCATACATTTGAGAACATCTCCGCGTCGTACGCGTGTGACGTCTGCAGCGCACATCTTGGATTCTTCGGTCGTCTATACAGGGTTACATGCTAAAATGTATGATATTACAGGTTTCATCAGTGCCACTGGAAGGATAGATCAATCAGATGTGGCATATTCTACGTATGAGTCCCTTTCTTATAAAAAACGTGCGTTTGTACGCCGTAATCCGATGTTTACGAAGTCTTCATATATTCAAAAGGTCATATCTGTTGAAATGGATATAGGTGCGCGATGTTGCCGCGGATTAAGGTTGCATGCGCACAGGAATGAATCGGATGCCAGAGTAAATTACTACCAGCTCTTGTCTTTGACGGAAGACTGCAGTGACAGCGACATAAGGCTGAGATACAAAGAACTCACTGAATCTCTTAAATCTTTGCCCTCTGTTGACCCTCGCATTAAGCGGACTATAAAGGAGGCCTACAAAGTGTTGTCTAATCCTGCATCTCGTGCAATGTATGATGCAAACTTAAAGAGTTCGATATTCAACAGCCAATCATCGGGCGCTGCGAATGAGATAACGAGCTGGCAATTTCATGGCAACGCCGATGAAGACCGTGTGACAGAAGTAGATAGTGACAGTGATACGGCCTCCACTGCCAGCTACTCTCCTGGCAGCAAGCGCAACGATTTGGGGAGATTCTTGAGAAATATTTTCCGAAGTAACTCTAAATCATCTGTTATGGATCATCCTATTCCAGAAAATCGTGATATTTTCACTGAAGTTGATGTTAATCTGCTAGATTTTATTTCTGGTGGCACTGTGAAAGTTTGTGTAAATAAATTTGACAGCTGCTCAGATTGTAACTCTGCGAATGAAGATACAGGCAAGTATTTTGCTGCATGTGGGAAGTGTGGAGGCAGTGGCATGATTTCTAAAAGTCAGCGTACTCCATTCGGTTATATTTCAACCTCTAGAAGTTGTGTAACGTGTAATGGCTGCGGATTAAAACGAATTAGAGATTGCACAACGTGTAACAACATGCGTTGCATTCAGCAGGAATGTATTGTTGACGTTCCTATCCCACGTGGAACAAAACCGGGCTCAACGCTTAGGGTGAAGGGTGGTGGGCACTATGTTGGCCGTTTCCCGTGCGCAGGTGACTTGTATGTTCTACCGTGTGTATTTATCATTTTCTTCAGGTTTGTCAAGCTTGTTTCCGCTGGTAACGAAAGCGAGTTCGTTAAAGATCACAAGGTGTACACAGTGGCATGTTTGGATTATGTAGATGCTATATTGGGTGTGGCGGTACGGTGCTTTAGTGATATGCTCATAACATGTAGATTGACGTCAAGACATTTTGTGGTACCAAGCATGTAGAAGTACCTGCATGCACGCAGCATGGCGATGAAGTGCTGGTAGGAAATTATGAAGGCATAGAGCATGTGATAAAATTTCATATATCTCTGCCTAAGCATGCCTCGCAAGAGGAGATTTTGCTGCTTAATAAGATCAGAGATATGAAACGTCAGTAGTGCATTGGCATCTGTCAATTATTCGTTCAGTGATTCAAAGGTAAACTGGCACTGCCAAGCAATCCCTATGTTGCGCAACTGCGGCGTGTAACGTTTGATATTTTCTTTCCATAAGCCATTCATGAAATGTTAATATATAGACAGATTCATACATACCTGCGGTATAATCTGTGTTTCAAGTTGTATGTGCGCTGTGTGATTACCGTTGCCACATACTGCTTTTCGTGCGTATTCAGATGGTATGCTTCCTGATCCATTGACGTTGATTACCGTACGCATTGAGCGTCACCCCTATCGGTCCACGTAATGCCTCCTACCGCCGCTTTACGGGGCACAACAAGCAAAGGGTGCACAAGGTTTAAATCTGGACAATCCATTCGAACACAAGTCGCCGTAATATTTTGAATCTTTAGGGCGGGAATATACCATACTTCGTCAAAAGGCTATTTGAGATGAAGAACCGCATTGTTTAGTGATACGACCTACACGCGCTAATACGCACTGCACTAGGCAGGCGCTCAGCATTGCTACAACTGCTATGCGCCCAGCTACGTATGTTTGCATGGATAGCTCATACACCTGAGGTATAAAGCAGTGTATACCGTGGCATTTAAACTGCGGATCTCCACAATGCCCTTTGGTCATACGAAGATGAATGCGTGTGACGATGAAGAGCAACCCCAGCTTCCGTCCTGAATACGATTTTTAATAGGCTTAGAACCGCGTTTGGCCTCACTTCACGCAAGCAGTATAGTAAACGAAGATTGTATGCACCAATATGGCTCACTGCGTTCCATAAATTATAAACCATTAGTAAGTTCCAATGATGCCAGCTCGTTTGAAAAGCGGATTCGGCATCTGTTGCTTCAAACTGCTTCTACAACTCTTCCGATCCGTATTCAATAGAAAGCCCAGAATCCAGCGAGGTCGTACACTATGGTAAATATGTTTACATCCACACCGCTCAACGCCTCTATCATATCTGAAGCACTCATGCTGGGGCGGCATTCCTGCTCTCTGTAACCCATCGCCTTAAATACATACCACAAACGATGCTCCGCCATATGGTTCGACCCTTTAATTGCATGTTCGCTCGCATCCCGCAGGGACCGCAGGCCTGCGTATAGCATTGGAGCAATCCCCACGAATACCACTGCGCAAGCTTCCGGGTCTCTCGAGCATGATTCATCCCAGGTTGCTTTTGAACTGTATGCAGACTTATACTGGTAAGGGATTTTGATGTTTTTCAGGAATTTCTCACAACCACGCACAACGTTACCTAGGTCCTTTATGATGTCTCCACCTTTGACGCCTCTGAGCTCTACGACATTCTCATAATCGCTTAAGGGGGTATCTCCAAAAATCTCAGCAAGCACGCCTGGTTCCTTGTTCAAAGGCTCTTCGTACCTGCGCAGCAGGTTTTTGACGAATGGTTGGTCCTTAAGCTCCGGTTGCTCCAGGAACTGCTTAGAAATACGTTTAACACACTCAAGAGCTGGCAACACTTTCAATCCAACAGGGTGGCGTTTGAGAAGATTGTGAAGTGCGAGTCCCATGGCCGTCATGTTATAGTTAAAATTCCTCCCCTTCAAGGCTATCAACCAGTCAATACCCTCCTTGAGGTTGCGAGGAACTTCAATCAACGAATTGTGTAACATTGTCTAAAGTTGAATTCAATTGAGCGGCTGCTATTAACGTGTAGATTTTTTATCTACAGGCACTCTCTTAATCGAGGATAAGCAAAGTGCACACGCAGTTGCCTTATAATAGACGCTCACCTTATAGAAACATACGACGCTATCGAGATGCCAAACATCCGTACGATAAAGCTACGATAACATCCCAATAGCCCCATCGCAGCCAGTCCCATACCACGGGCGTGACATGCAGTTTCCACAACGCATGTTACTGTGGTATCTGAGTTGTGGACAGTGATATCATACTTTGAACCTTTCTACGTTGGTACTATTTGCGGCGATGCGTCAGGGTTTATGCTGTTGCGATGGGTTGAGAGTAATATATTACCGTGGACGCCATCTCGTGGCTGCCACATCAGACTTTGTCCTAGCTACACCCGGTAGCACGCCTTTGCTCATTTTCTATCCGCATCACTAATACGTCATCCACACGCTTTTCTATTCATAGTTATACTTGGAATAAGACTCCTCACGCCTGACCTTGATGGCCAACTGCGTGGCTTTACGGTACCTTGTCGTTATTGGGTGACGCCGACGAAGTCCCTCCCCTCGATGTTCCTCGACAAACTAGGCAATTGCCATTTGACGTGCCGCCAGCAAGGCTGAGGTCACTAGTATCCGACCACTCAATAGCCCCAGCAGGGCCTCTCAATATTGCGAACCTTTTCCCGTCCCGCGTGCAGCAGATGGCGTATACGAGAGTAAATGGCGCATGGCGTGTTGAGACTTATTAATTATTGCCGTGGTTACGTTTTTATAGAAGTGGCATTGTCTGAATGCCGCGTGTCACATTTTGGATGCCCTCCTCTCAACTGATAAAAGCATTCTGCCGTCGACCTATCGCCATCCCAATTCAAATGACTACTTATCTCTATCAATCACTACGAATAACCCCATCTAGGAGATGCATTCCGCATGTCTTGATGTGAGAAGGGAACCAATATTCCGATATTACGTCCCACATCTCAACCCTAATGAGATCGGACTCATTGACCGGATTGTTCTCGAACGTCGTTCACTCATTTCCAGGTTTGCGTCGAAGCCCAATATTAATCCACTTTCTGGCGCTTAAGGTCTTAATACGAGTCACGTATATGTTTGGTTCCGCAAGATCCCTTCAATCCTTCTAGTACGGTTGGCTAGCGTGACCGCTGATCCAGCACTTTGCATATGCCAATACGACTCACACTAGCTTTGCAAAGCATCGTACTATGTGCTTTGTGCGCATATAAGGGATAAATGAAACCACCCGCGCCTTCATTTTGACCGGCGGTCCAGAGTGGCCATGTGCCAACACGGTGATGGGTAATCAAAATTAGTGGAGTCACTGAAGCACCGTGAAATGTATCACATGTTTTCCACTCTTGCGTTATAAGTACATTGCTGGTCTTTTAACTTGTTTGCACTCGTGTCAGAGAACATATCGTACCGCCCTCATTCCGGCAGCACGATACACGCAGCAAAGTGTCACTGTGCCCAATTGCATTTCATGTTTCGGCACGGCATATTAGCGTCAACACCAGCAATTAAAAAGGTGTGGTAACACTAAGAAAAACCAATTATTGGCCACCAAAATGACTACTTCGTAACCTAAGACACTGCCGCTGAAACAGAAAAACAAAGACACCAGCAGCATCAATGGAACGAAAATGAATTCGCACAATTCACCATCATATCATCACATCTGAGATGCTCATTACTCTGAGCATTACTTTTCTATGCTCATGATGCAGAATATGGCCCCCTTGACGGTGACGCAACGACACTCCAACGTTGGCGTCTGGCGCAGCTTCTCCCCTGGTCCTACGAGTGAATCGTCGAACTGCAGGATGACGAAGTGGTTGGAATGCGAAGAAACCAACGACATGCTTAGGTCACCTGTGTTGTTAACTTCACCTTCCACGGAGACCTCGCTGAAGCAGTTGGGTGGGTCCAGGACGTAAGGCGCTGGGCAGTAGAACGCCGCTTCCTTGGCAGCCTGTATGTCGATCTTGCAACCGGACTGATGCTCCCCGTCGGAGTCATAGATTGGAAGCGCCTCAGGTTTGAACAACTCATCCGATGCGTAGGTAACGCCGCAGCCTTGCATGTAGAGGTCCGTCCTCTCGACGTTAACATGAACAGCAAGGAGCATGCAACCAACATCATCAGAGTGAGGACCTAGCCTGGAAAACGCGATAAGTGGCCCAAGTCACATCTAGCCGCACGGCACACTAAATAAAACCAAAACAGAGATAATGTGCATAACTGGTACTATCTCACTGCCACATAAAAATATCAAGCGCAAATGAAAACACCCATATGATGACATTGTGACACTGGCTGTGACCGTATGCTTTGTAACTCCGTATCTCTGGTAGCCGTCTCCCAGCCACCAGCCGTGCCGCTGCCGCGGGTACCGGGAGGGTGAGGGAGCCGTCCGGGTACCAGGGCCCCGAGGCTCACACAGTAGCCAGACCATATCAGTAGGTGTGCCTGGTGGAGTTTCCCGCGGTTAGCGGTGTTGGTAGTCTACGTCCCCCGAGGCGCCTCCTCCAGCGGCGGGCGTCACAGGGCGGCAGGGGGAACACAGGGTCACTGAGGTAACGCTTCCAGGCGACTTTGGCTGATGATGTAGTCACATTACGTCACCTTATGACATCCCTGAAGGTGCCGTACCCGGTTGCTTATATGACGTCACCCGTCCCCTGCCGTCACGGCGCTGGTGGCGGGGCTTGTACAGCCCTAGAGTGGAACGGCAAACCAAGCCTCTACTCAGCAGCAGTTGCGTCTGGCACATCCTCTGACGGCATCTGCCGAAACCATGACGCTACGTCACCTGCAGATTGTAGTCCGCCCATCACCCCTCCCACAGGCAGCAGCCACGGGCGCCCCGAGGTGGCGGGGTGGAGTCACCGAAATCGCGGCTAGGGTGGGAACCACCAACGTTACTACACCCATATGACGGTATTGTGACACTGGCTGTGACCGTGTGCTTCGTAACTCCGTATCCCTGGTAGCCGCTCTCCGCCCTGCATCGGTGCCGCTGCCGCGGGTCCCGGGAGGGTGGGATGGCCGTCCGGGTACCAGGGCCCCGAGGCTCATAGAGTGGCCAGGCCATGTCAGTAGGTGTGCCTAGGTACATTTCCCGCGGTTAGCGGTGACGGTCACCTACCTCCCCCGAGGCGCCTCCTCCGGCAGCAGCCCGTCACAGGGCGGCAGCGGGGACACGGGGTCACTGAGGTAACGCTTCCAGGCGACTTCGGCTGACAATATGGTCACTTTACGTCACCTAATGACTTCCGTGAAGGCGCCGTACCCGGTTGCTCAAATGGCGTCACCCGTCCCCTGCCGTCACGGCGGTGGTGGCGGGGCTAGTACAGCCCTAGAGTAAAATGTGGAACCAGGCACTACCACGGCAGCAGTTGCGTCTGGCACATCCTCTGACGGCATCTGCCAAAACTATGACGCTACATCTTCCGCAGATTGTAGCCCTCCCATCACCCCTCCCGCAGGCAGCAGCCACGGCGCCCCGAGGTGGCGGGGGTGGCATGGCAGAAATCGCGGCTATGGTGGAAAGCACTGACGTTACTACACCCGTATGACGGTGTTGTGACACTGGCTTTGACCGTGTGCTTCGTAACTCCGTATCCCTGGTAGCCGCTCTCCGCCCTGCATCGGCGCCGCTGCCGCGGGTCCCGGGAGGGTGGGATGGCCGTCCGGGTACCAGGGCCCCGAGGCTCGTACAGTAGCCAGACCACGTTGGTGGGTGTGCCTGGGTACGTTTCCCGCGGTTAGCGGTGTTGGTAGTCTAGGTCCCCCGAGGCGCCTCCTCCAGCGACGGGCGTCACAGGGCGGCAGCGGGGACACGGGGTCACTGAGGTAACGCTTCCACGACGCGCATGAAGTCCGACTTCCCTGAAACCACCCGCTTGCTCAAATGACGTCACCGTCCCGTGGATGTCACGGCGGTGGTGGAGGCTGGCCGACTGACTACAGGGGTGGAGGGTACCTGCCAAAGTAGCGTTAGGCGGCGTAACTTACACTGTGCATCACCCGCCGACTCCCGGAACTGCCGTTCCCTGCCTCAGCCTCACGGCCACGTGTAGGGGCGGTGGCGGCGAAGCATGTACAGCCCAGAGCAGCAGGCACTACCACGTGGCCAGGCGGCAGCAGTTGCGTCTGGCACATTGTGGCCCCATGACCCTCCCGCAGATTGTAGCAGGCGCCACGCAGGCAGAGGTGGCGGGGGTGGCATGGCAGAAATCGCGGCTATGGTGGAAAGCACTGACGTTACCACACCCATGTGACGGTGTTGTGACACTGGCAGTGACCGTGTGCTTCGTAACTCAGTATCCCTGGTAGCCGCTCTCCTCCCTGCATCGGTGCCGCTGCCGCGGGTCCCGGGAGGGGTCAAGGGCCATCCAGGAACCAGGGCTCCGAGGCTCATACAGTAGCCTAACCGCGTTAGTGGGTGTGCCCGGGTACGTTTCCCGCGGTTAGCGGTGGTGGTAGTCTAGGCCCCCCGAGGCGCCTCCTCCGGCAGCAGCCCGTCACAGGGCGGCAGCGGGACACGGGGTCACTGAGGTAACGCTTCCAGGCGACTTCGGCTGACAATATGGTCACTTTACGTCACCTAATGACTTCCGTGAAGGCGCCGTACCCGGTTGCTCAAATGGCGTCACCCGTCCCCTGCCGTCACGGCGGTGGTGGCGCCGGGAGGCTGGCCGACTGACTACGGGAGGTGGGGGCTTGTACCTGCCAAAGTTGCGTCAGATGCCGTCACGTACACTGTAGATGACCCGCCGACTCCCGGAACTGCCGTTCCCTGCCTCAGCCGCAAGGCCACTAAGGGCTCGGTTGCCGGGCTGTCACGGCGGCGGTGGAGGGGCTCGGAGTGAGGTGGAGTGGAATGTGGAACCAAGCCTCTACTCAGCAGCAGTTGCGTCTGGCACATGCTCTGATGCCATCTGCCAATACTGTGATGCCACATCTTCCGCAGATCGTCACCCTCCCATCACCCCTCCCACAGGCAGCAGCCACGGCGCCCCGAGGTGGCGGGGGTGGCATGGCAGAAATCGCGGCTACGGTGGTAACTGACAACGTTACTACACCCGTATGACGGTGTTGTGACACTGGCTTTGACCGTGTGCTTCGTAACTCCGTATCCCTGGTAGCCGCTCTCCGCCCTGCATCGGCGCCGCTGCCGCGGGTCCCGGGAGGGTGGGATGGCCGTCCGGGTACCAGGGCCCCGAGGCTCGTACAGTAGCCAGACCACGTTGGTGGGTGTGCCTGGGTACGTTTCCCGCGGTTAGCGGTGTTGGTAGTCTAGGTCCCCCGAGGCGCCTCCTCCAGCGACGGGCGTCACAGGGCGGCAGCGGGGACACGGGGTCACTGAGGTAACGCTTCCAGGCGACTTCGGCTGACAACATGGTCACATTACGTCGTCTGATGACTTCCCTGAATGTGCCGTACCCGCTTGCTCAAATGACGTCACCCGTCCCGTGGATGTCACGGCGGTGGTGGCGGTGGGAGGCTGGCCGACTGACTACAGGGGGTGGAGGGTTGTACCTGCCAAAGTAGCGTTAGGCGGCGTAACTTACACTGTGCATCACCCGCCGACTCCCGGAACTGCCGTTCCCTGCCTCAGCCTCACGGCCACTGGGGGCTCGGTTGCCGTGTAGGCCACGGCGGTGGCGGCGAAGCATGTACAGCCCTAGAGTAAAATGTGGAACCAGGCACTACCACGGCAGCAGTTGCGTCTGGCACATCCTCTGACGGCATCTGCCAAAACTATGACGCTACATCTTCCGCAGATTGTAGCCCTCCCATCACCCCTCCCGCAGGCAGCAGCCACGGCGCCACGAGGTGGCGGGGGTGGCATGGCAGAAATCGCGGCTATGGTGGAAAGCACTGACGTTACCACACCCATGTGACGGTGTTGTGACACTGGCAGTGACCGTGTGCTTCGTAACTCAGTATCCCTGGTAGCCGCTCTCCTCCCTGCATCGGTGCCGCTGCCGCGGGTCCCGGGAGGGGTCAAGGGCCATCCAGGAACCAGGGCTCCGAGGCTCATACAGTAGCCTAACCGCGTTAGTGGGTGTGCCCGGGTACGTTTCCCGCGGTTAGCGGTGGTGGTAGTCTAGGCCCCCCGAGGCGCCTCCTCCGGCAGCAGCCCGTCACAGGGCGGCAGCGGGGACACGGGGTCACTGAGGTAACGCTTCCAGGCGACTTCGGCTGACAATATGGTCACTTTACGTCACCTAATGACTTCCGTGAAGGCGCCGTACCCGGTTGCTCAAATGGCGTCACCCGTCCCCTGCCGTCACGGCGGTGGTGGCGCCGGGAGGCTGGCCGACTGACTACGGGAGGTGGGGGCTTGTACCTGCCAAAGTTGCGTCAGATGCCGTCACGTACACTGTAGATGACCCGCCGACTCCCGGAACTGCCGTTCCCTGCCTCAGCCGCAAGGCCACTAAGGGCTCGGTTGCCGGGCTGTCACGGCGGCGGTGGAGGGGCTCGGAGTGAGGTGGAGTGGAATGTGGAACCAAGCCTCTACTCAGCAGCAGTTGCGTCTGGCACATGCTCTGATGCCATCTGCCAATACTGTGATGCCACATCTTCCGCAGATCGTCACCCTCCCATCACCCCTCCACAGCAGCAGCCACGGCGCCCCGAGGTGGCGGGGGTGGCATGGCAGAAATCGCGGCTACGGTGGTAACTGACAACGTTACTACACCCGTATGACGGTGTTGTGACACTGGCTTTGACCGTGTGCTTCGTAACTCCGTATCCCTGGTAGCCGCTCTCCGCCCTGCATCGGCGCCGCTGCCGCGGGTCCCGGAAGGGTGGGATGGCCGTCCGGGTACCAGGGCCCCGAGGCTCACACAGTAGCCAGACCACGTTGGTGGGTGTGCCTGGGTACGTTTCCCGCGGTTAGCGGTGTTGGTAGTCTAGGTCCCCCGAGGCGCCTCCTCCAGCGACGGGCGTCACAGGGCGGCAGCGGGGACACGGGGTCACTGAGGTAACGCTTCCAGGCGACTTCGGCTGACAACATGGTCACATTACGTCGTCTGATGACTTCCCTGAATGTGCCGTACCCGCTTGCTCAAATGACGTCACCCGTCCCGTGGATGTCACGGCGGTGGTGGCGGT